TAAATCAAATGCATTTATATAGCGCCGGCGCAGGCCAGGGGCGCTGTTTAGAAGTAACTAGTCAACTAACTACGCGTAAGTAGAGTTGGTAAACACTGTGGAACTCGACTGGAAGAGTGGGTAATGTAAATGCAGAAAAGAAGCAACTAAATTCGATGTGCCGGTAACGTGTGCGATCAAATGTGGCCCAATCAGTCCGGTGGGCGGGGAACAATCTATCGTTCTAAGCGTCTCGTGATGAAGGCCGTGGAAGTCATATTCTTGGTCGAGGTATGACGATGGATTTGGAACAGGACAGCCTTGTCCAAGCCTTGCCTTAAGGCGGAGGATTATGTGGCGTTAGGTAGATGGATAATCAGGAAGGCAAGGACTTCCGTAAGGTATATGTCTGCACGCTCGTTTGCTTTCATGCACCATATATACTCATAAGTTCTCTGAGCAGACTTTTATATGGCGCTAGTAACCGTCTACTTTTACCATCGAGCGCGCTTCGCCACCGTAAATGCGAGCTTCCACGGCCGATGCAGTTCTCCTATAAGTATTGGGTGATCTGTACTCGCAGAGCTCCTCACATCTCCCCATTCGCCCGATCTTAGGTGAGTGCCCCTCACTTTCTACTCAATCTTTCTAACATTCTCGCCATAGCGCAATGCAAGTGTTCATGAGAAATGTGCCATGGTCTGCGCAGGACTCGGACTGCACGATCGCCCTGGCACGCCTCCTTCACAGACCACCATTTCCCCCCGAACCTCCCTTGAACTTCCACGTCAGACTCTTCCGAAAGGGCGGGCGCAACGGTCGCTGTGGTTTGCTCACGCTACCCACCCAAGCAGTGGGGAACACCTTCCTCAGCATCTATAGCAGGGTCACCATTCATTCCAGTCAAGTGATGTTCACTCCGGATAGGAACGCACCGGACGAGGCTTTGATCGCTAGGGTAGCTGCCACAGAATGGATCGATCCGGAAATCCTGAAAGAAGAGCAACGACGCCTGGAGATGATCTCCACCCCCGTCCCACTCGCCAGCTTATCCTTTGGTCGATTATGTCGAGATGGCTCCTTCTCTGTCGAGCTCGAACGCTCTGGCAGCCTTCATGTTCAGTGCGACGCTGATAATCGACAGCTGCGAATCGAATCTCCCGTCTCATCCGTAGGACCAGACGCCAATTTTTTTCTTTCGATGATGTCACCCACTACCACGCTCAGCATCTGGCTCCACTCCTCGCAAGTTGTAGCGCTTTCATATCCTACATTTTCCGGAAGTGATAACAATCACCACATTTTACTTGAAGCCGCGCACCCTCCTGCACTAGAAGTCGAGAGGACCTCAATCCTAGATGACCTTCTCGGCTTTGAGTTCAAACCGCCTCCACCTCAACGGGTATCATCACTCGATAATCGCCCCATCGTCCACGCTTCCCGTTTCATGCTCCTCTCTTTTCGTAATCACGGTGATATGTCCATCTTCCAAGCACGAGCAAGGCAGATCAATATACATCGCCAATATCCGCAAGACATCCCAGTTGTCAGAAGAGATTTATATTCCCTGTCATCTTTGGAGCGGGTCGATCATTTTCTCTCCCGATTGCGCTTTTCACTTGCGTTCGAGGCGGACAAAGCTCTTGCAGGTGCCGTTTTGGATCCCGAAGAGCTACTCGGGTTGAGTCATGCCATAGAGGAGTTGCAGGGCGACCATCCGGCGGACGCTGACGCCATCTTTCGCCGATTCACCTCCAGCGTCCATATCCCTTCTTTAGCGACATGGGAACCCAACAACATCCCAATCGAGAACCGCAACAAGAAACGACGACGACGGAGACGTGGAAAGAAGCAGCCACAGGACGCTTCTGCCCCCAGTAATACTCTGGCAGACCTCCTGAGGGACGTCACCGCGGAGTTTCTTGCTGATCTCCAGGTTCCACGAAAACGCTTTGCCATACCACCATCTGAAACCGTATTCGACGCTTACACCTTGATTTTGACTCCGACGTCTAAGATCTTGGAAGGCCCATTACCCGACCAATCCAATAGCGTCCTGCGTCGATTCGGACATCACGACTGTTTTATTCGCGTCTCCTTCCAGGACGAAAATCATACCCCCCTTCGACGTGACCCATCAGGGACGAGTATCCAGGAACTTCTCCGAACGAGATATAAATCTGCCATGGTCAAAGGTATTCCACTGGCCGGTAGACATTTCGAGTTCCTTGGGTACTCGATGAGTGGGTTAAGAGAGCACAGCATCATCTTCATGCAAGCTTTCGAGAGTGATGACGGGTCGTTGATGACTGCGGACCGTATTCGGAGTCTTTTGGTCAGCTAATTCGCTAATGCTCAATTTAATTACTCGCATCTAACAGTGAGACTCGATTTTCCAGGGTAATTTCTCTCATATATCGAATAAACCCGCCCTTCTAGCCGCACGATGGGCTCAGGCTTTCTCCGCCTCAGACCCCTCAGTCACGCTCCAATCTGCCGAAATACAGAGGATCGGAGACAAGCGCTCGCCGTCGGGATCGCTCTTCACGGATGGTTGTGGCACCATTTCTGAATCACTCGCCCGCGATGTTTGGAAGTTCCTGCAGCGCCACAGACGGCGAGCCGCTAGTATGCGCTTGGTCCCGTCCTGTTTCCAAATTAGAATTGGTGGGGCCAAAGGCATTCTATTTCAGGATCCTAACTTGATCGGAAAGATGGTTTGCCTGCGACCCTCTCAAACGAAATTCGAGAACGACTCGGAGGCTCTTACCCTGGACATTGCGTCCACATCATCACGACCGATCCGTATGTTCCTCAATCGGTCTCTCATACTACTCCTCGAATTCCTGGGCGTAAAGCCCGATGTGTTCATGGCATTGCAGAAGGACGCAACCGATGCTGTAGAACGCGCTCGTCATTCCTTCCTCGAGGCTGCGAAGTTGTTTTCTCACCACGGATTTGGATCATCATTCCGGATCGCATCCTTGTTCAACAATCTCGTCACTCAGCTGAAACTAGACGAGGGCGACCTCCAAGGGCTCGAGTGTCAGATTCTCACCAAGAGCATCGAATATGCTGCTACGCACGTCCTGCGCGAGATCAAGTTCAGGGCGCGAATTCCCGTGCATGGTTCTTGGACACTTTTAGGAGTGTCTGACGAATGGGGTTGTCTCCGCGAAGGTATTGAATATCCTTTCATTACACATATTACTTGAATAGCTGATTCATCTGCTTGTTTACAGGAGAAATCTTCGCAACAGTACGAGACGAGCACAGCGGTACTTCTGTGGAAATACAGGGTCCAATGCTCATCACTCGCAGTCCACAAATTCATCCCGGTGATGTTCAAATGGTCACCGCCGTGAGACGACCTGAGCTTGCACATCTTACCAATGTGGTGGTGTTCTCGTGCGAGTAAGCCAACGTCCTAACACGTCGTCTTTTAATCATCTGACAAGTCACCGTTCTCAGGGGAGAGCGTAGCTTACCGTCTATGCTCGGTGGTGGAGATCTCGACGGTGACATATACAATCTGATTCTGGACGTAAGTCTAATCCCACTTATCGTATCATATCCAAACCCTCCCTGACTTCGTTATAGCCGGACCTTTTCCCCACTCACACTTGCGAAGCAGGAGGCTACGTAGGGCTTCCCCACAAGGTCTTAGACCGCGATTGCACCATAGATGATGTTGCGGACTTTGTCATCAACTACGTGCGTATGGTTTCAAGGATCTCTCCCCAAGTGCCTCGAACGCTCAATGTCTGTCCGTGCTGGTAGATTGAGGCGGACCTCGTCGGCTACATAGCGATTCTTCACCTACGCATAGCCGACCTGAGTCCGGAAGGTCCAAATAGCAAGGACTGCCTCCTGCTCGCCGAGAAGGCATCCCATGCAGTTGACTTTCCGAAAACTGGAACGCCTACTAACTTCGATGACTTGCCTCGTGCTCCCAGGGGTCCGAAACCCGACTTCCTTGGTTCAGAGACCGTCGACCCCTCCAGTTCATCATTTTATCCTAGCAATAAGGTCCTTGGACGGCTCTTCCGTAATGTGCCGCTGGAGATTGTCGACGCTGATCACGAGGGCTCTGTCTTCGGATCCACGATAATAGATGCTTTAGATCGGGCCGCTCGTCTAGGACATGTCAGACTTGGGTTGCCTGTCATCCATGGCCATTCCGACGATCTAGTGGAAGAGATGGAGTTGATGATGGACGCTTACTCGGAGCAACTAATGGAAATAGCCAAAGCCCATACGCAGTCCAGAGCACCGAATGCCTTCTTGACGGAACCCGAGCTAGTCAGTGGGACAATCCAGGGGAAGTGGAGCAATCCTCGCAAGCGTAGAGAAGCTGTTAATTCCATGGAACTCCAGGCAGGTCATTCATGAATCCACATACAACGTCAACTAAAGGATTCGTTGGACTCTTTGTAGACCCACGAATTGACTAAGTCTATTCGTCAAGAATTGCGCAGAGCACTCATCGTTGATGAGCCCGACGATGAAATGGAGGGTACCGAGGCCGTCGGAGAGCAGGACGACCAGGACGATGACGAGGAAGATGAGGACATCCTCTCGGATCGAGACTTGGAGTCGTATCGTCGGGCCGCCGCAGCTTGGCAGGCCGCCAATGACGCTCTGGAGGAGGATGCAGAGGCATTTGGACCTTCAAGCTTCGGTCTCATTGCGTTGGGTGTTATGCTCGAAATAATGAAGAAAGCCCGGTACCTTTTGCAGTAATTTGCCATACATGTCATCGATCCTCCCGAAATGTCAAGACCAGTCTCCGCTTCAATTCGGTCTTAACCAGGTTTTGTGTACTCGAGTATGTTTGTAACTGTAGTGTCAGCAATTGAACGATATACTTACTAGTTAGCTGTGGAAAACAAATTGGGTGCATTTCAGGATTTCTAGGATGTATGGTTAATTTCCGAACTCCTCTGTTTTTGATACGTAAGCTGTCGGGGTTCGGGAGTAGAATTGGCGCCTGAAGTTGGCGATGTGCAAAGAAATGGTGGTTCGACAATGGAGTCACTATGTTGGCACCGTGGGAACGGGCCGTAGCCTCTGGGGGCCCTATTCACACAGCGGCCATAATCAATCCACACTACAACTTCACGCCTTTTTCCTACCAAGTCTACGATCGGCCTTGTGGCGCGGAAGATGTGGTGTCTACCACCTCCCCCTGAGTGTCTTCTACTCAATGCTCGTCATCAATCACTCCGTATCGACTAGAAACGATATATCTCAAATACTACTTCTGATAAATTCGAGAGCTGAGTTCTCGATGCGCTTGTCAGCGAAGTTCGCCCTGGCCTTGATCGTAGGACATCTCGACCTCCTGGATTAGGTTCAGTCGGAGTCAAGATGCATGTTCAAGTATCTGTGGGAGGGACTACCGGACTTGCATATCAGCAGGCAGCCGGAAGGACGAACTAGTGTTTGGATTCAGATATTGTGGCGTGAAGAAGGGCAACCTTCGTAGATAAACGGCTCGTGCTCCTATCGTACTTATCACACGCACCATTCACAGCCAACAGAACCGCCACCTAAATGCCAAATGTCTTCAACCGTTTGTTTCTCACGTTTCCACTCAGCCAATCGCTCAGTACAATCGCGTCAGCGAGACATCACGCTTCTCTTCAGGCGCTACGCCACAGTAATTCGGACAACGACATATACTCTTCTTCAGGCTCCATTGCCTCCCCCTGCGGATCGATCCTCTATTCACCAAGTGAGTACTAACGTATTGGTTAATCTTGACAATGTATGGCTGGTCTTTGATTTCGTTCGGAGGATGCTATTGACATTCTTAACTGACTCATTTCAACAGCAACATGCAGGTCTTCATGAGGAACATCTCGTACGCTGCCGATGAACACGATTGTAAAGTCGCCCTTGCCCCACTACTACATAGACCTCCCTTTCCCTCCGACCGTCCCATCAACTTCGACATCCGACTCTTCTCCAAGCGCGGAAATCAGGGGCATACGGGTTGCGGTCTTTTGACTCTCCCCACAGTGGACGTAGCGAATACCTTTCTTCGCACCTACGGAAGAGGTGTCTCTATTCGTTCCCGCGTTGTCGCATTCTGTCCAAGCACAAAACAACCGGACCAAGGGCTGATCAAACGAGTAGCGGATACTGATTGGGTCGACCCGCAAATTCTCCAGGAGAGGCGGAGGCACATGGAGAGTATATCAGGGTCGATATCGCTCTCAAGTTTCTCATTCGGGCGTCTTTGTCACGATGGAACATTTTCCGTCGAACTCGAAGGTTTAGACCATACGAGCCGCATCTCCTGTGATGCCGTCAATCGACAAATACGAATCACTTCCCATATGCCCCAGTCGGATGTGACGGACAGTCTTAGTATTTGGTTTCGAGCATCGCAGGTCGTAGCACTTGCGTGCCCGCCATCTTCGACAAACGACGGTGTCCATCACATTTTCCTCGAAGCTACGCAGCCCCCTGTCTTGGAAGTCCAAAAGACATCACCTCCTCCACAGCGCGTTTCATCGTTCAACGATTCGCCGATCATTCCCGCCACACGTTTCATGCTTCTTTCCTTTGACAACCCAGGCGATATGAACACTTTCCTAGCCCGAGCGAGGAATCTTCACATTCGCCGTCCGCTGGCTTTGGATATACCAATTGCCCAGAAGAAGCTCTACTCACCGTCGTCTCTCGAGCAGATGGACCATTTATTGTCGACATTGCCGTATCGACTAGCCTTCGAGGCCGACAAAGCCATCGCAAGCTCGATTCTGGATCCAGAAGAGCTGCTCGGGCTGGGTCCTGCGATCACACAGCTGCAGGATGACCACAAAGAAGAAGCAGGGCCCATACTTCGCCGGTTCGTTTCGAGCATCCACATACCGTCGCTCACGACGTGGTCACCGACTGTCATCAAAGTCGACAATCGGTCCAGGAAACGACGCAAACGGGGAGGGAGACGCAACAAGAAGAAAAGGCCGCAGGACCCTCCACCCCCCAGCAAAACCCTAGACGATCTCCTGAGGAGCATCACTACAGAGTACCTCGATGAAGTCCAGCTTCCACGAAGACGTTTCGCCATATCGCCTTCCGACGCTATATTCGACTCTTACACATTGGTTCTCACACCCTTGTCCAGGATACTCGAAGGTCCATTGCTCGATCAATCCAATAGCGTTTTGCGACGATTTGGACACCACGACTGCTTCCTTCGTCTGTCATTCCAGGACGAGAATCATACTCCCCTCCGCCGGGATCCAACCTCAGGAACGAGCATTGCGGAGCTTCTGAGAACGAGATTTAGGTCCGTTATGGTCGATGGCATCCGTATCGCCGGAAGATATTTCCAGTTCCTGGGCTACTCAATGAGCGGTTTGAAAGATCATAGTATCATGTTTATGTCAAGTTTCCATGATGAAAGAGGGGAGCTGATGACAGCGGAAGGTATTCGCCGCACTTTGGTCAGCATCTTCGTTAACCTCGATGGCATTATCTCACGGAGGAATTCTATCTGATAGGGTTCCTTCAACCACATATCAAACAAACCTGCCCTCTTGGCCGCTCGCTGGTCGCAAGCCTTTTCTGCATCGGATCCCTCTGTCACTCTTGACCCGAATGAGATACGGAGGATTGATGATAGGCGTTCACCTTCAGGATCACTTTTCACGGATGGTTGTGGCACAATCTCGCCGTTACTCGCGCGGGACGTTTGGAAGTTTTTGCAACACCGCAGGCGACGAGCCGCCAAGATGCGCTCGGTTCCTTCTTGCTTTCAGATTCGCATCGGTGGGGCCAAAGGTGTTTTATTCCAAGACCCCACACTAGCCGGACTCGGACGGGTAGTTTGTCTCCGGCCCTCGCAGACCAAGTTCGAGAATCCTGAGGCACTCACACTTGATATCGCGTCGACCTCAGCACGGCCGATCCGCATGTTCCTCAATCGCCCGCTGATACTCCTCCTCGAATTCCTCGGTGTTCAAGATGATGTGTTCTTATCCTTACAGAAGGACGCCACTGCGGCCGTGGAACGTGCTCGTGATTCATTCACTGACGCAGCGAAGTTATTTTCTCACCACGGCTTTGGGTCGTCTTTTAGACTCGCGTCTTTGTTCAACAACCTTATCTCCGAGCTGAAACTTGACGATAGCGATCTCCAAGAACTAGGCTGCCAATTGATCACCAGAACTGTTGAGTATGCCGCTACACATGTTCTTCGCGAGATCAAGTTTCGAGCCAGGATTCCCGTACATGGCTCTTGGACGCTGCTGGGCGTTTCGGACGAATGGAGCTGTTTACGCGAAGGTGGAGAAGGCTTCTCTCTTGAATCATCAATTTGTCAACTCATATGTTTTCTCGTCTATAGGAGAAATATACGCGACCGTCCGAGACGAACGCACTGGCACTTATGTTCCTATCGAAGGCCGTGTTCTCATCACTCGCAGCCCCCAAATTCATCCCGGAGATGTTCAGTTCGTTAACGCCGTGCGCCACCCCAAACTCGAGCACCTTAACAATGTGGTGGTATTCTCGTGCGAGTGAGGTTTTCTCAATTGTATGATTTTTTCTCATCTAACATGGTTCTCGCTTACTTCTCAGGGGAGATCGCAGTTTACCGTCCATGCTCGGAGGCGGGGATCTGGACGGCGATATATACAACTTGATCCTTAATGTCAGTGTACAGGCAGTCAGTGTTGTGAACATTTTCCTTACTTCTCTTCTCTGCGATTAGCCAAATCTCTTCCCTACACGCACTTCTGTCGCTGGAGCATACGAGCCGCTTCCGCACAAGGTCACCCCTCATCCTTGCACCATAGAGGATATTGCGGATTTCGTCATTGATTATGTATGTACTATTTCAGTCAGTCTTCCCTCAAAGACTTAGACTGACATCGTTATTACCTGGAAGATCGAAGCAGACCTTGTCGGTTACATATCAATCCTTCACCTCCGCATAGCAGATCTTGACCCAAAGGGCCCAAGCTGTGACGAATGTCTGTTGCTTGCTGAGAAGGCATCCCATGCAGTGGATTTCCAGAAGACCGGCACTCCCGTCAACTTCGACAACCTTCCTCGCGCGGGGCGATTAAGGCCTGACTTCCTTGCAGGGGAAGTGGTCGAACCTTCGGCCGAGTCCTCCTTTTATCCCAGTGACAAAGTGCTGGGTGTTCTTTACCGAAACGTTCCCCTGAAGAACGAGGATGCCATACACGAGGAGTCTGTCTTTGGGATAAAGATCTACGAGTCGGTGACTCGGATCGCACGTCGGGCTGAGGTCAGGTTTGGTCTCCCTTCCATCGATGACTATCCGGACGAGCTGCTCGACGAGATGCATGCGACGATGATGGCATACTCGGAGCAGCTGACGGAAATTGCGAAGGCACACACTCAGTCCAGAGTACCGGGAGATTATCTCACAGAACCAGAGCTCGTTAGTGGGACGATACAAGGAAAGTGGCACGATCATCGCAAACGGAGGGAAACTGTCGCTAGCATGGAGCTGCAGGTGAGTCTTTAGACTCGGAGACATAGTGTATCGGCATCTGACCCTCTTCGCCAAAGACGAGGGAACTCTCAAAATCAATACGCCAAGAATTTCGACGACCTCTCCTTATCGACGAGCCTGCACCAGAAAATATTCAAGGCTCTGTAGCAGACACAGAGCAGGATGACGAGGATGATGAAGACGAAGACGATGAGGATGAGCTTTCAGAGATGGATCTGGATACGTACATCCGGGCCTCTGCAGCTTGGCAGGTCGCCAATGATGCTCTCGCGGATGACGTTGAGGCGTTTGGGCCTTCGAGCTTCGGTCTCATTGCATTGGGGGTTATGCTCCAAATCATGAAGAAAGCCCGCAAGCTGTCGCAGTGATTACCTTGATTTACTGTCCATCTTTACTTATCGTGACCGTGTATGTGTTTGTATCGTTCAACAAGTGCTGTGTACCCGAGTATGTAACGCCAGTGTTGGTGTGGTCGTGTAGTCAAATATACAAATCAGAGCATCTCAAAACGGTAGAAAATCCATCATGTTGTAGCAAAATCATATCATTGTAACCAATCCCGGAGCAAATATTGGCGCCATAGCTTCCTCTCTACCCATGTTCATTCTCCTCACTTCTTCCAGAAGAACACGCAGTTCCTGCACGTTCCCCGGTTGCATCGCTCTCTCGTCCTCGCCGCTCTCTTCGTCGCTCTCAGAGTCATAATCATCTCCTTCGTCTTCGTCCATCGGCAGCGTTCCCAGCAAGTCGCCCGTGCAGTCCTCCAACCGAACCCTCTCCTTTCTGCATTGTTCATCCCACCTCCGCCACCTGTCCAAGCCTCCGCCTTCTTCGTCTGGTCCATCATTTCTTTCCAACTCCCTGAGCAGTGTCCGGTTCAACACCCTGATCACTTTCAATTTTGGGAAATTCTTGCGAGTGAGCTGAGCGAACGTCAGATCGTTGGTCCGTTGTATGAGGTACGTCGTTACAGGAGCGAGAGAGGGCGCTTGAGCCCTCGGCAATGACGGACTGAACGCGTGTAAGAGCTGATGTAGCCCAATGTGCGTCAAATGAGGATGAGGCGAGCGGATGAGTTTGGGGTTGGCGTTTGGGTCGTTCGCTTCAGTGTGGAAAGGAAGACGCCAGTCTGGATTGAATGCAAAGTGGGTGAGGAGGGGACAAAGATCGAGGATGGCCGATATGTCGAGGGAAGGTATCGTGTTGAGGTCAAGGAAGGAGATTTGAGTGCCGTGAGCGGTGAGGAACGCCAGGATGTCTGGCAAGTCGTGACGGTTGGCGACAAAATCGAGGGAGAATGATCGTAGCGAGGGTAGAGTCCATTCGCAAGCTTGATCGAGGAACTCTTCGCACATCCCGCGAAGAGAAAGCTGATGCAGGGACGGAAGACCTATGGCTAGATTCGATGCTGCACCTAGACAAAGAGTCTTGTCCTCCGAGTCCGAAGGGTCCGCGGTTGGTTCAAAGTTCAGATAGATGGACTCGAGCTGGGGAAGCGAGTCGAGTGCCCATATAAGGCGAGGCAATATTGCTGAGGTGATCGACCACTGAACCGTACGGAGAGAATTGGAGAACGTGCACAATGCATCGGCGATGGGGATGAAGGACGATGTGATGGGCCAATCGACAGCGAATATTTCGAGATTGGGACATTGCTGGATGATCGAAACAAGCATGCTCTCGATGTCTGTAATGGCCAGGTGGCGGGTGGCGAAGTATCGCATGATATGCAAACGCCTGACGTACCACCCAAGAGATGAGTCTCGATCCAGAGCGGAGCATAATGCTGGAAGTCGTGATGGATCTGAGAGAAACACGCAACGGAAAATGAGGTAAGAGCCAATCTGGTACCATCGCCTACAGGTGAGTAAGATCGACTGAGGAAGGCCCGTGAGTATTCAATCGAGACGATGTAAGAGGTGAAAATCCCTGACCTTCGTGGCCGCATAGTTCTTCATTGGTTTCTGGTAGGCAAAATCGACCGGATTGATCAGAACCCACCCATCCCCTATCTTGTCGGGCTCCCAGTGAGACTCTGTCATGCAGGTCGATAGTGAGACATCGAACAGGTTTGGATCATTGATTGCGAGTTCGAAGATCTGGGTCAGGATTTCCGCAGGAAGGTCCATAATATAGGTTCGTCCTTCAATATCGCTGAGAACTTCTCTGTGTTCAGTATTTTGTATTGTTCGAAGCTGGGGGTCAACCTACAAGCTTATTGAAAAGGTGGAAGTAGATCTCTACAGTCCGCTCTACCGCACCAGATGTCGATCTGACGTTCAAGATATTGACTATTTGGAGCAGTTTCACTATCCAATTACAAACAAAAATTGTATAAGCAAAAGTGATGAGACAAAGTCGAGAAGTGGAAGATATCAAGAGGATACGAGGCATGCAAGTGTAGCATCATCTGCAGCGCAGAAGCAACGGCGATGCAGCGGGCGACGAATAGGCAACCCCGGGAGTAGCTGATCATTGCTCGTAAAAGTGAGGTTTGACAATTTCTCAGTTGTCAGGTAAGACCCCAGCCACGGAACGTAAACTAGGTGGCACCAGTGTTTACTAGACATGACAGGACATCAACAGAACGGTCTGAACAGTTCTAGTCGTGAGGCGACAGCAACATCCATGAAGAATAGTATGAGTAGGCCCGGAACGTTTACACTCACGTTTGTGTTACAAAACCTGTCTGCGAATGCCCAGTGCGACGGTAGATTGGTAACCAGAAGCAGATCTCGGTGAACAGCAGAAGTGAGAACACGTACCCTTCAGAGTATTGGATAAGTACAAGATTAAGAGTAAAGTGATTGTTATCGACAATATCCACAGCTGAGCATGCAGGCGGCAACAACATGTCGAACAGAACGGAACGCGGTCGCGTTTTCTTGCGGAAGTTGGACCGTGACCGCGAGGTAGTCGCGTGATACGTCCAGATTGGGACATATCGTGGCGGCTTTCCGCGCAAATTTGAGCGGTGATCCAGAACCCACTCTTCTGTGAATCTTTTACAAGCACTTCGCCTCTTCTAACTCACTCAAAATTCGTATACGATAGCTGAACAAAATGGCAGCGTACGCTTCATGTCATTCAGTGGCAATGATCGTTTATTAAGAGACTTCCTAACAGAGTACCAAAAACATCATGGGCGGACGATGTGGATGAGCTCGGTCAGCCACTGTGCCTTCATCCAGCCCAAACTATACCTGACCAACTCGCCTCGTTAAACTTGCAGAGCAGCCCAAGGTCGAAGATTTCGTGGATGAGAACGGGATCAGGACAACAATCGAATATGCCATCAACGATGAGGGGAAGAAAGTCAAGGTTCGTCCCGTACTATATCCTTCGATTGATTATCGTTCTAAGGTGTTCCACAGATCACAAAGCGGATAAAGCGCACCCTCCAGAAGTCTTTAGTAGAACACGCTGTCGCTGAACGCAAAACATGGGCGAAGTTTGGGCATGAGAAGGGAAACAAGCCGGGTCCCGATCGCGCCACAACAACTGTAGGCGAAAATGTTACTCTCAAGTTGAGCGCTGGGAACAAGGCGCGTCTGTCATTCATTGTCACGTCCAAATGTTCCTTTATCCTTACACCGATCCTCGCGAAAGTCCTCCGAACCAGAACCCTCCGCAGAGTCCACAGTAAAGCAGAATCTCGCAAAAGCTGGTGCAGGGAAAGTCGTTTGTCGATTGTGTAAAGGCGACCATTTCACCGCAAAATGTCCTTACAAGGACACCCTGGCTGGCCTCGAAGGTGCGTGGGCATACTTTTCTTGATCTCCTCTGTACTCACATCATCGTTTTCAAACACGGTCTTGCAGAGGCTCCCCCTGCTGCAGCCCTCGGCGGCGACGACGATGGCGACTCACCTGCTCCTGCTGCCGCACCATCAGCAGGCGGCCCAAGCAAATATGTTCCACCTTCCATGCGTGCTGGCGCTCGCGGTCCTGGAGAGTCGATGGGCCGACCAGGTGGTGCAGGCAATCGCGACGACCTTCCTACTCTGCGCGTTACCAATATCTCCGAAGATACGCAAGAGAACGACCTCAGGGACTTGTTCGGAACTTTCGGTAGGGTGGCGAGAGTATACGTTGGGAGGGACAGGGAGACGGGTATTGGGAAGGGCTTTGCCTTTGTCAGCTTCGAGGATAAGAGCACGGCGCAGAAAGCTATGGACAAGATGCATGGCAGAGGTTACGACAGTTTGATCTTGAACGTGCAGTGGTCCCGTGAGTCTTACGGTCATTACTTTCTCGTGGTATCGAACTCACTAACGTGGTTAATTCGACAGAGCCGAGAGAGCAGAAGTAAGGTCTGGTTGCTTCTCATTGATATGCGATTTATATGTGTTGTGTGTACTATGCGCTGTACAACACCTCTCGGACGTTATACCAATATAGCGTCGGCTCCTAGCTGCTTTGATCATGGCATTATCCGGCGCAAACGCATTCCAGGAGCCTCCACTATGTCAGCGCACCTGCCGCATTTTAGGCGCTCAGTTGCGGACGCAACGGATCGGCGCGGAAGGAGTCGAGGCCACACAAAATATGCTGCTTTTGATGATGATGTCCAGCTTCACCTCTGTATGCGAGCTATGTGGCAACAATGGTCTATCCGTGCATGTACACATATCCTCCAAGAGGAAAGAATCAAGATTAAGCACTTGCTACGCATATGGAGAGGAGCCCCTCTGGTACAAGAGAGCTGCTCATACGGCCCGCGGATATTCATGACCCAACTTCATTCGTGATCCATCTCCTTCTCATCCCAAGAAAGGTTAGGTACCACCTCCGAGAGTAAATTGACCTGTGACCTCTTGATCTCCGAGGACTGAATGCCCAGACGCTCCAGCGGTGAACCCAACTCTGCGCGTTTCTGTAGACATCTTTGCAACAACACAAACGGCGGCTCCTTCTCCTGTCGCTCATCTTCGCCCTCTCCACCAAAGCCTTCACCACCATGCTCATCTCCTTCTTCGTCTTTCTCTGGCGTCTCAAAGTCGACACAAGTGAAGTCCAAGTCGAGAAGGTGTGGGAACAGACGTGGAAGAGTGTGCGATATTATTTGAGTGGTAGCGCCAACTTGAATCTCGTACTCGCGGCGCATAACTTCCCCCAAAGCCTCGATCAAACTGACGATGGAATTTGGGTACGTCACTTCGAACCTCTTCACGTTGTTGAGGCCGTTATACACCGTAAGCCAATCGTCCGCGTCCATCATCTCGCAGAAATGAGCGCGGACGGTTTCGCAGGCCTCCACACCGGGCAGCGAGTCATGGAAGTCCGCCAGGAACTCGACGCCGCTGTACTCGTCCGGCATGGGGAGTTTGACTCTAAGGTCGATGCGGATCTTGGTACCGTCGATATTGCCCACAGCATGTGCATTGTACACGTTCGGCGTGAAGGGGATGGTTGATAACTTGGTGATTATGGGGTCCGCGGCCCGTTCGAGTTGAGCTCTGAGGACAGGCAGGATGGCGCAGCAGTCTTTGCCTTCGTGGAGGGTGGGGTCGGCGTCCCAGGCGTCTAGGTCGAGATGTAACGATGTGGTGGCGGGATAGGATATGGACCGCATCAAGTGCACGATGTCTAACGCCCGGCCACCGAGTGTGAGGGTGAGAAGATTCGGGAGTGAACAGACACGGGTAATGGATGGTACCGAGGGGGACTGTAACATTGGAAGACAGTACTCCAGCCTGAACGACTCGAGCAACGGCATCGTGTCCAGAATATCCAGGAGTTTGCTCATGAGTGGCGGTGGAGCGGATCCGCGGTCGACACAGAGCTCGAGCCGAATCAAGTTCCTGAACATCGGCGAGTCCCAGTGTATGGTGCAATAATCGAGCACGACACTGTGAAGACGGGGTGTATGTCCTGCGAAGAGCACCGGGGGCATAGGTATCGGCTCGGATCTGTCGAGAGTTTGAGGCCAGAAGTGGATATCCTCCAGCATTGGCGCGGGGTGAACGAGTTTGTGCACTAGTTTTTCAACCTCGTCTGAAGGTCCTGACAGCATCAAGCGACGGATGTGCCATAGATTTTGTGGGACATATTCTTTCACCTCTGGGCCAAGCGTCTCGCCCTTACGGCGGCAGTGGCGCAATACCGTGACGGGCACAACTCTCGCCCTCTCCATCATCTCTCTCGTGCAGTCCGAGCCTAGGTCAAAACATATGTTGTTCCAAAGACGGGGAGTGGTAAGCGCGACCTCGCGGATACGGCGACAGACGTGAAGGACTTTGAACCATCCAAGGGATCGTGTGCCGGCAAAGCCCCATGGCTCGTCGACGTCGGCGAGGCAAACGAGTATGTGGGATATTATCTCGGCGGGCAGCGCACAGAGACGGGATTCTTGATTGAGTTGACTACGGGTGTGGATCTCGTGAGGAGTTTCAGGCAGGCTTTGGTTGATACCTCCAGATTCTGCAGACATGAATGTATTGAGTACTGCGAACGATCCGGATTGAGGGTTATAATCACCATGCTGGGGGGTTCCGACGCACTCTGCGGTGGACATGATTTGCTTGGAGATGGCTCACTGGAAGGGGGGGGAAATAAGCCACAGTGAGATGAAAACGAGATGTGATGGTTCTGCCCCTACCTGCTATGCTACGGCTTTGAGCAATCTTGAGTCGACCGCTTCGACTCGTAACGTAGTAAAGGCTTCCTCTAATTCCAAGAACTCAGGGGCGGAGGACTGAAAAGCCCAGTGTAAACACAAGACGATGGAGTGTTATTAGAATTATGGATAGCAGAATTTATGCGTATGAGCACTGGCAGGATTGGACAGGGGAAAGCAAGTAATGGCAAGAAACAGGTCGGTTTGGCCTCAACAAGTTCACCTTCGCGACGCGACGTTAGCCATGACATCATCAGAACCAAATCGCGCTTGTCACGCCACCGTACGCTGTTTCACTGTGGCGACGCCACACTGGCTTTCGCCCACCACCATACGAAATTGGGACGCTTGATTCGGAGTATGTCTTATAATGAAGTTGTTGTGGACCGATATACACTTGGTCGTACTTTGTGCTGAGATCCTTGGAGCCGAGACACTGTAATTCGATCTTATAAGTTGAGTAGGTCTGTCTACCTCGTCACATCTCACTTTGACAGTCGAGCTATGGTCAAAAGGATGCTCAGAATATTCGAGGAGCTCGTGATAATTGCAATGTACAGATCATTCAGCGGAACAGGAGTTACGAAAGAGACCGAACAGTGTCTGGGGGTATATACCTGAAGGCCTGATGATAACGGCGCCGAGACTATTGTCAGGACCGCTAGCCTGCGTTGTAAAAGCATGGGCTTATCGTGAACTAGAATACCACATAAGTTGGACCATCTAGTAGCATGTTCTCTCCAAAGACTAGAGGCTTCACTCAAAGCGGGGCCAACATTCTCAAGTGCCCTGTATACGTGGTAGGCACACGCACGCATGCAGTAGTGCACGGCCTCCGAATAAAAACCATGGACGAGCACACCAGCGAGCCAAGAACAGCACGGGAGCGACAAGCCCAAGATTGCCTGAGGACTGAGTCACTTTTCTGCTGGCACGCTTCCATACAAGCCCTGTCAGGCAGCTGGACCGAAAGGGGATCTGTACGACAACGATAGATGAGGAAATAATCCTCAGGCTTTGATATTGCTCTAAATAGTACCTGTACGACAACGATAGATGAGGAAATAACTACACAAAGTCAGTACAGTACTAGTGTAGACAGAAAATAGAAAGACTCACTCCTCAGGCTTTGATATTGCTCTGAGGAGAGAGGCAAGACGAAAATGCTCGAAAAGGATAACAGGACCGCTTATGTAAGAGACACGTGTACGTATGGGTCCATATTTGTGCGACGCGCGTTGCGTTCGCTTCTCTCTCTCAACGGTCAACACCCTCCCTCGAACGGAACGCTTCGTCAAGCTTCCTTTTCGCCCGCGACATCTTTCACTATAACAGCCTCCAACTTCGACATTTCCCTGAACTTCTCCAACTTCACCCTTCCCAAAGGTTTGGTGAACATATCGGCAACCATCTCGTCTGTGGGACAGTAGATGATACGCGCGTCGCGCGCCTCGACGATTTGGCGGATGTAGTGGAAGCGGATGTCAATGTGTTTGGTGCGGGCGTGGAACGTCGAGTCTCTGGTAAGTGTGATTGCACCTTGATTGTCACAATAGAGAGTGGTCCCTTCGGCGAGCGGATAGAACTGGAGTTCGTCGACCAGTTTTCGGAGCCAGATCAGCTCCTTGGCCGCGTCCGTGAGTGCGATGTACTCGGATTCCGTGCTCGAGAGCGCGACTACGGGCTGCTTCTTGGACCTCCACGAAATCGGAGACGATCCAAAGAAGAATTCGTAACCGGTGATGGAATGACGGTGAAGTTGGCCGGCCCAGTCGGCATCCGAATAGCCCAAAGGCTCCGCGTCCTCGTCGTTTCCGCCGAGCACGAGTCGGAGTTCGCGCGTACCTTTCAGGTACTTGAAGACACGATGAAGTGCCTTCATGTGAGTCTTGTGCGGTTTCTCGAGGAATTGGGAGAGTGTCGAGACCGCGAAAGTGATGTCGGGTCGAGTGCCCACGGACGCGTACATGAGCGCGCCTATACCTTGACGGTATATGGATTGATCGCGTGAACTGAGGACCTCGCTCGATAACGCGAGGTTACCGTAGCTATAGTCGGCGTTCGGTTCCATCGGCGTGAGCACCGGCGCTGAGTCTTGCAGCCCCATGCGTGCGATAATGTCGGTGATGTAGGCCTGCTGGCCCATGCTGATGGTGTGTCGGATAGGATCACGAACGAGGTGGAATCCCAATAGCCACTTCACAGGTCCAAGGTCTACGAGTTCGAAATGCTGATTGAGTTCCTTGATCAGGTCATCGGCCATCTCGTCTGTGCTGGTAACGATGGTGAAGTCGTCGACCGCCACCGCCACAATAACGTACGTCCCGTCCTCGTTGAACTTGAAGAACACCGCTTCGTCGGACTGACATACGGAGTAGCCTAGGGATTGGAAGGTCGAACGGAGCTTTTGGTACCAGCCGCGCCCAGCCTGTTTCGTTCCATACAGGCATTTCTTCAACTTGAAGACAATCGGTCGTCCGTTCGGGCTGGTTCGCTGGAAACCGGGCCGAAACTCTTCGTAGAGTGGTGGTGGCCTGAGGTAAGCCTCCTCATGGAAATCGGCATTGAGATACGCATTTTTGACATCGGCTTGACGTGCAGATGCGTTCCTCCTTGCGGCAACAGTCAGGATGAGTCGGAGAGTGGAGAGTTTGACGACGGGTGAGGTCGTCTCGAAGTAATCGATATTGAACCGTTGGGTAAATCCTCTCGCGACGATCCTGGACTTCAGCTTACTGATTTCGCCTGTTTCGATAGGTTTACGCCTAAAGACATAGCGGGTGTCGATGACGTTCGCGTCTGGAGGTAGCTCGACAGCCTCCCATGTCCCTTTGCCTTCGATCTGGTCTAGTTCGGCCAAAATCGAATCCCGCCATGCACCTCCTTCCACCGGGTGCGATAGTGCCTCGTAAATGGTCGAGGGGTCGCCGCCGTGGTTCACGACTAACGCAAACTCGGCAGGCAACATAACGTTGTTCGCTACATCCTCCCATTCGACCTCGAAACCCTGCCTACTCAACATCTTCAACCAATCCCCGTCGATAACACCGGCAGCTCCCACTTCGGCAACGGCTTGGCCTTTGTAGAAACCCGGAGCGTTTCGCGCTCGGTGACCGCGCCCGTAGTTTTCGTCTGCGGGAGGTAGCCCATCGGGGAGTCGACGGATAGTAGGTGGAGGTGACGGTTGAGCTGGTGAGCTTGGGTGAGAGGTGAGAGGTGTCGGAGATGGAGATGGATTCGGCGGTGAATTCGCCTTCGGCACCGGGGGACTGTGGATATCGCTGTCATCATCGTACCCTCCCTCGATTGGAACAGTCTCAGGTGCGAGGGCATCATCTTGCGTAGGGTAGACATCGCGTTCGACGCTGACGCGTCGCTTCCCTGCCCAGTAAATTCGTAAGCCCTTCGACTCCTCGTCGTAGCCAATGAAGTGGCCCTCAACAACGCGGGGCTCGAGCTTCTTGGCGTCGAGGTTCTTCACCCAGACTCGGGTGCCCCAGGGTATAAGGCTGCTGAGGTTAGGCTTCTTGCCAGTAGCAACTTCGTGGGGGGTCCGACCGTCTGGGAGAGCTTTCGTCGGGGTGCGGTTACGCAACCAAGCGGCGTGATGTTGGGCCTCCGCCCATAGGAACTTCGGCAGGCCAGACGATGCGAGCATAGCACGCCCGTCGTTGAGGTGCGTACGATTCAGTCGTTCGGCAGGTCCGTTGGACTGAGGGGAGTCATGGACAGTGAGGTGACGGATGGTGCCGCGACGGTCGGTGTGGGCACGAAACTCGTCGCTGGTGAATTCTCCACCACGGTCCGATCCGAGGATCTTGATTCGCGCTTCGCGCTGGACTTCCACCCACGGTTCGTACTTCCCTTTGTAGATCTCGAACGTATCTGACTTCTTCTTCATCGGATAGGTGCGCACTTCGTGGCTGGCGAGGTCGAGGAATTGGACAGAGTAGTTGGCGCCCCCGAGTGAGGTTACTTCGGCGGGGCCCCAGACATCCGTGACGACCTTATCTCCGTAGTTAGTGACACCCTCCCTGGAGCTTTCCTTCGGGAAGGACTTCCGGATGGCCTTAGCCTTGACGCAGATGTCGCACGGCTCGGGTTTGGAGTCGAGGTCGAGGTTGACGCCGAGTATAGCACCGCTGAGGATGCCACTGCGTAGGGTGTCGTGAGAGATATGGTTGGCGGCACGATGAAAGTCGCTGATGGAGATCTTGGTAGACGATAGGGCAGCGGTGTGGATAGATGGGGAGGTTGGAGGGTCCGCGATGCGATAGAGCCCGTTCCGGAGAGGAATGCGGCCTATGACACGGCGTTCGGGTTTGGCAGTGCGAATCACGCATAAGCCACCCTCGATCTGGAACGAGCATCCACGCTGGTCGAGGACACCCATGGATAGCATGGTGTAGGCGGTACCAGGCGCGTAGAGCGCCCCCTTCAGGATGACATAGGTCGGGGGGTTATTCTCGCCCATCGGGAGAGGGATCCGGACGTCGCCTTGGCCGATAGCCTGGAAGGTACGGCCTTCGGAGGATGTGACGGGAACGGGGTCGATGTCGCAGAAGGTGATATAGAGGGATTTGATAGGACAGAAGTGAGAGGTCGCACCAGAGTCGACGATCGTGCCCTGGTAAGTACCCGTCGTGCCAGCGGCTGTCTCTTCCGTTACGATAGTGGCGAGGGAGACATCCTTCTTCGAACCGGTTGCTGATGCCGCTGTTTTCTTCTTCTGCCAGGGTGCTTGACCTTCCTTTGGGCCACCCTTCGAATAGCAGTTCGGCTGATCATGCCCCTCCCTGCCGCAATTCGAGCAGGTCTTCTTCGACTTCGGTTTCCTCCCGCCTCCTCGACCGCCACCACCCCGCTCATTGCTTAACGCGGCATTGTCGTTGGACGGTTCGCCGCCAGCGTTCTTGTCCTTGACTTGACTGTCGTAGTGTTGATAGACGAGGTTGATAGCGAGGTTGATGTCGGTGGGGATTTTAGTCGAGAGGGAAATAGCTTCGAGAGTGCCGAGGGGGAGAGTATAGGAAGAGGGAAGAGCTGTACGAATGTCGGATAGGAAAGTAGCGTTATCGATGGGAGCGCTCATGAGGGCGAGCTGCTCGCGATAATTCTGCATCTTCGTCAGGGTTGTGCGTGGGTTGGCCCCTTCGGGGCAGCGGAGAGCTCGCATTTGGCGAGCGACCTCAATCCTCGCATCGGTACCCTTGTTCTCATAGATCTTCTTGAGTGTAGTCCACATCTTCGCGGCTGTCGGCTCACCCTTGATCTGAATGAGGACCGAGGGGGTTACCGCTGAGTAGACTATCTCCCTTATCGTGGCCTCCTTTGAGGCGTACTCATCCCATTCCTTCTCGACAGCATCCACTTCATCGTCACTGAGTGGAGAGAGCGAACCATCGGCATAATACCATGAGCCATCATCCCTTTGTATGATCTCTTTCGGTTTCTTGGCAGTCCCATTGAGATGTCGCCGAAGCTTGCGACGCTCGAAGGCATTGGTGGCGATATCGATCCAGTTAGGATAATTTGCGCCATCTTCTCTAAGCACTTCGAGGCGAGGGTTAAACTTTGTGAAATCTTCGGTAGACATTGCGAGGGAGCCAGGGCCCATAACCTGTCAGGCAGCTGGACCGAAAGGGGATCTGTACGACAACGATAGATGAGGAAATAATCCTCAGGCTTTGATATTGCTCTAAATAGTACCTGTACGACAACGATAGATGAGGAAATAACTACACAAAGTCAGTACAGTACTAGTGTAGACAGAAAATAGAAAGACTCACTCCTCAGGCTTTGATATTGCTCTGAGGAGAGAGGCAAGACGAAAATGCTCGAAAAGGATAACAGGACCGCTTATGTAAGAGACACGTGTACGTATGGGTCCATATTTGTGCGACGCGCGTTGCGTTCGCTTCTCTCTCTCAACGGTCAACAAGCCCAAGGTCTCGCGTTCTCGTCTCAGTTCGGAGCGGAGGAACTTGCGGAGAACAAGTATTAAAAGTCAGAAGCTCACTGGGTGATAACCAAGCGGTCTCCCATTCTGGACCGAATCGGATCACTTGGAGTTTCTGGTTCGGGACATGCAGCGGACACGGCGCAGGAGAACATTGATCCTGAAGAGGGATGTTTGGATTTCTGTTCGTGTGAAGGGAAAGAGTTGCGTCATCGGGGTTTGTGGTTCACGTCAAGAAAGGAGAAGCGGTGTCTTCAATCGAGTGAAAGGTGACACTGGCGTTGAGATTGGAATGCAGAGAGCCCCAGTGGAACCTGATAAACCTATGACAGAGACCGACCTGAGGGTATAATACAGCCTTTCAGGCCGCATCAGCCTGTCAAACAACTGCCTAGAGCACGAGATGGTAGCAACGCATTGCGCCCGGGCATATATGGTAAGATGAATGAACAGAGACATGACACTGCCAACGAAAGGTGGAGTGCGTGAAAATCGCGCACAATATGCGTCGACTCAGTGATGGGTGGATCGGCAGCTACCAAGTGGACGTACGATGGTGAACAAGCAACGCCGTCGAGATTGTCCCGAGGGTGACGGCCAAAGCTACCAAGGCGAGGCCCACACAGCTCAAAGCGATGTAGTTCAAAAGAGGAGGGGGGGAACACGAGCTTGATCATTACCGACGTGCCACGCCGAGTGTGATCCTCCTGTTATGCAGGTCCATGAAAATGATTGTGTTCCTGTGAAAAGTCATCAATACGGACCAGAACTGGAAAGCTGCCAACCTCAGTTGAAGCAGTGGCTTGCAGAGTCCGAGGCATTGAGTTTGAGAACGGACAAGCTTTGGCACCTTACAGGAGTAAACTGAGGATTGATCGTACGACGATCGGAAAATATCGGAAGGCGAGGAAAGGAGGGCCAAGATAGCGGAAGTTGGCGGGAATCGTGCTGCCAGCTTGAACGGAGGCAAAATAAACGTCGGCGACGAAACACGTGTGAGTAACCGGACGTAGAGATAGCTTCAACGATCTTGCAGAGAGATCGGGCAGCGACGTCGCCGCCGCCGCCCATCGACGCAGCACGGGGATGGTACTCTTACCGACGACAAGTGGTAAGGGGTATGCGAGTCAAAAACAAGGCGATGGGGATAGTTCTGTTGTGAATATGGACACCTGCGGATTTTCCAGAGACAGCATAAGTCTACCCAGAACGAGAGCAAATACGCCATGCAATGTATTTTGCAGGAGTTGTGGCGACCGAGGACCGAGTCAGCCTGAAGAAGACGTTCTGGTGGAGGTCGGTGGTTTAAGAAGATTGATAGATCGTTCCTGGCTGCGAGAAGATGGGGCAAGGCCAGGGACACGGGGTAGAAGCTTGGGGCGAGCTTCCTCGGCTGGCTTGGCTTGACGGACCTCAGTCACCCGCCGCGGCTTGTGTTCTGCGCGGCTCCGACAGTTCAAGAGGGCTTGCTTCCGGAAGTGCATTACCGATAGTTGAGAAAGCGACAGCGGCCGGGTAATAATGCGCGGCGAGGAGAGGGGTCGGACGACGTCGGGGGGAAATCAGGAGAGGACATGATCGGGGTCCTGATGGTTGAACATACATATCGGCCAATCAGAATGCCGTATTCGCTATCTTTCACAGCTTGCAGACCGTCGCTTTGCAATGAATGAACGGAAAGCAGGCGCCGACGGCGGTTTCCAGCCTTCTTATCATGGACGAGCGCACGACCGTCAGCGCTTTTCGTGTTCCCTCCTCTTTTCCTTCTCTCTCCCACGAAGCACCCAACGTCGTTTTCACCGTTGGCGACGAGCAAGAGCCCCTTCTTTAAGTCTTGTTCAACATGGTGAACATCACATACGACGCCTGTAAGTTATCGTTTGCATCCGCTCCCCCGCCCTTTCTCCACCATTATCTTTGTGCACATACCAAGTGCGGAAAGAATTCGCTCGATCTGTCTCGCCCTTGTTAAAGTCTCACAATATTGATATATTTCTTTTTCGTCTAGCCGGCGACCTTAACTGGTACGACGCCTCCTCGGATACCACAGTGGTGTACAACCTGGGAGATATCGCATGGATTATTTCCGCTACCGCACTCGTCTGGATCATGATCCCCGGTGTTGGTTTCTTCTATTCCGGTCTCCTTAGAAGGAAAAATGCCCTCTCCATGATTTGGGCAAGTATGATGACACTTGCAGTCGTATCTTTCGAGGTGCGTATCCTTCTTGCCTTATTCGGAATTCACCGGTCACTCATTTCTTGCGAATATCTTAGTGGTTCTTCTGGGGGTTAGCAGCTTCTTTGTCCCCGCTCAAATGACCGGCAGCTGATCGTATTGTCCTTACAGCTACTCGCTTGCATTCAGCGAGACTGGCAACGCTTACATCGGCGACTTGAAATATTTCGGCTTGAAGGGTGTCCTTGAACAACCCTCCATTGGATCCACTCGCATTCCCGCCATCGCATTCTGCGTCTTCCAGCTCATGTTCGCCGCCATCACCCCCATGCTCGCTCTCGGTGCCATCGCTGAGCGCGCACGACTCGGCCCAACCCTCGTATTCGTATTCGTCTGGTCGACCATCGTATACAACCCTATCGCCTGCTGGACCTGGAACTCCAACGGTTGGTCGTTCGTCATGGGCGGTCTCGACTTTGCCGGCGGAACACCCGTTCACATCTCCTCGGGTACCGCTGCGCTCGCCATCAGTATTTACCTCGGAAAGAGGAGAGGATATGGTACCGACCGCCTCGCGTACAAGCCCCATAACACCACCTACGTCGTCCTCGGCACAGTGTTTCTGTGGTTCGGTTGGTTCGGCTTCAACGGTGGCTCCGCTTTGAGCGCCAACCTCCGTGCCCTCCAGGCTTGCATCGTCACCAACTTGGCCGCCAGTGTCGGTGGATTGACCTGGATGTTCTGGGATTGGAGGTTGGAGCGTAAATGGTCCGCCGTTGGCTTCTGCTCTGGAGCTATCGCTGGCCTTGTTGCTATCACCCCTGGATCTGGTTTCGTCGGTTCTCGTGAGTTTTCACTTTCTGACCGAGTTCTAAATGAATATTTCCTGACGCGGATTTGTATGTGAATTACAGCCGCTGCTGTCCTTTTCGGTGTCCTTGGCGGAACATGCTGCAACTTCGCCACTCAACTCAAGTTCCTCCTGAACTACGACGACTCGCTCGATATCTTCGCCGTCCACACCATTGGCGGTATCGTCGGTAACGTGCGTTTTCACACCTTTCCCTCATATCTTTCCATTCGAGTACTCACGGTCTACATCACCCAGATCCTCACCGGTCTCTTTGCCCAAGCCTCCGTCGCCGGCTTCGATGGCGTCGCCGTAATTCCCGGCGGTTGGCTCGACCACAACTACATCCAGCTCGGATACCAGCTCGCCGACTCCACCTCCGGTCTCGCCTACTCCTTCGTCATGACCACCATCATCCTCTGGATCATGCACTTCATCCCCGGGCTCCGTATGCGCATCGAGTCCGAGGAGGCTGAGATCGTCGGGATGGATGATTATGAGATGGGCGAGTTTGCGTATGATTATGTTGGATTGGAGATGGAGATTGGGCATAGAGATGAGGTGGCGGGTGTTGCGAAGGATAGGGTTAATGCTACGGATGGTGGACGGGAGCCGAGACATCATCATACGGCGCACATTGATGGAACGGGGAGCAGTGCGGAGAGCGAGGCGGAGAAGGCACAGGCTTAGAGCACAGTGACATGGCTTCGATGGCTATAGAGTTTGCAGAGTATATCCCTACTTGCGCTATCTCCCTTCCCCCCCTCATTATTTTTCGCCCACATTTTCATCATCTACGTGTTCGAGTCCGAACATCTATGCATACCACTGCTCCCTTTCTTGCGGGATGACTGACTTCCAGTACCCTCCCTCCTCCCCGTCCTTCCGTCTTCTTTTTACTGTTATAATCCCACCCCTATCGACACTGTTTACTACTGTTCTATTTATCTCGCAGGATTGGGTCCACATGTGTATCGTTTGAGCGTTGAGTCGTTTAATGAAAATTCCCGAAGTTTTAAACCCTCTGAACGGCATGATGAGCTCGAAAGACGGCGTTTGTCCATGCTCTTCCAAGAGTTGTTCGTACGCGAATCAAAGCGAATTCCTTTGACTTGCTTCCTGTATTTCAGAGTTTGCGCATTGAACGGCAGAATCTGGGTGGAACAAACTCTTTACTCATATCATTTGAAATTGGACTAAGTGGCGAGGACGTCTTATGCGGTTTTTCTACAGCAATGTTGCTTCTTCGCCGAGAATCGGACTCCATGCCATAGGTATTGCGCAATGCGAAGGAATTATGAGCATGTCTGCTGTTGATAACACCCGGTGACATTCAAAGTCCATAACCCAATTTGTTATATGAGCGGCGAGTAAGGTAATCTACAGGGGACGAAGAGTAGCCGCTAGTAGTCGAGATACAAAGAGTACAGTATATACACTAAACAATCCTTTATGCAAAACAATTCACAGCGAATAAGTTACTTCAAAACACATTCCCAACAAGATGCTCAACCAAACTTTATATCTCCTCGTCCGTCAACGCGATCTCTAAAGCAGTCAGCACATCCCTGACTAGATCCTCACCCTCCTCAATCCCAACACTCAACCTGATCAAGTCTTCACCAATCCCAAGCCTCGTCCTGTCCGCCTCGGGAATAGACCCGTGTGTCATCTGCGCGGGCAGCTCCGCAAGACTCTCAACGCCACCGAGGGATTCAGCGAGCGTGAAGAGACGCGTAGCTTTGAGGAAACGTTGGGATTCGCGGAGGCCGCCCAGGATGCGGAAGGAGATCATGCCGCCGTACGGGAATGAGCCGTCGTATGCCGACTCGCCGTCCAAGTCGAGCGAGGCCTTCTCGGAGGAGAGGTAAGATTCGACGAAACGAGAGGCGTGCGGCGAGAGGGAAGAACGAGCGAGGGCGTTACGTGGATGTGAGACGAGTCCGGGGTAGATCACTTCCTTCACTAGCGGACTCTTCTCCAACGCTCTCGCCACCATCAGTGCGTTTCTTCCGTGCTCCTTCATGCGCACATGCAAAGTCTTGGCGCCACGCTGAGCGAGCCAGCAGTCGTGTGGGCTGGGGATGGCGCCAATGGCGTTTTGGAGGAAGGCGAGGCGGGAATGGAGTTCGGTGTGATGCGCTGGGAGGATGAGGGCACCCATTACGACGTCGGAGTGGCCGTTGACGTATTTGGTGAGGGAGTGTAAGACGATATCGGCGCCTAGGAGGAGGGGCGAGGAGTAGAACGGTGAGAGGAAGGTGTTATCGACGAGAACAAGGGGGTTGGACGGGTGTGAGCGAGCGATGGAGGTGATACGGGGGATGTCGATCAGGCGCAATGTGGGGTTAGTCGGTGATTCAATCCAGATCAACTATAGCATTCGGAATACAAACGATGGAATTCGGTATGAGCATGAGATGTGGGTAGGAGTCAAAAGGGGGTTTGCGGCTGACCTTGGTGTTCTCCTGGATAGCGTCGCGGATGGCTTCCTCGCTCGCGGTTTCGAGATCGACGAATGTTGTCTGGACACCCTGGTTTGCTTGCGCTACCTTAGACAGGTAGCGATATGTACCACCGTAGACGTCATTCACGCTAACGACGTGCGAGTTCGGGCCAAGAGCGCTGATCATAGTGGCGGTCGTGGCAGAACCAGATGCGAATGCAAGGGCATGCGCTCCGCCGGATTCCAACGATGCAAGGGTCTTCTCAAGGGCATTGCGGTTTGGGTTGCCAGAACGGGAGTATTCAAAGCCCTATGGAGAACGGTAATGAAGTCAGCTTCAGGTAAGTTCACGGGTCGTAAAACTGGTCTGATGAATTCGGAATGCTTTAGGTTCGGGTAGTCATCCTTCGATTAAGAATGTGGGAGCATAGAGACCCCCAAGGCTCGACACATAGATAACGCATGACAAGGATGCCGAGATGCGGAGCTTAACACTCCCATATTCACTGGTCTTCCAAAAACTGAAGCACTGAATCGGCATTTATGTACCACTGTGTGGACCACATTGGACGTAAGAGAAAGCGCTGGAGCATCCGAGCTGTTCACACATCTATACGCACAACTGAATGAATGGGAGACAGGATTCTCCGGGGGTAGCACCCATGCCCCGAAAATGGAGCGAGAGATATGTAGGACTCGTTGCCACAATCTCGAAAAGCTCACCTTGTGGTTGCCGACGCCGTCCTGAGCGTACGTCGTGCTCAGAGAGAGGGCAGGGATGACCGCGCCAGTGGAGGGATCTGGCTCCGAGCCGACATGGATGGCACGAGTGCCAAAGCCATCGACGTCCTTTTGGTGAATCTTCTTCAAAGAGGTCTTGCCGTTGGTATGCCCGTTAGTGTAGGCAGAATTATCGAGTTCGACGACCATGGGGGACATCTGATGGTGGATGACAGTGGCAGGGTGGTGTATGGGGAAAGAGGAGGGGTAATGAGGAGTGTTCGACAGGTAGTGCCATTTTATATGCAGAAGAGAACGGCAAGGAGTAATTCAGCCAGCGGACAAAGTGGCGATATAATGACGCCACCTGCTGACTCAGCTCAAACATAACTCAGCGGGAGGTTCGGGAAGCCCGACCGCCAGGCGCGACTCGGACACCGTCCAACTGATTCATCAGTAGCATCCAAAGCCCGGCCGTGTATTCAAACGTTCACAGCAAGTCCATCGACGTTGATGTTGACTCACCACATTCGTTTCTTCTTCGTCATCTCCGTCGTGGGCAGCGAGCACGCCTTCGCTTTCGGATCATCCAGGCGCCTTTACCCTGTCCTCCATTCGAAGGACTCGAAATGACACGGCGAAAGACTACGGTCTCCATTATTTCCTGGACCATCGGTTTCTCTTTCAGCATGTCCTGGTTGGCTCTTGGTCTTGGCTGCATTTTATACCACGCTCGTCGCTCCTGACAGGGATGACCGTGTGATTGAGCTGTCATTTGCATCCTCCTCGTCTTCATTCTTTCATCAACCACTCACCTGTTATTTATCCGGACCATGCCTCGTTAACAGTCATCAAGACGCTAGATCGTGGCAGTCTGGGTGCGATATGATGCGTGGTAGCATAGAGAAGACCATCTTGCGTCCACTACATAGGCTATTCTGGGTACGCTCATCGCCTTGACCTTCATCCTATCGTAAGTTCCTAATCCGCGGGGATAGTTCGAGGATGTTTCCGCAAAGTTCATGAAGCGGCTCACGTACATGCTGATGGAACCTCGGTGCTTTGGGATATATGTAGGCCGCTACTGTATATCTTCACCGCAAGGCATCATACGCACGCCAGAGTGAGCGGGAGCGACCCCAAGCCTGTTGTTGGCCTATGTTTGACCCAGTGCGCGCCTGTTGTAAGGATAAATATAGCCTTGCTCTTTCGCTATTGAAATATTGACCGGTTGATGATCGATAATATTTACAGTAGTCGTTGCGAAATATGAAAGGGACTCGCGACCGCTGACTTATATAGGCCGCGCATTCTGGACGAATTGCGGCTTTTAAATCCTCGATCCTGGTCTCGCATCGTCTCTCGGCGTCCATAGATAATGGTCTCGGCCTTGCCTGACTTACTTGGTGGCGAGGAGCCAAGGCATTGGAAGTCGTTGGAACTTCCAATGGAGGAACGACTGGGTTGTCGGAAAGCTGGATGTTTACCGCAACTTGCGCTGTGCGCAACGTGCATTTTGTTGCGACCGCGACTGCTACGTGGTTCTTCCACGACCTGCGCGGCAGCTTGTCGATCTAAATTAACTGGACACATTATTATATACATACGTGCATGCATAGAATCAGCCATATCATATGTAAGCGAGTCAACAGGACTGGCTTCGATTGAAGCGAAAATATAACACTGTGCGACGGGATAATCTCACAGCCCTACGAGTCGAGCATTCCAGTCTTGAGAAGAAGGGACACGACGTTAGGAAACATGAACAATCTCAGCCGACGACGGACATATAGGCAGGTCGAACGCCGGTGACAGACTTTTTGAAGAAAGGCGGACGCACGCTTCACGATACACTCAAATCGTTGAAGAACAGCTGTAGAACCTTGGCCCCGTGTTTTGGGCGGTCATCCTCGCTGGAGGTGCGAGCAGAGGACTGTCCAGACTTGCTTTGCGATTTCGAGCCCTCCTTCATGACATCCAACAAGATAGTCTCCAGCTTTGCCTCTAACTCTCTTAGGAACTCGATTGGAACTCCAACAGAAGGAGGATACCAAGGAAAGATGGTCGAGTGACTGCCCAAAAGGACGATATCGGGAGGAGCGTCACCCGATGATCGAGCATGCAAGCCGTCGTCAGGGTGCCAGTAGCGGTATAGCTGCCAGCAGCACCAGCAGCACTTCTTGCTAGTGGCAATCGGGGTCTGGCTACCACGAGGACGGTCAGAGAGTGAAACAGAAATCAAAGGACCAGTTAAACGGACTTGGAATACGTCCAAGAGCACTTTCCGACCCTCCTCGGTCATATCCAACTTGTTTTGGGACTCCTTCGCGACGCCTGGTGACCAGAAGGCATGAGCAAGAGCCATCATGAGTGTTTCAACATGCACCGTCGCATTCTTCACGGCCTTGGGCTTCAACCTGAAATCGCGTTCAAGAAGCGCTGCCGCCGCATCCTTCGATCCTTGCAAGCCAGGGTGTTCAAGGATCCTGATTTTGAATTTGGCGATAGCTGTGTCGAGGTCTGGGATGGTGGGATGGGGGATAGAAACAAGATGGGCATGTATAGGGGACGGGGGAGGTCGGTGGGCAAGAGATTCCGCGGCTGCAGTCCATGCAACGATTGTCCTCAAATAGCGAACGATGGGGCCGCGTGACCCGGACGGGTCGGGCGTGCGATCTTCAACGAACACTAAGGATCGGGATAAATATCCAGAATCAGAAACCTAAACATAAACCCAGTCATGGTACGGCCAAATCAAGATTACCATCATCATCTTCGTCGTCGGTTTCCTGTGCTTCCTCCGGATTCTCTCCACCGCCTGGCTCCGCAAGTCCTATGTTCAAACCTAAAATATGCGACTGCCTCTTCACCATTTTCTCTGCAAGCGATTCATCCGATAGCAGAAAGTCGATGATTCGGCACCTCAACAAGTGATGGAACAAAAACAAATGCAGAGAGGCACGCAGCGCCTCCTGCTCTCCTAGCGCGTCTTTGTATCGCCTATTCGAAATCAATTCGTCCTTCAGGTGGGAGAAGGTATCCGTGAGTGCTTTGACCCATTGGCCGACGTTGTCGCGAGTGACTTCAAAGGACGCTGATCTGGAGTCACTGGCAGTCGTAGATGGCATCCGTGGGACGGGTTGAATGCCGTATTCTGCTTCAAGCCACCCCACGATAGCATTAGCGACTTGCAGCGTCCTGGGGAACAAAAGTCGGTCGCGTAGTTCTGAGAGGGGATAGGCGGCGAGAGCATCCATAGGATGCGTCGTCCAGAGACTGTTGCCCTTGAGAATGCGGCCAGCAATCTTGACGTGGCAGTGGTTGACGGCGTATCGGTGGAATAGGTTTTCTCGGAGTACGGCGGACTCAAGGTCGGGATTGTCTTTGCGAAGTGTATCGATGATCGCGAAAACGTTCTTGGAATGCGAGGCGAGGCTGACATGGACGAAGAAAAAGTAAATTAAATAATCAGCTGGTCGCTTCTCCAGTAGACTCGGATCGCCAGAAGCGACAAAATAAAATGCGGGACGATGAGGACGCACTCCCTTGTGGCCCATCCCTTGAGGATTTCGTCACCACCTATGCTCTCGTCCGGTCCCAGCGACTTTAGCTCGGTCTTCGGCAGAGAAGTGCTGCTATTCGCGTTTTGAGAGACTAGAACGAGCGAGTTGGTTGCGTCGCGCTGGACGTTGGCGGTAACAGCGACTACATGAGAGGCGTAAGGATCCTTCATCGGTGTCCCGGCTGCCAAAAGTGTCGTGATGTGCTGCAGAACACGAAATGCTTCGCCAGTGTTTGTCTTGTTAGCTACCGGATCATCTGGGTGGTGTCGCTGCAAAATGGTAGTAGCGAGGGCTATGAAAGTGGGGAGGTTCCTTGTCCTCAGGCTTCTTTTGCGGGTCTTCTCTGGGAGGTTTTGTATCAACCGTCTTCGCCGATGTTATCAGAAGTGAAAAATCGATATTCAGAGTCGAGACTCACTTTGGCAACGAGGTCACTAAGAGCTAAAGGTCGGTCTGGCGGCTCGAAGACGAAACAAGGAGCATTGGTCTATAGTACTTGGGCTATACTCGGACGCGACGCTGTGGTGTAAATCTTGGCCCGAAGGGACCCCCCACTCAATAACTTACAGAGTGATCCTCGCACTTGCCTCGCACCCGCCGGTTGAACGCCGTCTGCTTAAGGAGGTTATGACTAAGCATCCTCGGCAATCTCCAGATCAAAACGCCACTCTCTTCAAGTTCCGCCACGCATCCGGGCTTTCTTCTCGACACCCCAAAGGCAGAGCAGCTTTCGTTCAACCGTCGTGCGTCTGATCCTCATCGCAGCTCTTCCTTATTCCACGCATCTCCTACGATAAAATGGCACAAAATCGTTTTTGTTGAACCAGGTTTACTGGTTTCTTCAATCCATGCTCTATTGTCGGAGCGCGAGGCTCATTGTCGACCGCCTGACAGCTCCAGTCTCGCTCTCTCTCCATCGACCACCCTCCTTACCGTATTCTATCTTCATCGCCTGTTGGCTATCCCTTCGCACATTGTCTTTCATGGCGCATCCTCGTAGCGAAGACCTGTTCGAATATACCGCAGGGCATTGGCTGTCAGTCTCATGTGTGTTGTTCTGCGTGGCCTATGTCTAGCTCATAATTGAATCTATCCAGTGTCAACGATGCGCATCGCCGCGAAGCGCTCAGACTACAGTTCGATGTCGGCGAACTATGTCGACTTGCAGCAGAGTCCGTCGGTCGATGCTCTGACGGTGTCCGCCTGGAAATTGGACCTAAGCGAACGCCGAGCAGTGTGTCCGATTGCAATTCCACACGCCTCTTGACAACTATGGATCATGAAAGAGAAGCGAGAGGGACTCACGTCTACCGCCGCAAAGCAATAGTGCACCCGGCTCCTTTCTCTCGTCAAGTGTAGCGTCTGGGTCTGCAAATTTGGCTAAGATATCACCCCCTCTTTCACACTGAGTCCCTCTCTATCGCTCTCCGAACCACTGTCACTCTCCTCATCGTCCTCATCCATCCCATCCTCCACCAGCGAAGCACTCCCATTCTCAGTACCGAGGGCCGCGCCGTCGTTATCGTGCGCTTGTTGAGACACGCTAGTTGACTAGATGGCCAGCCGGAGTGGCAGGAAGAGGAGGTGTGGCCGAAAAGTCAGTCCTACCGAACTTACGCCTACTTACGCAGTCGTTCCGTAAACATCGGAGGGCGGTAATATATCAACGTTATGATCAGTGAGAGTGCAGTCAACATTCTGTGATACATTCTATGGTATCATTCATAGCTCTCTTTTCGCACCGCTTTGTGCCTCTCAATCCCGGCATTTCTCCCATTCTGGGCTCTGCCTGTAAGAACATTACTATCGCCAGATGTCGTCAATCCTGCGATACCTTGACCTAGACCCTCCGGATCACACTCGGGACCTTGAAACTGGACGAAGTCGTCTACAGTAAGTATGATGGCATCTCTCTATCGCGACCAAGATAATGTGCGCCACATAGGGGCTCTTGCTACCAAAAATGTCGGTGGCCAAGTGAATGCATTTTACTGGGTTCAGTCGACTCTGAAATACGGCTACACTTGTGATGTATGGACCAAGCCTGGAGCCAGTTCAGTTTATAGAGCATCGCTGCCTCAGTAAGGGTAGTCTGTCGCAGGCTTCTCGTCCTCGCTCTTCAACAGCCCCTGTTCGACCTGCTTTCTGTGACACTCGTCGAAATACGGCAAGACCCACTTCTGCCAGGTAGCCCGTGTCTTATACCTGTAGTGGAAATCGTCAGCGCACGCCACAATTGTCGCCCTACCACACCGCCAACGTTCAAGAGTATGGGGGAAGTCCAAGGGCAGACATACCCAGCGACATCATCGGGCCAACTCCTGATAGCACTCGCCGCCCTCCCAGGTACTCCTACCTCCTTGACCAATTCCTCAGCGGGAACGACATACGTCCGAATCGTGAACACAACAGCCCCCGTCTTCGGCAATCTCCTCAACGACTGCCTCTCCATCCTCAGCCTCATCATCGCCGGGTTCACCTTCACTTCACCCGTAGCAGCATCGGTCGAATCATCATCCTCCACATCTGGTCTTGAGAGCCTGAGCGCTCCGAGACCTGCGCCGCCCACGAATTCTTGTTCGTTTCCGACGGTCGTTTCTGCCCAGCCGAGCTCGTTGGGGTCGAGGGGTTCGACGGGGTGGGAGGGGTCGGCGACAATTTTGAAGAAGTAGTTGTTTCGTTGGACAAGTTTGTTAACAGGGAGACGGAGGAAGAAGCGGTTCATCGATGTTTGAAGCTTTTGAGGATCTGGAGGCGTAACGTTGGTCGATATTTGGTTAGAAATAGGCCAGAAACAGCAAAGGAGACATGGGAGATCTTGTGACTTACATTGAGGGACATTTCCGTGGAAGTGAATCTCATCTAGAGACATTCCGATCTTGTCCTCGAGCCTCCAAAATCCTATTGCGCGAATCAGAGTCAATAAACCGTGGGTAGAGGATTTGTCGATGGCGGTATACATACCAGCCGTAACGATAGCGCCTGCACGGAGGTAGTACATGTCGTTGGGGCCTGTGGTAGTAGATATCGTGAGTGATAGGTCAGATACAGGCTCGTAGAGGTCAAACTACCTTTGATCATCAATGCCAAGTCATCCTGGACCCTATACATCGGGAGAAAAAAGTATCGGGTAAGTGACCATTTTGATAAGTTGAACGTAGAATGGAGAACGTACAGCAAGCCAGAAACCGTCATGGGATCGTCAACATCTAAGTCGTATGTCGTGTTCACAGGAAGAATCGTGATCGTGTGTATCCTCCCTTCGCCGTACCATCCTCCCTCGCCTCCCTTTTCCAAGGAATGACGCGTGACGCTGAATGTCTTGGGATAGCGTCGGGAGAGGTATTCTGAGAGTTCGTACACCAGCTCTCGGGCTATTGTTTTCTTGTCAGTAAACCGCTGTAGGGCGGTCATCTATAGGGATGAACGCACCAGCATCGGCGCCTGAGGCAGCATAGTCGGGATCGGCTGGAAGAGTCTTGACGAGTTGGCTACCCAGCTTTTTGATGCGGTGATCACGTATTCTGTGATATTGTTCGTATTGATTGTCCAACTATGGCCCACGATGAACCATACCCATGAGCATGAAAAGGTCCACATATAGGGGGAACGTTGAGAATTACCTCCACCCAGGATCCGAAAGAGATGTTCTTGATACCCATGGTTACACTACAAATAGGTCATAAAGGTTCAATTTACAACCAACGACTGTGAGAAATGGAGAACGTACTGGAAGTCGCCCCACCGGAACGGACGATAGGGCACAGGTTTGATGTCCTCTACACCGTCAGGACAAGGATCGAACCTAGGGAACTCGAACTCCTTCTCACCACCTGGCGCTAGTAATATCAGAACCGTCGTCAGCACACTTCGTCCTGCACCTACAATGACGTACTAAGGGTGCTCACCGGACGACGTGTTCGCCTTTGTAGATGCCTGTGTCTTTCTTAGCTGCCTCCATGCCAAAGACCCGGCAACACCGACCGCACATAGACATATAAGAGAGGCAGTAGGCAAGTCAAGCGTGGTAGTGTTGAAGTTCGTGATGGCCATGCTCAGAGAAGTGACGGTAGAGGAAGACTCAAGTAGGGAAGAGCTCGAGCAGAGTGCCGGCGCTGTCAATGCGAGTCTCACGATTGGCACGAGCAGAGGACGAGGAGAACGGGAACAGAGGAGGATGGCTAAGAAGAGGGTCTATCTCAAGTACAATACATTGAGTACAACTCTTACGCCATGGCCAAACCGCCTCATGTAGAATGTCGTGTTCTGCTGTAGAGAGAGAACCCGTGAGATAAGATAAACCACGCATCATAGGTTCGGAAGGCCGCGTGACGGCGGCGGCTCGAACAAGCTCGAATGCAAACCAACAAGAAGCGGCGAAATTCTTGTAAGATGATTCGAGGAGCCGGGAGAAGGCTGAGCAGGAGCGTATTTGGCAGTATGGTGGGGAGGTACAAGTGGATCGTGGGGAACGTGGGTCAGTCGCTGTTGTCTCGCTCCGTTTCGTGCGGTCTGGAATTTGACCAGGCTTGTAAGAAGCTGAGAGAAGTCGTATGGACAAGACGGACTGCCGAGGTAGCGTATACTGGGGTTCCGTAGTAGCTTGGGTAGGCGATCATTGAGAAACCTCGTATCTGACAAACTCGGCGGCGGCGTCACTTGAACTTCAAGTCATGAAGTGAGGGTAAATGATTGATCGGGGGACGCATAACAATTCCTCCCTTGTTTGTCTATAGCGAGGTAGAGAGCAGCCGGATGTTAGCTGTGAACAACAGCAGAGATGAACTTCAAACGACTCGGAAGGGGTACGAAGCGTTGAAGTCGGCTCGTTCCAGGTGCCACAGAGTTCTTTTTGAAATATTCATTGTGGCGTTACGGTTCTTGTCCACCATTTATCTCACATTTCCGACGTTCGCCAGTCAAAGGAGCACAGTTCAGACAATCACCAGTGATTTCAAGGGCCAGAAAAGAATTCTGGTCCACCGCTGTCAGTCTTCGCAAAAGGCTCCTCGTTTATAGACTCGGTGAAAGGAGGCAGTCTTCAGCATGTTGTTTGTCGCGCAATCCAAACGGCATAGCGTGAAGAGCACTCGTGATCAAATCTTCCGTGAGATACCTTGGACAGTGATCATACAAACGATGTGTACAGGATCCCGAATGCCCCAACAACCCTAGTTTACCCCGGTACGTCTCGTAAAAAATCATGCATTCACCACAACAGTTGGCGGTTGCTCGTGGACCATCATCTGAGCCTCGGACTCGGTAGGCTGACTCAAGGTTGTCTGCGCGTTTGGAATGGGACGTCCTTTCACGAGTTCCCTAAAGTCTGTGACTCGGTCGAGGTCTTCTTCCCTATAGAAAATAATATGAGTCGTTAAGCATAGGTCAATATGTGGTTGCAGGAATATGAATGCGAGACGTACTTGATGAGACCTCTTTCGAGCTGAGACTGTGTCATCTCTCGCAGATAGGGCATCATGCGGTCGCGATAGACATCGTCGAGTTTGTGCTGTGATTTTCCGAGGTGTTAGCATGATACGTGGGAAGTCACAGCGGAGAATTCGGAATTGTGGACATGTAATGGCACGATCGATACGAGGATAGAGTGAGGCAATGAACTTCACATACGTGCATAAGGTCCTTGTCAGCTTCAAGATGGATCTTCGCGAGGAGGGAGGGAACAAGGGGACTGTCTGCAAGATCCTCGAGTCGCTTCATCATCACATGTCTGTTCATCAGAAAGTAGCGTGGATGATGGAAAATGTCAGCAGACGAAGAGGTTCAAGGGTCGACCGTGTTACTTACACGCCGAATGCAATGCCTTTAGAGCGAGGAAGTTTTCGGAAAGTTTGATGGTCCATCCGAAGCCAGATGTCCTTCGGCTGGAGGCCGTCTGGAAGTGCGTTGGTGGTGACCATATTATCTGTATGGTACGGTGTTTTGAGTGGGGATAAATGCAAATATGATGCAGAAAATCTTACGCCAGAATAGATTTCGGTCATCGACCATGGTCCAGCTAGTACGCTCGAAAGACTCGTGCGGTCCAAACCGTTTCAGAGTACGCTCAACGCTCTTTAGGATCTTCTCGTTGAAGTGGGGTACTCCACGATGTATCTGGACCGTATATTGAACAAACCGACGCGATGACAAAAATCTAGGGACACACTGACCACCTCGAGCGGTTGACCGATGTAGTTGGAGAGAAGATAGAATCCTGTGACAGAATTTTGAGCGAATTATTCACGGAGTTATTAAAATGATCTGAACGCATACCTGGGAAGGCAACGAGACCACCAGAGAAATATATATGGCCATCGGGGCCCTCTCGACCCATCAAGAAATCATCTTGGACGAGTCTTGATACGATGAGAAGGGCATCCACCCCAGACTTGCCCGTAATATCTGGGATCTTCTCGTTCGTGACCTTGTTCCATATGCCATTCGGGGAGAGACTCTCAAAGAGTGTCGGGTAACGCTTAGGTAGATAGTCAACTAGAAGCTCGAGAATTTCCGCGCATGCGTCGTCGTTTTCCGGGAGCGAGTCGACCACGACCTTTCCTGCAGGGCCACGAAGCGTAACGAATCAGCTATGTAATGACCGTATGTGACGTAATAGTACGGACCCTGCTCTTTGATGACACGCTGTTTCTCCTCGATGTACCAAGGTAAGTCCTTGTCAATTTCTATCCAGTCGTTGATGTTCATGGGCTGATGGGCCATAGTCTGTACACAGCAGCCTTTGATTACTCCTGCGACATATCTGACCAAAGTGTGTCCAAACGCACCTGAAAATAGGGAAAGCGTAATGTCTTGTTGACGTAGATGTGGTTCCGTGTGTGGGCAGTCGCGAGATCGAAGTCGTACAGAGGATCAGGATCCGGATGCTCCAGGGGCTTCTTCGTCTCTTTTGGCTCGTCCGTAGTTTCCACGCGAGGGGCACGAGACGCCCATCGTCGAGAGACAGCAAAACCAGCTCCAAGCAAGCAAGCAGCTCCAAGGGCGAGCTCAGGTGTAGAGAAGGTCATGGTTGAAGATCGGAGGGGTGAAGGATCAAGATCGGCATTCAATATATGTAGGTGCGCGAAGGAGACAAACAAGGCAACATGGCTTCGCTACCAATCTTATAGATAAGAAAGGCGAGAAGCATAGAATTTCCCGCCGGCGAACGAAATCCTACACTGGTATTGACTTGGCGTATTACCGAGTCCTTGCTGGCACCAAGATCATATTTGTGCCATGCGAAGGAGAGCCAGCGTATTTTGTTTGTCAAATGGACAAGAAGATAGAGGAAAGGTATGTATTCGATTGGAGAAGAGGGAAACACTAGCAGATGTGGCAGAAAGCCCCATATGGTGTACAACACCGTAGAGGGACTCGGACGCCCGATACGTAATTTCCTTTATTACCTAATTGACATTTTGAACTCCGCGAGCATCCACGATCATTGTGGCCTCCCTCTGCGTCCTGTCAGCTCGGTATCTGCATTTTTCTATGATAACAGCCGTACTCCTTCTTATTCAGCTGCACTTGTGTGCCGTTCTCTATCTCACGCGACAGGGCTATCTGCTGTCCTCCCGTACCCTCCCGCACGCATGCCATGCTCATAGCCCCACATTGGATGCTCACCCACCCTTTCTCCTTCGCCTCCGTAATCGAGGTCATCTGTCGGAAGATTACGGAAAATTCTCTCACATGAGAAGGACATGGGGTGGTTCTTCTGACCAGAGCCAGGCGTTCATCACACAAGAGGGCCCCAAAGGAGAGCTTTGCCCGGGCGTTTGACTATTAAGGGTGGACCATCACTGGGTCATACAACTCTAAACAGACCTCAGAATACCCATAATGCGTAAGTCTCCACAGAGTATAATCACGCATCATCAGGGGCGGTCGCTATTGTACTCTGTCGCGTTGGGTGTCTCAATTATCTTGCCTGCGAAGCTCCATTTTCACACCCGTACCTCGCCGCAACCACATTCCTCGAATGTCTACATAGATCACCGTATCCCGGGATCACTCGCTTGTGTTAGGATAGGGGCAAAAAAGAGCCTGGAGTTCTCCTTTATCTCAAGTTTTCTCTTATATCCCCGCATTCTGATTTGCCATATGTCAGGGGCCGTCGGCCAATGCCTCTGGGGCCTTTACCGTTCGTGTTTGGAGCAACGGACGTCCGCGCTTGTGCTTTGACAATTCTGCGCAACTATCTCCTGGACCACGAACTCTGCCCGGTGGCGATCGACCTCGATAAGAAGGTCGAGCTAGCGCTCTACATTCTCTGGCTTTCTTGAACAGCGTGTATATAACGTGTCCTCCTGGTGCTCTCCCTTATACCTCTTCGCTACCTCTCGCCTTGTTACCCCAAGTCTTCTTCTCATCCTCCGTTGAGCCATCATGCCCGTCTCCGTCGAAACCCAAAGTATGAATGTATCCCATTATCCGAGTCTCCCGATCCGCTAACAGTGTTTTATGTCTTCAGACGAGAACGTCAACCTCCCATCTTCTTGGTATCGCTCCGACGCTATCTATCAGCTCGAGCGCCGCGCCATTTTCTCCAAGAAGTGGCTTTTCTTATGTCACACCAACGTGCGCTCTTCCCTATCTTTCTGCGCGTCCAATTTTCATCTGCACCTGCGTTATGGCTCACATCATTTACCTTGGGTATCTGCATCGCTTAGCGATTCACGAAGACGGGCGAGTATATTAAGTTCGCCTTTGCCGGGTACAACATCTTCGCGATCAAAGACCGCGAAGGACAAATTAACGCCTTCCACAACGTTTGTCGCCACCGTGCGTTCCCCGTCGTGGGAACAAACGCAAAGCGTATCAAGGAGGTCAGTACTTGCGGCGTCCTCTCAGCGTATGTGACATTCTGACATGACTTCGTATGATCTCTCCATTCCAGAACCTGCCCGATCCGCTGACCGAGTCTGGTCAAGTGGCCGTCTTGCATTGCAAGTTCCATGGCTGGAGGCAAGCCTACTTCCAGAGCGTCTTGACCAGCTGATCTAACTCCGCTACTTGTGTCTTAGCTACACCATGAAGGGTGACCTTGCCAAAGCACCCGGATTTGACGAAGTCGAGAACTTTGACCCTAAGAAGAACAGTCTCTTCGGCATCAGGACACACATCGACCAACTCGGATACCTCTACGTCAACCTGGACACGTAGGTTTTCGGTCTTGAATCTCCGGAGGGTGTCGATAGCCTACTTACAGCCTTGGTCAGGTCCGAGGACTACATCAAATGGGAAGAGCAATTTGGCGACGTCGATAGCCAGCCTCGAGTTCAAGGTTTCGACACGAGCAAGTACAAGTATGCCTTCAGCTGGTCATTCGAGAACTGTGGGTGAACCATTTTACTCCAAACTCGGTCACGGAAACTTACTAGACCACTGACAGGCCAATACAACTGGAAGACTCTGGTCGACAACGTGCGTTATCGTGACCCACCTCGTCGCATCCCGCCCATTGATCGTTCATCTTGCCTTGCTCATAGTACAACGAATGCTATCACTGCAAAGTTGCGCATCCAGGAATTGCCAGCGTTCGTATATTTTCTTACATCGCTTTGTCGCACGTCACATGGGATCGTACTTATCTACCCATATGACTACAGACGGTAGACCTGAAGACATACTACGTTCAAGGGCAGAAAGGCTACGTCGCACACTTTTCGCCACCAAAGCCTGAGAACAAAGAAAAGGAGGTAGACGGATCCATCGTTGCTACCTTCCTATTCCCTTTTGCCTCGTACGTTTCCTCGGATGACCCATCATCACCAGGACAATATTCTGACAGTACTCTATTTATTCCTCGCTTCATTAGCATCACCCTCATGCCCGCTTATGCCTACACCATGCGAGTGGTTCCAATCGACGCTCACAGAACCGAGGTACGCATAACTGCTCTAATTTTGGATCGTGGACATTAATTCATAGATGATTGTATGCAGATGCAATATGATGTCTACCGTCCAGAAGGTGCTTCTGACGAGGATTTCGACTCCACCCACCAGTTCTTCCTCCAGGTCGAAGAGGAAGACAAATTCCTCTGCGTAAGTTCAGCGATCTATACCTCCATTCAGAATTTTCAGTGGCTCTAACGCGTTCACATACTCGCAATAGACAAACGCCCAAAAGAACATGGAAGCCGGTATCTACCAGACTGGTTCTCTACACACAGTTCGTCGCTGTTCCCAATCATGATGACAAGGTAGTCTTGGCTAACTCCATACTCCCGCGATGCAGAGACAAGAACACGGTGTCCTCCACTTCCAAAGCCTCGTCAAGGAGTCCCTCATGTCTCACCGCGCCGCTGAAGAAGCCGCAGGCCGCGAGATCTTCCCCGCGCTCCCTGATGGTGGCAGACAGAGCAAGGAGGACGCTTTCTGCAAAAAGCTCGAGTCGACGTGTGGCACCCCCAAGATGATGGAGTGGTGAACCTATTTGGGGTGAGGTAGTTTTATCGGTGGTGGTGGTGGTGGGCGTCTGTACGATAGGAGCGGTGATGTGTGGCAGTTCGAGTGCATGTATGGTCGATGAAGTTTGTGTATTACCGGTGATGGATGTTGTATGTTCCGTAGGTGTAGTGGATGGATCCCATATCCGGTTGACGAGGAATATGAATACCCTGTTGGCTATCATGGTTCAAAAGTTCGCCGAAGGCACAAATCCTGAGAAGAGCCATCAATCGTAAAAGCGAATATCTACGAATGTATAGTCTAAATGTACGATATGCAACTTTCGCCTTTACTTCTTCACCAAAGGCTTCTCCTTCACGAATAACGAGGACAAAAATGCACAAACTGCCAACGCAACCGTAAACCAGAAACAGGCCTGCAGCGCTTCTTCGTACGAGCTGCGCACGATAAACCGTGTAGAGGGGTCGAGCTGGTCGACGTAGTCGAGGGACTCACGGACGCGGTTGACAATCTGATGTATCCGAGTGACGACAATTGCAAGTCGATTTCGGAGGTGAGTAAGAACGCGAAAGTATTTCAAGAGGAAGCGGGGTGGCACAAACCTCGTCGATATCGATATTCTGACCCTCGAGTTGGGCAACCAGATATTTTCGGAGAGAGTTCTGGAAGATGGTGCTGCCAACCGAAAGTCCAATGACTGAACCGAGTGAGCGGAAGAGGTAGGATACTAAATCCAAATCAAACGATAATCCCAAAATGTATCAGGGTTTCCGTGTGGCAACGATTTCTGAGGGGGGGGGGGGGATGACAGACCTGCGGTGGCGATGGCTTGGTCTTTTGCGCCTGCGTTGGCAATGAGAGCGATGAGGGTCGTTGTAATGCCCGAGCCTTTGTCATAGAGGTGATTAAATATCGAAAATGAAGATTGCACGCGTTCCGACATACCGTTTCCAAGACTCATGATTATGAGGCCTAGCCGATGTTTGTTAGTAGCGATTAGGAGGTAGTAGACGAAGACTTGTAGGCCACAAGCGAAGATTGCAGACTCACCGATCTCCAGTCCCAGGAATGATTGTGAGATCGCACCAGTCATGAGCGCTGTGAGAACAGTCCCTGCCATCATCATGAAATACGACACGGCGGTCAAGACATAATATCTCCCTAGAAGTAGACCGTAATCTTAGTTCACTATATCGCGGGTAGGTGACAAGTGCAAACAGGCTTGCCAGTATGCTGCATGATGAGTCCTCCAATCAGACTTCCCGCCACACCGCCAACAATGCCAGGAATGAGCGCCATCCCAGCCTTCGCCGCACTTTTATGCTCCACCGCCTGTACATACATCGCCACATGGAAAATGAGGGCCATACTACTCGCAATACAGAAAAAGTTGCACAAGTAGCTAGCCAACAAGGCCGTATTCGCCACGATCCTCTTTGGCGCGAAAGGCTCAGAGGCGAGCTTGAACTCTATGACGGCAAAGATGACAAGGAGGACGGCGAAAGAGGTTAGGGAGATAATGGCGGTGCGATCTGTCCAGGAAACGTTCCCGCCGTGATCGAGGCCGACGAGGAGGGAAGTGATACAGAGGACGAGAGCGAGAGCACCGCTGAAGTCAACGCGTTTCAGTTTATCGAGCCAGTGCGAGTCATCACGGGAGGGTAGCTTGAGAGCGAGGGAGACGGAGATGATGGCTAGAACTGTGATGGGAACTTGAAGTAGGAATGCCCTACAGAACCATGAGTGTTAACGCGAGGAAAGCATCCGTCGACACTACTTACCATCTCCAGCCTATTGTGTCCGCCAAAATTCCACCGATTGGCGCTCCAGTCGCGCTTCCGGTTGCGAAACAGATGTTCAAGAGACCTGAAGGATTGTTCAACAGAGCTACAAACAATGGAACAAAATCTCACGGGTTACCTTGCCATGTCCCTCTCGAGCGAAGGGGTATGATGTCGCTCAAAACTATGGAGACAATTCTACAAAGCCTGATGAGCTGGTGTTAAAGAGATTGAAGAGTGTCGAAGTAACTGACGTCGTCATACCTCCTCCCCCAATACCAGCACTAGATGCCATAGAGTCTCGTTTGTAAGTTTCGCGCAAATTTGAACAAGACATGTGCACTCACAATGCTCGCGCCAGAATCAACTCCTCCATGTTCCTAGCGAGGCCACACCATAGCGCTCCGAGGGCGAATATGACATAGGAGAAGAGCAGGCACTGTTTCCGTCCGAATATGTCGCTCATTTTCCTGCGTGACAAGGCTAGGTAAGTTTAGTCCAGGTGTGGCGTATGAAAGACTGACCCATATAACGGCCTGGTAGATGTGTTGTCGCTGTGAGCACACATGGTCTCCATGAAGTCTTACAATGTAACACGAACTGAAAGCTGGCCAGAGTAAGCATGTAACCCGTGGCTATCCAGCTCGTGTTTTGCAGTTGATTCAGTTCGCTGCCTATGGAGGCATAGGACGACGCGACGATTGTGGCGTCTGTGGCAGCGAGGAAGGTACCGATGAGCATAGGCATGATCTACGTGAATAGGCGAGTCAGCATCGAGATGCAATGGCAGTAGGGTCAATTGAAGGCCCCAGCAACCGGAGCAGGCATCATGCAAAGGCAGAACAGCATCTCGACGGCGTTCTCAGCATCGATAGAGTCCGAAACGGCCAGAACTCCATGGAGAGCCCTTCAAAGGAGTAGAGATGACATGCTCACCGTAAGAGCCAGCGTTTTGAAACTCTTGTCCTCCTGAACTGGCACTCCGATGCTATTCCCATCCTCTACGCTGGAGGTCGAAGGCTCTGCGGCAACATTCTCGTTGGTAGTATTATACCCAGTATGTTTCGAAACGTCTTCCCCGTTCACAGAAGATAGTAAAGGGGCGGTCTCGTCTGACATCCTGTTCCAGTAGTGGTCGAACGCGTCGTGCTGGACAGATATAGAAACGAGACGTGGGTGGATCGAAGGAGACTCAAATGCCGAGCAATAGTTTGCGGATAGCACGACATATGTAAGCTCGAGGCCGCCATGACTATGATAGGCTGGGATGGGAGAGCAAGTGAGGTGGCGTATAGGCACAACCCACGCTGTCGAGTTGAAGATAGCAGACCCGACCCGAGCCTGCCGGCGGCATTATTCGCCGATTCGACGGAAGTTGAGGCAAATCTTGCCCATTGGCACAAACAATGCTGGCGAACAATGGGCTGGTCTGGATTGATATTATCGAGGCGTACGGATTGTCTGAATATTTATATGGGTCATAAGAAATAAGCCTATCTCGGACTGGCCGTTTCCTAATAGCACACAAGAAACAAAGTATCATCTCATAACTCCAATCGCACACCGTGATATCTGATCACGGATGCTGCGAAAAACTAGTATGTATGATGAGCAGAGGACGGCCTCCGAGTGCGTAAGCTCTGGATAAAACGGCAAGCTAAGTCTTACGGCAGATAGGTGAGGCCCTATTCTCATAGTTGCCACGGAAATTAAAGCATTCAAATGACAAGTAATAAGATAGACTCAATATCAAGCCGACGCTGGTGCGCCGGATTGTGCACGCAGGGTAGCATGTCCCTCATCGCCCCACTTATTCGCCTCCCTAAACTCCCTCAACCACGCTGAACTCCACCCAGCCTTAACCACCCCAATCTCCACCTTCTTCAACGTCCACCTCAACCACGAAATCTCCTTCTCCGAATACCTCTTCCCCTTCAGCTTCTCCGCCGTCTTGTACTTCGTCAGCGCCCTCTGCAACGAGGGCAGCAGCGCCTGACCGACCAAACGCGCGTCGTCCCGCACATCTTTGCGTTTCTCCGTGCGCGACGCTTCGCGGAGACAGGCGGCGGTGAGCATGGCGCAGGAGACAGGGTCGCTGGAGAGACCGCGGAGGTTGAAGACGTCGTACAGGGCGGCGAGGGTGATGGAGTCGGAGAGGTCGTGTTGGAGGTGGAGGCCGTGGAGGAGGTGACGGCCTGAGGTGCGGTCGAGGTCGAGGCCGTAGGTGGCATGGTTGGAGAAGACGTCGAGCGCGAACTTAGTGCAGCCGAGTTGTTTGCATTTCACTGGATCGTCGACATGAAGCTATCATGGACGAAGAAAGGATGGATGAAGGAGCATATGAGACGCACGGACGAAGAGGTCAACTACTCTCGGCTTTATTTCACGGCCTGCATCCTTCCACGGCATGAACTGCTTCGCCACCTTTTCGAGATCCTCCTGGCTCCTCGCGTTCCCGAGCAAATGCAGCCAGATAGAATCAGCGACTTGCTTCCCATCGCGTACGGCAGGCCTTTTTCCATTGTGTTCCGACAGGAACTTGAGGTGTTCCGCGAATTTCGCGGCGTAGTCTGTTGTTTGGGATGACTTGGTGCGCGCATTGCTGCTGGTGCTTGCAGTTTCCTCTGCGGTGGAGCCTAGAGGAATGAGCTCCTCTGAGTCTTCGAAAGCGAAGAGATCATCAGCATCGGCTTCTATTGCTGCCTTTTTGGCCTTGGACCTGTGCACTGTAAGACTGTCAGTGAGTGAGTTACTATCCTCGGAGGATGGGGTAGACGCGCCTGTAGGTGTGGCATGGATGAACCGCGTCGGTCGGTGCAAAGAAGATGAGATACGCGCTCTGGAAGACGAGGCGCAAAGTGTTCGCGCACAGACACGGGCAGACTGCATCGCGCTTGGGAAAAGGACTCGGGCAGCGAGATTGTGAGCGGGTAAATATGGAGAAGAAACCGGAGGACCGGCTGAACGGCGGGTAGAGGCTCTTGCCAAACATGCACAAACAACATCTTTAACGCCTCCTCTGTCTATCACCAAGTTCATGCACAATAGATGTTATCTGCAGCCTGAAAAGTAGAGTTTTGAGTTGCAAAGCGACGCAAGCGAACTGTAAAAGTGAGAATTTGAATTAAAATTTCATTTTGAAGGGGAATGTGCAGACCGGACGTGCAGCTCCCTTTGGCCTGCGTCTGGCACAAGGGGAGCTGACAAATATAATGAATAACCGGGACCTGGTTAGTTAGTTAGGCCCTCAGGCCTCTTAAAAAAATTTTGGACCCCACCCAGAAAATCACCAAACAATCGCCAAAATAATACATTGGGCTGGGAGCGATATAGGTATCATGTGCTGATGCTAATTGGATTATTATAGAACCATTTTGTGGGCAAAATGTTGATGACTGGGTCAAAACTAGAGTGAAATAATTAAGAGTTTCGCCGTTGGGCAGTCTTACGCAAACTTCAAAGCTCAGACTGGTAAATTGAGTGTGATTGAGCAGCCATGCATCATGGAAATACTGTACTTTTTCGACCGTAGGTTCGTGGGAAGATTACGTCAGACGTGACCTTCGCCAGACCACGGTTCGTTTGGTTGGGCCACGCGTGACGAACCAATGAAATTGTTGGCGGAAGGATCCAAAAATTGATTTTTGGGCGATTTTGGCGCAAATCGGTCACGATTTGCTGTTCGTGGGCCCGCGCATATGCGTGACCATCGGGGCAAATATGTTCGCCGGCGCACCCTCCGTGATGCGTGACGAACCTACGGTCGAAAAAGTACAGTATAGAAGCATAAGGTTTGGGATCAGAGGCTAGGGCAGCGGAAGATCAACGTCAACGGCGAACATAACCTAGCCTAATTCAAGTGCAGATTGAATGATAGACTGATGATAAATCACTTATACTTCATTCCCCAAAAGAAATAAAGAGCGGAGATTCTTCTGATTGGATCAGAAATATTATTTAAATCATTTAAATATTAATTACAGTTAGTTAGTTCACCCCTCGCCTCCCTTTAAAAAAAATCGACTCCCGGTGTTTCATTCAGGATCTCAGCTCCCCTTGGTCTGGCACATACCGAGGGTTCGAAGCGAATTATGACTTAAAAATTGAAGTTTGCGAACTCTCAAGTAGCCGATTTGAAGCTCACAGAACCTCTTGGTTTTCAGGCTGCAGATAACATCTAATAGACCTTATATGTTTCAAGTTTACTTGGAACTCGTTGGCGGAAGATCTGTCCGATCCGCCAATGAGCTTTCGCAAAAAGTTCCAAGTTTTTACTAACATATAAGCCCTAATCACTCTCTATGGTATTTCATACAAAGCTTGATCCAGATCTGACTATTAATTCCTCCTCATACGGAAAAAAATATATAGACATCGTAAACTAAATCAATGCATTCATTTCATGTTCGTACGCACAACGGCAGACAACACCCTCTCCTACAAAAATAATCGTACAACCATCTCTTCGTAGATCAACAGCGAGGAGCACTGCATATTATGCAGCTCGTTCACTTACGCCTGTCCACCAGCAGCTTCGGCAAGGTTCCTCGCCAGACTCTCCGTCAGGGCACCGCTGTCGGTCGTGACATTAATCTGTAAAACGAGCATCCGCCGGTGCACAATGGCAACACAAAAAATATGAGCGATATTGTGAAGAACAGGAATTGATGACTTGGAAGCTGGAACGTACCATGTCGAACCCTTGAGCTGCGCGCTTTGCGGATTGAGCGCCTGAGGTGCAGTAGATTGCACTATGTGATACAGACAGAGGTTATCAGGGAAGCCAGAGTCATGTTTGATGCAATAAGAGTTGAAGGAAGGGCAGGCAGGAGTATCAAAGAACGCAGAGAGCATGTTACCGTAACCTACCATTTCTTTCCTTTCGCATGCGAGGTTTTGAGGATCTGCTGGATGACCTCCTCTACGTCCGGATGAGGGTCCGGAGAAGGGGGTTTGTAGCCAAGCGAGATGGAAAGGTCATAAGGACCGATGAGGAGTACATCTATAATCACAATATATCAGTCGTCAGATGATATGATCCTTCTCAAAGATACGATAGTCCAGATCGTCGACCGAACGGCAAAGAGACCTACCTAACCCATCCACAGCCGCGATCTCCTCCAAATTCTGCACACCTTCCTTCGTCTCAATCTGCGCCACCACAAAAACGCCTCCGTCTTCATTGGCAGCAGGTATGTATTCCGCCGGTGTCGTCTTCCAGACGGTGTGTGTGAGTGGATTTCCGAAGCCCCGTATGCCGAGGGGCGGGAATCGTGATTCGGACACGATTTCGCGTGCTTTTTGGGGTGTGGAGACCTGTGCATGTGAGAAGAGATGGTATAGGTGAGCACACTGGTGGTATGACGAGGCCCTGCAGATGAAGTCAGTAGGGGATGTGGATGGATTTACCATTGGGACTATGACCCCACGAGCTCCCGCATCTAGAGCGTACTTAATCTGCCAACCTGTTCCCGCTGAGGCCCAATATTGAGATAATCTCCGAGACTCGAACAACAGAGATGATACACATACTCGATGCGCCAGTAGCAGGCACCCTCACAAGCACACTGGGTGCATTATCTCCCGTGCTCACTACGGCGCTTATGGACTCAGCGGCACCGGGATGAAGGGGTGTGAGTCCGTGCTCGCAATCGATGACGACCCATGAGAGGTGGGGAGACGAGAGAGCAACCGCACGGGCGTTGAAGGTTCCGGGGAGAGTTACCCATGCTCCGAAGGCTGGTTTGGATGACCGGAGGGCGGTGCGGAGGGCGTGAGTGGCTGCCATGTCGTCTCAGGTCGTGGTGGTCTGACAAGAGAGAGTTGAAGTAGCTCAGAAAGACGTCGTTGGAGATGGGTGACGCATTTTTAGTCGGTCAGTGTCGGTGTGTGAAGCTTTGCGTTTAGCGAGAGTCATCAGTAAATCATGGGACGAAGCCGGAGTGCCATGGCCCAAGCTTAAGGTCAGCGGACAACGACCCACTGGCATGGATGAGAGAGTGTCCTAAGATAGCGCAAAGGTCGATGTGTGCTGTAAATAAACTTCCCTAATAGAGATGACGGGTTCACTCGACGGCGTTCGTTTACAAGTTGATCAAGTCCAGATTCAGCAAGGGTACAGTTCCCGGCAGTTTCCTCGACGGAGTTCGAAGCCGTTTGAGTCCCGCTACACCGACATCATCCGAGTCAACAGAACTTGCTTCCGACACCGCCTCTCCACCACACCGCTCTAGTCATGGTTCGTTCCGAGGATGGGGCCGATTGCTTCGTGGTACTCTAGGTTGTCCATCCTGAAACATTTGTTGGTAAAAAAAATCTTGCTCGGAGGACCCTTGGCGCAATAAATGTCGAGACCTCTGATTGCTCCGGGATTCTTCTTAGAACCCAACAATCCTCCACTGGCTTTACGCGTTTGAAGGCTTGCTTGATTGCTTGGTGCTCAGATCGGTGGTCTTGCTTCTTAGATCGGTGGTCTTATTTCTTATTGTGGAGCGCTTCTGCCCCGTGTTCTGCTTGTGAATCTGGAAACTGTCACTGAGCCGTTCGATGGTGGACATCACAAGCGTTTTCTCGTAATCTTCGTCACTGGGGCTTGCATATCCTGGCGGCGTTCTCGGGCAAGCCTCGTATTTCGCCTTGGAAAGTGGAACGATGTTAGAGCGGATGACTAGGTTGTGCCACTCCGAGCGGGATGGACGTTGGATGGACGAGCGGAATGGTCGCAAACAGGCGTCCGTACTATATCACGCCTGGGGTCGCATCGACGCGAAAGTGACGACCAAAGGGCGATGACGCGGTCCCACTCGCCACAAACCTTCCTTGGAAAGCGTCTTGCTGGAATGAGCGAGCGATCGCGGGCGGTTCGATCTGCCGAGGTGCCCGAGCAATGATTGCCACTCCGCCCAACAGAGTCGAACCAACTTGACGCCACCGCTGCTCGCCTCTCCCGCCCTATAAAGCGCGCCATGCCTCCTCATCTACCCAGCAAGGTCGTCCTGTTCATATCCCTGACATCCTTCTTTACCAGCACAACTTCTACTACCAAATAAACAACATCGTTCTTTACCTTTAAATCATATAACAATGTTCACCTCCACCTTCACCACCCTCGCCTCCATGGTCGTTCTCGCCACCGCCGTCGCCGCTTCCCCCATCGCGCGCGCCGACGCCATCACCGGTACATTCATCTCTTTTATTCTAACGCCTCCAACATACATACTCACAGTCATCATCTGTAGACACCCAAGTTCTCAACTTCGCTCTGACCCTGGAGCACCTCGAGAACGCCTTTTACAAGGAGGGTCTCGCCAACTACTCCGACGCCGACTTCGAGAGCGCTGGCTTCCCCAGCTGGGTCCGCAACCGCTTCACTGAGATCGCCGCCCATGAGGCTTCTCATGTCGCCTTTTTGTCGTCCGCCCTTGGCTCAAGTGCCACTCAGCCTTGCACGTACTCGTTGTATGTTCAATTGCCATCATCCATGTTACCGGCTGTTTCCTGATGTTTCATCGTAGCGGCGTGACAGATGTCAAGTCCTTCGTCGACACGAGTTACGCGCTCGAAGGTGTGGGCACCGCCGCCTACACCGGTGCCGCTGCTCTCATCTCAACCAAGGTACGACCATTACACATTTCTTGCACATACCTTTGTTTACACTGTTGATCTAGGCGTATTTGACCGCCGCTGCTACCATCCTCACCGTCGAGGCTCGCCACGACGCTTGGGTCGGTTCCGCCGTCAAGCAAGGCGCCGCTTGGAGCACTGCCTACGAGGTCAGTTTCTTTAACTCATATGTCCACTTTGTCCCATTGCTCACAATCCATACACAGACTCCTCTTGACCCTAACCAGGTCTACACTCTCGCCTCGGCATTCATCACCTCCTGCCCCTCCTCCAACCCCCCTCTCCCCGTTACTGGTTTCCCCGCGCTCACCGTTTCGGCCGAGGGTACCCGTGCCCCCGGCAGCTCGCTCAAGTTCGCCTCCAAGGCCCTCACCGACGCTTCGAACCTGTTCGCCGGGTTCTTGAACGGTCAAACCGCCACCGTCGTCCCTCTCAACTCTGACATGACCGTGACCGTCCCCGAGGGCCTATTCGGCACCGTCTACGTGATCATCACCAACTCCAGCTCGGAGGTGACCGACGCCAACACCGTTGCCGGCCCCGCGATCTTGGAGCTCGAGTTCAACTCGCAGGAGGCGTTCATTGACACGAAGTTCTGAGTGGTTGTACGTTCGTGTATTACTAGGTTAGTTTCGGACGTGGTTGGAGCGATACCCCCCCAATCGAGGACTCTTTTCTGTGTTCTGGCCTCTTCTTTTTTATAAAATCTTTATCGAGTTGACGTTTCGTTGGTTCCGGTGGCTCATGATACGTATCATTTATCTCGGCCCTCCCTTGTTTCACTTTCCTTCGTTCAGCAATGGGATCAATGTTGGTCCATACAGTAAATGCGTGTAATACGAAGGATCGTGCAACTCGTCCAAAGCACGAAGGCTCCAAACTGGCAACCGAGTCTCTAAAGCGGGTGTATGTGACGGCTGCGCGGGTACAAGCTTTACGAGGGCTCCACCATTTTCTTCAAGCTGCTGGAGCCACGCTTGCCGAAACTGCTTCGTTCACACTTACGAACCTGAGCAAAACGACATGGTAAGTCGGTTGCCTCATCTTTGTCATAAGGTCTAATGAACAAAAGGCCCTAGAGTATACAATCAGAGCTATAGAAAACAAAACGAAGCCAAACGAAAAGAAAAGAAACGAAAAAGACCATGACTCCCACACCAGAAACACGAAGTTAACTCGGGGGCAGGGGAAAGAGGGATCTTTCAGTCGGACTGCCCACTCGTGCGCGCCAGACGGTGCAAAGAGCCTGAATGGATGGACGGAAGATAGGGGCACGTACATACGCACTGCAATAACGGCCAATTTCAACGTTCAAAGTCCCAGTTGTTCTCACAAGTTACTTACGACGCCCATCCTGCAAATTCCTTCCAATTGCAAGTTTGTGCACGAATGGGCGTGAATGACGGAGAAAGGAGAAACTAAGAGGGAAGGAAGGAAGGCGGCTTGAATATTGAATATTGCAATAGAATTGACGTGCACGGAGACAGGGAATTTGAGCGAGCTCGAGGGCGATACGTTCAGAGTGTAAGTACCTGTTCTAGCAGTTCTAGCAGTTCTACGTAACAGGAAGTTGAACGCGCCCATGAAAATGCGAATACGTCACTCTGCGTTGAAGTTGATGTGAGGTGGTCGTGGTCGTGGTCGTGGTCATACTATGGAGTGGACATGGTCTTGTCACGTACACATATAGCATCGTGCTTCGTGAAGAGCGCTTCTGAACCTGTTCCTGTTTGTGTGTCGATATCAATGATACATTTTCTCGTTTCTGCTTGAGCATGAGCAATGAGCATGAGAGTGGTGGGAGGGAGACGAGCGAGGACACTGTAACTGGCAGGCGTGGTAGCAAAGCCCCGGGGTGTTCAAGCTATTATGCGCCCGCTGTGGGACTTCGAAAGAAAAGAGATCATACAAGAGGATACATACGTATAATGTTCGGGGGCGGACTCACTGGCACCCCATCAGGTTGCGTTTCTTGTCTTGGATGCACGACATAATGGTTTAATTTGCACTAACCAATACGAGAAAGACATCCTGAACAGGATCCAAGACTCGTTGGATTTCAAAGGTGGGTAAGACATTGACACAGACAAGGATTGAATAATAAGAATTGAAGCCCATTCTATAGTATGACCACCCCTGCCGATATCTCTAGTGGGGCAAACCCTCGAGGTCTATTGTTCCCGCAACCTCCATCTCCGTGATGTCGAAGATCTCGAAAGTCTGAACAGATGTTTCCGTACTGGGACCGTGCCGTATTGGTGATAGAGATAGACCTAGCTACGAGAGACAAAAGAGGCCGAGGAGCCGATGATTACGGGTCTTTTGATGACTTTCCAGCGAGGTTATGATAAGCCATCTGCGAGCATCGATATTAGTTCGGGCGGGTCGAACGTCCAATGACGCGTACGACATGAGAAGACGAAGGCTGTCAGCGCACAAGCGACGACCCTTGACGTCGTACGACGTCAACAGCGTCCGGTCGGGGAGGAGGTGCAGGGGTGTTCAAAGTTCACCAACGCATCAGCATCAGCAGCAATATTAATTGACGACAATGAAACCAGAACCAGAAGAGGAAGAAGACGTATGGGGTGCTTGGGTGCACTTGGCGGGTCTTGACAAGCCCAGTAAGTACATGCGATTGACAGCGCGATAACTGAGAAGGGTGATGTTCGCGTTATGACTTGATGAGCAAGTGGTGTTATTCGTATGGAAGATGTGACAGAATTTGGGGGGGAGGTTGTGTGCGTTGGTGTGGCGGAGGGCGACGAAGCTCCAAGAATTGAGTGAGCAAAGATAGGGGCACGCACACGCCACAATACATCCAACCTTCAAGTTACAACGACCATCCTTCAAATTCCTTCCAAGTTCGTGCACAAACGAACGACCGACGCAGAAACAAAAAGGGTCCTGTCACCCGGCGGCTTGACGCTTTTGAAATGACAATGACGAGCACGGAGACGGAGACAAAAACAGGAGGAGTGATATACTTATTGGAATTTGAACGAGGCCGACACGTTCCGCGCTGTGGCGGAATTTAGAAGAGCGTTTGACAGCTCGGCATGCAGGGGGGCACGCCCGGTTGGGAAGGAGACGGACAAGACTGGGATTGCGACGCGTCTAACTATGATGTGCGTGATGTCCGCGGTGACTGAAAGAGAGAGAGACAGAGAGAAAGGGAGGGCAGTGGACGAGTGTGGACGAGGGAGATGATGAGCCGGCGGGAGAGCGGAAAGGGGGAACAAGGAAGGAGTGATCGACAGACATGCCGCAATTTGTAATTGGACTGCGAATCGCCCGACGAATTGCTGCCGAGGATGGAAAACGCGAGTGAAGTGAACATGGACGACGAGCTCGAGGTTGAGCGTTTATTTGGGCGTGAGGGTGGGAAGAGCGCTCGGGGTTGCCGGGGGACATGCAGGGGTCAAGAGGAAGGGCGGGAGAAGGGTTCAGTATGTATCCACACAAGCTCTGAATTGGCAAAAAATAGGTAATAATCTGAATCGCCCTGGCTGGCCGTACACTCTCGCTTTCTCCTTCTCTGAAACCTTGGCTCCACTCTCGCCTCACCACCGAATCTGCTCTCGCCCACCACGGACAACTCGACTCGCGTTCAGCAGACACGGCGTTCGCCATACACGACATTCACGAACCGACCTAGACGGCGGGGGTCATGACAGACGCCAGCGACGGAACGTCCTCAGGCACATCCTCTTCTGCTCCCGCTTTTTCCCCGACGTCGCACACGTCCTCTCAGCTGCTCTCTCCATCCTCTACGCTCGATGCCTCCACGTCCGCCCTGACGAGCTCTGCACAGACCTCGTCCTCCACGGTCATTACTGAGTCTGCCTCGACCTCGTCGGATATACCCCAGTCCACACCGACGCCCTCCTCCTCTGAAGCCATCTCGTGAGCTCCTCTTTCTCTCGATCTGTTCCGGCTGCTGACATCGCTGCATTAGCCTGTCCCTCTCCGTAGGATCGACCAGCCTGGAGTCGTCTACTGCATCTACTTCAACAGACTCTTCTTCAACTGTATCTCCTGTCTCTAATACACCTTCTCTTTTCATATCATCTAGTTCTCAGTCTAGTTCTTCCTCTTCAACTGAACCTACTTCCTCGTCCTTATCGCTCCTGTCCACATCCACATCTGATACATCCTCCTCCTCTTTCGTCCTCCTCCCTACCTCATCCGACTCCGCCACACAGTCCACTTCAGCTTCGCTCTCTTTCTCCTCTCTTGCCGTTTCTTCTACACCTCTTTCCTCCTTACTGACAATTTCATCCCCTTCTGCTTCCTCTACCGTACTTACCTCGTCTCCTGCTAGTTCCTCCATGTCTTCTTCGTCCGCGCTCACATCCGCCGACCCTTCATCCACGACTTCTGCTGTGACATCATCCACCGGCATCCTTACCTCAATCATCCCGTCTTCTCTCACCCCTTCATCCTCCGTCGCCACCACCTCTTCCGACATCACCTCTACGTCGTCCCAGACATCATCACAAACTCAATCCTCATCCCCACTATCCACCACTTCCCTCACCGCCTCCTCGACCACCCCCAGCGCCTCCTCTTCTGACGTCACCTCTACCTCTCCATCCACCACCACGCCCTCCACATCAACTCAAACTCAAACTCAAACCGTGTCCAGCACCGCTTTCCCAACCACAACCAGTACTAGTACTGGTGCCTCTTCTTCTGACGTCACTTCTACCACGACCTCTACCGATCCATCTTCTGCTTCTTCGTCTTCTGCTGCCCTGACCTCTACCTCTACCGGTGGTGCCTCGTCTTCCTCTGCTGCCCTGACTTCTACAGACGCCCCTTCCACCTCGGTCGTGTCCTCCACATCTTCCGAGCAGCCGACTTCCACCTCCGATGTTCCTTCCTCTACCTCCGATGTTCCTTCGACCTCCTCCGATGTTCCTTCCACCAGCACCTCCGACCCACCAACCTCCACCTCCACCTCCACCACCTCCACCGACCAACCAACCTCCACCCCATCCACCTCCGCCAAAACCCGCCCCGTCGAATCCAACACCTCCTCCACCTCCACAAGCACAAGCACGAATCCATCCCGCCCCTCCGTCATAACCTCCACGTTCAGCACCACCCAAACCTTCACGAGCACCGAATCGGGTGGATTAGTGACTACGATCACGACGGCGTATACGACGGGAACGATATTGCCGGCGCCGAATAGTAATACTTCGCGGTATGTGGGCCTCCCATTCCCTTCACCCTTTCTCTATCCTCCCTTTCTTCCTCTCCCCCTAAACCTTCTCTACCCTCTCCAACCCTTTCCTCCAACTATCATTCATACTTCATGAACCAACAGGCTAGGCAACAACCCCGGCGCCATCGCCGGAATCGCAGTCGCCGCCTCCCTAACCCTCTCATCCCTCCTCCTCGTCCTCTTCCTCTTCCTGCGCAGAAGACATACGCGGAGACTGGAGGGTTCGGCGATGAGGTTTGAGAGGCCGGTTAGGGCGCCGCTTTATGATGGGGATGAGGATGAGGAGGGGGTGGGGGTGGGGGTGGGGGTGGGGGTGGGTTCTGGTGGGGTGACGAGGGAGTTGGGGGGAATGGGGGAGATGGGTGGGATGGGTGGGCAGGAGGGGGAGATGAAAGAGTTGAGGCCGGGATCGTATTTACGAGGCGGCGAGGGACATCCGTCTCACATAAGCGGTTCCGGTCTTGGTGGTGCGAGCGCAGAGGGACAGCATCTGAGTGGGCTCAGCGCGGGGTATTGGGCGCTTTCGCCGTCGGCTGTAGAGGTAGAGGCGGGGTACGAGGATGTGGATCTGGGAGAGGTGGAGGAGGGTTCTGGGGCGGGTGTTGGTATGGGTACGGGAGCTGGTTTGGGTGTCGGTGTTGGTATGGGCGCGGGAATGGGTATGGGGGCAGGACATGAAAGAGAAAGAGAAGGCGACGGCGAGGATCTAGGAAGCCCACATCCCGGCACTAGCACCAGCACCAGCGCGTATTACGGCGACCCGAATTTCGCGGCAGGTTCTGGTAGAGTCTCGGACGCGGAACTGCTCATGCACCCTCACTCCCACCCCCAGCACCACAACAACATCCCAGCGTCGCAGAGACCACTATCGAAGAGCGGACCCGGCCTCGATCCCGCGCTGTGGATCTCGAGTTCGAGTGCGGCTCATGCACATGGGAGGCCAGAGTCGGAGTCGGTGTATGCGCCTACGCCGACGAGTGCCGCGTTCGGTGTCATAGGTGGTGGTACAATTCCAAGTGCAAGTGGTGGTGGTGGAGGAGGAGGAGGAGGAGGAGGCTCATCGTCCCAAGGACACTCGAGCGGACATGGACACGGACACGGGAGACTCGAACCTACCAGATTCGGTACCGCTTCTTCCTCAGGACACGATCATCTCGGCGCCCCCTCTGGCGGTGGTGGGTTATCCTCACACCTGAGCCACGGAGGACACGGACAGGGTGGTGGAGGAGGTGGTGGAATGTTCTCGAGCGACAAGGGGATGTTCTCGAGCGACAAGGGAATGTTCTCGAGCGACAAGGGAATGTTCTCAAGCGACAGCGGCGAAGACATCGGCTATCGCTCCAACAGCTCGAACTACCATTCCCATTCCGGGCGAACATCGTACAGCCCCGCGCCGCCGTCGCCGAGCGCGGTGAGAAGGATATTGTTGCCGCCACGGAAAGATACGAGTGGGAGTTCGGGGCTGGGGAGTTCGGAGTCGCATGGGAGTCAGGGGGGGTTGCTTGGTGGGTATGGGAGTGTGGGCAGAGGGGGTGAAGGAGGAGGAGGTGGTGGGGGGTTGTTGTCGACGTTAAAGTTGAAGACCTCGTTCAAGGGCAATAAGTCGAAGCGATCGTCGTCTTCGAGAGCCGTCATGCCCCCTCCGTCCGCATTCCACTCTGGATCGAGCGGAGACCATCACGGGTCCCCTACCGCTGTCGTCGCTGCCGCCGCCGCTTCTACCCCTCTCCCATCCTCTCCTACGACACAATCACCGTACGCGACGGTTTCGGATCGTGCGGGAACTCCTGCCTCGAAACGCAAATCGCTAACAAGTAAATGGCGAGGCTCCTCCAGCGACGAAGGCTTCAACGCATCCGGATCTACAGGCGGTGGCGGTGGCGATATCGGCGGTAGCGGGAAGACGAAAAAAGGATCAGGCAAACGCTCCTCGTCCTCACACAAGAAGACGTCCTCCGCGCTGAACAACCTAACGATCAAAAACTCGCTCCAGCCGACACAGACGCCCGTTCCGACGTTCTTTGAAGCGCCTGAAGGGGCGGCGAGAAGGGCGGCCATGCCTGCGCCTGCACGTACACCTCCGTTACCGAGTCTTACACCACCACTTCTGCCTCATAAGGCGTATGTCTCGGGCGCAGGATCGATGCCGTATCCCACAGGCACAGGCTCGATGTCGACCTCCTCGATGAACATGACCACCCGCGCCCCGGCGCCGACGTTTGACTATGCCCTCCCCGCGCCGCCACGGACGTTATTCGCGCTGCAGGGCGAGGGGATACTCACCCCTTCACCAGCGGAGACGACGGGGAGCGGGGGGACGGAGATGAGGTCGATTAGGGCGGAGGGGCTGTTGAGGCTTGGGATGACGATGGCGGAGCGGGGTAGGCTGCATGCGGCTGGATTTGGTGAGGGGTATGGGTATGGGGAGGGAGAGGGAGAGGACGGAGGGCAGTGGAGTGGTGCGGAGGGAGAGGGAGAGGGAGAGGGGGGAGAGGGAGGGATTTGGCATGGACATGAGGGATGGGGGAGGGCGGTGGAGAGCGTTGCGGCGTTGAGTTTGAGGGACGATGTGGATTATTCGAGGCCTGTTGCTGCCGTGAGTTTTGTCTTTATTTCCTTCCTTTAGCTGGTGTTGATGCTGCGCGAATATTGACCGACTGACTTGGCCCGATGTTGAACAGAGGATGTACAGCCAGACGACGCTCGACTCGGAGCATTCGCAAGGGAGCCACCAGCCGCCTGACGTGCCGTACCATTCACATCCCCATCCTCATACAGGCCTCCACCAAGTCTCCACCAGCGACGCGTCTGCATCGTGACATTCGCGGTAAATACGCGTTTTTCCTCCATTCCTCTGCTATGTTCTCGTTTCCTCGAGGTGTGAAATGACGGTGCTCTCCCCTTCTTCTTCTACTTTTTTTTTTAACTCATTCTTTATCCGAACTTGGTCTCTTCATTTCGTGTATCCTTGACTCTACGTTATACCCCTTTCTCTGCTCTACACTCTACACGCTCCGCTCTACAGCTGTGAGGGTCGCCACCATTCACGCATAACAGGCAACTTGACCCGTCACTCTCGTCATTCCCTGGACCACTGCGCGAATCTACGCCGCCCACACACTCCTTTGCTCTGCTTACATCTCACCGCGCGTACCGTTTTCGAACCGTCGTAGTGGTATGCTTTATTTTACGCCTACGCGCATGTTTCGTATCGTTAGTCTTAAAAGTTTGTCCTTTTTTTCTTTGCCCCTTTTCGAGACTCGACTCTATATCTTTTTGCGACTATATTTTTTTGTTCGCTGCTGCTGACACCTTGTACTTTTTACGCTTACGCATCGCAACTCACGCCTTTTTCTCGTCTCTTCTCGTCTGTTTCTTCTATTTCGTCTCGCACATTTGACGTCCATGTTTCACTTGCACTTGCACTCTCGCATTCGAACTCACACACACGATTTTCACTTTTTTCTTTCATTCTTGCAACAACTGTGACATACATACGCAACGCATCACACATACAACTTGCATTCCACTTCATCTCTATCACATTACATTCATCTCTATCCACTCATCTCTACACAACGCACACGCACACGCACAGGCCAGACGGAGATTTCGCATACTTACATTCTATACATTGACATGCTATACATACAGACGTACATACTATACGAATACTAACACTTGTACATACATACTGATATATGCCCGGTTGGCGATAGCAGCAGAACAGACACAGACTAGATTTTTTTTGCGCGGGCACGGGCTGATCTTGAACACTCGAAGCAGGCCGGACACTTAGACTACAGCCAAATACATCCGACCTACAGATCCTTCCCTCTACATGCTGCAGCATAGGCCTACACCCTCACACACTATCCAGCTCACGCTTCGCATGATTTTCCTCCGCCGCACCCAACGCACCCGACCGCACAGATTTCGTCAAAGGTCACCACTTGCTCATAGAACGCGGACCCCGCCCTTCTCATGCGATTGACACTGCCAACAGCGCGATGACTGAGTCGGAATTGTCGAGATCCGCCAAGTGCACCCCATAGTACGTCCTCTTCTTCCTCTTCTCCTGGGCTACTGTAACTTATCCGCTGCTGACGCCAGTACTAGTGCGTTGATGTACAATCCCCGCCAATGCACAACCGGTTCTGTCATCCATCGTCTTCGTCTTTTCATGTCGTGCCTGTTATCAAACATTCGACCCGCACGAATCGATGCTCACAGATGGCCTATCAAAACCTCGCCGGAAAGTCATCGAAGGACCTGTAATCATGACCGGTCATCGCTTGCCACACTTACTACCGTCTCCCACTGTTTGGGCCGTCAAAGTACCGAAAGTCGTAGTATGAGGAGGAATGATACTTGCTGCACACTGTGGTTCTCGATCGTTCGTCAGCGTCGGCGCATCGTACTGCTATCTATAGCCCAACCGTCCACTACCAAGCTATCTATTTTGCGCTCACGTCCTTCCTTTTGTCATCCTACATCTGATGCAGAGATGGGCGAGTGACAGGCTGGTACAGCCATGGTACCGCTTCAGGTAATTTACCATGCTTTCTCGGATGTTTTGTTGACTTGAGGGTCATTGGCGGGTAGTGAAGCGGCTCCTTGAGTTAACTGTGATAGGTGATCGTCGGTGCTCGTCCTCTCTTCTTCTGTCACGGTCCTGTTTGCTGCTGCTGCCGAATACGCACTGGAGGTCGCTGGACAAGGCATTGTAAAGGGTGCGTTCTTACTCGACTGCACTTACTGGAACCGGAAATGAATTTGACTGACTGGACGATTGATTACTTGTTCAAGTCACTCTGCATTCAACAAGCTCGACGTCGTCCCGTGTCAAAGGGAATTCGTTACAAATGGCAGAGTCTGAGTCCGGTGTGGCGTCGGCATCAGCAAAACCGCGGCGGTCTAATCGCCCTAAAGGCTCTACAAGTATCACCTTATAGAGCCATAGACCTCTAGACTGTGGTCTACATCTAACAGACATATATTGATGTAGAGCCCGTGTAGACCCGAGGTACTTGTAATAGAGATACTGTAGAGACATGATAGACAACAATAGACACTAGTTTACCGTCATCTTGGGCAGTTGCCAGTGCCCGACGGGTATCAGTTACGATAGAAATACAATGGTAACTCCGTTCGAGGAGCTCGGGACAGGATAGATTTTGATCAAAGAAGGTAAACAGTCAGAAAATAGGACCCTGAGCAAACCGGCAGTGCATATCGCTCCAAATCAAGTCACTGCCAAACGTCACGAATAAGTGGTTGAGTATAGCCCACAGCAAGACTAGAAAAAACTCACCGGGTGCTCAGAACAGAAGAGCTGCACGCGAGTCTTCACCGTCATCATCACTGCCATCAGCATCCTCAATCACGCACTCTACTTCCGCTGCCCCGTCATAGATCTCATCCCAACGTTTATCCGGTAAGTTCTTCGCAGATGTTGCATAATCTTCCGCCCATGGACCCCACGGGTTTGACTTGAATTCGGTGACGCTGGGGTCTGCTTTCAGCAAAGCTTTGAGCTCAGCCTTCGTGAGATCCTTGAAGGGGTTGATGCCGGATCGGCATACTCGCAGTGCACGCTCCGCCTGTCAAGGATGATAATGAGGACCGACTCCATGATTGAAACGAGGAAAAAAGCGTAGAGAAACAGAATCTAGTAAAGCGTACCGCGGCAGCAGATAGTCCCAAAGCCCCATGAGTATCCCCAAAGTTCAGGGCATCGTCCTCGCTAGCGTCTTCGATATTCTTCAGGTGCAGGGCAAAAATTGACAGCACAAAGCGCGAGCAGAATGTGCCGCGGTTCTCCTGCATGTGGCAAAATCATAGTAGTCAGTGCATAGTTGACTTCGAACGCAAGTGACGGCTTCTCTCAGCCAAAGACATAGCACACAAGAGCACGTACCTCGTTATCAAGGTCTCTGTAAACGAACCTGTTGTTCTTCAGCTGCTCCTTCACGTACTCGACTCGCTTATCCCTTGATTCTTCTGAGACATCGTCAATCCCCATCTCAGCCCAAATATCCCATAACACGTTGAGGGCCAGCTTCCCGAGGCGATTGCGCCACAAGTTGAGGATCACCTGGGACTAGAATGGACATGCATGTCATGCAGTGAATTAGGAAGCGAAATTAGCTCAAGTTTTAGACGTGGAAGTGGTATACATACATTGCCGACAACAGCACGCTTCCCTTCTTCATCGAGTGGCAGCTGCGAGTAGAGAACCGGCCATATCTTGTCAACGGCTTCACCGACGAGCGAGTTGGTCCCGAATGGGTCTCCTTTACTTCCAGCCCAATGGATAAGGGTACACTGGAATTGGTTCCGCCAAACTCGCATGCAAGTCGCTCCAGGTTGACCCCCTGGGAACGGAAGATGGGCCTGTGTCCATCGCTGCTTACCCTTCTTTGTACGGGTAGAGCCATCGTCGTTGAGCTTGGGGACACGGGAAACCTGAACCTATTGAAGGGCACAGAGACGTAGCTGATTGGAGTTGTCGTATCAGGGTTGTTAGCAATGAGAGACGTACTTGGCGAGAACGGCCGACTTTAACTGCTGGGAGGGCTCGACCCTGCTGTTTCACTACGTCTCCTGACGGTTTGCTCTGATCGGTTGCAGGAGTCTGAGTCGGTTTGGATTGAGTGATATCCTGCAGTGCAGTTGGTTTGACAGATACTGAGGGAGCTGCTGGAGTGTGAGTACCACTGTTAGCTTGTTTGCGCTTATGAGCAGATTTCCCCCTTGTCCAGTCGGCTCGGAACCCTCCCTCAGACTTGTTGGGACGTTTTGCGGGTTCTGGGCTAAAATAAAATATCATATGCGATTCGAAAGACTAGTGAGTGATGTGTCTTCTGTAATTAAATGAGAACTAACATACTTTTCGAGTGAACCTTCCATGTACTTTCTCTTCAAGCTAGCGGCGGCATTCGATGGTCGTGCAGAAGCAAGATGACGAGCAGCAAGAACTTCAGAGCGCAGCTCACCGCGCTGGAGCTTTTTCTGTTGTAGTAATTGGGTGAGTTTCAATTAAGCACATCATTATGTAGAAGGTTTGAAAGGTGACGGACGATGCAGCAGACAAGGAAAAGGAAAGGATGAGAACGACTCGGAGAGGCCCGAAGTGGCGTACCTTCTTGCGCTGCGCCAACGCCACATCTTCCTCGTCACTGTCTTCGTCTTCCTCGTCGTCTTGGTCTTGGTCCTCGTCTTCGTCGGCGTGCTGATAGTCATCATCATCGTTCCCTTCTTCTTCGTCCTCGGCACCCTGTTGCTCTTTGCTCAACTCGTACTCGTCATCATCTTCAGCTTCATCATCTTCAAGCTCATCCACGTCACTCGTCGCGGGCCCTGGCGCGTCCGACCCTACTGGCACGTCAAAGTCCATGTATTCACCAGCGTGAACAGCGTTACTGTAGAATCCACTCGTTAGCTTGCTGCAATATGGCAAGTAGGACAAGCCTACGACAACAATCTGGTCCAGAACACTCACCGAAAGTTATCCCCACCATTCACGACCCTCTCCCTCGCGATCTTACGCACCACAACCTCCTTTGCGCTGTTCGCCATTGCAGGGGCCTTGGGAGTTTTTGTGCGGCCTTTCGTACCCTTGGAGCTCTGAGTGGGAACAGGAACAAGGTCGGGACGAAGTTCAATCCGTTCATCATCTCTTTCCTTCTGTCGAGCCCGATCCTCGAGAAATGCAAGCTGATTGACTTTCGTCTTTGCAGCTGCCAGTTGAGCTTGCTCTGATGCGTGCTTTGCTGCTGCTTCCTTAGCTTCATCGGCTCTCTTCTGCTCGCTGGTCCGCTTTGCTCGAGGAGCGTCGGGCAGTCCAGGGTGCTCCTCCACACCACGGCGCGTTGACTTGCGCACGTTAGGTGCCACAGTGCCAGAGTCTGGTGGAACCATCGCTGTGAAAGGTTAATGAGTGAGTAAATGATTTTTTCTGGAGACAACGACACCAGCTTACCGTCTTGTTCAGAGGGCACAGTTTGACGACGAGGAACCCCGGGAGGCTCAGAGGTGTCAGGCTGTAGGTTTGGCTCTGATTTAAACGACATGCGTGAGTCACATATCCAATTAGAATGAACAGAACCATTGCACTGACCATCTTCACCTCCCTCCTCTGGTGCAGTGTCGACCGTCTCCCCACCTTTGACACGCTGAGCCTTGTTATTCTTGCGTTTCTTGTAATTCTTCGCGTCAATACCACCTTTCTGACCAGCAGCTTCAGCGTCACCAACTTCATTGCCAACTGCATGGTCAACTGCTCCAACGCGTCCACCGCGACCGCGACTGGAACCACGACCACGACCACGACCACGACCACGACTCCGACCTCCTCTAGCGCCTCTTCCGCCTCCACGAGCAGCAACGCTTCCTGCGTCCATGCAATTTGAGAGAGAGAACACGAGGTGTACAATGAAAGGCTGGGAAGCAAGTAGGGGGAGGAATTGAATGTGATGGTTGAAGAAAGAGGAGCGGATGTTGGACGCGGCCAAATGACGAGCTGAGGAACAATAACGCATGGGCCGCCATGACACACGGCAGCAACAAAGGTGTGCCAACCGCGCACGTCATAGTTCGGTCGCTTTCGCTGACGTTCCTTGTGTCATGTCGCTTAGCGCGTGCTCTCGTTTCTCTCCTTCAACCACCAACACCACAACACTGTCTCATTTCTGTTCACTATGTATCTGGTACCACTTTTAATCTCTGTATGTTTGTTCTTTGTGGGCAATCTATCCCTTTCATCTACTGTCGTCCATGGCCTCGAGATCCGTGCATCACCAACCGTGAATATCTCCTCTCCGACCTTTCCGTTACATCAGATGGATATCATCCCAGCGATCGCGTCCCCGTCGCTGACCACATCGGCTCGCTCACGACCACGGCATACTCCTCACCGCATCCACCGAATCACCTGCCCTTACCCCCGATGTCCCCAAACATTCTTGTCTCACAAGGGCCGGACATATCATATACGGAGTGTTCATGCAGTCGAAGAAGCTTATGCAGCACCAGCACCAGCTGCAGACCCCGTTGGAGGCCAAGCAGAGCTAGAGGCTCAAGGAGACAACCTATTGGACGGCGATGACCTTCATCTGGAAGTCGAGCCTGCATACGATGACGAGGAGTTCCCGGAGCTAGATGTTCCCCGTGTAATTGCTCCTCAAGTGGACCCTCGACCTCGAGGAATGAAGAACTATCATCCGCGGCTAACTGGTATGCTTTTTTTGTGCAGATCACATATTGTCCTTTGTCAGAGACTGACACGGTGATCACCATTCCGCAGGGAGGCCCTGTGACGCGAATGGAGTTCTGCTTGCTCCTGGTACACCACCATTGCCTCGTACGACCAAATCCAACAACGACTGGTCTCCCTACGAAAACAAGACACAGTTCTTACTCGCCGACTTCCTATACCGGAAAGCACAAATGTCAGCGCGTAACGTTGACGAACTGATGGAGATCTGGGATGAGTATATGTCTCCCTTTGAATCATTTTCGCCGTATACATCTGCTAGAGATCTCCTCGAAACAATTGATCTAACAACACTTGGCGATGCTCCATGGCATGCCCTAAATATCACCTTCAGTGGCGAGGCCGGCCCTACATCGCCAAGCTGGATGTCGGATGCTTATGAGGTCTGGTACCGAGATCCCCTGATTGTCGCACAGAATATCCTCGACAATCCCGATTTCGCCAGTGAATTTGATTACGCAGCTTACGTGGAGCTTGGAACGGATGGAAAACGTCGATGGTCGGATTTTATGTCTGGTAATCTTGCGTGGCGGCACTCGGTAATTCAATATCGATTTTATTGGCGCTGAATTATGGCTGATAGATATGTATCTCTTCTAGGATTCAATCTATGCCGATGATCCAACAACACAGGATGCCATGTACTGCCCCATCATACTCGGAAGCGACAAGACTACTGTCTCCGTCGCGACTGGTCAACTAGAGTACTGGCCCGTGTATTTTTCCATCGGGAATATACACAACAATGTTCGGCGTGCACACCGGAATGGTGTTGTCCCTATTGCGTTCTTGGCAATACCAAAATGTACGTTGAAGCCTTTTTTTTGGCAATATAGATGAAGGCACCACTAACGACCGTTACTTATAGCTACTCGAAGATATGACAATGATGAGGCGTTCCGTGCTTTCAAGCACCGGGTATACCATGCGTCTCTCGATGCAATCTTCCAAGCCATCCACCAAGAGATGACTTCACCGGTCGTCCTTCGATGTCCTGATGGGCATTTTCGTCGAGTCATCTTTGGACTGGGCGCCTACATTGCTGATTACCCTGAACAAGTTACCCTCTCTGGCGTCGTTTCTGACTGGTGTCCAAAGTATGTTCCCCAATTCTGTTAAATTCCCGAGTTCTGTTGCTAACTGAGAGCTTCGAAGATGCACAGCTTATCGCGACGATCTCGATGGCCCTGCCGTTTCACGCACTCAATCTCTCTATGAGGATCTTGTCGACCTTCTTGGGACTGCCGAGTTACGCACAGAGTATGGGATCAATGCAGCAGTCGAGGTATATTTCATCTGTTCAATTTTTCTACTTAATACAAACTGATTCCTTGAAAGCCCTTTACCCTTGATCTTCCCCGAGCAGACATCTATGAAATGATTTCACCAGATGTCTTGCACCAGCTCATCAAAGGCACCTTCAAGGACCACCTGGTAGATTGGGTTGGTGAGTACCTGGCTCTAGAGCATGGGAGTGAGGCGAGAGCTGGAGTATACTTGGACGAGATCGACCGACGGTACATTCATTTATCTTTCTACTAGTCCTTGACACACTCAACTTATCGAACCATCAGGATTGCGGCAACTCCTCCCTTTGCTGGCCTTCGACACTTCCACGATGGCCGCCGGTTCAAGCAATGGACAGGTGACGACTCAAAAGGCTTGATGAAGGTAGCGTGTGATCTGAATGTCATTTCAATTACTTAGCTGTCTGACGCATTATCTTCAGGTGTATCTGCCTGCGCTTGTCGGTCTGGTCGACGATGATATTGTGCGAACAATCACAGCCTTTCTAGATTTCATTTACATTGCACGACGCCAGGATCTCGATGAAATATCCCTCAAAGACCTAGATAGAGCACTCGTGAACTTTCATCGATTTCGTGAGGTCTTTCGCACTTCCGGTGTTCGACCGACTGGGTTCAATCTACCTCGACAGCACTCTCTCGTCCATTACCATCATCACATCGTTGATTTTGGCGCTCCCAACGGCCTTTGCTCCTCGATCACGGAATCACGCCACATCACCGCCGTCAAGAAACCGTGGCGTCGCTCAAATCGAAATAATGCGCTTGGCCAAATGCTTGTTACCAATCAGCGGCTTGACAAGCTTGCGGCCTCGTACAATGACTTTGTTGAACGAGGTATGCTTCCTCGAACTCATTATCCCAGCCTTCCAGAAGGGAGTACTCTTGGCGGAGATGCAGGTGACGACTTTGAAGGTGGCCCTGTGAACGACGAGCGTGTTTCTGGTCATGTTACTATGGCTCGAACTCCAGGTGTGTACCATTTTGTGGATACTCTTGAACTAACAATCACGCTAACTAGTGACATTGAAGCTCGTGGTTATCCCTCTGATCTCAGTACTCTCGCTATTCATATTGGCGAGCCAACACTTCCTGAACTCACACGCAGGTTCCTATATGATCAACTACTCGCCCCCGACCTCGCCGCCCAGGGCTTTTCATCTGATGATGTAGATTCCGTTGATGATCTCCCCTTGATCTTCAGCTCAATCTCAGTCTTTCACTCAGCAGTTGCCACGTTTTACGCTCCAAGTGACGAGAGCGGTATTCACGGCATGCGACGAGAGAGAATTCGGTCGACACGCTCCTGGAGAAAGGGCCCTGCACGTCGTGATTGTGCATTCGTCGTTCAAGATCAGGAAGAGAAGGGGATGAAAGGTTTGGATGTTGTGCGCATACTCCTTCTTTTCTCCTTTCGGCATGATGGAGTGCTTTATCCATGCGCACTTGTACACTGGTACAAGAAAGTTGGGAGGTCTCCCGACTCGGTGAGTGGAATGTGGAAAGTGAAGCCTGACGAGGATTGTCATGGCCGTGTGCTTACCGTGGTTCACCTTGACTCTCTGTTTCGTGCAGCACATCTGATCCCTGTGTATGGGAAGGATTTCAGAGTTCCCTCTAGATGGAAGCATACTGACTCGCTTGATGCCTTTGCTACCTTTTATGTTAATAAGTTCGTTGACCACCATGCTCATGAGATTGCTTTTTGAACTGTACTTCATATTAGTTTCGCCGTTTACTGATCATTTTCTACTTTAATTCCTGTATCTTGGTTGATGATATCTCGAGGACGCAATGGCCAGCGGGGTCCACGCTGACGCCACTTTATGGTTGCCCACTGGTGGGCTAATGGGCCACAGTGGCACTCACTGTAATCTTTTCACATTCTTGCTTATTTCGTTTGTGCACTTTCACTCGTATCCACGCTCTCTCTCTCTCTCTTCTCAAGCTACGTCTTATTTTGTAACCTCGTACACTACTGAAATATATCCACATCCAACATGGTCAAGGCGGATACTGTTCTACTTGTCCGAGCAACCTGAAGCACAAAAATACCAACCTCATATAAAGTACATACAAGTTTCTACTAGTAGGTATTAGACACCACCCTACCAAGCTCTACAGTGATCTACGTGGTATACAGCTCTACAGGAGCCCTCGGGGTTCTACAGCTGTAGACATGATAGTGCACTAGACCCGTTGTAGACCCTATAGGCCGCCGCTGTTTTGCTGATGGGCCAGCGCGTCTGAATTGTGAGCCGTTCACTCATCTCAATTGTCGCCGGGTGAGGGTATGTATGCGGTGATGAATAAACGGTTGCATCGCGACATAAGTACATCGGCTAAGCCTTTTCCGGCATGGTCATTGTACTGCGTTGCTACACGGCTGCTTTGTCCGCCGTGACATCAACTGAATTTGAAACTGACATCCTCCTTCCTCCTCTTAAACTCAGATTATCGCAATACGCCTTACTCCTAATCGCTTTTAGTAAGCTTGGGTCAATGCTCTTCAGTCATTCTTTGCCTGACATGATGGACCGTGCCGTGCCATGACCATGACCACTAGCGATCCTCTACTACGACTACTTTCTCACCCTGCCCACCGAAATCGCCTACTTCTGGCCTCCGAAACATAAACTAACATGGGCATCCTCTTTCTTCATCGCCAATCGATACTTATCCCTCCTCGGACACGTGCCTGTCATATTTGAGATATTCGTCAGTGGAGATGTGGAGTTGAAGAAAATGGTGAGTATGTATGACTGACCAGCTCTCATCTGGGAGCAGTAGGAGAGAGGTCACTGTAATATGTATTGACGGCATGATGGTGGCGGATCGTTAGCTGTGTGGGCCGTTGCGATCATATCATCAGTATTATGCGGTGGCCATGCAGGTTCTCGTCGGTAGTAAGTCATTTCTCTTTTCCTGCAAGTTCCTCTCTTTGCCTCACCCCGCTGACCACAGCATTTTATCGGTGTGGCGGGTATATGTATAGTTCTATGCATGATGCGCACCTACGCGCTTTACAACCGCTCCTGGCGCGTCCTCGGCTCCCTCATCGCAATATCCATCGGTAGCGTCGTCGTCGCGTGCGTGAGTCCGAGCCCATTTTAACATTCCCTCCTTTCTGGCCCACGGAACTTCACCTGGCCGTGCTAACACGCCCTCGGATACATTCCATGGGCTGGTGTTTGTTTGAGCAGTGGGCGATCCTAACGAGTCCGAAGGAACGAGCGGTCAGGCTCGATGTTAGTGTGCCGGGGTGTAATCCTCTCATGTCACAGGACCAGTAAGTAGTACTTACATGTGACAGTGTCCCTTCCAAGTCCGAACCGACCGGCTGTTTTTTCTCGACATGGTATTCTGACTGTGACGGCGTGCGATATACATAACTTAGGGGCAAACGTACGTCCACGGAGTCTACTTATCCTCGGTCGCTCACGAAATCTCATTTCGAGCGAACTTATCTTCATCGATGGTGATATTGCAGGTCTCGCATATGCGTGGACCGGTGTGCTCGTGTTCGATACGGCCATCTTTGGGCTTACGATTTGGAAGACGTTGGCGACGATGCGGGTGTTTTCAACCGGCGGTGGGAGGGGCGGAAGATTGTTGGCCGTGCTTTTGCGGGATGGTACGTCGGCTCGTCGCCTTCGACGAATAATCATCCTATAGTTTCTTTGTGTTCTGGCTCATGGCTCATTGTTGGTATGTGGTGTGTTGGTAACTTTGGCAGGCGCTATGTATTTCTTGTAAGTATTTTGTTTTCGTGGATTTGTGAACGAGTCCGTTTGCATGACCTGAATGTGGTGCTGCAGGATTCTATTTGCGGCCAATCTGTCTAATATTCTACTTCTTCTTGTAAGTCTTCAGACTCAAGATCGCGACGAGTATGATACTGATTTGACTTTTGTCAATCCTGTGGGTCGCTGACTATGATCATTACCTCTGTGCAGTTCGCAACCGTAAGTATAAGCACTCGCCTCATCGTAAACCACAACCCCGAGCTCAACATCTGCATGATTCTCTGGACAACGTACAGCCGCTTCTCAAGAGCGTGAACGTCACGCTCACGAACGTGTAAGTTCCCTTCGTTTAAATCTTCACCCGCCCCATTCTTTATAACAACATTCCACCAGCCTATCCGCGACCCTCATATCCCGCCTGATGCTCAATATCCGTTCCGCCTACTCCCTTTCTACCCGCCGTCGTCGACCGAAATATGACAGACACAATTCGAGCGGCCGACTAAGTCAACCGAATCCTTCCCGAACCCACGACTGGCCTCACACTCAGGAAGGTACTCACGCTGATGCCCACACCAACGCCCATACTCGTATACATACACACACCCATCATCGCCCAGACGGCGGACACGGGCGCAAATATCAAGTCGCCTGGACGGCGGATCCGGAGGGGAGTGATTCGTCTGGTATGGGCTGGAGCGGAGGACAAACGGAGACGGGAACGTCGGGGATTTATTTGGATACGGTAATTCAGATGCCGAGCACGAGGATCGGGACGGGGTCGGGGTCGGGGTCGACTTGGAGTTTTGGGGAGGGAGGGGCGGCTATAGCTGGGGTCGACGAGCCGAGTGTGAGGGTACGCATGGATGATGGGATTGGTTCTGGAGGAAGTAGAGCGTCGAATGGGGGTTTGGTGGATGAGGCTGAGGGCGAGGGTGCTGAGGGGGATAATGATAGGGATTGGATGGGTTGGATGGACGGTGGTGGAGGTGGTAGAGTGGGGGATGTTGAGATGTTCGCGGAGAGTTTTCCAAGTGCTAATTCGGTTCGGGGGCCAGATGAATACGGTGCGTCCTTCCCATTGTATGCTGTTGTTGGGTTTTGGTTGACGCTCTGGTGATGGTGGGAATTGCATTGGTGCTCTTCACGTATGTGGTGACACAGGTATCGAGATGGTACCTCGCCGAATTATTGAAAGGTAGGAATGCGCTGTGTATAAGTATCCGTAGCGCATTGCAATTACATGATCTTTTGCGAATAGGACCATTCTTGCTTGTGGGTTACATCTATCAAGAGGTAGCAAGATGACGGAGTGACGTATGTCTTTGTCAGTTGACTGCCAGAGGCCACGAATGGAGAAAAGTCGAAGCGGGAACCTTTCATTGGTTCAGTCCGTTTCAGGCAGCCATTCTGGCCGTTCTCTCGGGAGCAAGTCCTCAGCTTGCGAACTCGTGTGGCAAAATTGCGTTACAATCGTCGTGTACGATTATCAAATAAAGTTACAAACAACAGGTAAGAACTACAACGTGTATGGAGGTATACAGTTCTCACACATTTTCTACGAACCTTGATCAAGATGAATTTTCGGAGAGCCAATGAGGCACAATATGAGTCAAGTGAGCGCGCTGAGAGTCCTATTTTCGCGAAAGGGAAGAAAGAAAATCATCGAAATAGCACGTCGGAGAAGATTTGTGTGCCATCGTTCTCATCTCCACGAATCGCTGACAGTCGCGGAGCCGCTCGATGAAGTCGTATAAGACCTGTTCGGGTCCGATTCCCCTATACGATATAGTACAAAGTGGTCAGCAAACCCACAGAACTAGGTGTGTTCAAAAAGGGAGACTTAGAAGAAGACTCACAGACGATGCTTCCATCGGACTCTTTCTTGAAGACTGGTGGGTAGGAAGGAACGGTGCGTCCATTGAGCTATTTACATCGCGGGGAAGTAGGTACTAAAGCACTCACATTTATACTCGAACGCCGTGGAAGATGGCAGAGTGACTGTCACGGACCAGAGCGGGTTGCTGGACGTATATTGAGCCGCGGACAGAAGGATCGCGCTCTGTGCAAAGTCGTGACAGCACAGTCAGATTTGACTTCACGCGGCATGCAACAACAGCTTAGAGGATAGGTGAACTGACAGCGGTGTTCCAGCTGCCCAGAGCGGCGATGGACCCGACGAGATAAACGTTTTCCCCGAAACTCGTAGTTTCGAGCTCGTCGAACGTGATAGATACGGTCGCGGAGGTTGAAGTAGGCGCGGTAGACGTGCTCGTGGTTGAAGTGGGTATACTAGTACTCGTCGAACGACATTCGGGAAGGGTATATAAATCAAAATCAAAATCAAAATCACAACGATGAGTCTGCGTGAAGTGTGCGCAGCATAAGGGTTGTATTCACGTAGATCCAGCTATATGACTAGTGGTTAGAGAGAGAATACATCAACGGACTCGGATAGAGACGCACAGGAAGTGTAGATCGCGATAGCGTCGTAGGCTCCAACGGTGGCCGTGAAGGACCCACCGGAGACCGTGTAGGTCGTACTGCTACACACCGTAGGATCGGTGTCGGTGTCGTGGCTATAGAGACGGAAGGTCAAAATGCTTGCATATACGCGAGAGCGATCACCACGTACATGATGTCGCAGTCTGGTGCGATTTTCGGTCTGTAAGCAGGGTTGTTCTGAATCATGAATCGCGGGGATGTGTTACTCACAGGTGCCGTCAGGAAGGGATGTGGAGAAGGTCGCTGACCACGACGACGCAGCATTGTTGATAGCGACGAAGCCGATGCTTCCACGTCCGAACGCTGCAGGAGCCCGTCAGAAATCCTGTGCAGTATAAATGACAGAATAACAGAACCCACCGATTTGGTTATTGGTCCCTTCTTGAATGTTAGTCAACGCAGACGACTGGCCTACCGCGTTATTGAAGCCAACCATGTTGGCGATTGCCTGCCAGCGATGCTCGCCTGCATCGATTCCGAAAAGACAAAAAAGGTTCAGACCGTCGAGTTCGGTTAAGATGAGAATAAGGAGCACACTCACAGCGCCATCCATTAGAGTCACAAGTCACGGCATTAGTGTTTCCGTTTGAGTCCTGTGGCGCACCCTGATCGTAACTCGTGAAGTTGTAGCCGGAGTACACAGTTTTGGCTCCACCATAATTGAACTGCGGTATAAATAGTAAGCAGTATGTTCAGGAAGTGGATAACTGTCATGCTCACAGAGAGGATGAAAATGGCCGAAAGTACATAGGCGTTGTTAGCAGACTCGTAGTTCAGAGACGTAGCGCTGCGTTCCTGAGGGAGAAAGGATCCAAACTGAGAGAGCTGTCATACATCCGAAGAGATGTTGAATTTCTTACTGTGTCTTGGTTAGCGACGATGGAGTTGGCAACGTCTGAGTCAATAAAACCCCAGGCAGAACCCATGGCTGGAATAATTGTCAGTTAGCTTGACATAGTCTTTTTTAGTGTGCGCAAACGTACGCGAGGGCGTCACCATGTTGGCAATCTAAAGTGTACGGTCAGCATGACGAGATCTAGGTATGAGAGAAAAGATGCAGCTTACTCCTTGGGATGTGAAGTAGGTGAGAACAGTCTCCGGCACTCTGAATTCGATGACATCCCTGTCAAGCAATGATATTAGCTACTTCGCCTTCGTATTTTAGGAATCGAAAGGGTTTACTGACCCGTTTCCAACATAATCGGCGGGGCTGACGGCCTCTCCGGCTCCATAGTAGACTTCCTGCGAAGTATATCTCGTCAGAATCGAAGATGGCGTGATGAAAAATAGCAGATGAAGGAACATACTTGAGTATCGTAGTAAGATCCAGACAGGGAGCCCAGTATAGCAGAAATATTGGCAGGCGGAATGCTCTTAGCCGCATCGAGTCGGAATCCGGCGACTCCCTAACGAGAAGCAAGAATTGTCGGTGTCAGAGTACCAAACGGGGAATCGGGCACGTACGATGTCAAGAAGATTTTGCAAGTAACCGGCAATGGAGTCACGGACAGAGCTCTCTTCCTGGGCAAGATCTGCAAGACTATCAAGCTTGATAGAAAAATAATATTAGTATCGTATGCTCAAGATCAGCTGGGTCTGGCGTACCTCACAGAACCAAACACTGTGCACAAGGTAACCCATTAGTATATTTGATCGACCCAGACATACAGAAGACTCGAACGCACTCAGTCGCATTGTCGTAGTTACTGATATCCTTCGCGCCGTTAGCACCATTGCAGTAATGGAAGCTGCTCGACGTGTAAGGTACCGCTGGGCTGCGAGTAAGGATGAGCTTGTGTATCCGAAAGATGTAGAAAAATTACTCACTAATCGTACTTGCTGTACGTGTTGCCGGCGAAACCAGTCCCGGAGCCGCTATTCGGACCCATCAATGTCTTGTCCGCTGTGCATGTGAAATACAGACATACGCGGTCATATGGTTGGTAACGGCGTCGACGATGATACCGACGCCAGCATCAGCGCAAGTGGAGACCATGCTCGCAAATTCGGCCTCGGTACCGCGTCTACTCGTCAAGGTGTACGAAACAGGCTGATAGTCGCACCTGGCCGTTCTGTGAGTACGCTTGGCTGTCCAGAACAATAACAGGTATTTCTTACCACCACTGCGTGCCAGTTACTATAAAAGATCGGGATCAAATCAACTGGCGTAGTCGGTATCCGGATGTAGAACGTACTGTGCTCCATAGGAGGGCTGACTTGAACATAGCCGTACCCAAAAGGTCCTAGATACTATCAAAAGACGTCAAGGAATGATTATATGCCATCAAGTCGAGACCGTACATCAGTGCACTCGGTCGCGATGCTGCACAGAGTGAATGCGAAGAAACCAAACGCAATCAGTTTCGAGATGCTTGTTCCAATGACAAAAAGCCAGACCTTGTCCAAGGCCATTCAAACATCTATAAAGGCGACGTAAGTACACCCATTAAACTGAGTACAAGATGAAAGGTGCGGCTTGCCTGGGCGATAACATTGTTGGAGCTCGGGGTAGAACGAAGTGCAAGGTGGGTACCGAAGGTCGCGGCGGACGATGACCCAGCAAGAGCCAGGGCAACGAAGGGGGTGAAAGCGAGCATATTGCCAGTGAACGAGGGAACCGATGTAGAGAGAGGAACCGAGTATCACGCTTTTAAGGAAAACTGGTATGCATGGTGGTATAAAACCTCCGAGAAACCAGCGGGCGGCGTCAGGCTCACCTGCGACAATCTGCAGCAGTCTCAGGGAGGGCAACCAAAGCATGATTATCATCAGGGAATATGGTCCTCAGAAGAACGTGTTTGACAGACAGGGAAGGATGGCCAGCAGAAACTCTGGGCCACTCTCCCTAATCCGGAAAGACGATGTGAGATGCACGCGGTTGACCAGGGCGATCGGGAAAGGTACCATATGCGCCAATACAGTCAACTGATCCTCATAGGTTCTGCGAAGCACGATGTTGACTACCAACGAACTCTGGCTCCTAAGCGGAGACTCGCTGGTAGCGTCATAGACAGCAGAATATCGTGACCATATCTATTTCAGTTATAGGACCCGAAAGAGAGGAAGCTGGAAGTCGAAATTTATCACAATAATAGTTGACCACAACCATCGAGCATGTGCATTGATCACAACATGCGAGCAAACACCCTTTGTAATGTTGCAAAATCAGGCAGCGAGATTGATGCCAGAATGGGCAACTGCAGGTCCTTCAAAAGTAGGCGGATCAGAATACAATCCAGGTCCGGTAGTCAAGAAAAGGATCGTACCATGGTACCACCATCCCAAAGAAGACGGTGCAGAGGAGCATGTTATTCGAAGGAAGCGTCCGGGAGCGACTTTCGACGGCTCCGGATTCGAGATGGGAAAGAAGGACCCTCCCTTCCAAAACCGGCGCCCGTCCTTAGATCTCAGTTTTTCAACCGGGAACCCCTTTGGTGAAGAAACTGAAGAAAACCGGGAGCAAAATCCCAATATGAGCACTCACTCATTGAGAACGCCGGTGACGTGGAAATCCGACAATCGCCCAGCTTGCGACTGCTGTTGTCTTCGCACCGGCTGATCATGCAAAATCCCATCGTCAATTTCGAAGTTGCAGACGGCTGCGCATACGTATACACCAAGGGACAGTGTGGAGTGGTCCTGAGTTTTTTCTTCAGATGATATCGTGCTTTCGTTGTGCGATCAGCGGGGCTCGGGGGCTTGTAGTCTCCCTAAGGCAGAGTAGACAGGATTCCAACTGGACGAATCAGAGTACATTCTTTCTGAGACTGACGATCAACAGAAGGGGAAAGCAAGCAGTGGATGACCCAGGAGTGAGTACTGATGGTGCGAGACGACAATCTGAGACATTGAATGCTTGAAACATCACTCCATACAGCCTCGATGATGTCGTCTCCGAGAGTCCCAGCGGCTGAGAGACACCTAGGAGCAGATCTGCATCGTGGCGAGGATGGAACCAACAAATGTATCGGAATCCAACTGGATGGTTACCATAGGATAGCTCATAGTAGTCAGATACTTTTAACTCTGAGTGTCAGCAAGAAGAGAGGTGAGAGCAAGGTGAGAGGTCGAAGCAGATCCGACGGATAACGCAGTGCAAATGGCTCTGGGAGGATCTCCCGAAAATGCTAGACAATGACCGAGAAGGTTCCAGGCAATCCACGGAAGACGATATGGGGCATTGCTAAGTATTCGTAGACTGAAGGAAGTGTGTTCATGGGCAGAAGCAAAATGTATCTGTCCCAAGAAACTGTCCCTAGCCGGAGTCGAGCCGGCGGCTTCACGGATTGACGACCGCCACAACGTGATGATTTAACCACTAATCGATAGGGACTTAAAAATGAGCCTGAGCATTGTCAATATAGTTCTCTTTGTAGTTTGTAAAACTCAAGAGTAAAATATCACCGTTCCATTGGGAGTGGCCAGAGCCACGCAACTCCACCTCGAGTTGTTGCAGTCCCAGTACTTGAACTAGACGAGCTTAGATGCCATTCGACCAACTCTCCTCCCACACGAACATCCACACTCTCGAAAAGTGATGCGTAAAAGAGATGCGTTATATTCATTAAGAGCAAATAGTTCGCCCTCTTTTGATATACATATGGAACTTCTTTCAATGACGTGACAATCATATCCGATGATGAGTGAGGCAATCTACAGTAAAAGCACAAGCAACCTCTCATGACTGAAATCAAAACAGAAGGGACGAAGGGAAAGGAAGAAAGCAGGCGTGAAGCAGAACGAAACGAAACGACATGACATGACGAGACAACCAAGAAACGAAAAACGAGAAGACGCCTATGCCATCTTGCTCAACACCCTCGGCTGCGAAAGGTCTGCCATGTTGATGAAGATATCGTCGGCGGGGTGGCGGTAGAGCGGGCTCCTCAACCTCTTCTGGTCGAGATGGTGACCGATGAAACCGATCGAACGACCGAGAACGAAGAGACCGTTGAGCGTGCCGATCTTGATGTACTCGTCCGCCTCCTCCGGTGTGAAGGCGCCAGAGTCGCGGAGAAGGTCGACGAAGCAGACGGCGATGCAACCGTCGACGTTCAGGATGAGGGTGTCCTTCTTGGACGTGGTGACCTTCTCGACGGCGAGGGCGTAGTCGAGGAGGGAGTGCGATGGGAAGTTCTTGCGGACGTACTCCTTGACGAGCTCGACACGCAAGTCGGGGTTGTTGACGCTCTTGATCTTGTGGCCGATACCAGAAACTGAACAAAATGAATCGATCAGAATGGGAAGAAATGGGAAGAAGAGGGAAGAGAGTATTGCGAAGGTTACTCACTGAGCTTGTTCGCCTTGCGGGCGCTGTCGACGAACTCGCGAGGCGTGAGACCAGTGTCACGAGCGTTCGAGAACATGGAGGCAGCCTCATCAAGGGCACCACCGAATCGGGAACCAATGGTCAAGAGACCAGAGGCGAGCGACGAGATGAGGTCCTTGCCAGCACGGGTGGCGACGATGGTGTTCATGGCACTATAATGAGAAGTACATAAATAATCGTTCGAGACGAAAAATAAATTCGGGAACGTACCCAGACACGGCGGGACCGTGGTCGGCAGTCAACATGAGGACCATCTCGATGAACTTGGTAGCCCATTGCGGCAACCTCCTCTTGAACCACAGCAGCGAGACGACACCACCGAGACCGATATCCTCTTTGAAGACATCCGAGATACGCATGCCAGCGTAGAGAAGCTCCTGGCCACGCTCGTCGGAGATGGTGGAGATGAAAGCAGCGGGCTTCCTGATGAGGCCGAGCTCCTGCGCCCACTTGTAGTCCATGGGGATGACGGGAGGCTCACGCTCGGGAACGGGGCGGATGACACCCTTGCCGACCAAGCTGTCGTAGGTCTCCTTCAACACGTAGGGCAGGTCCTCGAACGTCTCGGGAACGATGAAGCCAGCGGCGCGCATGGCCTTGTTCTTCGCATCGGCGGTCTCCATGTCCGAGTTGGCCATCGAGCCAGCGTGACCGAACTGAACCTCGGTGGTGAACATCTTCGCGCAAGTACCGATGGCCCAGGCGACGATGGGCTTCTTGATGACACCCTGCTTGACGGCCTCGATGACGCGGTACTCCTCGATACCACCGACCTCACCGAGCAAGACGAGCATCTTGCACTCGGGGTCCTGCTCGTAGCGGAGCAAGTGGTCGATGAAGGTCGAGCCAGGGTAACGGTCACCACCGATGGCAACACCCTCGTAGGTACCGTTGGTGAAGATGGAGAGGATGTTGTTGAGCTCGTTGGACATACCACCGGACTTGGAGACGTAGCCGACGGAGCCAGCGCGGTAGAGCTTCGAGGCGATGATGTTGTCCATCATACCACCAGAGTTACCGATCTTGAAGCATCCGGGCTTGATACCACCGACGGTAGCAGGACCGATGATGAGGACACCCTTGGACTGGGCGAGGTGGAGGATCTCACGGGCGTGACGCTCGGGGACACCCTCAGCGATGATGGCGATGGACTTGATCTCGGGGAAGGTGAGGATCTCCTGGGTGCTGGAGTAGACGGAACGGGAGGAGGCGAAGTTGACGACAACGTCGACATCGGGGTGCTTCTTCACGGCCTCACCGACCGAGGTGTAGACGGGGAGAAGGGTCTCCTTCGTTCCCCAGTAGAACTTCTGGATATGATGACCACCGAAGGGGTAGATCATGGCAGCGACGGAAGGTGTAGCACGGCCGCAGGAGAAGTCAAAGTCGAGCATACCCTGGATGGCACGGGGCTGGAGACCGTAGACGAAGGACTTGGTGGTCGCATCGAAAGGACGGTAGGAAGGACGGGCGTGGGTGGTGCCAGGCTCGAAGCGAACGATGCCGTCCTCTGCTTGGGTACGTGAGCCATCCGCGTGAACGGCACCAACACCTTCGCTCTCGGGGAGGGCACCACTGCTGGTAGCAGGAGGGCTTGAAGGGACGGAGGGGGCGGCGGAAGGAGCGACGGACTTGGCGTCACGCTTGATGCCCAAAGCGAGGGGAACGATCTCAGTGATGTGGGTCTCGGGGCCGAAAACCCTGATAGGGACACCAAGAGACTCGCCGAGGAGACGCATGGCTTTGAGACCTTCCTGGTAGTTAGGTCCACCGCGACGAACGTAGATCTTTACAGAGTGGTTGATGAGGGCAGCCTTGTACTCTTTGAGGGCACGGATGATACCCTTGAAAGTAGCGGCGACGTTGGTGAAGTTGGCGATACCACCACCGATGATGAGGAGCTTGCCCTCTGGGTTGGGCGTGCCGCGAGTGATCAAGTCGACTAGAGAACCATCTCAGGACTGAGCTTTAATAGAAGGCATAGAGACTAAACTCACTGATAGTCTTGGCGTACTCGTAGGTTTGACCTTCAGTGGGAGCACCGGAATATTCTCCGTAGTTGGCAAGCTCGTGTGCGAAACCGTGAGCAGCGATGGCATCAGAGTAGACAACGGAGGCACCACCACCGGCAACCATAGTCCAGATACGACCTTCGGCGTTGAGGACGGTCAACTTGAGAGAGGCACCAGTCGAGGCGTCCAACTTCTGGATGTAGGCCTCCTCCTTGGTCAAGTCACGACCGAAGGGAGCGGGCCAAACCTGCGCGGAGTAACAAATAAAATAATTAGTGAGTCTGCTCGGACTTAACAAAAATGTGTAGTGCTGACCATAGGAGGACCACGGTCGGCAGAGATACCCTTGCCCTTGACGGCAGCAGCATCGTAGACAGTCAAGTCGCGGGCAATAGCCCATTTAGGGCCACAGATAGAGTCGGCGGTCTGGTCGAGCTTGGCAGCCATGTCCAGATAGAAGATCTGGGGCTGACCACCGTCGACGGCATCGAGGCAGATGAGGGGGTTGATTTCGAGGTAGGCGAAGTGGAGGTCGACGTAGACGGAGTAGAGGCGGATGAGGAAGTCGACGAGGTAATCTTTCTTCTCGGCGGGGACGTGCGGGAGGAGGGTGGAGGCGATGACTTCGCGAGATGGGAAAGGCTTTCCGACGTTGATGTCGAGTTTGAGGGCTTTGGCGTCAACATCACCAACGTCGACACCACCTTCGTGGGTGAAAAGGATGGTATCGCCTTCACGCTGGGAGTTGATGCAGACGTAGTACTCGGTGTTGGAGGGGTGAGGGAGGAAAGGCTCGAGAATGAAGTTGTTCAAGGTTCCCGTGACGGATTCAACCTGGGTGAAAAGATAGGGGCGGATTACGTGTAAGCGCAAAGCCCGTGGACGCGGTGAGGCGAGAAAATGAAGTAAATGAGGTCACGTGAGCCGAACGCGCTGCAAGACGCGCGCTCGAATTCGAGGTCGGACGTATGAAGGAAGCATCTTTGCAGGCTGGATGCATTCCATCATGATAGAGTTCAGACTCGATCAGACAAGACATGCATGCCAGCTGGCAGGTGTGCAATTCGCACAAGGCCTGAAATTCGGATCCGATAACTGTATGGAACAGGGGGATAACAAGAGAGATGGGAATTAGACGGGCACCTTTTGGGGCTTTCCAGCACGCTCAGAAATCCATGGCTTGGCCTCGTCCCAAGTCTTGTTGAGAGCGAGGAGGCCTGCCTTCCCGCGACGCTTGATGAGCTGGTCAGGCTTTGCGACGAGCTTGGTGGTGAAAACCCAGCTAGGGAGCTGAGTGTCGGGTGTGATGGTGTTTGTGGCGGGATCCCATGAGACCTGAGCAACCTTTGGTGCAGGGAAAACAAAGTTGGTCGTAGACTTGACAGCGGGGTCGACGATAGGTGCGCGCTCGAGCCAGTAGGCAAGCAAGAGCTTAGCGTCGTACTCGCGGATAGCTATGGAACGTCGATGAGCTGATGAGAACGGTAGACGGGATAGATATGGGTACCTTTGGAAGACATTTTGCGAGTGCTGAAGTCTAGGAAGAGAAGGAGGAAATAAAGTCTAGTCGGAGTCGGGGGAGGGTTTCAGACGGGCGCAGACGCACAAGCTCTGGTATTTATTTCTCGGCCGTCGAGATGGAAAGGCCGATGGGGATATAGCCCCCAACTTTCACACGCCGCCGCTGGCCTCCTCCAGACGTAGCGCCACACCGCTACCAATTTTCGTCTCTGCCCGTCCTCATCGTACCATCGCATTCCACCACTCAACCAGCCAATCCTCGTCCGTCCTCCTTCTCGTCACCGCCCCCGCCCGAAACAATACGCAGATCCCGTCTCTCATTTTTTGAATAGATCTCGTTCATTATTCCTAGGTATGCCCGCAGGTGATACTCCTCCCTGTCGATTTGTAGCTGGTCAACCAGCGCTCTTACTTGCCAACCTCACCGCACACATAAGCAGTCGAATATGCCGTTGTCTCACATCGTTCGCTGAGACTCTTTTCTCGCATAAACCGTTCGATTGACTAATCCCGCTCGCCGCATCTGTTCCATCATCTCCTCGAAGGGCGGATTGACCCCTAGGAGCATGACTATCAGCACACTTTGTTATCCTCCCTTTTGACGCTCGCCACTAACACAACAGCGAATGCTAACTAAAACTCTTCGGTCAGCCACTGCCACCGCCACTAAACCGGCGCTGACCACCCCTTTACTCGTCGATCTTTCGTGTTGGTCTCTCGGACGACGTTCACGATAATTTACCGATTCATCCTCGTAGTTTGTTGGTGTCGTATCTCCGCACCAACTGCCGTAGGTTTCTCGCACGGTAGAGTAGCATCCTTATCCTATTCCCCCGTAGCGCCGCAGATGAATGTATACTACTCGGTCACGTATGTAAACCACAGTCGTATCATGTCCGTGGAAAGTTTTGTTATCGCGTCGAAAAGCCCTCTCCGTAACGCTGCGTCTACCCCTGATCCGGTCATACCGCCCGTTGATTCAGTATCGGTAACAAACGCGCCAGCACAGCAAGACTGCATACCTAAATGAGACAATTCTTACACGAAGCACGAACGAACCGCTTCCGTATTCATCTGAAACCCTGAAACATCGCCTGATAATTGTGACGGACGCCGACAAGAAATCCTGCGAATCGTACGTTCGACGGACGCTTGACGCTTGTGCTTTGTGTTGTGCTTTCGCTGCCATCACAGATTCACACTGTCGCGTATTGTCAAATGGAGGGATGGATGTGATCACGAAGTGGTATTACAGTTACAGGAGCGAATAGCCGCCCGCTTGATGATACATGAATGATGATGGTTTGCTGAGCTGGTGTGAAGAGCACTGCGATCAGGCATCCATATGGTATGCGCTGGCGGCCGCACAGATTGAGTGAGACTGCATATGCGCGACCCGCATGTGTAAGTGGTAGGTGCAGGGATCACGACGTCGGTGCCTATTCGACGTCCACCGTTGGACATACTCGCTCGCGTCGTGAATTCAAAGCGAAAAGTAAAGCGGACCCCTGAAGACAGTGACGAGGACGCACCAAAAACTAGTTGAGTAAGAAGGTGCCACGGCGTTGGCGAAGGGTCTGGTCCGGTCCTCCGCTTTGAAGAAAGCAGGTGTTGGGGGCTGTAGAAGAACTTCGTTGGAAGCAAGCAAGCCTGCGCAAGACCCTCAATTTTCTTGGACTCGAGAGCTCCAAACGTCACGGATTCCAAGCCAAGCCGATCGAATCGATGATCATCGCGATACTCGTCCGAATGAAGTTCCACGGGAGGACACCCCAGTCTTGAATCGCCAAACTGTGGACGAGATGGAAGACGAAATAGGGGTGGAAGGGAGGAGAGGCGAGAGAGAAGAGGAGGCGAGGCGAGAGGGAAGAGAAGGAGAGGCGAAAGGGTGGAGAAGGGGAGGCGGAAATGAAGAAAACAAAACACGGAGAGGCAGAGGACGGGAGCCGACGACAAAAATAGACGTCGACTCAGACGAGACCGTTCTCGAGTGTTGTGCAAGCAGGAAAAGGGACGGGAATGGGTTACGAGGATGAAAGGGACGGAGTGACATGTGAAGACGGTTCCGGAAAGCGAGGCCATGCTCGTGATATGTTTGTTTTTCGTTGCTATATAAAACAGAGAGGATCATGCAATGTTGGAGAGGTCGAGGGAACTCACCAAATGTGTACTCAGGCGCTATGAAGCACCGAAATCTGCTTCGAATTGTCGTGCATGGTAAGTCGTGGGACAGTGCGCGAGATTTGACGGTGAAGTCTGGGTGCATGTCTGTTGTCTATCATAATTGACGTCGCGTCGGTCTGATTGGGATTAGGGAATCGTGGGGAAGCGGGGTATAATCGATCCTCTATTTCAGGTAGGCATGCACGGGCCATCGTCTTGTCGTAGCAGATGAAGGAGATCGCCAGAATAGATCGAGTAACAGGGCTCCGGTGACCTGCGGGGGCGGGGCGTGGAAGTGCGGGGTTTAAGGTGGAAGAAAAAATTGTGAACGGTTTAATATAAAGGAAAGGAGAAGAGCACAGGCGGAGGCGGAGTCTTGAAGCACTCACGGAGTATATTGAGGAAGGCCAACCCGGTTTCACACGAGGAGCTCGGGACGGATTGGGGTGCAACGGTGAAATATTTGAGGGATCGCGGGCTTATGCATATGACTTTTCGGGTTTGATGGGTTCCTGTGTCGCGGTCAAAGCGCCAAGTTTAACCTTGAAGCTTGAGAGATCGAAACGTGGGGGGATGATCATGGGCGAGTCAACGGAGCTTCATCGTGTAGGTTAAGGGGTCGGCACGGATGAAGGAGCGGTCAAGTGTGCGTGTCGACGATGCTTTGATTATGTCAGTTCGCACCAAGGATGAGCAGCCAGTCTGACTTCGACCTCAGATCCAAGCTAAATGTACAGAGAAGAAGCACAGATCAACACCACTGAATTGACCTCGAGATGAACAGGTGACAGAATTGTCTTTAGAGTGGGCTGTTGTTGAACATCAGAACAGATAACCGAGTCCCAGGTTGGCGCTATGGTCACCGACACTTTGTCATCCCGGATACGGATCAATATGCGAGTGGTCTGCTTACAAGTCGAGAAGGAATGACGGGAGACTTTGTGAGCTTGTGAGAAACATGACAGTTACCCATGGCTCTGCTAGTAAAGACGAGGTTCACAGCGCTCACCGCCAATAAAAGCCCACGGAGTACCGGGATTTCCTCTCCGCAGACCGTTGCTGATGAAGTTCCGCCGGCGTCAAGGGTAGCAAAAGCCCTTCAGTCAATGCGTAGCATCTGCTTCGGCCAGGCCACTCACAAAGCCGAGGAGTAGATCCTAAACATAGCCAGGTAAAAATGACAGGGCGCAACTCACCAAGTCGCTGAGGAGATATGGATGGAACTGTATGGGGCTGAGGAGAAGGAGGGGTCCTGGACGAGGTTGTATTCCGTTGTACGCATATGGCCATGGTCCATCGCCGGGCAAGGGAGGTTGAGTTGCAGGGTCCTACCGTGCCAAAGTGGTCTGGGTGTCGTTAACCAGCTGGACATGAGACATCGACCATGACGGTCACTGGGAGGGGTCGCGTTGCGGACGTCTGCTTGTTGAACTGGCGGTGACACAACTGGCTAGCGTCTGTCGGCGAGAGCCGGATCCGGAAGAGCCCGCACACAAAGTAAGCCACTGTGGCGCACTGGGTCTGTTCGTCTCCAAAATACTATCACTGGCCCTTCGTTCGGATAATCCGGACTGCAAAAAAGCTAGCTCACGCAGTATAAGGTCTCTTGCCATGAAACTTTGCAAACACAATGCCCCCTACTGTAGGTACATGCCGATGCAATTTTGTTGTGGATTGCTCGGGAGAAAGGTCGTCGATCGGGGGGTGGGACCGTCGATCGGACAGCCGATCCCGCCAAAGTGTCCGAAACGCCCCCCTCCCCATTCGACCTCCCACTGTCATTATTGTACTCAAATCACTTCGCAGATGGTCTAGTGGTGATTTAACATGATTTATGAGAGCTTTAACGGGGAGAAACGATAGGGAATTGGGCGTGTTTTTCGCGCTGTCCGAACGACGGTTTGTCCGAACGAGGGGCCACTGATAGTAGTACGCTTGTCAGGGTTCGCAAGAAAACATACGAAACAAGTACATGAGATGCTCCGGTGAGTAAGCACGTTATAATGATGAGACAGTTTTTGAAGTCATGATCAATGGGGGGTCGCGCGAGGAACCTAAGGCGACGGAGAAACTCGCCAAGTCAATTATAACGCCCAAGAAAGCTTGAATAGACTCCTTTTCTTGCACCATCATCTGCTTCTACCGAAGACGATTTGGCTGAGACACCTGTGCCACCGTCGTAATTGAGCTATAGGGTCCACACCCTGCAGTTCGAGGTCTTTTTCATGTCGAGGGGCGGATGCAGTCTGCACAAGTAGAGAGTATACGTAGGTTGTGGTAAACCTACTCCACATGCCGGACTCCGGTTACTTTTCTCCTTGAATTGCCGTCAATATTCTGCGCTAGTAGTTGGTCGGGCTTGCGTGGGTATTGAGGATCCGTGTCCATTCGGATGATGGGACATGAGCCAATGAGATCGCCAGTACATAGAGGCGTACCAGAGGCCTTCGTCGTATGTTTTACCGGATCCTGGATAATGTTGCAGAGCGCGCCGCCTCGAATAGGACGAGGGACGAAGGAAAGAGGGAGAACACAAAGTTTGAGTTGGTTCCTGTCATAATTGGCAATTACCCCGCACTTCGGTCAGGCCCGAATTTGGGTCCGACTGCTCCGGACCCCAGTCTCGACAGAAAAGCGGCTCTGGGCTTGTGCGCACTCCCCGTAAGAGCCCGAGGACTTTCTGCGCCTTTCTGCAACCCCCACATCCTATACGGGGCTCTCGCTTATATGGACCTCTGACCAGCACACTAACTTCTATACTTTGACATTCTCTCATACTTACGGCTACCTCGCCCGCCTCTGGCTTATCCTCACCCCGTACATCTCGTACAGCCCCCAACTAACCCCCCGACTCATCGGCGACCCAGTCTTGTGTGTTGTCCTCGATCTCACCTCTCCTGACCTGTGCGCAGAAAAGAGGAGCAATTTCAGTGGAGACCACCTGTTATAAGGAGTAGCTCACAAGGTGCGCGTGTGACCCAGTACACCTGATTCAGAAGCTCATTCTTGCGCTCTATATCTGCTTCCATCCCTATCCCCATGAACCGCAGCTTTTACCACCAGGTGTACTTACCGCCCATCTCTTCGACTCCATCAAGAAGTCTAACCACGCTTTTGGAGGCTCGTTTTACCGCGCGTAAGTTTTTTCAGCCTAAGTCGAGCATCGCATCTCCAGTCGCGCACGGCCGCTCACTCCTACCGTTCCTCCATACAGCTTTGCTGATTCCACGCACTACTCTCCACTATCCCATCAACGCTCTTACACACCGGTTGCTAGCGTTTTGAACAGCCATCAGCGCCATTAGCAATTCGACAGCTCGTCAGGTGCTACGACGTCAGTTTGCATAGCACTCGTTACAAAAGCCTCCCGCTCAGTTAGGCTTTGCGTCCCCCTCCCGACACTCCCACTCTAACGCCCTATCTACGACACGACCTCATTCACGACCACATTCACGCCCAAACGATGCCTCGCCGACCATCACACCAACCTTCGATGCCTGCCATGCAGCAATCCTTATACTTCCCTGTCGATATATCAGAGATGCCCGCTAGCACTCGCACATCATTCACCCGAGTCGATCACGATCGTCCGGGCACTTCTGGTGGACCACCTGTCGTGCCACCTCTTCCCGACTTGAACCTCCTCGACGGCCGATTCGATGGGCATCGGAGGATATTTTATGATTATTTGAGAGACGGAGCTAGGCCGGTGACCGCGGAGGGTGATGCCCCACCCGGGGAGTATCGAATGCGAAGGGAGGTTGTGGATGACTACATCGTGGCTGGTGATGCGGACACAGAGGAAGGCGTGGAGGTGCATGGTGGTCAGGAGCGTAATTGGGATCACCATTCGCCAGTGGATACCCCGCAGCCAGGCAGCCGACTCGCAGCCGAGCCCACTTCCCCGAACCGGCCTTCACAAGACGGTGCAAACAGTCAAAACTCGTCACAGTCCGGTTCATCTCCGGAGCTGCCTTCACAAATATCGTTGACAATTCTGCTTGTCGATGGCAAACGAAAAGTCATGATATTCGACTCGCGTACAACAGTTGGACGGGTGAAGGAGTTGGTATGGAACACATGGCCAAATGGTAAGTTTTATGTATTCTCTGTCCTTGTCTTTCTCCATTCGCTCCAGTCTACATCATGCTTGTCGGGGAGCAGTGTGTCTCGTGCACTATCGCTATAGTGCTCATTCATGCGATCACGCTCGCTTCTTGGGCCACACGGGCAAGGTATGAATGCGACACTGGTTCCAGATGGTCACATAATGCAGCACCTTTGGCTTGATGCATTCGATGTGAACTACGCGCGACATTATGAAGTCCATGTTCTCTGGTATTCGATCCCCTACGGGTATAACGGCGTTACTCACTAGTCTCCTCCTATGTGTATAGACTGGCAAGAGCAACCACGACCAGCTGGTCCCGCATATCTTCGTCTACTTCATCTCGGAAGAGTCCTCGTAGATGAGGATACGCTCGATCGTGAGTCTTCGTTCTAGCATTTTGTCCTCCATCCATTCGTTGACATGATCTGTGTCTCAGAACTCTCAATACCACGTCCCGCATTTCGTCCGGACGATCCGAATCCTCCAGTCGCAAGTGCCGTTGTCCATCTCTCCATTCGGTCATACGTACCACCTGTCAAGGGATCCAAAAGGCGCATTGGGCTATTCAAGGCGCTGGGGACGGGTTGCTGCTGCGTGCAATAAGCCGCTGATCTATTTTTCTTCTATGTCTCGCTCTCGCGGGATTGCTTCATGTTTGTTGGGATGCCTGATTTCTGTTTTCGTGTGTGGTTACTCTGCTGCTTGATTTTTTTTTCTCGTGAGGATAGCTTTCATTCTGCTGTGTATTTCTGTTCTCGCGCGTCAAGTCCTTGGGTCGAGCTGGCCCATGGGCCATACCCCATTCACCACGCGCCACTGTCACTCGTTCCTGCTGTACGGGGCTTTACCCCATGACTACCCATATCACCCTCCTTGGATCCTTTCTCACCCGCCTCTCTCACCTTCATCGCAGTATTATTCATCCCGAGCGCCGCCCCTTTACTCTGTACTATACACGTCGCCGTCCTCACTCCGCGGATATCATCTTTTCTCCGATTCCTGCTTTTTTACTTACATATATTGTATACCTTAATTATTGACGAGTTCCATAGTCGTCGCTTCATCTATTCATGTACATGATTGGCACGGCTATCCGTGCTTTCAACCCTCCACTTGCACTTCGTCGTCCCCGGATAGCCCCTCACTTTCCAGTACTTACCACTGTTGCATGCGCCACATTTGTTGCCTGTCCGCTTTTTCTGTATATTCACATACTTTGTATATCACATGCGTATCGTACCTAGCTGAGATCTGAGATTCATAGGGATCATGTTCATCACCGACCGTTTTCTTCGTTGACTCAGATGCGAGCACCTGAATGAGCGTTGGCGATGTGAGAGCCATATTTTGTGGAATTGGTCTCAGTGGGAACCGTGACGCCACCCTTTCCCAATGGCCATCCTGATCCGGTCCGGGCTGGTCCGGGCCGGCTTCGAGAGTTTAGTGGCGGTGCCACAATCGCTTTCCTCTGAACTTCCACAACTTTCAACGAACCACCACTGGTCAGTATCCAGTGCTCTACACCAAACCTTTCCATGCTGCGACTCAATGGATGGTATCCATACACCAGCTGTGCTCTGTCTCCTGCTACGCCATATCAATCCTCGTTTCTTGTCGTCTTCAGGCTTGCTTGGCACTGATGCGGTCCCAATGTTCAGAGCAACAATCCGCGAGGAAGCATCTGAGAGCGAAAGTTGGTTGAGACTCATCTTTTGTATGCGTAAGAGTGCCTCCGGACCGTCTTCGAGAGTATGGACACCATCCGGGACTTATTCTACGCAAACCATCCGGCTGGTTGTCAGGCGACCACTTCACGAGTCCTTGCCTATGTATATCGTCCATGATGCGGGCATCATCATCGAGAGGTACTTATAAGAGAGGCCTTAGTATGATACATCTTGCGTCTTCTCGTCCTCGTTCTCGAAAATAATGTTCAGCACCACATACGCTCGCGCCTTTCTGGCACTGGTACTTTGGACCGGCTTCACCTATGCACTAACAATCAGCTCGCCTCTTGGACCTGTAGTTGACCTCAGTTACGCCGCGTATGCTGGTAACGCGACTTCACCCACCGGAGACGCGAACAGCAGTGTCGTTTTCTTTGGTGGAATACCCTACGCGCAGGCTCCGCTAGGAAACTTGCGTTTTCGAGCCCCTCAGCCGTTGAACGAGACTGCGACGGGGAATGGCACGGTTGTTGACGCGAGGAACTTTGCGACGCCGTGTATACAGCAGCCTGCTGTACTTGGGGTAGGCTCCGAAGGTACGTTTGCTTTTGTGACCGAGGAGAAGTAATCGAATCAGAGTCATCTTCTTTATTAGATTGCTTACGCCTCAACGTTTGGAAACCGGCGAATGCGACCGAATCGTCTAACCTTCCCGTCGTCGTGTACATTTATGGTGGAGGACTCTACGCGGGTACCACCCAAGGCTTTCCCATGTACGACTGGGTAGCCGAAAATCAAGGTATCGTGGCGGTGTCGGTTTCCTATCGGCTCAATGTACTTGGGTTTCTGTCTGGCTCTGCGGTAGGAGAGGCACCTGATGCGGACTTCAATGCTGGTCTGCTCGATCAACGTGCAGCGTTGGAATGGGTTCAACGCAATATTGGAAAGTGGGTCTGAATTTGTACCACTATTTGAAGATATATATTCGAGTAACTGCTTAATTCGCTACTCTTGACTTTAGGTTCGGAGGTGATAAGGACCAAGTTACAATTGACGGGGAAAGCGCGGGTGGGGCAAGTGTAGTTATGCAGATGGTGGCCTATGGAGGTATGTGAGCTGTTCCACTCTTTATCATGACCTAGTTATTTAGCACGGCGAAATGAAGGTGAAAAGGGGGCGCCATTCAAGAGAGTCGTATCACAGTCTATTGGATATGATCCTTTGATTGACCCTCTCAGTTCTCGTGCGGAGACACTATTTGGTACGTCTCTGCTCTCTGATATGAAAAAGGGAGCTTACCAGTTCTGCCAGCCAACTTTTCCATCGCTGTCGGCTGCTCAAATGATACGTCCAACGTCTCAGCACTCGCGTGCCTGAGGGAGGCTCCACTTGGTATGTACCCATACGCTAGAGGTTCCCAGTATGCGAGTATCTCATTTTCCAACCTAAAGAATCCATTGTCACCGGGATAAATGCCATCGGGAACGGTGATATTGAGGCAGTTGTAGACGGCAATTTTCTCCCAGATTTACCATCGCACCTGATCACGTCTGGGCGCTTCAGTACAGTGGAGTACATGGGGGGCCACTGTACCCATGATGGTACGTTGCGGTCATTACTCTTCGATGCTCTGAGTTTGGGGACTTATCATAGGTATCGTTCCTAGGTCGCACTTTTGCTGGTGGTAAACCAAGTCAGTTTGTGACAGACCAAGACATCGTCGCCCTTACCTTCCCGCGATGGCCTTACGTGGTACGTCAATCCACCTCTTTCAACGAGCTGCTATGACGGTATACCTCGTGGAATAGACGAATGAAACTCTCCAAGAAGTTTTCGATTTTTACCCGAAGGTTAATGCGACCGGAAGTCCATTCGTAACAGAATATGACAGAGCATGGACGATCGCTGGTGATGTGATCTTCACCTGCATGTGCGTCTCGACCGCGCGAGTTTTCAGGAAGATGTGACCTTCTGAGACGAGCCACAAGCCAGGGATCAACTCATCGCCGACACTCTCGTGAGCAAGGGCGTCGAAAATGTCTTTTCTTTCAGGTATGTGTCCGTCACTAGTACTGCACCTGTATGATCGCAAGACCCAAGTTGATATATCGAAGATGGAACACACCGAATCCGGTTCTCTTGGCTGCCTCTCCCTACCTCGGCGTTATGCATACATCCGACCTTTACTACCTGTTCGATGGTCAGTACGTCGCTGTCATCAAATCGCCAACCCGCTGACTTTCGGCAACGATAGGAACAACGTAAGAAAGTCACCATAGGCGTGCCTTCCGTGCATCGCGACTCAATGCCGTTCGTATTTTTCCTACAGTTCTGCAGCCAACGCGGGCTTCACTTTTACGCCATTCAACACGGTGCGCAGGGCGTTGTTTGGAGATCTGACCGCAGTGTCTGACCACCAGTCAATCTCATAATCAGTCTGAGGTTCTGCTCTCACACGAAGCAATTGCGTACTGGACCTCGTTCGCAGCCACGGGCTCCCCCTCAACGTTACGATCGCCCGGCTCAACTGCCTGGTCTCCGTACCTTTCATCGGCCACAGACCGGCTCCGAATGGTCTTAACCGTCGGTAATGGCAACGTCACACAGAGCGGTCTCGAGCAGAAAACTCAATTCGAGGTGGATAGATGCGCTTTCTGGATGCAGGATGGGATCACAGCGCAAACCCGCGTCTAAGGATGGGGCTGGGAGCATGAGTGAGCATGTCCAGGTATGCAAGATATCGCAACGACTCTGTGCCGCTCGCTACTGACATATTCGCCATAGATGGCCACTTCCATAGGCCGCCCTCTAGGATGTACCTAACGAGAGACACAATTCCATCATGTTTCAAATTATTGGGCGTCCGCTTTTGCCGATTCATCAAAGATATGTATCCTAAAACGTCTGTCGCCGTGTCAATGATTGACAGGACACGGCGCCTCGCAAGCACTGTGCCGTGGTTTTTTTCTCCTTTGCTTTCCGAAAGCAAGTGGTATGGTCGGAAAAGACCACAGTCTATACCATACGCCCTGTGGGAGCGATAGGTATCTTCCACGACATCAAGCACAGTTGACGATGTTCGATGTTCCTGCTTCTCCGTGCTTTGACGGCCTGTTGCCTCTTGCATCCTTTTGGTGACAAATCCCGAGTAAAGGTGGCTTCTCTACGGCTAAGCTTCCGTTGTCTATCGGAACCCGGAGTCAAAGCACGAAGACTTCGTGGTGTCCATTTCTCAAAATGTGCCATTCTGTGTTATAGCGAGTTATCGAGGTAGGTAAGCTCTCTCCTCCGTTCTTCTTGTCAATACAGGGGCACAATGTCGATTGATGTGTCTCCTCAGCGAGATGCTACGCGGTGGTTACTTCCTCCGGAGGGATTGGAACGAGTTACGTACAGGTATATGATCCAACAGAACGTCCAGGTCCCAACTTGCACGGTTCACACCAGACTTCTTTTGCTCCAAGATTCGCCACGGCGCCGAAGAAGCGTCAGATGCCATAACGCGATTTCCGTGATCGTTGTCTTCTGGCTTTATCTTTCCCGCTGGATGCGCTCATGTTGATCCTCGAGGCTTTATTTTGCTCATGCGCTATAGGATGTGTTGCAATTATCAAAACCTACCGGTCAATGGCGTTGTACAGGACAGGGTAAGTATCTCAGGAATACATACGTAAGTCAATCTATGACCTGATCTACTACGGGATCAACGTAAAGCTAAAATCTTACTACAGAACCCACATCCAACCAACATCCTTGGCGAAATGCTTCACAGAGGGGTCTGTCACGGCCGGGCGACGCAGTCTTCGCGCGCCCACCGGGGACAGGTGAATAGGAGCCTACCTAGCCGCGGAAGGAAGCTAGTTCCATTCGTGCTTGTCAACAGGTTCGGTCAGGTCAGTAAATCTCGCGTTCAAAGATCGATCCAAGGGTGTAGAGCAACTTGAGTTCGTGATTAATTGCTGGTAGCTGGCAGGACATAAATAGCATCTGCTACTTCTGAGTCGGATGTCCATGTCCTCAAAAATTCCCGTTCTGATTCGGACAGCGGCCCTTGAAGAATGTTCTCGTTACCTATGGGCGCGTGAGTGATCATCCTCGGCCTCGGAAGACTCGTCCGGCATATTTCTTAACGTTAGTTCTTCTGGCTGTAAGACACCCATCTGATGTTCTATCGGCGACATGAGTCTTCTGAGAGGTTCTTGAGTGTGCGGCATAGGCTACCGAAGCGGTGTTCAAACAACTTCCTCTGAACGGTTCGCTAGACCTAACGTTCCGGGTGACCCCACCGGTTAAATGGCCGTACGGTATCGGGGACATATATAAAGCTGGGCTGAGGAAGAACGGGACCACGACCTCTCAGTGTTCCGCCAGGCGCTTGGCTACCGTCTATCGTTGTCTACCAAAGGCCATTCACTCGTCGATTTTTCTTTCTATCGCTATGACGTTCTTGCAGAAGAAGACCGTGGTCCTAGCACCAACGTCTGAAAGCTGTCCCTTTACGAAGAAATATCTGACCATGGCGGGTAGCGTGACACTGGGCAGGCAATCCTCTACTCAAGCGTCCACAGCAAGCAACGGTCTATTCGCCATCGCGGGTCAGTCGGGCTCGGAAACTGACGACCTACCCGTGAGCCCATTGCACGCCGAATTGTTCATTCAAAACGGAGCAGTATGTGTTTCTACTGACCTCCGTGGAGTATCCGCTGACTTTCGTCGTAGCTGTTAATAAAAGACTGTGGGTCTACTTATGGAACATGGGTAGACGGAGAAGTCATCAGTGGCCCGACAGTTATTCGATCTGGCTCCGTCATAGTGCGTTGCTTTCTGGTTTCCTTACTTTGTCCCCGTTGCTGAAAGCATGGCGCAGGAGCTGGGGAGCGCCATCGAGCGTTCTGCAAATACCCCATCATCCGTATCTGACAGCAGTCTCCGACCTATTGTTGCCCGCGTATCCATCTTAGGGTGAAACAGCGGCCCACATCCTTCCGCAGTTATATATTAGACATCCATCTTTCTAGCATTTTGCTTATTTCTATGTTGCAAAGAGGGATTGTTGTCATTCTTGCTGTAGATCTCTACCACTGTGTACTTGTAGCTGTCGGCCGTCGCAAAGATGCGAATAAATCGAACGAATGCTCGATAGTGAAAGCCCACAGGATGGACACCACGTTCCGAGATCGAAGATTAGCTAAACTCGAAGGAGCTTGTCGAACACCACGGAGAGCCTATCGCCACTAACAACTTATATACCGAAGCTACTGATAACTCTAGAAATATGACGTGCACTACACAGAACAAGCAACTCCGTCGCAATACATCTCATCTCACCACGAGCGCAACGTCCCGAATACCCATATCACCAGCGATGAAGTTGCTGGGAGCAGCGAACGACATATTCGCAACTGCCAGATAATCCCCCCAGATATCCAACAAGGTGGTAAAAAAGAATGCATCACCATCAACGAAAGCACACGTATACTCTCGTGTGGCGTGAATGATCATAGGTGTGTCTACTCCATCTGGCATGGTGAAGTTGGCGAGGGAGTAGAGTATGTTCGTGGTTGGATCCTCGAACGCAAGAGACGCATCAAGCAGGTGGAGGATGGAGTCTTGTCCGGTGAACAAAACACCCCTGTGCCCGAGGTGAGACGCTCCAACGGTGAAAGAAAATGTGTATGGAGGGCCGACGCTGGCCACGCCGGTATATTGACCTGCAGGACCGACCTCGGCATACTCAAATACCATGTCATCAGTAGGAACACTCGGCGAGTTTCGATTGAGGCTCTGTCCAGGGGCAGCGGCGTTCAACGTGGGATAGATGTGCTCGAACTGCTCACGACTGAGAGCTGAATCACGAACGCCAGATCCTGCCCAGGTCTTCTCCGCGAACACGGCCAAGCTCCGAGCCAGCTGATAGTATATCTCCAGCGGCGTCGTAGCGTTGTTTCCCCAATCGTTCCACAGTGCCATCACAGAACCGCGGAGTAACGGTGCGTTGGGGGACGTGTTATTCGACGCGTCAGTTGGGGAGAAGATATTGGGTGCCCAGCCTGTGCCGTCTGGCGCTCCAGACCACATGAGGGTCTCATTTAACGATTGGGGAAATTGATTGTTTTCAGACGTTTTTCCGTCGAGGTAGAGGAAAGCTTGTTCGGAATTGATAATCGGGTAACCTTGAGACATGAGAGAAGTGGGAATGGTGGAGGGGAAGTCCCAGTGTTGAATTGTGATATTTGTAGAGACAGCAGAAGTGTTGCTAGGTTCAAAGGTTCCCCAAATGCGGGTAGATTTGGCAGGTGACGTGGATCTAGAGACGTAGGAAGACATCGTGTTGACAAATGAGATGTAGCTATGAAAGACAATTAATACATTATGTGGCGGGGGCGTAATATTTGAACGTGACTCACTCGTCAGCATAGTCGGTGTCGTATTCATCAGCACCGATGTGCACTTCCTGCGAGACGAACCATGGCAGAAATTCGTCCCAAATCTCTTGGATTGTAGGGGTTGTTTCGGGATAGCTCAAATTCAGCTATCCATGCAAGGTATCAGCAATCCAGCACTTACACACTGAAGAAATATCGAATATCACCGACCTGGTCAGGATTACCGACCAACATCAGTTCAGACTTCCATTGCGTGATAACGAGCGAATGTCCAGGCGTATCGATCTCTGGAACGATGTTGACGCCATGCATTAAACACGTAGACTGCATATCACGAAAGTCTTCACGACTCCAACTTTCATTGCGGCGAGGCACGAGTCCCACGATATTGGAAAGCAGAGATGGCCGGAAACGAAAAGCAGCATAGAGGTCGCGCCAGGAGTCTCCTGCATTGTATAAAAAGGCTGGATTCCAGAGGTTATCAGAGGCATGGAGGTGCAATTCATTCAGTTTGAAGAAAGACGCGTATATGCAGAGATCCGCTAAAGAATAAACCGATATGTAAGTGAGGCTTCGTGCAAAGAGGTTGGAGCGCCGACTTGATTCTTACAGATGAAGGAGGCCTCAAACCAATGTCGCCCTGCGTCAAGCATAAACCCTCGAACTGCCCAACCAGGAACATCGAAGCCAGAGCCGGCAGGTATCGAGATGAAAGAAGTGCCTTCATCGTGCTTCCCGATAGCAATTTGCTGTAAGAATGTCCGCGTACCCCACCATGCGCCAACGGCACCAACACCTCGGATGATAAACGTCGTGCTTGAGATGTCCAAATCGTACCCCTCCAGCGAATGCTTTCCGTTATAGTTGGTCTTATTGGTGGCACCAAGAGAAAGAAAAACCACAGAATTCGCGGCATTGGTAAAAGGCATGGTCCCGAGTAGAATAGGGGGAATGTTGGAGAAGCCTGTGAGCGAAAGCAGGTCTTCGCGAAAGGTAGTTGCATACTGTAAAAGAGACGGTGAGTATGCGTCATCCGAGCCACTCTGAGTTGCAAAGTTGGAGTCAACAATGATATGAATGGTCCCAGAGACAGTGAAGGGTTGGGCCGAGGATGGAATGAAGTGTTCGAGCGAAGGTATCTGGGGATGTAGACTGTGGATATCGTTGCCAGCGGAGAATCCAACGGAAAATACAGCGCCAAAGGCGATAGCTGCCCTGATCATCCATGGTCTGCCGTGGAAGTTTGTCATTTATTCTCTAGAGCTACCTTTGACCGCGACGGATTGGTAGTAGGAGTCGTACACTTGTATGGCAGCACTTTACCTCGACGCTCGAGCGGTAGTGGATGGGTTGGCGGTGAGCGATAGCGTTGGGACGATTGGCATGTGACCTCAGGCCTGCCGGTAACCGTGCCTAGCAGCCAATAATACACAAGGCTTCGCAGAGAGTAGATGTAGACACAAAGTTATGATACGTAAGGGATTGTCAACGTTTGAAGATTGAGTATGGACCGTCGATGAAGACGGCGGTGACGGAGAACAATCAATCTTCACACGATCCCGGTGCCACCCGGCTAACTACTTATTTCAAACAGGTTCGGGATGTGGCGACCAAGTCATCGACTTTAGGTGAACGAGGTGAACAGAAGTGCCATGGAGGGAGCAGAACAGATGAAGAAATGGGAGCCTCACACGACACATTGATATCATTATATAGAAACTCTCTGAGATGACCAACACTCAACAGAGTTCGCCCTCAGGAACTACCAGTAGGGATTCGTTGTATATATCTGTACGTGTAGTTACCGTTCAGGGTGAGTTGTAAGCGATATTCTCGATTATATAGAAACAGGGTCGTTGGGTATCCATGGGAAGGCAAATGTCTGAGTTCCCTGAGCATGGAAAGACGAACTCGAATCTGGCTTTTAATCACAAGCTGTGATGCATGGTCCTGCAGTGCATGCACATGAAGCGAAGACAACTTTGGGAGGTGGGATATGATGTCGAATATTTGCTAGTGATAAACATAGTAGGGTCAGTGTCTAGAAGTTTTCGACACAACAGAGCACATCTTGACTCACCTTAAATTTTCCATCAGCGACGTCTTGAAATTGCACCATGACTCCCAGGGTGACGAGATTCTGGCAAACCAAAACTGCGCTCATGTTGTGCTCGTCTATACAACAAAGGCCCTTGTCACCTCCGTAGATGAACAGTCGCTCTAGAGATGGCGCATGCCGCACCAAGACCTTTTCCATGAAAAGACGTGACAACGTCTCGGCATGCTGGTCTTTGCGCTGTGATGACACATAGGATAATTCCTTCAAACCCCTCATAGCCGCGATGCAATCGATGATGGCTTCATCGAGATAATCGAGACTGAGAGACTCGAGAGGGGCACCTGCGTTTTGAATTGTTTTGAGATAGTGGAGTGCGATACGTGCTCCGTTTGTCCGCGAGGCATAAGACAGTAGCTTGAGAGAAAGTTTGCGAAGGGAATGTAGATGTTGTATAACAGATTGGTCGAAGGGAACGTCGACACCGGTGAGATCAAGGGCTTTCAACCTCGAGAGGATGTCGAGCGAACATTTCGACAAGAGATCATGGAGGGAGAGAGATGGGCCGGGATGGTATCGCTCTATTGTGAGCTTCTCCAACTTGGGGCTTTGTGCGATCAAATTCGACATTGTATGAACAATGGCGTTGCGAGAAGCGGAGTCGGGACCCGGGGAGCGCCACACGAGGTGGATATGGCGCAGATTAGTGCGCTGTGGAAAGTCAAAAGTTGATGTCATGCTCAAGTTCCACGGATTGCGGTATGTGAGCCTCAAGTGCTTAAGTGACCGAGATTCTAACAATGCCCGAAAGACCGATTCGTATGTCCAGGAATAGTCTTCCATCTCAACGTCCCAGCTTGATGAGCGAGGCGCGATAGATCAATGGTTTACTACTGTATGGAGATAATGCACGATTTGCTCACTGGATGGATCGAAGATGGTGTAGAGCACGAATGGTGGGCTCAAGATACATTTTCAAGCAGTCCTCGAGATCCCTGAACCGCGCAGTCTTCACAGGCCCGCGCGAGTGGCAAGATTCGAGGATCTGTCCGATTTTGAGGTGGGTTGTGTAGATAGAAGCTGGGGATTGCTCCGACGCAAGCTCCCGCAGTCTATTCCTGCATGCGCCCCCTCTGGTACGACGGTTGAGTAAATTTATTTCCTTCCAGACGATGGGCTCCGCGATTTCGTTCAGTGTGGTGCACATCAAGCGAAGTCGGGATAGATCGCTCTTCGACAGCTGATTAACTGTTGAGCAAGGGATGCGTACAGAAGATTGTGTAGATGAGAAAATACCTCGCCAAATATCTTGAAGATGAGCTCAGTCGGTAATACAAATTGCCCCACACTCGGAAGTTGGAACATCCTGCGATCAGGCTGGAGGCCCCTGTCGGCAGAAGTAGTACGGCCATCAGCCACTACGAGCTGTTCTGAGTTCATTGCCAAGATTACAAGTATCTAGTGAGGTCGGAGGGGATGGCTGCTAGACGAAGAAATTCGGGATCGCCAACAGTGCTGGTCGAGAGTTGGAGAGCGGGGAGCCCGACTGCCGCAAGTTGCAACGACTGGAAATACATATATGTGGCGGCAGATGGCGACTCCGGGTACTTCCGCACAGCGCCATAGCGTTCTTTTGGTGGCCCAGGTGCGTTATTCGCAGCAGAAAAGTAAAAGGGCACCCAAATTTCTCTGTTGTTCAGTAGATCTACTCGATGACAGTTTATTCTACTGCCAATATCGAGGACATCTCTTTGGACGCATATACATTGGCACGCGTACACGACGGCAATCAGGACATTCTACACTCATACATCATCCTCCCAATTATCCGGTACATGCTCCTGTTCCTTCTTCTCCGCCACCAACGTCGGCGTCGGCACCCTCGCAGACGTTGCGATTGGTGGTGTAGGCCTCGCTCCAAACGCAGGTGAAGACGACGACGACGGCCTAGAAGACTGGGAGGCATTTAGAGCTCTCAAGCCGGGAGTAGGGGTGGTCGAGGGCTTCGGAGCGACGGGAGGTTTGGCGACTATTGCGGTCCAGCCTCGAGTCGGTCCAGTATTGGGCAGGGCAGAGGCAGCTGGACGTTGCTGGACTTTGGGCCATTGGCTGACGGGGGAACGCAAGTCAGCGAGTTTTCCGAGTCCGCCGGAGGTTGTTGATGAAAGGGTGGATGAGAGGAGAGGGCTTGGGATGCGAGTATCCAGACGACGAATGAGTTGGACGCTGAAATATTCGAGATAGGATTTTAGTCACGAACATGGAAGGGGATAAGGTGGGAGATACAAACCTTCTATTGGGTTCTTGATCTACCATTTGAGTGTCTATGCGGTAGACGGCCGCGAGCTGGTACGAGTAACAATTAGGACGAATATCTCAGATTGCAATCAACGGAGAGAGACTAACGTTATGTACGAAGTTCCTCCTAGCTTCGGGCATATGCGGCAACACTTGCACTTTCCTATCCGACTTCACGAACCTGCCAACAACCGAGTCAACATGCCTGTCTGATGACGAAACCCTCAAATGATAACGAGACTTACTCTCCAAGTGTCTTCTCCACCAAGCCCACAAACTTTGCATTTGCCTTCCCAAACGCCGTCAACTCGTCCGTATAAACCACGCTTTGTTCCTTGCCCCCACTCGACTTCGCCTCGGGATTGATACCCAGTGCCTCTGCCAATTTCGCATTGCGCTTGGCCACAGCGCAGTCGGTGGAGCATTTCAGTGTTTGTGTGGACTCGCGGCTCGCTGAGTTGGATGTGGAACGACCGCAGGCTATGGGCTGTTTCATGCGACCACACGGACAGGTGATGGTGACGATGGCCTGGCAGGGCTCAGTTTCGTCGCACACGGAGGGTGCATGACAGGGATGCAAGCACGGGTGTTGTGCTGGGAAACTGTTAAAGTATAAGTCGTCGGTTCAGTGCAAGTTCCACGAATGGGGAGTAGCAGAGCTTAGACTTACCACAGCTTTCTCGACTTGCCACACACAGCCGTGCAGGCGCCACAGGCATCACCATGGCACAACCTCTCGCAATGATGGAATCCACAACCAAGCAGCTTCCCACAAACCTGGCCACACGATACCCTCTCCTGCGAACAGCGAACATTTCCGACGCTCTTCTTTCCACAAGCGCATGTCTTGTTAGTGAGGAAGACACAGGGAGGACAAGGAGTGGGGTCTTCGTGGCATGCATGAGGCGACTTTGGATGTCCGCAGGGAAGTCGCGGACGGTCGCAAGGGTAGGTGCAGTTGATTCTTGTGCCACACGGGATGGGAGGGTCCAGAACAGTGCGTCCACAATAGCAGATCATCTGTACAGAAGGAGTAATTCTCGTCAGCAATTTATCCACGAAGTCCAGGGAGACGGAAGGACGCGACGGAATGCAACAGACCTCTTCGAAGGAACTCCTCAGGCAAGACCTACAAGGACCTTTATGATCCTTCTCTTCGCACCTATGGTTTCCACAACTCAACAACTTCCCACAGACCAAATCACACTCATGCCACCCCGCCTCATCCACCACCATTTCAGCCCCTGCCCTCTTCTTGCCCTTGCCTTTACCGGCCCCGCCAGCTAATGCCGCCAAAGGACAGCACAACCTCGTACACTGATGTCGTCCGCAAGCCCGCAACGCGCCGCAGGGTCTGTCGCATAGAATTTCTTGTGAGGCGTCACTTTCGCGGATGGAGCTGCAGGAGACTTCTCGGGTCGTGGATCCGCAGCGGCAGGGACGTACGAGGGGAATGGAGCAAGGGGGACAAGGCCCACTATGGCACCTAGAGGAGCAGACGTGCGAGCAGCCTTCGAGATCTTTCATACAGAGCGATATACATGTCGGGATGGGATCAGTGCATTTCTTGCGCGTGAGTTTCTGGCGAGATTGTGGTGGGAAGAAGTCAGCGGAGTCGGGGGAGAGTGTGTGTTTGCCGCAGGGACAGTGTGTGACCAGAGACGGAGAAAGAGGACAAGTCGGCGGAGAAGGCGAAGGTGGATGACATGGTTTCGAACAGCGATGGGCACCACAGTCAAACGGACGTTCACAGAGCTGGCCACAATCGAACTGTCCCTCCCATTTCTCTTCACCGACGACACACTCCTTCCTCTCTCCAACGCCACAATCCAATAGCCTCTCTTCCTTTCCGCACCAACACTTCGCCGTATATTTCACCTCGCATGGGGCGCAATCGCCCTCATGGCAGATCTGGTCACATACGTGATTGCCGCATCCGAGTTTCTTTTCGCACTTTTGTCCACATGAAAGGTTGACGAGAGGTATAGAACCGTTTTTGCTGGGGTGCGCGTGCGAGCAGCGGAATGTGATGGGCGCTTTGCTACAGTAGCAAGATGTTTGGATTGTCACTTGGCATGGTGGACATGGGCCTGGATGGCATGGCAGAGGACAAGCATGTCCACAGACGCGAGGACGTGAACAGGGATTGGCACACGAATGTGGCGTTGACAGCCGAGGAGGTTTGGGATCTAAAGTCGAACCACAGAAACAGCTACATCGCAGAACGACACATGATTAATTTCACGTACATACTTGCAGGCATTACCCTCAAGAAAAAAGGCGACTGAGTGCACGCACCGATACCCCTGTGGCACCTCCTCCCTCTTCGTCTGACATCCCGGACACCGCCAGGAGCCCTTCCGAACCTCGCCCCTCGCCCTCCAAGCCTCTTCTATATCCTTCACACTCTTATGAGCCCAGCTCTTGATACACTTCAGATGAAAAGTCGTCCAACAGCACTGCGCATTCTCGTTCCCCTTCACCACTCCCGCGCCTTCTTCGTCGTCCTTATCGCCCATAGAGCCCGCGGCAGGCATCGACGGCGAACAACTCCAACTGGGCTGGGCAGGATGTATCGCATTGAAACAGATTGGACAGTCGGGAAAGGGGTGCGTAGATAAGGACTTGATCAAAATAGACGTGAGGTCGTCTTCCTTGAGCGCAGGATGAGAATATCTCTGCGAGCTCGTATGCTCCGTCGAGTCCTTCGTAGCCTGGGGAACTTCGCTGAGTGAGGTATTGAACTTAGCAGCACGACGGTTCTGACGGGGAGGACCTCTGTTATTGCGCGAAGAATTCGAAGGACCGGGCTGGTCTCGGTCAGCAGTAGGACCGTCAGATGAAGACGGTGGAGGACGACGAGTATCGTTCCCGTTCCGAGGCGGTCGATTCTGCGCAGGTTTTCGCCGACTATCGCGGACAGGGCGGGGCTGGTCAGCGGCACTTCCCTCTCCTATGTTGGCGTTCACACTGGCGCCTTCACCACCAACCTGAGGTCCTCTCGCCGCTGGAGGACGTCTGCCTCCTCGTCCTCCCCTCGAGGAGCCAGCATCGTCGTTATGAGGCCTTCGATGCCCATTGTTACGCGGTGGTCTGTCCGATGCTGGTGGATGTACACCATCCGGGACAGGTCCGCTGCCAGAACCAGTGCCGGTGTTGGGTCGACTAGGGTTACGTCGTCGAGGATGACGAGCTGGATTAGCTGGAGCAGTGGAGGTATCGACGGTGGGAGGGGGGTCTGCCATGCAATGGGGGGTGTAAGTAATAAGTTACCGATAAGAGATGGACTTTTTGTTGGTGGAAGGTGGTGGATGATGAGGAAAAGGGGATGAGGAGGAAGACACGATGCGCCACTTGAAAAGATGTGGCCTTCACACATATTTATAAGCACCGGTGTGGCCCGATTCAACCTGCGCTGCCGCCTTCGGATCCCGCGACGAGTCATATTGAATCCTCTTGCGGTGTGTTGGACAGTTGGAGGCTGACGAAAGATTAGTAAGAAGAGCCGTAGAGTCATTATTCTAGAAAAAATCGGAGCAGCGCTGTATACATGAGGTATTCTATGGTCGACTCGTCGTGAATCATCCTCTATATTCTTTGTGACTACAACATGGATCCTGACATTCAAGAAAGCACTGTTCACGAGCACAATACAACACATAAATCCATAATAATATCGGCCCTCTCTGACTTGACATTATATCCCCCTCCACCTCTTCTCCGCCCATCTGAACGGTAAATAAAGCACCGCACTCGTGCAGAACGCTAACTCAAACCCAAGATCGCCCGTCTTCGCCGCAATCGGGCCCGTGAACCACACCTGGTCCATCGCGGGTATCACGAGCCCAAACGCCAGCACGCCCGCACTGACTGCAGCTATGCCTGTCGGGAGTTGGGAAGGGCGGTTCCAGACGCGGAGGTCGTAGGAGGAGAAGTCGCCGTGTCGGAAGACGAGGTGTTCGACTAGGAGGATGGCGATCCAGGCGGAGGCCCAGTAGCCGATTAAACCGAGGAAGTTGGAGAGCGCGGTGTAGAATTTGTGTTGACCGACGATGGAAAGGGGGATGATGCTACGATATTAGAATAGGTCAACAATTAATCGTTTAGCCTGTGATGGGAATGAACGTACATAGCCGTCGCAACAATCGAGAACACCCATCTCGGGACTACAACGAGGGGTGGAATGAACGTCTGCGATCCCAGACACAGCGAATAAATCGTGGGCGCATTGTTTGCTGTCACACTCAGACTGAGCAACACGGTTAAAAACTTCCCGAAGCCGCCGACGGGGTGTAACATCGCTTCGACTAAGCCGCCGACGTTTCCGTCAGCGTATCCGGCCTCCCAGTCTGGGACGACATCTACGGCGATCACAGCAGCAGCTCCAAGAGATTCCAAAAGGACCTAAAGCAGAGTTCAGTCTGGGTTAAACGCGCATGCGTTATCGGGTCAAGAGGAATGTAGGAACGTACGATGGGGATTAGAAGACCGAAGTAGGAATAGGTGAAGATGCGCCAGCTGGACGTACGAGAAAAACCTGTGAGCGACCGTGGCATGCTCTGGGACACCACTCTGACGTACCTCGACACATTAGGAGAATAATACGCCGTATAATCCGCGCTGAAAGTCGACCATGTAATAACGAACCCAGCAATAGTCGCCCCGAACGAGAGCACCTGTTGTGCCGTAGCGGGCTCTGCCGGAGGTGGGCTGATGAAGTTCTTCCCACCAAGCCCGGTGGCCACGAGGAAGACGAGGAGGACAGGGAACCATGCTACTCGTTCATACCTAATGAGCGCTGTCATTAGATTGCAGCAACTTCGACTGTGCGCGATGAGAGATGATGTACCAATTGAGAATGTTCATCCCGAAGAAGGATATCTGGAAGGCACGGAGTTTAATCAGTGAGTGTGAAAGATAAGTATGCTGAGAATGGAACAGACCACCAGGGATATGACGGCGATGATGACGATTCCCACTCTGCATTCACGTTCAATTAGGTCGTAAACGCTGCTGGGAAGGATGTAAAACTCACGTCCACGACAGACTTCCATTCGTGACCGAGGCCAATGTCTGACCGCCTAAAATGCAGTTCAGGATACAGAAACCCGTGCCACCAATGATCGCCAATATGCTAGGCAACGCGACGCCAAAGTATCTTCATGTGCAGCAGATCAGGATCGATGGGGGCAGTCTGGAATCATAGATAGAGAGCGCACCCGAACGTGTATCGAGACAGGCACATTTGTCGTAAACCCAGTCTGGGTCCCCATGTCGTGCTGCATGCGACGGAAGGTTTTAGGTGAGAAAGAGAAGGAGATAGAGCGAACATGTGTGGTAGTGTGGGTGCTACTCACAAGTATGCTGGCGGAAGGGTCGTTAGGATGTTGAAGAAGAGGATGACAAGGCACGAGTCACGTAGTCCAAGGCCGTATACCACTGGGCCCAGTGTTCCCGTGGAGAACCTGGAGGTGCATGGTGCTGAGTACGGCGAGCATTGGGCTCAGATGTTAAATTGGGACATACGACAGGATGTTCACGTTCGCAGAAAGCCAGATGAAGAATATCTTGCTGTAATGGGTCTCTGTTCGTGCCTCGAGCGGAACGGGATGGATGCCTGTATAGACCGATGTTATCGGATCTGCTGTACGAAGTGGGAGCTGCAAAGCGACGCACCTCTATATTCAACTCCCCAACTGAGGAACTTGTTAAGCCACTGGTACTTATAAGATGGCACAAAAGTATCCTGCGAGGACTGAACGTCGACCTCAGCTCCATAGGCATCCTTTTCGATGTCTTTCTTCACGTCATGTTTATTGTCGGACATCGTGGACTAGACGACTGAGGCAGAACGAAAGCAAAGCCAAAGCCAAATCCAAGAAGGTGGCTCTCGTGAGGAAGGTGGGGGTATTAGACGAAGGGAGGGGTCAACCCTGCGTGTGGGATGGTCGAGTACTTTTGTGAACACGGAGACGGAGGACATTGCTCGACACGGTAAATGACTTGACTATGCTAGAAAGTTTTCGGAGCAGCCAAGAATAGACCCGAGCTCGATCAGTCTACCGGCGGTTTCACCTTATTCCCCGCTTAGATCCGTTCATCATCGCGATCGAACCTCCAGCTCGTGTTTTCTGTCAAAGCGACGACTTTTTTAATGCGCTTTGAACCATAGTCAACAGAGAACTGCAGCTCGAAGGAAGGATGGGTGACTGGCCGATGAGAAGAAGACTGAATGCTGGGCGTCTAATACTCCTTATCGCTATCCAACTTTATGTCAGTGAAAATGGCACTCCGACGGCGCACATCAACGCCTGCGAGGCTCCATAACAGAAAGGTGTAAAATTAGAGAAGCCAGTCAGAGCACGACCGTGCGATGCATAGGTCGATATCTCAAGAAAGACCATAGCTATCCCAAAGCCAGAAGAATATTTATGGGTTGGACGGAGCGAAGGCACCACCTGTGGCGCGATTAGTGGCATGGAACAGCTGAGAATGCATCATGATCCATGAATGGCTTCGAACACCGACAGCCTAGTAAAGCACAATTCCTACTCCTGCTAAGACCCGCTAAGAGTCAGTGGCCTACGGGGTTTTCATGAACGTATAAGTACGGTGGCTTCGCGAATACGCGGGTGCGGGGATCGAGAACGTGCGGGTCAGGTTGCGGTGATCCACTGCTGACTGGCGCCACACCTCCGTTAGAGATGCGGCAGACGGTCTGCACTAGAGAACTGCCCCAGAGCCGATACCTTGTCTTCGACGGGAAGAACGAACCCCAGAGGAGACAACATTAAATAAGATCGTGCGCTATATATAGAGGGTCTAATCGACATTACTATATCCAAACACCGCGCAAGAGGGTGGGTGATGCACCTGCCCTTCCGCGGCAGCTAGATAGAACAAGCGACCAGTGAGCTGACGAGAGGAGACTGCAAATGAGCGGTATTATAAGAGAATGAGAGAGAGAGAAACATCAGAGTAGAACGATGGCAGAGGGCCGAGAGCAGTCACAGCAATATAAGACAATTAAAAAGTCAAGTGGCGTGGATGGGTCAGAGAACACAACAGACAACATCGAGAAGACAATAAAAAACAAACAGCAGACAACAAGGCGAGCGAGAAATAGCCACAAGAGATGCGCGGATACAAATGAGCGAGAGAGCACGCTCCCTCTATCACAAATATCCGTACGTGGCGCTATGCAATGTCCTGTACCGAGCAATAGAGCGCACTAAGGCACGATGAGCGATCTTTCAATGCCACTGATAGACGATGGAGTACCCGCACCGTTCATATGTGGGCTCGACGCACATGACATCCTAACGTAAATGTACCGGGACAGGAATGAGTGCAATGCATGACGAGATTAGGAGAGAAACGCACCGGTATTCTTCCCTTCAACCAGTCAACCACATCCTGCCCCACCATCGTACAATCATACATCTCCAACTTTTTCAATCTCGACAACGCACTGCTACTGCCACTATTACTACTTCCGCCACCTCCACCGGGTCCACTCCCATGTCCGGCACCTCCCTCCGGGTTCCTCAAGTCCACGAGCTGCACCAACTTAGATATCCCATCCGCATGTGCCGGACAAGCCTTGAAGGCCAGGTGTTCCAAATACGGACACAGCCAACTCCCATTTCCACCCACGGCCACATTATCATCATCCGGTGGTCCCAGTGCGCTGAGTATTGGGTCCAGAGGCGTGCTCCCTAATTGCAGTGTGCGCAGATACGACATGTCGGCGAGGAAGTTCCACGAGCTGATGAGGCCGCCTCCGTTGTAGTAATAGGGCGAGCCGCTGTACGCGTACGCGACGGAGAGCTCGGTGACGGGGGGATGGTTAGAACGGGAGAGTAGACTTGTGATATTGTCCTCAATGGGATCACGAGCTTCCATGGCAAGCGTGAGTGATGCGAGTGAAGGAAGGACGACGATATCAATGAGATTCGCGAGGAGATAATGTCCTCCTAGCGTCAGCGATTTCAGCTCTGGAAGCGTCGTACTTGTGAGCGGCAGGATTGCGGGGTTAACACTGCTGAAGGAAAGCGAGAGCTCCTCGAGACCACGGTTGTTTGAGACCATGTATAGGATGCGGTCGAGGGCGATGTTGGTAGTCGGAAGAGAGCGGAGATTTAGTTTACGGAGGTTGGTTTTGAATATAGGTGAGGACCATTTGAAAGGCGTGTATTGGAGTGTGAGGGAACGGAGTTCTGGAAGGTCGACGTGCGTCTGGGGGCTTGTGCTTGGTAGCCAAGACCAGTCGCCACAGTACACAGGTTCGGCGGAAGAGACTTCGAATTCCTTCAGCAAGGGGGCATGGCCTACGTATAATGTTATTGAAGACGGACATCGCCGACAATGATAGGTATTGACGAACCTGATATGGACTTGAGCGCGATGAAGGACGAAAACTGCTTGTCGAAACGGAAAATGAATCGTTCCCATCGGTGAATCTGTTCAACGAGATAAAAGATCGCGATGTGACCCCAATGCGATATCGCCCTCGTCTGGCTCTGCGTTGCTGACGAACTCGAAGCTGACTGATGTGGTGGCACTGGCGTGACGGCACCCCACATGTGGTCGTGAGAGGGCGGGGAAGGTGGAAGTACAATGGGCGTCGCTGTGGGTATGATCTGAATGGCGCTCGGATGTGATGCATGATGAATTTGGACGTATTGCGGGGCTGAAGGAGACGGGGTTGGGTAGGGCCATGGAGATGTGGAACGGGGTGGGGGGCGTAAAGACGTTGCGGCTGAACCTGCAGATTGTACTTGCAAGAATATTTCAATGTCTAACGGCACTCGGCTACCAGAACGTTCGAGCCATAGACGAATCGTATCGGCGGAGATGTTGGGGGAAGTGATGAGACGTATCTAAAGGAAGGGGTTGAGTGAATGATGACGCTATGCAGGACGGCAAAGAATGGTGCTGGCATGTCGGCAGTGTTCGGAGACCGTCAAAGTCCATAGCGAAGCGAACTGCATGGGTGTATACCTTTCAATCAAGTGTTGACCTGGTCTCAAGGGGTGACGGTGATATACCACGCCAAAATTACTGCAAGTGAGATGCCTCGTGGTGATGGTTCTCGGAATATGGACTGCCAGTGGTCAACATACATAGATCTCGGTCGGCGACAGTAAGTATAACGGCAGACCAACAATAGCAGCCATGAGGACGTGAAGCCAGATCGTTCTTCAGAGGGGGCCTGACGAGAATATTGCCGTTTATACACTCCCAACTCACAGAGCTACTGGCAAAGATCATCCATCCACGGAGCCAAATCACACCATAGCCGGATCCGATTTGGGAAACGGAGTCCCAGAGGATGGTGGATGTTCTTTGCCAGAAGCTTCAGGCCGCAAGGCATGGTTGAACGAGTCCGTCGAGCAGCCCTTATATGAACGTTGACGAGCACGGCGAGCCGTGACAGAGAGATAGGGGCGCAGTGCATCGCTATTGACTACTAGGAAAGCGCGATATGTACCCCCACAGAGCGCGAGCAGGTATGGAAGACTCACCCTCGACCATATTCTCGGCATATTCAGCGCCAGCCTCCTCCAGGGCGAACACACCGCGGCCAATACCCATGCACAGCAAGGGAAGTCCTCGAAATTAATCAGGAAGATCTGCCTGAGGAGTTCCTGGGGAAGCCTCCTGATGGGCGAGACGTACGCCAGCGTGTGTGCGACCTTGTCCTCGAGCGCAGACTGTTCTTGCTGCATTTCGTTTATAGCACATTTCGATTCAGCGACGAACTTCGCGAGCTTCGCCTCTGCATCTTGAAGCCTGCTCTGGAGGGCAGAAAGCTCTGACTGGGTGGAATGAAGGACTTGACGGGCAGAGGCGATTGTGGCGGCGGTGGGTGGCTCTGGGAGGGACATGTCGAGGTGGTGGTGGTTGGAGGAGAGGAGGCGCGGAGGAGGTGCGGTGGCGGCGTGTTCTGAAGCGTTTACTTGTTGGGGGTCTTGTCCAGACGGTGTTTTGAGAGCGGAGCAGGTGACAGCGAGTCGTGAGCGAGTTCACAGCCTCTTCGGGCTGTGCGTCGTCTACGTCTAGGGTTTGTTTCTTCCTTTATTCCTTCCCGGTCGAGAATTCGCCGATAAAGGGCAGCTGGCCTTGTCTGGAACAGGGGAACAAAAAGTGCCAGTAGTTATAGCAGGCGGCCCGGCCGAGAACGGAGCCGAAACGAGGGAACGGTGGCACAAAAATGGAGAGGTACATATCGGAAAGCGTCGCGAATGGAAACTGTTTAAATAATATGCTGGATAACGGTACAAGAGGACAGGACGTTTGTGGACAGACAAGGCTGAACAAGTGGACACGACGGTCGGCAGCCGGTCGTGGAGATGATAGGAAAGCGAATGTAGGGAAGCAAAGGCGGAAGGCGCGGCTCCGTCACTTCTTTCCAGCCTCTACCGCGTCCCCGTTCTTACACGCTATTATCTTGATCTTCGGCGCGGTCACCATCTCGTTCGACTCCATCTTGAACGAAGCGTCCTTGACGATGAACGTCCATACGTCGTCACACAGCCGGTAGGTATGCAGGTGGCCCTGGAGTACAAATGCCAACACAAAAAGAGGGAACAACGCCAACACAATTGAGCACACCGGAGCACGCAGATACAAGGAACGCACCTTGAGCGTCGTCTTGTTCTTCACCTGCTTGATCATCGTGTCCGCGAGCGACTTGTCGAACTGCGCCACATTCTCAGTCAGCTTTGTTCCTCCATTCCTTCCGCAGCTCTACTGCTCATGCCTTTCGAGATGCTCCAGTTGTAGACAACGCACCTGTTGGAGAACCTTCATCGCCAGCTGAGGTGTAATTGCGCCACTCGTGATGAGTTCGTCCAGCGAATCCGTCAGAGCCATCCCAATTCTGCCTCCCCAGTTGTATAATCTATTCACTGGTTCGAAGAGTGTATTGTACGTACGATGAACCCCGGTAAAACTCGTAATACGCAGTGGCCATACTGAAGTTGTGAACGGAGCGGTCAAGGTGGTACACTGGTAAGCAGGAAGTACAATGGCCACTGGACGATTGGGCTCTAACCCCGCTGACACAGCCACGCGATTGATGTGGCGCCGCACTTTGCCACACTCCGGCAACGCCCTGAGGGCCGATGCCTAAGAACAGATGTCGTGAAACTATTGTCATAAAAGTTTATACGCATGTGACCAAAAAGACAGTACAGTACATATGTATCGGTAAGGTATATCTCACTCTATTGCATACGGATGTACAAGCTAGAAATACACTACGCACCTCGTGCTAACGCAGAAGCAAGGATGTGGAATGATGAAAATCATGAATGGAACACGAGAGTTCGCGAGAGAACCAAGAAAACGTCCAAACACTACTCGCCGAGCGTAGCAGCAGCATCTCCAACTAATCTATCACTCCTCCCCGGCGTCGTACGCCTCATGCTCCTGCCAATCCCCCCTCCTCACACTCCCGTCTCCGTTCCCGTTCAGCGTCAGTAACGCCTCCAACCTCCTGCCCAATTCACCACCCCTCCCTCCACAGATATCACCGGTCCCATCCAGCAACCTCTCCTTCTGACTCTCCTCCGACGCCGCCAACGCCGTCATCTTCCCCAAACCCGGAACACCCCTCCTCTTCGGAGTCCTGACCCTCTTTCGTCTCACTCCATTCGGCTTCAAAATGCTCCCAACGCTCGCCGCCGAGGTTTCACCATCATCGCTCTCACCTTCCCCAGACATGAATCCCCCTCCTCCATGCCTCGAAGCTAGAACCGTCGTCCCCGGATCCGGGCTCGCTGCAGAACTGTGCGTCGTCCGAATGTAGTTATCGACCTCTGCCTGTACCTCCTTAATCCACACTTCCTCTTGATCCTCGGGTCCGAGTATGCTCTCTACCAGGCCCTCCTCCCAACCGTCCCATTCGAGGCAGCGGTGGACGAGGCGCAAAGGGGCACCCGCGGTCTCATAATGTCGCCATTCTGCTACCAGAGTGGCGAGATCCGCATGGCGATTGGATGCGGACGGAAGGCGCTCGACGAGCTTAGACACGGCTTCTCGGAAGAGGCGAGAGGTAAAGGGGCTGGATTGGAGGAAGGCGGGAGGGTGGGCGCATGCCCAAAGGGGCCGTATCGTCGTCGATTCCCAGTCAATGACACATGTCTAGAAAATTATGATCCGCTGTAAGAACGCGCGACTTGATGTGGGGAAGATGGAAGAAAAGCAGGTACGTACGATCTTGGCGTGGTCATCAGGATCCACGAATATGTTCTCCAAGCTCAAGTCATGGCAGTCCAAACCGAACTCTTCGGGCGCAGGACCCCCATGCCCACCTGGATCCTCTATCCCAAACCCTACACCCGAACAAAGTCTGTCCATCATCCTCAACCATCTTCCCATCTCCGCTCTCGCCACCTCTTCTCTCTCCGCCATATGAGCCACCAAGAACGTGCTCCTCTGCATCTTCCTGTAGTCGCGGTAGATCGCATCTCCCGGGCCTTCCCACTCCTCTTCGCTCTCTTCCCAATCATACTCGTCGCTCTCATCGCTTCGGTCTCCGGGAACGGCTTGGAGATGATGATGCCTGGACGCACGAATCTCATCTGGGTCGAGATGAAGTCGATGCGGCGCTGCTTTGCCTTCATTCTCGCGTATGACGCCGTTGATCTCCCGGGTGGCGCACGCAAGGAAATACTCGCGCGTCGTAGGCCACGGGCCACGGTCGATCTCGGTAGGATGAATGAGGTCTCCGCGATTGGAACCGAAGAAGGGCCAAGAGATGATCTGGCCGACGTGGAATTCTTGGCCAGTGGTTGGCGTGCTCGGCGCCTGCAGGTACGTGCTCACACGGGACGTGTACGCTGGCCTGCTTGGGAGATTGAAAGTCGTGTTCTTCAGTGTTGGCGTCGGTGCGGAGGACGCCCATGCGGAGGGTGGCGGAGAGCGCGCTCCTTCGGGTGGCGGGCCAAGGTAGAGGGAACCGATATTGGAGAATCTGTGGGCGAAAAGGGGTATGACGAGTGATGCGAGATTGCTGAGTAGCAAGACGAGTGTTTCGTGTGACATGGAATGATAGACGGTGCTGAGCGGAACGCCTTTGGCCTTGCCACAATCGTTGTCAGAATCACATGCGGGAATGAATGATTGGAGAAAATGGACAGACCTTGGACATGATGATGTATTCTCCTCCGAGGCGGTTATAGGGATTAGAGTCGTAGAAATGGACGTTTGGCACTGGTATTGATGTGTGGGTCCGAATGTATGACATTGTGGCGACCTCTGATTCTGTCTTCAACCGCGGCATGTAACGGCGGGCTACCCGGGCGATGACCTCACGTCCATCAGACAGAGTGACAAGATAAGCCTGTACAAAAGGATGTCAGACAAAGGGAGTGTCGTGTTTTCAGAGAGACGCACCTTGTGGAATGTGCCTGTACGTGCAACAGATTCGGTGTGAGCACAACTCAGAACGAGGTAGGAGAATCGAGCGCTCATGAACAATGCAGAGCTCGACAAAAGTAACAGCGGCTCTGAGGAGTATGTACCTCCCGCTGCTGAACGTGCAGAGGAAAGCGAGTAGTGTGGCGAGTCATGTCAGGGCGACTCACCAGAACTCAAGAAAGTGATCCTTCCAACCTCACATCCCATCTTCTCTCGAACAACATCTTTGAGTAGCTTCCTATCTACGAGGAAGGGTTGAGCGCTATGCAGCGACGCGTCTGCCCTGGACTCCTTCTTTCTGTCTTCGTGCTCGAGATCCCAGTCCCACTCGATTGGGGTGCTAATCTCTGTGGCGTCGGTGCCCATGGACTCTGATGCTGACGAGGAATCGTCGGCTTGAGTGTTGGAGGAGTCTGACGTGTACACCTTGGATGCGGTGTGATGCAACAATGAGGTGTCATGGGCCATCTCCGGTAGCAGAGGCCCCTAATGATGTCGGCGACCAGGAGAGCGCTCAAGAAGAACTATTCGAGAAGGTTCGAGCTCGAGGTCGTCGCAATGGATGACGAGAACAAAGGACAAGAGCTGTTATGTGGGGGTGGAGAAGTAGATAGACGGTCGATGATCCGGGAAGAAAATGAAGGGGCAAGGCGGCTCGTAGCCCGCTACGGTTTATCAACAGTGCGGGGCTAGGCGGGGCTGCCTGCCGTAAGCACTAAACGGCGATTTGTAGTCGAACGTGGCCCTTACGGTAGGTACGATCGCCTCTTCCTCTTCACCCTCACGTTGACAAGTAACACACGTCTTCTCTCCCTCAAAATCCGTCGCGATACACAAGCAGAACCCCCGAAGCGATCTGTTCTTTAGTCAATTCGACGTTATCCGTCGCATTTTACCAACAGCAATGAGCAGCAATGCCGTTTTCACTCTTTCCGACTGGCCTACTGAGACCGTTTCACTCCCCGGTTGCCGAACACACTGCGTGCAACCATACGCGCGTATGATTGCGACTCTCCTTAGTGAGTTCCGCCTTTTGCTCAGATAGTATACAAGAGGCAAGCGCGCCTTCTATCCTGTGATTTCTTGTGATTCTGATTCTGAATCCTACCCCCGGTGGAGGTCACGATGGACGCTTTATCGACTGTCGATGCGGCACTCGAACAGTCTCGAGCACCCTGCTAGCGCTATTTATAAGACCCCACCCCTGTCTCTTTCAAGTTCTCTGATATTTCCCTTGAGATATCAGGACAGCCAAGTGCGGTCCGTGCTGCCTAGTACAAAACGCCACCACGGTAATGCTTAGGCTAAGCTCAGGCGTAGTCACAGAGTCGACCATAGCCGTGAATCCGTCGCCTGTGATTGTACATCTGGAGGTGTGTAAAAACTCAATGATCTCACCTCGGATAGTCATCCAGGATTTTTGACAACTTCATGATCTCCGGCGCCCAGCGCTACTACTCTGCGGCGTCTTGTTGCTGACTTGCTACCGGAGCCAAGAACCAACGTTCTTCTATATTTCCGCTCGGACTCTCCATAAAGTACTTGCTGCGGAATGATATGCAGTTTCAGCCAAGCTCGCCTTCCTACTTATGTATGGTGCAAACGGCTTAGTAAGCGCCACTTTTGTACAGTGGCCAATTTCGTCGGGCGAAAGTCGAAATCCCCATTTATTGAAAGAAAATTCCTGGCACCCCTGTTTTTTTCGGAAAATAATAAACAAATGATTTAAATATTATTATCTGGCGGGGTGGCCAATTCCAAAAGTTCAACTTTGCCGGTTTTGAGAATTTGGACAATCCCTCTAGAGGAACTCTTCCTTTCATCAAAAGGAGTGTTTCTGGAAGAGGGATAGTGAAAATTCTCAAAATTCGGCCCGCGGCACCGTCCTCAACGTCGTGTACAAAAGTGGCGGCGTCTAAGCCGTTTGCACCATAGGGTGCAAGCGGTAAGCGACGATTGAACACTGCACAACGCCAACACCTTTACTTGGCAAAATCTCCACTTCAACCTCCTGAATAGGTGCAGGGTCGCTTAGCCAAGGTTACCAGAAGCCGATCTTGAATGCAGTTGCCAGTCGGTGTCAAGAGTGGATGATGTCGTTGGCGGTTTTATTCACGAGAGTTGCGGAACGTACGTTGAGGTCTGTCGCTCGTTGAACCGACTTGTGTCTCACTCCACCTCTTTCTCGGCATGGGAGGATGCAGTCCCGCTTGATTGCGAGTTTGATCTACCAGGGCTCCCCATCTGGTCTTTATTTCTCAATCCCGAGTTCTTATAGGCCGGACGGAAAGGTGGCGTCACTGGTGAAGGCGCGGGTACAAACAGTATGAGAATTTCTACCCCGAATGAGACCAGCCTGGTCGCGAAATCACTTGCATAGACAGATACTTGTTGACCGAAGGCCAGAAAACCTGCACATTGACGGCCTGCGAGCACATAGTTTGTCTATATCGAAATGCCACTGGTTTTCTGCACAGAAAGTATCATTCCCTAAGAGTTTTCTGTGCTCTTGTACGGTCCAAACTTCGCCCTGCAGGCTCTCTTGATACTTACCGTCGCAGGTGGGAGCCGCAGCAGAAACTGAATTCTTCCTTCTCACCATCAAAATAACCTATGATGTATGCAGCTTCAACATGACACAAAGGGCTCTCCCTTGCATTGGCGAAGCAACAGCTCCACTGACATGTTCAGCCTACGAGGTATAAAGACCATGGTGCGCATACTCAATTGAATATCACTGCATCTACCGTCTTGTTATCATCTTTTTCGCTCACGCCTTTACGACCTACAGCCTACAGTATTCTCCGTAATGTCTGAAAACACCTCTTCCGGTGCTACCCCTAGCACTCCAACCCTTGGATCCGCGGAGCGTGCTCATGGAGTCATGATGTTCTTTGCCTTTGGCGTCTTGTATGTATCGCCTTAGTCTATCACAGACGACGCCTTGACCGAACCTTTTTGCACACCTTCCAGCGTACCCGCCTCGTATGACTCTATTCAGCCTGTCAGTTTCCAAAGCTGAAACCATCCTCGTGGTTTTTACAGAGCCATCCTGACCCGCTACCTCCGACGCTTCCCTCAATCTGGACCGAAACTCTGGTTCTTTCCCGTTCATCTTCTCCTGAACGTCCTCGCTCTCGCATTCTTCCTCGTCGGATTCACCATCGCAATATTCATATCAGGAGCAAAGCAGTTCACGTCCGCGCACAAGGTGAATTCGACTTCATTCATATTCGTTGTAGTATTTCTGCAACACAGCTGACTTTCGGTATCGTCTGAATGACCTAGAGGATTGGGCTTGCACTAGCTATCTTGTTCCTCTTGCAGGCTCTGGAAGGCCTGACGATGGCAATGATCCATCATCGGTATCCGATGCAGCGTCGTGACCACCCTTTCATTGACCGACCCCAGTGAGCATGGTGTTATGGTTTACATTGCCGAGACTGACGATCGCAACACTGATCACTCAGTTGGCTCCTCGGCTGGACAATCCTCTTATTGGGCTTCGCGAACAGTACGTCTCAATTCTCACTTGCACTCTGCAGCAGTGAAGGATACCCGTATACTGATGGCGCAAATCTCAGTTCCGCTTGGACTATACATTCCCGGTGGTACCACTCGTACGTTCCGCTCAACTTTCTGAATGGAATACCGACAATCGAACACTGATTTTTTGTCACGAACACATAGACGGCTTCCAAAGCTCGAAGACGGTACACATCCTTGCTTTTGTTTGGATAGGGTTGCTCTGCGTGGGCATTGCCACTGGTATGTATCCCCTTGCGATGATCATCGATACTCTGTTACTTCGAAAAGTTCTTAGCTGATCGTGGCGGTCTTCGATTAAAGCGGAAGGCATGCACCGATGGAGCTCGCGCCACGGGAATGACCGTTGGCGTAACCCGGCTGGGGCTACACAGATTGGAGAAAAGCCTCTTGACGGTAACGAAAACGGGACAACTGCGACCAACGGTCCTAGGAATGCGTGATTGCAGGAATGTTACGCGTTCAAGTTTGCTGAGTAGACGTGAGTGCCGCGTGGATCGTCTTCTTCATCCAAATTTATAGTTTGTGGACGGTCGATTACAATTTACATGGAGCGAAAGAGAGGTATTCATGGTCTCTGTACTCTTTGAACCTCGTTGTGCTGTTGTCGTCGTGTATGAATACTAATGTGGTATCGCTCTGGAGATGGTCATGGTTGTGTATTCCACAGTTATGCATCAATGAAATAATCCAAGAAAGTCAACAATGACAACTCGCCGATAGAGATCTAGCCCTTGTCTTCCGTGTACAGATCCTGCCAGATCATGGAGGCAATCCCGACCTCTGACGTTGACTTGATACGTTCCGCGTACTGACACATCCATAATAGGTCGCAATTCAGATCTTGGACTGGCAATGGGGCGGGATGCGTTCACCAACGGCAACACCGCTCGATCGTTGGACTGTCCGGGCACGTTCGATCTCTTCCGTTTCCTGGTCAATTTATAAAGCAACTCACTCGCAGTCGTATTTTCCCCAGCAGTGCCCCAGTGTTCCTGTTCCAACCTTGCACGCCGTTACTTTTACTCCCCACACAGACTATCGTTATGGATCTTCCAGGTGCTTCGCCCATTACTCCGAGCTTTACGAGTGCCGCTCGCGCTCATGGAGTCATGATGTTTCTCGCGTTCGGTGTTCTGTGAGTGACGCATCTCACATCTATGGTCCCAAGCTGAAGTTTCGTCTCAGCATGCCAATCTCGTAGGACGAGTTTCGTTGTTTATGCAACTCGCAGTGGATCCTAACAGTCCTCCAGAGGTTACATAGCGCGATACGCCCGGCGTGCTCCACGCAATGGTCCTCGCCCGTGGTGGTATTCGTTCCACATTCTATTCAACGGCTTGGCTCTTCTATTCTTTGTAGCTGGCTTCACGATTTCCGTGAGCCTTCTCCGTTTGAATTTTTAGGCTTTGACTATATCAACTCGCCTACAGATCTTCATATCCGGAAGCCACCAATGGGGCTCCGCGCACAAGGTAAGTTGATCGTTCTCCACGACACGCTCACTGCACGCAAACGACCGTTCTACAGAAACTGGGACTCTCTCTCGCAGTAATGCTCTTACTACAGTCTGTGTGGGGGATCACCATATCTTTCATCCACAACCGGTTCCCTTCCAGGCGTCGCGACACCGTGTCTGTGGATTGGCCTCAGTGAGTGCAGCTTGTCGAATTCCTCTCTCCTTGAGACGACTACCATCTTATCGGCATGTTATCCTCTAGCTGGGTACTCGGTTGGAGCATCTTGACCCTTGGATTCGTCAACAGTACGTTCTCATACCAGCCAATATTGAAATGCGATGAAAGCTTATTAGTACTCCAGTCTCGCTTGGGCTTTACCTTTCCACCGGGACCCTCGGTACGTCTACTCATGGGATAATACTCCTCTACCTGACATCTCTCGTGTTGAAATTATGTTCCCTTGACAGATCTCTATCGCACCTCGACTACCGTCCGGGTTCTTTGGTTTGTGTGGATGAGTCTCGTCGTATTGACTATCGTCATCAGTGAGCACCTCGCCAGTATTGAGCAAGAGAAAGCATGGTACTAATATTTTGTCTAGCTGAAATCATCTACCGTTTCAAAGGCGGAAACGACAAGTGGGCTGCCTCTTCGAAGGATCTGAAGCACACACATGAGGGTCGCGATGAGAATTAGTGTGGCGAGCGAAGTGCCTTCACGAGCTTGTTCAGCCTTGAGAGGTGTATATTGCTTGAGTTAGACTCACAATTCTTGTCTACGACGTTTAGTCAGTCTACTAGCTACTTTTTTTTGTGAATTAGTTGTGCGGAGTGGCGCCTGCACAAACCCCTGTGGCGCCGCACACGAATGTATCTCACAGTTGCCTTGCAGCAGGAGGGTAGTTCCAATAGTGATTGAATTGAAGCTTAAATATGCTCGGAAGTTGATGCAAAGAATCTCTGAAATCTTGAACAACTTCTACGAGCCTGAATCACTACGGTGTTTTCGTACAGCTTGAAGGGGAGGCAAGTATGGCATGCAAGAAGACCCGGAAGCATCCGATTCTTCTTTCAATGCGACTTTTCGTCGCATCGTCTCGCATCGTGCAATATCTAGCCTACTCTAGCTTTACGCTTCCTCTTCGATCTCCTTATTATAACGACGCGCTTCAGAGACAATGAATAAAGAATACTCTGCGGTCCGCCCTAATGCTGAAGTCGATGACAGTCAGTGTAGCTCTGTCCAGCTTCTCGGTTCAGGATCAAGTACTCTTCCAACTGAGCTTGTTCTCGAGATATTTGGCAAGGTATGTCTCATTTTCATACCACACATTGTACTTATATGCTCAGCTATACATCAGTTGACGAAGGAAGAACTCCTCCGACTTCGTCTTGTGTGCACCACTCTCAAAGAAATTGCCGATTCATTCGTCTTCAGAAGTATCAAGATGATAAATAGACGCACCAGGGGAGACGCTTGCAGGGAGAGGCTCCGAGCGATCGCCTCCAAGAAATCTCCAGCTACCCTCCATACTGTTCATCTCGACATCGGCCAGCTTGTGGCACCTTCTCGGTCGTCAGGACCTATCAAGACCGCGCGGTATCAGAACCTTGAGAATTGTTTGCGAGAGTATCTGGAACCAGCAATCTCTGCTCTTCCAAACCTGAGATCTATGTCGTGAGCTCTTCAGCTTTTCCTCTCCTGATGTAGGCAACGTCCTAAGCGTGAATCCGTCTGCAGCTGGAGTGTAGCGTGCTACGACTCGGCCTGGACATACGAAGTCATCCAGCGAGCTATCTCCTCGAGAACCTCATTGCAACGCTTGGACCTTACGATATCAAGGTTTACACCAGTGATAGAGCGACTTCCACATTTGCGCGACTGCCGCCTCAAAATTGTACTCCCGTATGACCAACCAGCAGTAGACGCAGTGACTACGCAGTCGGCACAGTTCATCGCTCACAATCACCAGATCGAAAGGCTTGAAATCGTAGCGGTCGATCGTCATCGTATGTTCCATCAACGAATTAACCTACCGTCCCTTTTCGGGCAAAGTTCTGGTCAGCATCCTCTCCAATTGAAGAAGCTCGACCTCAAAGGGCTTGACATGGCCATTGATGAGTCGACCGCTCCACATCTACGTTCTCTCAAAGAACTATCCCTGACGATTCCATACGTTTGGACCACCCCTATGATGCGTACCGCCTATCTCTCGCTACCGCCACTCCTAGATGCCGTTATTCATGTCGAGAGCCTCAGTCTTGATTATGTGAACATGGACGTCCTCCGTTGCATCGCATCTATGAATGGCTTGGCCCGCCTGACCTTCAACTTTACTAGCGAGTCCATGTCTGACGACGAGCGCGGCAACCTCGGGTCCCAGGAGGCAGACTTCTTCTATGCCCAAGTGTTGAAACAACATGCACAGTCTCTCGAGCACCTCTCCATTGATGCCATACATGATGGTCCCTGGTCTATCAACGAAGGGAATGTCCATGCGCTGCAAGAGTGCCAGAATCTCATCTCCTTACGCATTCCCGTCAGCCGCAGATGCGCTATACGTGGAAATACTATGGTACGTGCCTTGCTCGATTACGCTCGACCAATCTGACACGCTTCCACTAGCGCCCCGTCATCGATGTCTTGGTCGCTCTTCCAAAACTATCATCGCTCTACCTGAACATAAGACCCCGCTACGATGTACCCGGCACGATGAGGATCCGTGCTATAGAACAACTCCACACGATGATACTCAACCTTGGAACATTGGACCCAAGCAGAAGCCCTAGGTCAATCTGGATTATGGATGTAGAGCATCCTTTGCAACTCAACCTGAAGGGAGAGTATCGATATGCATGTTTACCAGCACAAGGAAGATAAAGAAGATGACTGTCAGGGTAAGTCAATGCTATACAACGTCGTGATTTTTGTCCATATCTGAATACGCGGAATATAGGTGGCCTGTAACTCGCTTGTCGTCTCAGAAAACAATTTAAACATCTTCAATTGCTTAATTCTTTCCGTTACCGCGCCCTACAGTCGCAGCCTTGTTTCCTCCTCAACTTTCTAAACCCTGAGTTTCCTCTGTAGTTTTCCTGCTTGCCATACAGGCACTTTTAAAGAGGGCGTCGAGTACCTGTACTGACTCGACAGCGCAACTGCTCAAATGAATATATACATGAAGTTCTTGTGGATCGATTTATGTCACATATAACCGTCTTTTCCACGGAAATCCTCATCGGTTTCGTTTGTTGTATCGCCTATGTTCAATTTTCCCTCGTGCTTTTCTCGACCCTTATTCCTACTCTGAGTCTTGTGATTGCGAGTCGTAGCCTTGCGTATTTCCATTTTCTTACAATCGTGACTGTAATGCAAGTGTCTTGTCTTTTCCTTTTCATCATTGTACCCACTAATAGAAGACAGTCGCATCACGACTGGGAGCCCCTGTGGCGCGCCACTCGCGCAAGTATAAACCCTGTGCCGCATGCACGAGAACGTGGTACCCAGTGAAATTGTCAAAGTGTGATGTCGGGCATGATGCTTATATAGTACTTATACACTGGACTCACAAACCGTGGATCATAGGAGTCGAGTGAAGTTATGGGTGGAGGGGATGTAAGTAGCTGTATAACGATCTGTTCAATAGTTGCTCGTTATTACAATTCGTCACTGGTACTTATCACCTGTGAGTCTTTAGGGCACTCGAAATCAAGATCGGGTCGGGATAGCGTGGAAAGTTTGGTGAGTGGACGACTGCCCCATAAAACTTCAACGACGTGGCAAATACGTTTTGCGGTCCGGACGAGTCGATGATGGCCGTGCGACGACCACGACCAGCCTCAAAGCCATCATATATAATCATCGAGGAAACTTACATACAGTACCGGGGCGAGACCAGCAGTTTGACGAGTCCGACAGCCCCATGGAGGGACCCATGAATTATAACTTGATCAGATGAAAAGGCAGGCAATCTATGTCCGCGAGATCCGAGTATAGCGAGAGCGGACGGTTCTGGTGGTTCTGGTCGGATTGAGATCATGATACATATCAAATGCGCAAGTCTGACCGGGCAGACGATACGTAGCTCGTGTTTATCGGATCAGCAGCACTTGCGACGCGTTAGGGAGATGGCTCAGACCCTTGTAAGACGCTAGTGGTGCAGTACATGAAGGCATCGACGAAGAGGAGGAAGAGCTGGCAGCGCTGGCTGCTGAGCGCTCAAAGGTAAGCTGGCACCAAACCCCATAACCAACATCGATCGGGGGCAGGGGGTAAAGGGCATGATCAAATTTATCGTGGCCCAGATCCAAAGATAGTAGAGAAGATAATAAGCGTACGCAGGGAGCGCCTTCCGTGAGTGAGTATTTCAATACGCCGTAGTCGAAAAAAGAACGAAACAATGAAGACTCGGAGCGCCACGAAGCGGATCGGGTCGGTTCAGTGACACACTAAGATACAGTCAAGGATCAGTCAGGCATAGAAAGCTCTGTGGAAGGCGAGACACACAAGTACATATTGCAGGACTTCTCCGACTCCTTCAGTATGCTTGAAGATGATGCGTGAGCAGAACTTCCCTGCTGAAGAACGTAAGTAATAGAGCGTATCCGTAGCCTCGTTTTTGCCTCGGGGAAGCCGGGATGGGGTGAAGTGTTACACTGTTCATGGTGAGGATCGTCGTTCAAAATGCAGATAGGCTCTTGTACAGGTTCCTAGTCGAGTATCAGTCGAAAGTGTTTTGAGTAGAGGGTGATTAGTAGGCTGACTCTAAAGGCCTCTTGAACAATAGGTCAACCAAAATGAGTGTGGGAAGCTGCATCATTAAATAATGATGGTGCGAAGGGCATAGAATCACTATGGACAGCCCTGGGGACCATTCCAAGATAATAAAACGCAGAGGTCCGTGGTCCACGTCGACGATGAAAGCTGGCATGCTGCCAAAATACCACGTTCAAAGCCGCCAAAGCGCTCATACGAAGTCCTGAAGTTCCAGAGTCAAGCGCTGATCCGGGGACAGAGTGCTATTCGTCGTCCAATCAAGAGCCCTAGCGGCAGCCGGTGATGAAGTAAAATACGCTTTGAAACTGGAACACCGATGATGCCAGCGAAAGTGCAGATGAAGTCACTTTTACGTCCATCACCTTTCTTTCCGAGTTTCTGCCTGTCCAGACCGGTGAATCAGAGCTGTTCGCTTGCCAAGGGAGGTCTGAGTAACCGTGTTTCTCACACTGTGTCTCGCACGCCCCTTGGAATACCAGCAATTCCCCGCCTGAAGCGGCTGAGACACTGCCTCCAATCAGGAAGTCTTCAATGCGTGCCCCGAACATGAGGATAAGAACAAACTTCAATAATGCCGTAGACCGCCCCCCATCGGAGTAGTTCGAGAGGCGTGGAGCGTCGGAACCTTGAAGTGTGTTTTGCGTTTGCCAGTGGCTTGGATGAGTTTTAGGACATTGAACCTGCCTATCGTGGACGATCGTCGACGTACTAGCGAGTAGGCACCGAGGTCGAGGACGGTCCACGATGCTAAAGCGCTAAAACACCACAAAGTTGAGTAAAATCCCAAAGCCGTATACATAAGGAGGGCGTCAGGATGATATCTGCGTGGTCGAAGGTGCACATGTTTCGCCGACTCGCTCGTGCTTTCGCGCAATCAGATACAGAAGAGCCCGAAGATGGGTGTCGGAGAGGAAAAGTGCCATATACGCACTAGCACGATGCAAATACTGTGAGCCCAGCTGCGCCCTGCACATTACCCTGACAACTAATAAGCATACCGTAAAGGTTGTAGATTTCCAGTCCAAAGCGCACGCGATGGGGCGATGTGAGCGCACGAACTGATGCATGATGGACGCCCCAAGACCGATATTCGAGTCCGAGGAGCAAGCTGGAGGCCTGGAAGAAAGACGCAGGGAATTTGGGACGGAAAAAGCCGGTGGACCATCCGGTAGCGCTGGTTGTGGCGACAATATGGCAGTAGGTAGGGTTGGTGGCGTGTAAGAATGAGCAGGTATATGGAGCTTGGACAAAGGAGCAGGATTCATGCTGAGTGCATATAGAGAGGGAGAACTGCGGATTATATGAAGTGTCCTCTCTCTTCCATGCAGTTAGGGCGGTGTCCTTATTGTATAGAACTGTCGTATGTGTCGTCGAGGAATAGAATACTACTACCTGTGATACCCGAGTGAGATCGGATACTTCGACACTTGGAAGGCGGTAACGCGCCCGAGAGACCTCTTAGAGCAGTCGTAGCATGTGTGCAGATGTTTCCACAAGTATCTTGGAAGATCGACCCGAACGGGATGTTATCATGGTCGAGTGCGTAGATGGTCCATGCCTCCTCCCGTGTTAGGTGAGACCCATATACACGAAACTGGACACGGTGCTTGAGCTAGAGCAGCGTCAATCAGCCATGAAACGGAAAGGGTATATTTGAGGACGGCGATCCGATGATATACGACGGCGATATCACGAGGCGCGCCACATTGATCTTGGCGAGGGCCGTTAGTAGCGTCGCGCAACGGATCGTGAACGAAGCAAAAAAGACGGATATGTTGCAAGATCAATGTTAGTGCACGTTAGTCGGTGACGGATGATAGACAGCGAAAGGCAGCATACTTAGATCCGGCGAGACCGAAGTGAAACGATACCATAAGTTTCACCTCGAATAAGCGAGATGGACGTGAGGTGGCGTCCGGAAGCAGGCGCGGATGATCGAAAGCGGACAACGTCAAAGAAAGTCCTGTAAACAGCGAGTGAGTCTCCCGCAGCTGCTCGAAGAGAATGACCGATGAAGTGGACGTACATACCGACGGTTCGCCGCTTTGCGAACGTCGGCTGGGGAACGGTAGAGGTGTGTATAGGTGAGCGCTCCGAGTTCTTTCTCCCAAGAGATCCTCCTGTGAGAATCAGGAGAAGCGTCAGTGAGACGAAATTGATCCCTCTAACAGATCATAGTTTCATGTTCGAGGTTTGTACGATGTGGCACGAAGACATACGAGCGCTTCTTTCTCCCAAGGTTCCGTTGTGGGTTTACCACGTCCGTTCGCATGCCGTCAACCCGGAGAAGAGTCTGTTGAAAGCCTCAGAAGCGACGCAGTCGTCTGAGATATATCGTCTCTCGTTTTGCTGTTGAGACGAGATCGAGACAGACGGTGCGGCGATATCCATGGCGATGGTACGGCTCTCTGTGAAAATACCGACTGAATGCCTGCGCCAAGATTGAACTGCGGGGAAAGAAGGAAGCACGAATATCCTAAGTGCGACAACTCCACTGAATGGTCCATAGCGCATCGACCGCAGAACATCCCACTCAACTCCGCTGGATGTTCAGAAAGGCTAGCCATATCTATGAAGGGAATAAATCATACGTCGGCCGCAAGTTCGCCGCGGTGCGGCTGCTGAAGCGCAGAGATTTCGACGGATTGATGGAAAGAAGAAAATCAGGGAAGAAAGGAGAGCTGAAAAGGGTCACCCGACGTCACCTTTCCAGGCCTTCAAAGCTTCATCCTTCTTCTATAACTTTCCTTTTTTTGCACAGGACACATGCAGGGCCGCCGGCAACCTCAATCAGTGCGCACGGCCCGAGTCGGGGAACTCATGCAACCTTAACTCCAACTCACGGTGCTCGCGTAGGAGTATCGCATGGGAATCGACGAACAAGACATGGTATGGCCATTGCGAGCTAGCGAGACGAAAAGGCCGAGGAGAAAGAGACGAGGTGTAAAAATCTCCATTGGCTGAAGGGAGAGCAAGATTTTCTGCATCATGAGTGAGTATTTGGGCAGATAATCAGCTGGCGGAGCACGAACCTCCGAAAAACGTCAGGGTCTGGACCGTCCGAAAATCGCCAGAAAAGGTGAGTAATCGTCGCTCTTCTTTGCAGTTGTCGAGAGGATACGCGTTGCGAGATGATCGATCTGTGAACGAATAGGAACAGGAGTACGCTCGAGGCAGTTCCTTCAACCAGATGGAATTATAGTTCACAACGAAGGTACATACATCCAGACGATCGTCTTTGGGACACAGGGGAGAACGCTTTGAAGGAAAATATGTACTCCCACACACACGCCCAGGCAGGCTGCTTCGCTGATAGCAGTTGATATTGAAAGAAGATGGCGGTATTGCGCTCCCGCAACGGTCGCCGCGACCGGAAATGTGCACACACGGTGATGGTTAAGTAAGACATCGGATGGGGATTTGGATGGTTGACAATGTGCTGCAGATGCAGCTGGTGGAGAGCACAGAGATAGGCTTAGGGATAATCAAAGCGAAAAAGTAGGAAAATGGGTGGACCAATAGAAGACCGCGCTAGGCAGGATATCCTATCTAAGACGGAGGCAAATGCGACTCGAGTTTCATAGAACGGCCAAGAAAGGAGGCCGTCGAGAAGGAGAAGAAATAGAGCCTAGTATAGTACGAGCCGGCGTCGACAGCGAGGGTCATGAAACGGCGGCGGCGACGGTTGCTGGAGACATGTACGCGTTATGAACTGGAGAATATTGTGCTGCGATTTCCATGGGCATTGATCGTTGCGAATGGAGAGGAAAGGAGTCGGGGACTGGTCGAGGTGTGAGCACGAGTTGCGGGGGGAAAGAGGGTAGCCTTCGCCGGCCACGCGGACGGGGTTTCTGGAGAGAAAGCTTATTCCCAAAAGGACGAATTGGGCGAGGCGCCGAGCGCGGGGAAATCCGAGGGATGGTCTGCGACTTCGTCTACGCTTGTGTTACATAATCGCACACCCTGTTCCCTCGCCTCCCATGAAAATCCAACGAAGCAGATATATAAATCAGCCCCGAACGGCTCTCCCGCCGAGGCCCCTGCTCGTCCTCCCTGTCCCCCCGCCGCCCGCCCTCCGTCGAAGACATTGATCCACGCGCACACGCGCCACCATGTCGCCACACACCGTCTTCGACGTCGAATCACCCGCCGAGGACGTCCGCGACGCGCGCCTCAACCACTGGATATCCTCCCAACACAGACTCGCCCTCCCTGATTCAGACGAAGGTCACGTCGCCTGTCGCGAATCAGCTCTCCTACCGGACAATTTCGATGACGACTTTGTCTTCCCTGTGGCCCGGTACCAGCCCTGCTCGGACATCGCAGAGGAAACCGCCTGTGCCTCCAATTCGCGGTTCGAAACGGCGTTCACCTGCTCACGTGACCAGATTGTACCCACGCACAGCGAGTGCAGTGGCCCCGACCTTGAAGACGAGGGACGCGACGAAGCCATCGAGGTGCTCATGCACGAGATGAATTCGTGGAGATTGCCCAGCGGTCCGCGCCACGAACACTCCCGCTCACTCTCGGATCGCGAGAAGGTATGTCTCGCCACACCAAGTTGGGCCACAAATAAATGACTTACCTTGCCTGACCCTCTTAGCCTCTGCCCTCCGTGCCAGGAGAAGAGCCTGCTCAGTCGCGCGACTGGACGCAGTACATTCCCTTCCAACCCTCTTCCCCTCTCTCGACCGGCTACTCCTCGCCCCCGTCATCGCCCTCCTCGCCCATCGGCAACTCGTTTGCCGCTGAAGCCTTTCCAAGAGTTCGCTCCAAACCATCCATTCAACATTTGGCACTCAGCACGGACGCCCCGGAGTCGCACCCCGCCGAGTACTCCCCTCGCGCACTCAACAACTCCGCATCGTACGCATCCCTCCGGAGCCGCACAAAATCCACCCGCTTCCCTTCCATATCCACCACTCTCTCATCCGTCAACTCAAGCCTGGATACTCCCGCTCCAGGCTCTCTATATGGCGGCAGTTCCCCTGCTCTCCGCCATGCAGTCTATATCCCTTCTGAGCCTCCTTCACCCACCACTCCAACTCCGACCCCCCTCGGTTCCAATACACCTGCCCTTACTCACAAATCATCCTTCTCATCCGCGTTTCCTCCTACACCCTCTCCGGGAATGTACCCATCGTCTCTTCTCCACTCTTCTCTCCCCGTTGTGGAGGACGACGACAGTGTGCGCCATTTCGATCAAGGAACGCCTGATGGGCTCCTGAACGTGTACGCGGGTGGTGGAGCTGCTGCCTCGAGATGGAGCGTTGCCACCTCTGCTAACCCTTCGGGCTCTCCCTCGCACCCAGTCCCCCTTCCGTCCACACCGTCCAAGCCTCTTCCGAAGGTCAAATCAAAGCCCAGCCTCACCCTCGTCGACAGCGGCTCTCCCAAGGACAGAAGCAGCAAGTCCTTTAGAAAGCGAATTCTCTCTGGGCTGAAGTCCCTTCGTTCACCCACGCTTTCCGCCGCTCCTTCATCCTCGTTCACTCAAACCACATTCCCCCCCTCACCGCCTCTCACACCTCTATCTGACCCTTTCCAGTCTGACGGTATGGCTCTCACGCCTTCACAGCAATATTACTTCTCTCCTCCTCCAACCGCTCCTCAGTCGCCGACCGACTCCGACTCCAGATTTATCTCGCAATCAGCACCTTCAGCGCAGTCCGGTTTGTTCGACATGCAGGAGGAGCCACAACAGAATGAGACAGTCCACGCGCACCGTATCCAACTCCCATATACTCCAAGTATGAGGAGCATGCCTCTGAACAGCAGCCTTGGTGTCGACCGAGAGGAGAGCACGATATCTGCGAGCGGCTTCACCAGCGCCAGCCAATATGGCTATCTCAACTTCCCGCCGCCCACTTCGCCCAGTCGCAGTGCTAGTCTCTCGAAGCGCTCATTTGTATACGAGACGGACGTGGATGGTGGTGCTGGAACGGGCACAGACGGGGGCAAGCCCAGCCTCGACTGGAAGAATATCAGCCGCAGTAGACTCTCGTTCGGTAGCGTTGCTAGCGGGAAATCCACTATGGGAACAACGAGGCGACTCGGTGGTATGGGCAAGCCGAAGAAGTTGCTCGTCAGTGGGCTCCCCGTAACCGATGCACGCGCAGAGGAGGCGATCAGGACGTGGTGCGAGGTTCGTTGAGTTTTTCGCCGCTAGACCCGTGAAGCATATAAGAAGATTATTGACTTACCTGCCTGTACGTGTAGAGCTTTGGTGAGGTTCGAAAGATCTCGCACAAGCCCAATGGTGTGCTGCAAGTGTCATGGAAGAAATCGTCTGTCGCTGATACGGTGAGCACGCCTTTTCTGCTGAGTTACCCTTTTATGGGACGCCACGCCCCGTCCACGTTACCTTTTGTTCGCCCGTGACATGAAATTCCCCGCGCGTATGCCTATTCGGGATCTCTGTCACTGACTCGTCGTTTAATGTCTTTTCCTAGGTCTGCCGACTTCAAGCTCAGGTTTTCATCGAGGGTGCAGGTAGCGTCGCGCTTTCGTGGGCTTCTAGCTCGAAGCGCGTCTAGCTTGCTCGCCTATCTGCTCTTGATGATTCCTCCCGGAGGACGCACGACCGAGTCGACGACATCTGCTACGAGACTTCCAGCACGTCTTTCAAGCTTGCCACCGTTTACATTCCGTCTTCATGGCCAGCACCTCCTCAACGAGGGCACTCCCTGCCGGCACCGATTTGGACTTCGCTGTCCCATCGGCATTGCCTGTAAAACAACCTCAGACAGTCGCTATTCTTACGCATTCTTGCGTTCTGTCTACTTCTCACCTATAACCCATTATTTGCCTCGCACAGGCGCGTTATAGGATGTATGTTTGCTAGATCTCTCTTTTATTGTTCCCATTGGACCGAAATACTGTAACACAACGCTCTCTGTATGCTTACTCTGCCATTCATTTCTAGTCACGCTCCTTGCATCTCGGTCTCTGCTTTCATCTTTACTGTCGCATAAGTGTTCATCGTTATCGTTGTTCTCAACTTTGGGCTTTGGGCCACGTGCATGGGTTTTCTGCTGCATCTCGAACTCACTTTCAAACACATCCGCATACACACACTATATCTCTATGCATCCCAACATACACATCCTACCTCGATCCTTGCCTCTCATTTATGCTATGCTCGCATCTCTGCTTCAGCTGTCCACATTCATTAGAACTCTACTCTTCCTTGCGTTTGCGTTCTCTGTCACCTCATTTCGCTCTTCGCGTTCTTCGGCCCTTTCGCGTTCGAAAATTATCCTACCTTCGTTGTCGCTATAGTCATGTTTAAGCCTTTCATTCGCCTCGCCTCGCCGCTTGCGCTCGAAATCTAGTCATACCACAGATTTATTTTTTGATGTTGCGCATAGGCGTGTCTTCATTGTTCTTTCTGGTAACTTACCTGCAGTCGCAGTGCGTCTGCCTTGTTTCTGTTGGTCCGCCTTACTTTGTGTGTATACACATCTACTTCCATCGTTCGCGTGCCTTGTGCTATCCGCATTTCTGTTCTTACCGTTGCTTCCGCTGATATATGAATCTTTCGATAGGCATTGCATTGTCGCTCTTCAAGGAGTCTAAGGAAGGAAGGAAGGAAGGTTTTCCTTACTCGTCATCTCGTCGCTCGGATACCAGTTTCCATTGAGCGCCGGAGATATGGACTGCGACACCCATCGAGTTCATTCCCCGAATACTCTCTTCAGCGACCTCTTTCCTTGCGGCTCAAGCGACGCTGCAATTTGTGTCCAAGTGAACTCCAACGGCCTCACTGGTCCCACGTATTTCCGCCGGGCTTGCACTTGGACCTACAAGTGTAGATGCGTATCCAGAGCGTTCGAGAAGTGACAACCTGGGATGCATCACAAACTTACAACGCAGGTCCTGTTCTGGATCGTTCTTCTCTCTCTGAGCCCTTCTTGATCCCCGCGGCGACAGAGATACCCATGTGTCATCCCCGTCAAGTACGCTCCACGGATTTCCTTCTCCCGTCTCGAAGAGTTCCCTCGAGAATATCTCAGCCGCACACAATGCAGTCGCGAAAGAAGCTTGCCCCGTCCTATCATCTCGACTGAGATGAACTCTCTCAGTGGCAAAGAGTAACGTCAACATCAACCACATCTTGATCTTCCCTGCTTCCTCTTCCCCAGTGTGTTGAATCGTCCGCGAGTGTGACGACTTTGATCAGACTCATGACTCCCAGTCCGCCCCGGCGGAACGGGACGTTGAACGTTGAACGACTTCGGGTTTTCCAGTCATATTTCTGCTTCATCTCTCTGGATAGGGTTGCTCGATGTGCCACGCCTCAAATGGCTCAACGAATCCGTGCTGCCGTTCAGGCTCCCTGATGGCTGTGCGTACGTATCCATGGCCCTTCTTGGAAGCGTCTAACTCTGGGTTTCCACTCTTCTCTGTCGCTGTCAGGCCTTCGTCATATCACAAACCTCAGACCCTTTGATTCATGGAATCGCCGCCGAGCGCTGAGTATTGTCCTGCGATTCCAGGGGAGGCGGCTCTTAACTCCCCTGACGTCGGGCTTCAAGGTGTCAGTGCGGGCGGTCTTGACTGGAAGGATGATCTTGCGGTACACGGGAAATACCGCCGTAAACACCGTTAAAACCACACCGGGAGGCAACAGCAACGATGAGGTATCCGTTGATGAATTGAGTGACCGGCCTTCATACGATTCCGACTGCTCCCTTTTCAGTCTGGTCTTTCTTTACCTCGTCAGAGTCATGCGAGTGGTCTGCTGCTGATTGAGTTCTAGGGAGATTTCATGGAGGTTGTTTCCCTTTTCAATGTTTCATTCATCTCCAGTTGACCATGCATAGATGATCTAATATATCACTTGCTATGGCTGATGAACTTGAAGGCGCCTTCCTTCTATCTGGCTGTGCTCAAAAGTCCGCGGACTCACTGGCAGAAACCGGCTCAAACCTCGCTCTCCTCGTCTTCTGGGTCCTTACCACTGAACGCATTCCTTAGACATGGGCTTCCGCTGCTCCTTCAACTGCTCTCCCCGTGAACTCCGCTTCTAACATTGTCGGCCCCGAGGTCGTCTAATATCGACGTCAGCATGCCGTCCTTGTGCCTTGAACTTCACAACGGATCAGGCAAGTTACATGTCCTGCACGATTTCTGCATCATTGAGGCACAACTTCAAATTTAGATCCCTGGAAGGGCCACTCTGTCCCAGTATATCCCCACGACGACTACACAAAGAGATATTCCTCCCAAAAAAGACATAGGGGTCATGCGGGTCGCGCGCGGACCTCTAGAATGGAATCTTACCCTAAGATGATATCTGTCCACAACTACAGTGTTGGTGGACCACGGACGCATTTCTGATCTTCAAGCTCCAAGCTCCAAGCTTCAAGACTGGAACGCTGGCACACGGTAAACTGCGATATGCATAACCTTACTTCCCAGAGATTTGCAGCCAACCTCGTCCGTAGGCATAGAGAAAAAACTATCAGAAGGAGTCATCCTTCGGCGAGGAGCATGAACATTCCAAAGACCTGGAAAAGTCGGGAGGAATCGTCTGATGGATGAGGCCAATATTTCTTGGCTGTTAGCTGTTGGGTACACGGTTATGGTGTCTTGTATACTGGATCCAGCGAGTGTGAGGCTTTTCAAAGCGTAGTGTGAGACGAAGCTGCTGCTCATCGGTCGTCCCTTTTAGCGTCGAGTCACTAACTCCACCCGCAAGGCATGAGTTTCTCGTTTTGTATCACTATAAAAGCAAGCGAGGGAATCTTCTTTATGTTGCTTCCCATCAAGGCAGCGTGGACTCAAACAAAAGGGTGTTATATCTTCGCGGATCACATTCTCGGAAATGGACATCATTTCACGAGTCATGCTTATTCCGAGTCTTTACCACAACACTCGACATAATCCCTTATGCTTCCATTCCCATCGCGTCTTGCTTTCACCATTAAATGAAGTGAACAGTATCTCATAGTCGTAACTCGATGTTCTCACAAGTTGCTTATCCTGCCGGCTACTATGTTCGATCCTTCCCATGGCGTCATCGCCGAACAAAACGCCTACCGAGGTAACAGTCGCTGTTGCGCCAGGCAAAAGCCGACATGGCTCCGTCGAAGCCTATAGCAGAGGAAAGGGTCAAGATCGCCCCTCAGTTTGAATCCGAGAGAATCAACCCTCTACACACTTAGCACTGTAGCCTACTTGGAGCCACCGCTACCCCGCTTTTTGAGGCCTGGAGTGTCTTCCATGACATTTTTGACACCCTGTTTCCAAACTTGAAGCTCTTTCTCAAGCCTTACCACCATTTCTCTGACCTCCCTCCCGACCTCCCCACCGTCATTCCTTGCCCCGAATCCGACCTTCAGCTCGCTTCTCGCTCGAACGAGCGTATCGTGTGCGGCCTTTAGCCGAGCAGGACCACTTGGAGGGAACTTTCGGTTATTTGCATCCGGCGCGGGGGAGGGCTCATCGACTGCGAGGAGTTTGCCCAATTCAGCGATGGCGAGAGCGCGGATAGGATGCCCCGGTGTAAGGATGGTTGAAAGACCTGCGACCGTGGATGACGTTGCAAGGATGAGATTGTCCAGTGCTTCTTGAGTCATCGTCGATGGGAGAGTTGCGAGCAGAAGAGTTTGGTGCAGACGGGTGAGAGCCAGAAGAGGATGAGAAGAGGGCGTCAGTTTAGAGGAGGTGAGGATAGGAATAATGTTCGTAGTAAGCTGGAGAGCCTTGGCAGTTTCTATGATACTCAAATGTGAATTCAATGCCCACGTCCGAAGTGAAGGCATCACGTACCAGTTAGTTGAAGTGATGTTGCCTTTTGAAGAGCCTCCTGACCGACTCGCAATGCGTCGAGCACGGAATCTGTGGAAGATACAATAGCCTTGCACTTCCCGCAGCGACTGAGAGTATTTTCTGGTTAAACATGTAATTGGCCGTCAGTGTTCCGCAAATATCCGAATACGAGAGAATAAGGATCACCTTCGGTGGGTAGAGGGCATGTTCCGCCGCAATTTTTGGGGCACCAAATAGCTTCGCGAAGATCCATCCCGTCAGGTTGTGAGCATAAACTACACTTACAGGTGAAGTTGTAAGTGGTAGTCAAAGCCGCTTGCCTGTGGCCTCGCGGCATCGTCGTGTCGATATACGCGGTGAAAATCTTGGGGCCCGAAGTAGCTATTTCAGAATGGATGTCCGAGAATATTTGTTGGAGCTTACCTCCTGATCCGGGGCAATATTCTTGATAGCGACGACCTGCATCTGCGGCTCTTGCTGGGATGGGTCGGAGGTGGATCTCGGGTAGACCACGACAGCGTTTGGATCGCAAGAGTGATTGATCAAAGCTACTAAGGGAGAAACTGAGACGCCCAGAGGTGTCAACGATGGTGCAGTCAAGGTGATTGAGTTCGTGATAAACTGTAGACGCAGGTCAATATCAATCCACGAAACAAGTGCGAGGCAAACGGTCGTCTAACCCGCGAAATGAGGTCGACGAGATCGGCCGCAGTGGTAATGCCGTATGCCCCGAGTTGTCCGGGAGCATCGAGTCCTAGGTATTTCACCACCGCATGGGCAAGATGGGTGTGTGATTCGTAGGTAGACGGTTGTAGGTCCTTCCTATCTTTTGAATCGGCATCAAAACATGAGTTCAGCTTGCCTCCATCGAGTTTGTACATGGCGCGTACGAGATTGCAAGCCATCGACCTCCTTAGCCTATAGAGCGCAAATTAAGATAGATTTCGCTGCTTCAAAGTCGCAAAGAATTTCCTTACCCAGGTACTTGAAGAGCGCAATTTCTGCTTCCTCCAGAGTAACCGACCAAGGCACCGGATGGGTTCGGCAGGGATGGACACGTCGGGCGAAGGAGCGTTAGCAGCCCATCGTTGTATGGCTGCACATTCCGGCTTATGCATTGTCCAGTCATTGTTCTGACAAGCCTAAAAATGGGTGTATCGTGAGTGATGAACCGACGCGAAAGTTAGGTGGTAAAATTTCTTACTGTGCTGCAGTACCAAATGACCCGACACCGAGTACAGCGCTTGAGTCCTGTTACCGGCGCAGGAGATGTGCAAGCAGAGCAGTACAGCTCCAAGTTTCGAGTTGATAGTACATGGACGTGTGGTTTCAAGGCCATCAGTGTGGCGCCTGGATGGAAGCAAGATCGTCAGCTTATTGCCCACCAAATAAATAGTGTGGGGGGTCACAAACCGGCAGACAGGGCTTCTCTCGCCCAGATCCCGCGCCCATCAGTAGAAGAAGTACGGATATCGAGGAAAGATGGCAATGCAGCGTATAATGGTTCAGATTGTATCTCAGCAACCTTCTTTACCAGCTCTGTAGACATCTCTGAAGTTTCCTTAGAACTCTGCCCATCTGCAGATGTCGCAGCGATCGTACTACCAGAGACAAAAGATTTCGACTCTTTGCTCTTTCGCTCGGAGCGCAAGTTAGAAAACGACGACATAGAGATGGTAAGACGGGCTTTGTTCTACTGTAGACCTTTTTAGGTGACCAATATGAAGAGTTGACGTCAAATGCGGAGTTTGAATAATGATGTTACCTTCGAGTGGCGTAGCTTTTCGCACAAGACCACTCTGGTCATGCAAATGTTACGGATGCGTAACCGATTTGTGGGCATTCCTCTGTTTCATAGTACTGTATGTCGCAGTGTTGGCACTTCGGCACTTCAGATCTCATTCGGGCGTGAACTATGAATACTTCGCTACCTGACCGTAGTACAATGATACCCTCTTCTTATATTCCATCAACAAACATCAAGTAACATAGAGGCAATACAAACACAACAATCCCATCCGTTATTCGTTATAGTAGTAAGAGTAAGAGCTAAAAAGCTACAGTCGTTGATAATTCATCCTTAGTTAAACCGCGCCACACGCCCCAGAGGCAAGAGAAACAGAAGAAAGACTCGAGATAGTCGTTTACTGAGCGATGCTCATCAAACTGCCTACGAAGGTCAAGATCTGTAGGGAAGGTAATGAATGAGCCTCAACGAAACTCGCACACAGTTGATGAAAGGTAATTACGAGACGGGGACGAATGTCGACGATATCCTCAGGTACCAAGAAAATCAACGCATTCATCTTCCTGGCAATCGAGATGGCCAGTTTCGCTGCAGAGGGAACGTGTGTTAGCTTCAGTCTTGATCAAGCATATCTCACACAAAACCAACCGTTTTGCCTGCGGTCCTCATAGTCGCCGTTCTGATCCACATTGATGACCATGGTGGGGTCAACTATTCCAGGCTGAATGGCATCCAGGAGATCGAGGAAGAACAGGCCAGTGGTAATAGACGGGTCTTTGAACGACCGCAACGGTTTCACGTTCGGCTTTGCCTTCTGAGCCGTTGTATTCGCCCATTTGAGGATCTCCGTATCGCTGATCGGACGGCCTTGTCCAGTTTTGGAAAGAGAGGTCAACGTCTTTGTGATGCTCATCCTAGTATACCGAGCATTGAGTAAGAGCATCAGGTTATAGAGTAAGCGAATGACGCACCTCATGAGCTGCCAAACGAGACCGAGCACCAGAGTCTTACTCCCATCGACAATATCCGCTCCTTGGATACCAACCAGATGCATGCCACTGTTCTTACCCAACTCGACCGCATAGTTCGTGTTCTCCACCTGCTTGAACCTCGACAAATTGCTCTGGTTCGGTGTCACACCTATCTCCTCCTCTTCCTCGTCCCCGTCAAACGATTGTCGCACTGGGGATGTGACACCGCCCTTTGGCTTCGAGACTCGCCTCCAGATGACGGAGCCAGGGGCGATTTTATCGAACGCTTGCAGGAGGATCAGGCCATCCTTCAAGTTCTCGAACAAGTTGAATACGGCTGGGTCAACACCGAGCGAGTTGAGCCAGAGCGTGAAGACGCGAGCCTCGCGCTCTCCCTCCGCGTCAAAGTCCTCGACAACCCCGTAATCTTTCGCTTCTTGTTCGTCGAGGGGAGCGAGGCCGGGATGCGTGTTGAAGAGGTTAGCGACGAAGGCGAGGTTAAGGCGAGGGTTACCGGCGACAAGGGAGGAGGGGGTGAGATATTTGCGACAACCAATGGCAGCGGCATTCTGGAGAACTTCTTCCGCGCGTTGATGGAGGTCGCGAGTCTGAAGAGGCGCACGAGAGCATTCATCGGGTTTGAGCTGGTTAAGTAAGACGGTGTAGTTCTCGCCATCCTTGACGTCTTTGCTGAAGTTGTTCACCCTAGATAACGAGAATTAGTATGAGACGATATGATGCGAGCACAAAGATCAAGGTAGCACACCTCCTCGGCCATCCCGCCTGTTTGAGGTGGTAGTTGAACCATCTCAACAAAATTTGGTCCGGAGTCAACCGCAAGAGGTCTTCAATTGTTTCTCCCTCCTCACATAGACGGTACAACTCTGGGTGCAGCTTGATATCGATCTGGCTGAGCAACCCTTTCCGGATGATTTGCCAGATCAGGCCGAGAATCAGATGTTCTGTGCCCTCCGCAATATCTGACGGTCCAATGTTGACGACGGAACAGCCAATGGCTTTGGTAGAAGAAATGACGATGTTATTGTTCTCGGTGATCTTGAAGGCATTGAGCGGTTTGCGAGCGGTAGGTTTGTTGAGAACACGCATATCGATGGTGTCGGGGACCGAGTCGTTTATGAGTTTACAGAGAATGAGACCATCACGGCATTCGTCGAAGAGTTGCATGGTGTCGGTGGGAATCGGAATGCGTTCTCCTACGTCTGGGTCGTCTTCCAAAATCTACGCAAAGCATGAGGAAGAGCTGCGAAGCAGGAGTAATGGAACGTACGCCATTGATGTGATTGGTGAATTCTCTTCGTTCATCCTCGTTGATCGTATGGCTGACGTTCGCGTTTGAGCCTTGCACTGTGACCTTGCCCGCCTTCGTAGATATCGACGATGTGTTGGACCGAAGCTTTACGTTGAGCTGAAATGTTGAACAGAGTCAGTCTTGGGACATGAGGGGACTATGTCCGTGGAAACCGATGACGCACCTCGACCCAGTCTTCAAGCTCAACCTTTCCACTGGCATCGACACTGACGTGCTTGAGCGTCTCACGAGCACGGTCGTAGGACTCTCCCCGAGATTGCAAAGCATGTAGTACGGATGCCTTGTCAATCCGTCCAGTGGAATCTGTGTCGATCGCGCTGCTCATCCATACGGATATCGTCAGGGGGAATTGGGGATATGTAAAAGATGCAGACGGACTTGAAGCGATTGATGAGCTCAAACATCTCATCTTGAGTAACCTCTGGATATTTCTTCTGCAGTCGGATGGCTTGCATGTTGTGGTGAATGGGTGGGGAATAGTGGGGGCCTAGCGTAGACGGTGAGTGCGTACAAATACTGCACGCCACCTGAAGTCATCGCCATCGCCGCTTTGCGGAATTCGCCGACGCCACAGCCGCCGCTGCGCCGGAGCTCGTTCACCGCTCTTTCCCCAAGACTTGCTCAGCACTTTGACTCATGGTTGCCTTCCTTCTCCGTCTCCTTCTTTTCCTTGTTTCCTCACTTGGGAAGCCCATGCATTGCCGGAGAACTCTCATAAATACGAAAATCGGAAACTCAGCAGTACGTCAAAATGACCCTCCTCTCACAATGTACCTCTCACCCAGATGGCAGTGAGAGGCGGAGAGGCCTTCAAGTTGGCCTTTTCGGTGCACAGTCTTTCCATCATGATCTAATACCTTGCCCATCGACTCGTGCGTACTGCTCTTGGCCGCAGAACGGTGAACTCGCCCAGCCTATGTGTCGTTGCTGTGCCCTTATTCTAACTATCGAACTTTCGCAGCATGCATTCACGGCATCCGGTCCTCTCGGATATATATTTTCAAAAGCACCCTTTCTGAACCGTAAGTTCGCGATGACACGGAAATCTAATTTTATAACGATCACATGGGTATATTGTAGCATATGTGAAGATCGACGGCATGCGGCTGCTCATGTCGAGGATCTTACAGGAAACTTCCTACGCAATGGATCGAGCCTCTTTATGCTCCTCTGAACGAACGCGTGGGACAAAGGAGGTATTGGTTTTTTTCTGCCTTCTTGCTTCATCCACCCGGATCCTCTGCACTTCTCTCTGTTCTGCTACATGTCGCCTCAGCCTTCGGCGCTTCCGCTGCCTGCTCAGTCCTTCCCCCGTTCTTCCGCCGTTTCGGCGGAGATGGAGATGACTTCTGACCCTTCGATATAACGGGACAGAGATGGAGAACGAATATCCCATTTGTTAGTCGACGCTATAGCCCCGCTCAGAGTCAATCCTCTGCGGTGAACCGTGGGTGGCTGTCGCGTTGCTGGAGGTTGCTGGTTGAAAGGGCTTGAAGAACGACACAACTGGGTGTCAGGTGACGAAGAACAGTGCCAATGTACATTGTACGGGTCTTCTTGATTTCGAGAGGCCCAAGGGTCGACGTCTTAAGTTCGACCCTTTGTTACTAAAAGACAATAGGCGGATTTGCGTGTCAAATACGACGCGTGATCCGCGCCGAACACGTGCCCACGGAAGAACCCAGTGCCAACTTCGCCAAAGGGGAACAAAGCATTGTCCATATTGAGACGGTTGCTGAGGCACCGATATCAAGTCGCGTTCCTGTTGCTTGTACACGACCCTGATCGTGAGGACAGACTCGATGGAAGGGTCACAAAGGCTTTCTTTGCATCTGACAAACAGTCTGTGCAAAGATATCTACTAGTCGATCGCATAGCGATTGCCAGAATTCACCCCGTGTCTCTGGCAGAATAGGAAGACAGGAATGGAAAACGGAGGGACTCGACACTCGAATACAAGCTAGGAAAGTGTTCAAGGTGCCGCGAGGCCGTCTAAATACTCGATCGGTATCTGGCACTCTGATAGTAGATGGGTGACACGAGGGCACCTGAAGTAGAGAACAAAGGTGATCGGCATGACTGCTCATGCCACAGCTTTTTCACGGCCCATCGCCATCGTGACAATCACTTTCAGTAATAAAAGACCTTCATTGTTCGACGGCCACGACCACTACAAGCTCCTCGATCCGACCAGGCTAGAACACATATATAAGGTGTATACTGAGGAGAAAGCAGACAGTATACCACCCCAACAGATCGACGATATCCACAGTCCAACCCAGCCGGAGCTAGGGAGGATCAAGTAAGTTCCAGCGGCTTCCTCTGTACATTCCCACTAGCAAGTCTTACGCTCACGTTTCTCTCCTTATCAGCTGTCAACAACGACCTCGAGCAACCCCAAGTACCGCATTTACAAGATGGCTCCGTACGAGAACACCCGCAAGAGATCACCACAGAAGGCAAAATACGACGCCAACGCAGCTAGGCGAGCTGATATTCTCGCGTTATATGGACCCGCTAATGCTGACCGTGTCACGATCGTGCCCAGTGATACTGGAAAGGGCTTGCGAACGATATTTCCCCGAGAGAACTCACTCGTAGACTGGACGAGTGCCTCCGCCCCTCAAGCTACTGGTGTTGTCCCTAACATGGCTACCGAGGATGAAGAGGACATGAAGTCCGAGAGCTCTAGCGAGCGTTCTCTGACACCAACTCCTTCGCGACCATTCGGCGGCACATCGCCTGTGCAAGGAGCACGCAGGCAGCTCTCGCGAGAAACCACGATCAAGGCCTGTGACAGCCCTGGACTCGGCGAGGAAGAATCTCGACGAGTGTTTGGTAACTCTTTCGGACGCAGCAATGGGTCATTTTTGGCCAGGGATGGTGGTTCGAGTGTTGTTGATCCGTCGAAGGCTCGGGAGAAGCTGTTGAAAATAGAGCGGAAGGAAGCGAGGGAAGAGGCCCGACAGATGATGAAAGAGCTCAACAACAACCAAGTGGAGGTTAGCAAGCAGATAAAGCTCACGAAGAATAACCTTGCGGAGATGCAAGCGAGGATGGCTGCTTTGGAGAAGAAGAAGGCAGCAATGGTAGGAATGATGGCTTCGTTGAAGGAGCCCGGCAATGGCTCGAACAAAGGAAGCGGTACGATCTCGACTTTTTCGACTTGCGATGTCGTTGTGAAGGAGGCGGGATACGAGGGCTCGACGAGGACTAGCGATCTCAACCTCATGGACGAGGCTGATTTTGGCAAACCCGGAAGAGAGACAGGCTCTCGGGTGGACATGCGGCACAGGATTGTCATCCCCTGAGAGGATTCTGAGAAAGAAAGAGAGCGGTGTTTGTACTGTATAATAAAAAAAGGATGCCAGTGACTTGTGTAGCAAGTGCTATGGCAAGGGCGGCGTAGAAATGTATTTTAGCGAGGGCCACATTCCGGTGCCACAGCCACGTGTAAACAAAGCCACGTTCGCACAACTTGTCGACTCTTTGACGATTTCATCCACGATCTCAGACTTACCATCGCCTTGACAGGTTCATTATTCCTCTCAATCTTTGACCCAGATACAGCCTCACAGCAACGATACAATAACTATAAAGAAATCGGTGGTACAACACAGAGTGCACGGGCCCAGCCAAAGGAGGCTTTACTCGAACCTGACCTTTCGAGCCCCTCCTCCCTCCTTCCTCGTCTTGACGGCTGATGATGTACTATCAGTCATATTATTCAACTCAATACCCTCACGAACCTCCTCCAACTCCGCAAGCCACTTCTCTTTAGCAACGGCCACCTTGCGCTCGATCTCCCGCTCGACTTTGCTCTCCTGTTCTCCCCTTCTTCGCTGGTACTCTGCACTCATACGCACTCGATCCCGCTCGCTCAAGTCTGGTTTGATGATAGTGGCCAGAAAATTGGCCTCGATCTGACTCTGCTGGTCGGCCCTCGCCTTCCGAGTGTCGACACGTACGCGCTGAGCAACCTCCTCGAACCTAATCCCTGATGAATGTCGGGAGACGTGCTGATTCTTAATCAGGTGGGTTGAAGACTCCTTGAGCTTCGCATGTTCCCCGATGTGCTGCTGATATGCATCTTGGAGAAGAAGGCGAGCTTGGCGATAGACTCCTTGGAAGACCAGCAAGTGCATGTCGGTCAAGGCCTCGAGCTCCATCTCATCATCAGGCAAATCTCCGAACACCTCCCACCGTCTGCTCTCGAGCTGTTTCTGCGCCTCTTCCTCAGCCCATTCCCTGATGACCTTTACGTAGGTGAAGAATCCCCGCGACCGCAGGCGGCACCTCTGCTCATCGTTGGCCTGAGGAACCTCCGCGAATTGCAGTGCCTCCCTTTCGAGTTCATCGTCCAACGTGACCTTGCTTGAACTCGCCTTGGCGTTGGTGGTGTTTCTTGGGCGAGGCGCAATAGTGGCTACAGTCGGCTGATGTCGGCACGTCAAGAGCGCCCTGAAGCTGGAAAAGCAGATCTACTCACCGTTGTCGCCGACCGTTTAAGTGGCGGGCCATGCGGCCGTTCGTGCCACGGCAGTGACGAGATTGACCTCTTTACTGGTACTGGGGGCGCTGGTGGGGCTACTACGACATTTATCTTAGTGCCTCTTCTGCGTCACGAAAAGCTTAATTTACCTTCAATCTCGTCGATGTATCGCGGCATGGCCATGATTGCTTCAACGATGGCCCTCTCTTCCTCTGTTATATTTCCGGATGTCCAGTCGCTCTCGTCAAGCTTGGCCACCCGCAGACGCCACCTCCATTCGGTCTGAGCGCGCTCGACGAACGTGATCAGTGCCTTTCTCCTGTCATTCCTCTGCTCTCTGCGACGCCACCCTGATCAGCATTCCGTACTCTTCTGAACTCAGCAGAGAAACAACGAAACACATACCTCCATCTTCCCTCATCGGTCTCGTCCTTACCCTTGGCCTCCATCACCATTGCAAGCGCGCGATCCAATTGGCTACGCTCCTTTGCCAACGGTATCTTCATAGAGTCCCAGAGCTTCCGGACCTGTTTGCAACGCTGGAGCGCGTCGTATGAGGTGCTGACGACCATGATGTGCAGTCCAGGACAAGCAGTTATGAATATTGAAGTGATTGAGGGGTATGGAATGTGTGAGATGACGGTGGCGGTATAAGAGAGACTTGCGGAGAGGGTTTATGGCCCGTTCGAGGTATTGGGCTATCCGCTATTAACTCGCACTCACACGTGCCCAATGACATCGCTTTGCGCCATCATCCGGCACCGTTCCTTCCAATCGCAACCCATCGCCTTCAAGCATCTCTGGACCTACTTCATAAAACAAAGGGCAACAGTTACTGACGCACCATCTGAGACACTTTGCATTCATCCAGCAACGTGTTATTTATCCGCGTTGGTTTCAGCAGCCCCACAGCTGTCGGTGTGCATGTGTTGCGATTATCTACATCAACACGTTGCAAACGTTCGGCGCACTCGTTGTTCTCACTCACAAGGGCTGCCGCGTCCGTTTGAACACAGACCGTCCTGAAGCGTTAATTGACTTCTCGCCATTCGTCCAACGCACCGCCCGGGAGAACGCGAACTATAACCTGTGTACGGAGGTGCTTTGTGCCTAGTCAAAGACGATGAACTCATGCTGTGTTACATTTCTAGACCTACGATCTCTAAATGAGCGAGATTGGGCGATCTCGCATAGTCATACTTAGGTCAAACCGCTTCTGCATTCACAATTGCAGCCATTTTCGAAGTGACGTGGTCGTTGGGCCTTTCACAAGCCTATGCGTTCGCCACTCGACTTAGGCGGTGGGCCCGTCGTCGGATAAGATATCGTTTTTCCCTGACTATGCATAGGAATATACTGCCGCAACCAAAACACACTAAACTAATTATCGATGTACACGGAGACTTACACTACACAGTCGTACCGCCTGAAACTGCAATATGAAGAGGTACAAATAAAGAATACGTACGCCACCTTCACCAGCCTATTGAACATCAACCCCACGAATGCGCTAACTTCGATCGTTTGGGACCAGACGCCTTGGCCTGTGGGGCAGAGGAAGCTGTATCGTTCTGAGAAGATCCTCCGGCGTCCACCCCCATCTCGCGCAAAGCTCTCCTATGATCCACTCATCGCCCCGCTGGGACAATTTATCCCCGATATCGTCTCTAGTGCAGATTGATCCACGGCCAGGCGACTTGGTCGTGTCGTATTCCACAGCCGCCCATTCGATACGATCAGTGATGAATGGTCGTGACACTTGTCTCTGCTTTCGGAGGCGTGGCTCGGGTTTGGGGTTTAGGTGGCGCAGTTCAGGTGGCGGTGAGAGTGTGATAGAAGATGCGTCTTGCAGAGAATGTCAGAGAAATAATTAGAAGTGAGAATTTTTGGCGTCCACTACATCAGATACTCTCGTACTCACCCAGCTCTTTTTCTAAGGCGCCGCCCTGACTGATATCCAACTCGATCAAGGGAGGAACAGGTTTCCGCTATAAGATGGTCAGATTTATCAGTACTGTCCGTTTATACGTCCTTGCAACATTCCACAGCTGACCTTGATGTTCTGTCGCATTGTAGAGCGGGCAGACACTGTGCGAGAGTCAACCATCATTTCTTGAGGCATGTATTCCATTTACTTACCGGTTGGTGGTATGTATGCCGTCGTGTAAGGGCTTGCCACCCCCACCGCCTCCGCCACCAATAGTTGTGAATCTCGCAGTGCTCTCTGCCATGCTGGGACCCCACCTGTCCTCGATGATCCCCTCAAACTGTCTGCTTGACGGGGTCGAGCTTTAGGTAGAGGGCGAGAGGGACGTGGAACCGCGAGACGGAGGGTGCTTCGCAATAGAGACCACACGTGGCGAGCAGTTCGTCGTTGACGACGTTGCTGGTCAATGGAAAGGAGACTGGAGGCTGACATATGAATATGAAGTAGCGTCTACAGTTGGTGGGGGAAACGTCCAAAACAGACACAGACGCGGCCTTATAGGGCTTTCTGACATGATGATGTACGTCCTCTCGCACAGCAAACATGCTGAGCTGAGCATAAAGTTGACGCCTGTCTTTTGTTATAGCCTCACCTCAAGGAGGTCTTGCTCCAGTACACGTCCCGATTTAGTCAGCTACGACGTCCTGCAGTCCTACTCCAAGATTTTCTGTGGCCTCGCGGATGCCTGCATGCAGGAAACCAAATCTCTGAGACGATCGGTTGCTACAAGACTTCTTTGTGCGCAGCCATTTTCAGCGTCTCTTGCACTAAACTTGTACTGATTATCATCACCAGTCTGTTTGTGGAGTATCACATTGACGCACCTGTGATACCCCTCTAGCTTCACGTCCGATTGTGCTGCTGAAGGCGTTAACCACAGCCATTCATCTCGCGTATCGTTTCAAGCGTCCAAAGAAGCTATCCTGACCACGTCATCAAACATGGCCACCCGTAAAGAAGTCTTGAGGAGGGCTAGATCATCTACAGTCTGTAAGATTCTAGTCCCCCAATCGTTCTAAGTATCAGACCTCATTCTGTTCTTAGATGTTACTTAACAGGAGCCGGCCGTCACTGATAAAAGATGTAATCCATCCATGTTGTTTGCTCTTTATCAGGATACTATTTCAAGATCTCTCCGCTGAATGTGGCGTGTCTTGACAAGGGGAAATGGTTGGATATATTTTGAGTACTGGTCTACGCGGTGACTTGGAGCTTGGAGTACATCTTGCGGGATAAATTCGCCCCCCAGGCCACCCGCAAAGCTCGAATGTTCTGTCAGTGGGTTCTTCGCAGCTTTCGCTCTGTCATCTGCGGTGTCTTGATCCTTAAGCAGTCCGGCTCCCTAAAACCTCTTGAAGGTTTTTCTTGATGAGTTCGGAGTTCGAACTTCCGTTCGCCCCGGCAAGCAGTGACATTAGCGGCGCATCGCGGGCCGCGGCTGCTTTGCCCCTTTGAGCATTCTTGCATCATCGTTCACCGCCCTTGCAGCTAGTACAAGCCTATACGCAGAGTCACCTGGGAGAAGTTTGCTGCTACGAATGGGCGATATCTGACAGTATTTGTGTCTGTCGCGCCAACGATCTTGCTGGAAGGGTTCGGCTCTGTTTTCCCTGGCATGACTTGTTCCAGTGTTATCCGTCGCCGTTTTGCGAGCTCCAGCATCCTCTTATATTTTCCTCAACATGACCGCGGCAGCCTTCCGATTCTCCTCTCCTTATCTCGTAACGTTATCTGATCCTTCCCATTGCTACTAATACCCTTGGCTGTGAGGTCGTGAGCTGAGGACAGTACTTCCGGAATACACTGCCAGTGATACTGCCTCACCGGTGTTCTACTACATTATCTCAGTAAGTAGTTTCGATTAAGCATGATGGTCATATCGTGTCTCATATCAGTGATATCTGATAATACACTACAGCTATCTACATGTCGACCCAGAAACCTCAACTGCTACCTGTCCCAAATCGGCTACCGACGTTCTGGCTTTCAGAACCTGATCCTTCACTGGAGAACGCCCGTACGACTGATGAGCTGCCTCCTTCCGTCGATGTGGTCATTATTGGTAGCGGCATGAGTGGAGCTATCACTGCGTACCATCTCTTCAAAGGCCAAGATGACGCCAGCCCCAGCATCCTGATGCTCGAAGCAGCCGAGACTTGCTCAGGGGCTACAGCGCGCAACGGTGGGTTCATTCTGATGGAAGTTTGAACCACTGAGTCTTGATATTTCTTGACTGTCAGGTGGTCATTGTGAGTATAGAAAACTACGTGCTGTTATTTTGATGGATCCCGTGCTTATACTCTCTAGGCAAACCGATGACTTATTACGGGTTCGAGGGCTTCAAGACCTCCCTCGGTACGGATGCGGCCAACGCTATCATGGACTTCGAAGCCTCCCATCTCCAGCACTATATCGATCTAGTTACTGCAGAGGATATCGACTGTGACATGCATGCCACCCGCGCATGCGACGTATACTACGGAACCGACGAGGCGATGGCTCAGAAGCGTAATTTCAAGACGAGACAAGCAGAGCACCCTGAGTTCGTGAACGTCAAGGGTGACATGCGCGAGATAGAGGATGTGGAGGAGCTAGAAAAGATATCTGGCGTGAAGGACGGGAAGTGGGGAGTAACGGTAAGATGGTGTTATCTTATCCAAGTTTTCGTCGCCTCATGCAAATATTGTACAGTTTCCTGCTGGTCATTTCTGGCCATATAAGCTAGCCACCCATCGTATGGATACTTTTCTCTATGAACCTGACAGTTATGCCGATAGTACTTTGTTTAGTGATCAGGTCGTGTGTCGCCAAGGGACTGAACCTTCAAACGCATACCCCAGTGCAGTCAATCCAGCAATCGGACAAGGAGGGCTACTGGAATGTACAGACTCCCCGCGGCCAGATCACAGCAAAGTCTGTGGTCGTCGCCACGAACGCATACACGAGTGGTATTCTTCCCGAATTTTCTACTCGGATTATACCTGTACGAGGGACTGTATGCAGTATTACTCCAGCACCATCACATACGATTGGATCGAGTCCTGGTCCTTTGAAGTTCACTTACGGGCTGCGTTCGAACCCCGGAGAAAATGATTATATCATTTGTCGTGGCGGGAGAGGCAGAGTACCAGTAAGTCTCCTCCAGAGCTCGTCGTGGCTCGTAGATCTGATACGCGATAAACATAGGGCGTGGGGGACCATTCCATCATCTTGGGAGGAGCTCATAGAGCGGTCCTGAAGGATGTGGATGCGTGGTACAATAACATACGCGATGATGAATACATTCCGGGCGCGAAGGAATATTTCGCAAATTATATGAAGGATCATTTCGTCGGATGGAGTTCAGAGACGGGAAATGTAGATCAGGTATGGTCTGGAGGTAAGCTCTCTGATTTCCTTCACATAGTCCATCTTACTCACTAGTAGCACCACAGTCCTCGGCTACTCAGCGGATTTGCTTCCATACGTCGGTGAACACCCCGAGAAAGCCGGTGTCTTCGTTCTTGCAGGATATACAGGGTAGGTGGTTTTCAACCATTCACAGGCACTCAGCTCAGATTCTTTCTGTAGGCACGGTATGCCTCGCATCCCCAAGTGCGGTGAGGCAATCGCCACACTGGTCAAGTCTCGCCACAGAACTGGCACCATCACAGCTGAGGCTCGTGACAAGTTCTCGGAAATCATTCCTACTCCGTACTTCTTGACGCAGGAGAGACTTGACAGTCGTAAGAATGCGATCTTGCCTGCTACAAAGAAAGATAATGTAACGATCTAAGACTCGATATCAATGCGTACAGCACACTCTTGAGTCGAGAGTTGTGTCTCATACTATATATGCATCATCTTGCAGTTGATTTATGCGACTTCTACCTCCTACATGGTCTTACTCATGCATACACTAGTTCTTCTCACCCCACCTCTCAATAATCGCCTTCGTCAACCCAGGAAGATCATCTGCGACGACGTCCGCTGCTCCGAAAACTCCTTCGCAAGGATCCTTCTCGTAGATCGTACAATACGCCGTATCGAAGCTGCGCCGAGTATCATTAGCAAGTATGAAAATATGGCGTTGAGGAACCATCCAGCAAGGTGAACACGCACCCAGCCAAACGAGCAGCCTAGGAGAATGGAGTGACATCCGAATCAGCATCAGATACAAACATTCGACAGGAATTAAGAATTACACTGCAATCCCAGGCGTGTGCTGCTGCGAACACAGTCACTGACCCCTCCAAATTCGCCCCCACCTTCTCCCTCGCCATCTTATAAACCGGCGCCTCAGGCTTTCCCACACCGACTTCGTCCGCCGACAAGATCATCTCCGCCGGCATATCGACCCCAGCCTGGTCAAAGTATCCCTTAACACGATCGGGGCTCGCGTCCGTGCAACAATATACCTTGAATCCTGCCTCGCGCAGATTTTGAAACATCTCTGGCATCCCGGGTCGAGGCCTCAGTTTGCGGTAAGAGGCAACGAGGAAGTCGACGTCTTCCTGTGTGGCGAAGGTGTGTGGCGAGGAAATTCCAGCCTGGAAGAGGACGCGGAAGAAGGTCTGCTTGAGGATGGACTCGTAGGTGGCGTATTTCTTCATTGCAGAGAGGTAGACGTAGTCACGTTCGGCCGATGACAGCCTGCAAAATCGAAGTGTCAGCCTGGCGGAAATATTGCAGAAGGTAAGCTAGTGCGGACCATGCTGCGAAGAGGAGTTTGTAGGGTACCCCCTCAGCCGCAAGCTTCTCTCCCAAGAGACTGTTCAAAGCTTCATAACCGGCTTCATAACCAACTTCAAAATATCAATTGCTGTTAGACTATACATATCGTTATGGTTCACATGGGGGGGACACTGACAGCATGTCCCAACGACATCGACTACACAAAAACAAGAACAAGTCAATTATCAGCCAATGATCCACACAAGCAAGGCTGCACTCACACACAACAGATCTGGAAGCCATGGTGTTACCACAGAGCGTCTCGCGAGAAGGCCAAGAGTAAAAGGGACAGTCGAGAGATTACAGTGTGAATGAAAGTGGCGAACTATGTATACTCGCGATAAGCATGTTCGATTGACGAAATATATATTCTGGTTACCATCGATCGCGATGCTTCGTGCTCGTGAGCTCCCTGAATTTGCAACTTGAATGGTGCGCGAAGGTCTGAGAGGTTATCATGCAGATACTGGCAAAGCCGCGGCGAAGGTGCTACAGAGCAGGGGGGCGACGTCACACGCGGTCAATTCAGGCTTGTGGAGGAAAGGAGTAAAAGAGCCTATTAGGTGGGAAGCGTCGGTTGACTTGTCGAGATTGAGCTTTCCGGTGTCCTGACTGATCGCCGGGAGCTATTTCGCCAATAGCCCAACATTCGCTGACATATGTCAGCGAAATCGGGAAGTCGAACAAGATCTGAGAGAAAGGGAATCCAGATTCCACAACGCAAAGCAAAAAACAATACCACAAACATACATCAATGAAGGAGCTCAGGACGACAGACCTCAAGAATCGCTCTCAGGAGTCGTCTCACCCTCCTTTTCCTCCTCAGCCTTCACCTCATTTGCCTCGCTAACATCCTTCTCCTCAACCTTGAGCTCTTCAAGCACCTCCTCTGCAGGAGGAGCAGCCTCGCTCTCCTCCTTCGACTCTTCCGCATTATCAGACGCGACAGATGGCGGCTCAGTTTCATCTTGCGTCGGAACAAGCGCAGCCTCCACTTCTGCGGTGGAAATGTCTCCATCGTTAGCGACACTCTCGGCGGTCTCCTTCTCCTCGCGTTCTTCCTCGACGAGACCCTCATCTTTGTCTTCAGCCTCTGTCGCATCTTCCGTTCCTTCAGCCACGGTCGGGGCATCAGCTGCGGCTTCCTCCTCTGCCCCGGTGACCTGTTGCTCCCTCGCCAACGCCGGATCAATTCCCGAAAACTCGTCCGTATCTTCCAACGATGGCTCGGCCGCCTGGACCAGACTATCCGTAAGGTCGTGCTCCGTTGTCTGTGCAGAAGGGATATGCGGAATGTCCATTTCTGTTGGCTCTCCGGATGACGAGACGGGAACACCGTCGACGAGGTCCGGGTCGATCTCAGATGGAGCATCCTCTATGGCTGTATTCGCATCAACGGGATCATCGTCGACCTCTGCGGCAAGTTCGTCAGAGGGAGCTGATACATCTAGCGGTGATTGAGCTTGGGGGTAAGATTCTTCTTCGTTGGCTTTTGCGAGCTCTTCGGCGACGGAAAAGGCCTCGCTGTAGACCATGGTATCGGTTCTATTTCGCCCCTTCCACGGACTTGGATTTCTTTGTACGTTTGAGTCCGTGGACTGTGGCTGCTCCTGCAGACTTTGGGAGTCGTATGATCTGGCGAGTCCAGCAATCTCCCTTCCTCGTTCTTCAAAGGACGAATCCCCGCCCTCTTCGCTACTGGCGCCACCAGTATTATGAAGCTGAGGCTCGACGGCGGCGCCAAGTAAGCGCGGGGGCTCGACGTCGTTGTTTGAGTCCTCTCGGGATAGACGGGGTGGGATGACGAGGAATTCCGGGGGGACAAGCTCGAATTTGGACGTGAGTGCGAGGAATCGGGCGTAGAGGGAAGATTCGGCCTCGGCTTGTTCGAAGATTTCGCGATGGTGGAAGTAGGCGTGGGCAAAGATGCGGCCGAGACGGCGGGCTAGGGAGCTGAAGTGGCGATGAGAGGATTGGGGGATGGATAGTCTGCCATGCTGATCAGTACTACGGCTGGTAAAAGCGGTCTGAGAAATCAAACAAAAGAGAAGAGCTTTGTGCACATCTGGTCCATGTCTACGCCACATAGGCGGAGGACGTAAATGGCTTTAGTCGACCAGCAGACAATGCAACCGCAAGATACCGAGTCCTATGATGCAGGTTCATCGGCGTGGCACAAGCGAAGCTCTATTTCTGAACGCGGAGAAGGCTGAAGGATGCGTCCCGCGAACAACCACGGTCTCATCCGTAGTAGGCATATTGAAGAGCGAAGCGGACAAACCTTGATGGGAATGCGCGAGGAGAGTTAAGAAGAGCAGTTGCACTGTCAACAGTATGAAGGATGTAGTCGATAGCACAACATTGCTAAGATCGAAATGTGTTAGGCCCTGTATGAAAGTCCATGATTGTCATGCTTACCTCCATAGAGCCGTCATTACCATGGGCCACACAGAGGTACAGCCATTCTCCAGCCTTCATCTCCGGACATGACGCCCGTGTGCATTCCTGCTGAAGCATAGTGATAAGTGGGTGAGATAGATCCTGAGCAAGTCGTCTACGAGACAGTTAGTTGATAACTCGGACACTCAGACAAGTCGGAATGAACGAACCGTAGTTGTTCGTAAATCCAACACGCCTCGTCAACGGCAAAATCGCTCTTGGCGGCACCCTCTGCATCCGCCGGAGCCTCTGAACTGTCATCCCCACCACCGTCCTTCCCTGCTTTGTCGGGGACTGACACTATAGCATCAACGTCATGAATATCGAGACGAATGAGGAGGGAAATATATTCCTGCAATTGAAAGGCGCTGTCGAGGGACGAAAGTGGTGGAAGACTTTTTACAGGGTAGAAAGTGGATATTCTGGAGCCTTTGAGCGGACGTTGGGGAAGTACTGTCATCGTTGCCGGGAGTGGGTGAGTGGACCAAACTCACTCGAGAACGCGTCTCGCTACGCGACTGCTTCATGGCCGGCACTTGCCGCAGAGCTTCCATGTTGTTCCCCTACTTTTTTGTCGGTTCATATTCACCAATATTTACGCAGGGAATCCTCCATGTGCCTCATGCTTTCATTCTCACCAATCGACATGAAAATCTGTGACTTGCTCTTTCTGAGGTCCACATCGTTCCTCTGAACTGGATATGGAGGTCGCCACGGCCGTCAGCTGACTTCCGCTTCTCGAGAGCAATTATAGTCGTTATCAATTGCTGTCATTCTAAACTTGAGCTTTATCGCTCCCACCGACGACTCTAGACGTCTTCTCGTACCCTTGAGAGCTCTTAAGCCCTACTAGCCAAACGTCGCTCGTTATGCTGTCCTACTTTTCACATCGCAAGGCATGGTATGTCTTTGAACCCCTATTCATCCTACTTTGTTTCTGGTCCCGACATTTCCTTCCAGCGCGTTCAAGAAGAATGAACGGGAAACCAGGATCAAAATCCTGCCTTCCGAGTTTCACCAGCGCATCACAGACCGCGACAACAGCATCCTCAACCTCCCAGCCGCAAGCATTATCTCCGATGTACAATCAGGCGGTCTTGACCCAGAGCACGTTCTCCTCGCCTTTGGGAAGAAGGCCCTACAAGCCCACGCCGAGACAAACTGTCTAACGGAGGTCATGATTTCCAGGGCTCAAGTATGGGCCAAGCAGTGTAATCGATCGGGTCCTCTCGCTGGAATGCCCATTAGTCTCAAAGACAGCGTTGGCGTGACTGGATTCGATGCCACTGTAGGCTATTCCGCATGGGCCAACAAGCCTCTAGAGAAGGATTCGGCTTTAATCCGACTTCTGCATGACGCGGGTGCTGTTCCGTTTGTCAAGGTACTTCACGATCTCGCCATTCGTCGAGGGGTTTATATTGAATAATGTATCTTCGAAGACGAACATCCCTATCACCTTGCTCGCGTTTGAATCCAGTAACGACGTCTGGGGACGCGCCACCAATCCTCACAACAACGAATTTTCCCCAGGAGGCTCTACCGGCGGTGAAGCCGCTCTTCTCGCATATGGCGGCTCACGACTTGGTATCGGTACAGATGTGGCCGGCTCAGTTCGAGTCCCCGCCCACTACAGTGGCATTTACACTATCAAATGTTCAGCATACCGTTTTCCCAAGTCTGGTGGCGTGAGCGGGATGCCTGGACAAGAGGGCATACCCCCTGTTTATGCGCCCATGACCAGGACGCTGGAAGACCTGGAAACCTTCTGGAAAGCGGTCGTCTCGATGAAGCCATGGGAGTATGATCCATCTGTGCGTACAACTGTTTCGTTCCGTGATTAGCCACCGTATTTGACAATCAATATCTTTCAGTGTGTCCCGATACCTTGGAGAGATGTCGATCTTTCGAGCAAACCGATCAGATGGGGTATCATGTTGGAGGACGGAGTCGTGCAACCCTCTCCGGCTTGCTCGCGCGCGCTGCAACAAGTCATGACGGCGTTAGTCACTGGAGGTCATGACGTAGTCACTGTGTATGTCAATTCCCTCTGTGCGGTCAGTCTCCGTGCAGCGAACTAACGTCCGTTGTAAAGTCAACCACCTAGCCCCTCCGAAGCTCTCAAAATCGGCTCTTCGCTGATGACAAATGCCTGTACATAAGTCCCCACCCCCCTTCCACTCGAGGACATGCTCAATGAATCTTCCCTCCCCTCAGGTATAAGTGCATGCAACCCAATCCGCTGGTCCGAATCGAATGACCCCGGTGTCAGCCGTTTCATGGGCCCTCTCCGTCTCCCCCGTCTCTTCAACATGTTGCACTCCTGGTTCTACCGCTACATCCTGCGCGATCCTCTCTACGCGGACCTCATCGCAGGATGGCACACCACATCTGGCCAGGAATTCTATGCCCTTTGCGCGCAGAGGGAGAAGTACAAGATCCGGTGGCATGACTGGTGGAAAGAACAGGAGCTGGACTTCCTACTGACGGTCCCGAATGGGATGCCGGCGATGAAACATGGAGGAGGCAAGTTGGGATGGAAGGCGTGCGGATACACCTTTTTGTTCAATGTGGTAGGTATCACCGCGAATGTGAATGTGCAAGGAGGGTCACTGACGCAGATGCTTGTTCGGTAGCTCGATTATTCTGCTGGCGTTTTACCTATCACGCATGTCGACAGGACTTTGGACGCGCTCACGAAACCTGTCAAAGCGCGTAACACGATCGAGAAGGACGCGTATGCGGGCTACGATGCTGATCAGATGCATGGGCTTCCTGTGGGTGTGCAGGTGGTAGGGAGACGCCTTGAAGAGGAAAAGGTATTGGAGGGCATGAAGATCATTGAGGCTTTGTTGAGGAAGGAGGGCAACGCTTACACTCTACTGGAGAAGTGAGCTTCTTCCTGAGATGAGAACTTCTGTGATATATTGAAGCAGCACATGTAAGAATATATAATGCGGGATGATAGGACGGGGATATATGTCGCTCGGGTTGTACGGAGTATGGATATTTGCAGTGTGCGTGTGATTTAACTAGAATGTACAATGAGGGTACGAGCCTAGTTCGTTCGTGCTGGTGGGGTATGGTAGAGCAATTATAGGCCACAAAGCCCGGTCAACGAGAACGAGAAGAAGAATTTGGGACGATGATGCGAAAGCAGAGATTGAAGAGCTAAGTGTAGCCGAAAAGTCAGAATAAGCTTGATGAGGGTAATAACATGAAGTATAAACAGTTGAACAAAACGAAGGAGGTCAACACGCATAACCCAGATTCCGAAAAGGAGAAATTGATGTCCATGCAGAGATTGCCGTGAAAGAGGATTACTATCGCCGTGAATATGCTTGTTTGATGGTCACGTAGCCGTTCTCTGCTATCATACATGCCATACACTGACTCTACCACCACTACCGAGGGCCGATACTACGAATAGAACTCGACGAAACAAGTTCATTCGGACTGCCCAAGGCAATACCCTTCGCACTACCACTTGCACTAGAGATCGGTGTGTTACCTGTAGAGCCTACGGGCAGGATACGGACACCGCTCGTCGCGAGCCCTACTCGTTCGGCCAGGCCCACGGTGGGCCCGGTGTCTGATGGTGCAACGGAGATGGGAGGCAGGGGAAGACTACGCGGTGGGCGCGATGCGGTCGTAGATGAAGGGGAATGACTGTAACTGCTCGGTGCATAGCGAGTGGGGTGTCTCAGAGCGGAGGTTTGAAGGCTAGCCAAGGGTGGCAATGACGGAGGGGCTACTTGACCCATGCTCTTCAACGAAGGCACTGCAGGAGACGACGTAGAGCTGTGCAGCAGCGTAGATTTCGGAGCAACGGGTGACCGTTGTGTGGAGGTGCTCTGGGATCTGCCGCGAGACTTGATTTTGAGGGGTAGTGGCGGTGGCGGGGGCACGATGAGAGTTGGACCCAGTCTGCGCAATTCGTGTGGTTGCAATGGTGGAGGTGGGGGGATCCAAGCCGTGGATTTCGACATATGATGCGAAGAGGCCTTGGCACCGGGTGCAACAGTCTGGGGTAGAGGTGGGAGCTTCGGCGCAGAGCTAGACGAGAAGCCCGACGAGGACGACCACCCTGTTGGCAGAGGAGGTTGCGGTATGTTCAGCGTGAGTGCAGAAGAAGGATGCTGATGAGATGCCGTCCGTGCGGGTGATTTCGACCGTGAAGCCTTCGCGGCAAAGGGCACGTTGGGGAGCTGCATATCGACGGACGACAGTGAGGTTTTGGACAAAGACGCGGGTAGCGACGATAATGGAGGTATGACTGGCGGGATCTTCGCTCCATAGGGCGACGAATTGTCCACTGTTTTGGACCTGCTACGATGTTTGATCCCTCCTTGGGACGCTGAAGACGTCGCACGTGCTCTACCACCTTTCGACTTCGTCGATCCAGCTGTTGTAGGAGGCATAGGTGGTACAACAGCCGACTCTTTCTCTTTGCTTGTCTCCGATGCTGCGACGGAGGAAAGCGATTGCGCTCTTTTACGCTGTTGGTGTTGCTTCATGAGTGCGGCAGTCGGAGGAATGATAGTCAAACTAGGTTTTGCCACCCGTGCCTTCTTCGCCTGTTCCGTCTCTGAAGACGTCGACGTAGTTGAGGTGGCACGTAAGCGCATTGCATTAGCACCGGTCAGCTGCGAGGGTACTGCGGCATTCGATGAAGCGGAGGTCTTTGCCGACTTTTCTGAAGGTGCCGCGAGAGACGCCGCGTCGCTCGTGGTTCGACTGCGAGGTGGTATGCTGAGCTTCGCCGGAACCTGAGGAGACGTAGAAGTTGAGAGGGCTGAAGTAGCTGAAGACCAGTAGACAGAAGATGCCCTGGAATCAGGAGTAGTGCCGACACTGGTGGTAGATGGTCGACGACCATCGACGATAGCACCAGCGCTCGACGCCGTTACCAAACTGGCCGCAGAAGGTCGACGGCCATGAGTTGCACCAGTGCTCGAAGGTGGGCATGATGAACTTGTGCTGACTGGCGTCTGAGGAGCAGACCGGTCCCGATCACGGTCACGGTCGGAGTGGCCAATCACAAGTGGCTCTCCAAAGGAGTCTATCACGTTGCGAGAGGCCCATGGGGGCAGAGCAGTATCCTCCTTCCTTGCCCAGTCGACAGGGCGTTGATATCGAGACAGACGACCGAGAGCTTTGATGCTTTCCTTCATCGGATTTGGGGATTCTATTGTCGGTAGTGTGGGTGTTGGAGGGAATATGAGTACGTCGTCTTGAGAGGCCGGAGAATCCGAGTTGCTCAGCGCAGGCGAAGAAAGCGTGGTAGTCAATCGCTCCCTTGATCTCGACGGGTTGGGATGGGTAAGGTCTATCACATCGGAGGAAGGTGGTCGTGGAGGGATGGCATGTATTGATGGGCCTCGTCGAGAGTACTTCTCAAAAGTCGTGATAGGTGTCGAGTTCTGCCGCCGAGGCGTTATTCTGGAGAACAAGGGAGAACCGCTCTTGCCGAAGGGATTTCGAAAGATCTTTCGACCTTTGGACTGCTCCGCCGTCGAGGGATCGTTCGGATCCGAAGGTGTGATATAGACGCGGTCAGGAAAAGATGAGACAGACAGCGCCATCACGTCAATTATACAGGCAGTGATCGTCAATTGAAATGAATGTGAAGGCCTGGCTTGGCCGTGACGGGTGAAGGCTGGTGAAAGACCAGTGAATATCTACAAGTCCTTCGTGTGAGTAATGAATGTATAGAGTCCACGAGAGCTGGCATGCGTACGAATATGTGCTAAACTCAAGCGCGAAACTCTCCAGGACCTGACTCTGGCTCAACGAAGGATGACTGCGAGGAGTCTGAACGTGGTTGTCGCCTTCAGTTCGAAAGGTGATGACCGGCACCAGTGGTTATCATTCACAAGGTCTGGAGACGCTTATATAGATGGATGAAGTGGTCTACTTATAGGGTAGTCAGAACGAGCATACTCCTGATGCATAATATGTATGAAGACAGGTAGACTCACCGAAAGCGCTCCTCCGGTGAAGTGTCTCAATGGTTTATGGACGAGGTCGTACAGCCTGAGACATGGATTCGTTGTCAACCGGACTACCCGTTATCAAGCGCCTAAATCCACCGTGAAAATCCACCGTGGATCCACCAGAAATAGCAAGGGGAAGGACGCAGCCGAACGTAGGCACAAAGACAGGACATGTACTCACCTCAGACAATGTGAAAGACTGGCTTTATCGGAATGTTTGTTTCCCCTCCACCAGATGGGATGATCGCAGGCCTTGAAGAGAGATGAAGCGACGCCCGCGCCGACGACCGTTGAGTGGGAAGGAAAGAAAACGGACGATCACGAGAACGCGTTCGTCGCGACTGTTCGCCCTGAAACCAACAAGCTGTAGTAATTGGGTGCCTGATGGATTGATGCCACAATAGCAGCTTGAGGGAAGAGACTGTGAAGTCCTTAACGAACAGGGCGATTCAGATGAAGGCTGGATGTGATGCTGGCAAACAAAAGAGAGACGAGTCTTCTTTGACGGGTACCATCTCTCCTCGCTTATACCATTGCGGCTTCTTGGGCGTATTGACCGTCTACTTCCCTGATGCGTCGCTACCTGAAGGACGGTACCTAGTAGCTTCCCGGTGGTGTGGTAACCCCATAAGGCCTAGGGCTGGACGCTTTAGCCCTTCGCTATCGGAGGACGGTGACGACCCCTTGTGAGGATTGAGGTTCGACTGAGATTGAGCGTTCATGGTCTACAACTGAATGTACGTGCTGGAGAGCGAAGGCAGTTTTCTAGCAGGTGTTCGAGAGGTGGAGGTATCTGGCAGGAGACTCCGCAGTCGCTGCTACGTTCGAGCCTTCCGCCACAAACCAAAATCTCGGAGGCAGTGGTGCCCATTTCGAAGTATTTAATGCTTAGACCTGCGGTGGCAATGTATTCCTTCCTACAAGTTTCCATGACCAGTGGCATGCGATATATGATAATTGATGCCTCGCACAGGCTCCGTATGCTGGTTCTGTATCATCTCGCGTAAGGTGTTGCACATCATACACGATAATTTGATTCTGTGTGGGGTCAACTGGGATGAACGCTCAATATGATGGTATAGAGAACACCGCATGGTGGTACAATGCCGATGCTGGTAGTTCACATAGAACACAAAAGTTATCATTTCGAACCAAGTTGACCATCACCCAACCTCCTACATAGCAATATGACCTCGTTACGAATCACCATTTTCAGGACAAAGTCTTGATCTTGATCAGTGCTTCGTCAATCCTCTCAACATTGGTTTGAAGTGGCGCAAGCGAGAGACTTTTGTGCGGGTCTGTGCCATGCCGAGGTAAGAGCATTTAGCGAAACATATAAGTAGAAAAAAACTATCGTACCGGCAGCAATGATTGGGTCCTTCAACCAGCGCATCAAAGTGGAACGCAAGGGACCTAAGAACGACTTCTCGATATTGCCAATCAAGTCTGGATCTCGGATCCCAGTCTGTGGTAAAGTAAACACTGTTATTGAGCACATAGCAAGCCTGACCGAAAGAAAAGACTGGACATACCATGTTATCCGCATCTCGCAATACGAGGACATAGTACAAGCCGAGACACTCCACCAGTCTTGCCGGCTCAGTCGACTCCAGAAACGCATCCACCTCCAGCTCATTCACGAGCAGATCCGGTGGATCAGCCCTGAATACGTAGTGTCCGACTGTCTTCAGTAGAATTGGTGATAGAAAGACGTCCGTCCCAGCGGCGACGTTCGCCTTAGCTTGAAGAGCGCGTAGGAACGATGTCTTCACAAGGCCGATGGCCGCGGAACGCATCTGCGGAAAGGCTTCCTCCGAGGGCTCCAGGAGGTCTTTAAGGATCTGGAGACGGAGGGCAGGAGGCGTGGCGTCGAGCACAAGGTGGAGGAGACGGAAGGTAAGGTGGCGGGTAGGTGGGTCCGGGTGCGCACAGCAGAGGGGTGGGAGGAGTGTTGTCAGAGGAACAAGGATATCCAGTGAGATATCCTGGCGAGGCGTCGGTGACGGAGGGGTGGCGGCGGACGCATTGGGGTCGATGATGGCCATGAGGAGGAAAGCGAGTGATTCATCGAGCGCAATATTGGACTGAATAGACGTCAAAATAGCGGGAAAGATAGTGTTGAGGTTTGCCACCGTGGGCGCGATTGCAGGTTGTACGTGGGCAATAAGGACAAGTGACACGATGGACGGGGTCGACTCCAGGACTTGTGCGGTACGACCTAGGGCCTCACACGCTTCCTATGGGTCAAAAGAGCTGAGCATGATAACATGAGTTTCATCAAAGTAATGAGTACCAATGTTTTCGACATGGCCTGTTCACCGTCCTCCCAATCGGGTTGAACATTGTTACGAACCATCAGCCTAGGATAATATTTCTGGAATGTCCTTTGTGCGATCGAACTGCAGATCTTCTCCGAACATGCTTCGATGACGACGTCCAGAAGAGTAGACATGACAACCTATTGAGCGAGTTAGGCCGTTCCGTTTGCTTGAGTCATGGACGGAAGAGAGTGGTACAAACAGACGACCGTGCGACCTCTTGCGGGTCCCCTTCAGCCATCTTCTTCATCCACAAAGCAGTGTTCTTGACTAGTATTGAAGCAGACGCGATGAGTGCTCTACCCTCGGGAGCCGTGGCTTCCATCGCCATAGATGACACAAGTTGGCCGAGTTCAGAGAAGACAGGCTGTATCGTCTCAGATATCGACTTCCGAGGCTTTAACCGCGGAATCGCTGTTCAAAAGGACGGGATGACCGTCAGCGCGAATACAAGGTGTGGTTGGGTGAGAAAGACTAGCCCACAGCATACAGATTTATCAGGCGCACTAACTGTGCCAAGTAAGATGCATGGCCCACTGAATCCGCATCTTCTTCTTCAAAGCGAGCTTCGAGCCTCTCGGAGAACTCTTGTGCGGTAATAATGATCTCTTTTGGGGAGCAGGAGTTGGCCACCAACGAAAGGAGCTCATCTACACCATCTTTGTGGCATGACAAAAGGATGTGAACAATGTTCAAAGGATCCTGGAAGTCACATTCCATATAAGCAACAGCATTGATTACCAAAAAATTCGCAGATACCTACCAGTAGAGAACCTTGGTCATTGCGGATGATTCCTGAGATGATCTCCGGTAGAGACTGTCGTGGCGCATCATCATGGACGGCCGAACTGATAAGTGCTGTGATCTCAAGGCTCTTTGACTATATAAGGTCAGTCTGATTCAACAAGCCTCACGACTTGAATTTAGTACCTCGGTATCGTCCAAGGTCGTCTGCGAATGTGAGCACATCTCCAAGTGTTGCCGCTAGGATGACTTACCATTGTGTGGATGATTTGTTGATATTGTCGCAAGCCAGTTCTTATAGTGTGGTGCGCTAGATTCAGATGTGATACTCAAGGACTATACAGAGCACAAGCAAAAAAAAGTCTTGGCCAGAGTTGGTAGTCGTACACTGACGGAGATGTCGATGAGGGCCACAAAACCAGGAACCTTTACCACCCCGGCCGTTGCCGATTAGATGACTTCACGCCACGTTGATTTACATATGTGTCACAATTCTGTGTCTGACGACTGAAGACCAGTCGCAAGGTCCTGCGATGGCGAGATATACTTAACTACGGGTACATCGGGGCAGATATTCTCTCACAATAAACCAGTACATACCCACACACTGCGCACCCACCGATATATTTATTTCGGTGCATGCGCATCTACAATGCATGCACCCTCTTCGGGAAGAGACATTCTCAGAGGCAACGCACACAACTACATGGTCGACAGCGGGAGCAGATAAGCCAAAATGTCCGTAAATAACAGTGCCTATAGACATTCAATAGACATTGTCAGAAGTCCAAGTCCAACACTAATCGAAGAGGGGAGATATTAAAGAACGTCAGAGCGTCCAAAGGTTATCATATGCGTATAGGAGGGTCGTGCGAGTGCGCAGTGAGAGTGAGGATGAGGGGCGTAAGTGGGGGATGGACATAAAAGCAGAGGGCGTGCGTATGAATGTCACGGTGATTGGTCGTGGTGATAGATGGGTGGCAGCGTTTCGACACGACCGAAAGGTACCCAAAATAAAGGTCCGGAGAAGAAGTCCAAGAACAATCCTAACATACCCGAAAATAAAAGTCCGAATGGAAAAACTCCTCTGTAGAGTCACACTACTGTCCTGGTTGAGAAACAATGCAAGTGCGCGCATGACTGCATTCGATAAGGGCGGAGTGGTGCAGTGCCTGATGCGCGTGGAGAGGGGCGAAGGAGGTACATCGAACTAATGCAAGGTTTGTCGGAAGAGGGCGAACCCGGATAGGATCATGACGATTATGGTGGCGAAGATGCTGACGAAGGCCGGGTGTGCGGTATAAGATGAGAGCGAACCGTTGTTGCAACCGCTGCATGACCATCCTGGAAATACGAGCCACATTAATAAAAATACACCGGTTTTGGCGGGTCGGCGAAAATGCAACAACGCACCTGAAGCAATCGGAGTATACGGCTGAGGAGTGTAGAGCGCGAACTTGAGATTGTTGTTCGGTGAGAAAAGTCCCGCGGACTGGGCTGCTCCTGCGCCTCTAGAATCAAAAACCTCCAGCGTGTATGTTGCTTGTGCTAAGGGCGAGTTCGGGTTGGACTGCTGGAAGTCATACACATCCCAGACTACGCTAGTAGCCGTTCCGGGAATGACACCATCGGTAGGACCGACAGGGTATGTGATACCGTTGTCGCAGATGGCGGAGACGGTGAGGGAGGTGGGAGTGACGTATAGGGAGGTGAAGTTCCAAGCGAATGTGATGGGCTGGCCAGACGCAATTTTGAAGAACGCGGTCGACGTCTGCGCTGGCTGAGTGATGGTGATCCCTCCAGCAGCGGCGGTTTTGGGGATGCTGACGCTGGAGGAGCCAGAGCCAGAGGCGGACTGACTGCCACTTGACCCAGACGTCGTCTGCGAGCCTGACGCTGAAGCTGATGCCGATGCTGTTGAAGACATGATGAAGAGTGAGGGGGAGCGACGACGACGATGTAGGCGACTGCGAGGACGAAGGGCTCGATGTGGCTCGACCAAGAGAGCTCGATGGCGGAGACGGCAAGGGCGACCGCACGAAGGCGAGCCGATCCCGTGGCAACAGCCTGGTAACGGTCACAGTTCGCACTCCCGTGACAGGGAAGAATTCGACTCGGTCAAAGCCGCTGAACATACTCAGAATGTTTGTTTCTGTCCGTTCATCTAGCTCGGACGTCGTGCACACACGTCGTCCGTTGTGACCAGCGATACGGACTGTTTACTCTCAAAATCGACTGAGACCAGGTCTTAGGTATATCTATCCACGCGACATCTCGCAGGCTCATGAAATTACGTCCCATTTCTCCCTGGTCCCAGCCCACGAGTTACAGCTCTATCTCTCTTCAACATTCCGTTCCGAGCTCTGTTGAGAGCGATGGCCGACATGTCTCTTGACTCTACCCCCGATTCGCCTTCCGCTGCTCTCGTGCCTCTTGATCCCAACTGGCACCCTATCCTACATGTCTCCAACCAAGTCGTCCTTTACAATCCGACCAATCACGCCTTGTCCATTCACCACTCTGACGAAAAATCCCAACATGCCTCGCGTCCTTCTATATGCCCTTATTGCTCACGTCCAATGCCAAATGACTCCGATGATGACAGCAGCCTGGATGTCGATTTTGAAGATGTCACTTCCGCCTCTCGTGCCCCCAATTATTTCCAGCTCCTCGAGATCGCCAACGAAACTGCCAGTCGACCAGGATCGCCTCCCCTCGAAGTCGAAGACCACACCGATGGTGCCACTGGGACAAACACTTTCAAGCCGGAATCGATGGCCGAGGGCTATTTCAAGGCCTTTTTCCGAGAAGAGGCAAGACTGGGAATGGGCGCCAACGGAAGCGTCTATCTCTGTCAGGTAGGCTTCTCTCCTCTGCAGTGGGGCCGGCTCGTCTTGCATATTTTGAGCGAATGCTGATGTTACTCGTCTGTTTATTAGCACGTCCTCAACGGAAATCCTCTAGGTATGTCTTCAACCGAAAATCTAAATTGTTGTACTGTCGTATTCTTAGTCCACGCGCCGATACAGGTCACTTCGCGGTCAAGAAGATCGCCGTTGGACAATCAAGCAGCTATCTCCTCCAAATACTTCGTGAAGTTCGCCTGCTGGAGACACTGCGTCATCCCAACATAGTAACGTATCACCATGCGTGGCTCGAACCAGCCCAGTTCTCTTCTTTCGGACCTGCTGTCCCAACCTTACAGTTGTGTATTCTCATTCTGCAACCTATTCCCCGGAGTCGAATGGCAGTCAAATACTCATGAGCTGTGCTTCAGTGTTCTTATGCAATGGGCCGAGGGCGGCTCCCTCGACGACTTCATTGACGCTCGCTTGGGCCGACCCACCCATCTTCCTCACGTTCACTCTTCCGGTCCTTCCACTCCTGGTGCGGATACTTCCACAGCCGACCTCAGTGCCAGCCCAACGTCAACCCCTCCATCAGGAGATACAATGTCTCGAGCCGCGCGTATACGGGCTTTCCGTGCCATGCAGCATGCTTCTCCAGAGGAGAAAGAGAGGATAAGAGAGAGGTTCGGACTAGGTTCTGGTGGAGGGTCTTCGAAAAGGCCGAATTGGAAGGCGGTGCATCTTTTGAGCGCCGAGGAGGTGAAAGGACTCTTCTCGGATGTTGTCCAGGGTCTTGCATTTCTCGTGAGTTAATACTAATATATCTTATGTGTCCATCACTAACACTGCTGGTTCGTAGCACGATAAATCCATCCTGCATCTCGACTTGAAACCTGGGAATGTGCTCCTAACGTGGGACGAAGGGAGTCTAATGTACTCATTTCTGTATTCGGATTCTTCGACTAGCGTTAATGTCTTGTCCTTTTCAGCCCTCGAGCAATGCTCTCAGACTTTGGTACCTCTCGAGACGCTATCACCAACCCTCTTCAACGCTCAGGGAACACTGGAACGTACGTCACATATACTCTCGCTGTCAAGAATCTTCAATATTGACCCTGCACAGTCTTGAGTACACATCTCCAGAATCTTTGCGCTCTCCAGACACTGGTATACTTCACCAAGTCGACTCGAAAGCCGATCTGTGGTCTCTCGGCATGATTCTTCATAAACTGCTCTTCTTCCGACTGCCTTATCAGTGGGCATCCACGAACGACCGACCACAGGACGCGTCTCGTAACGAGGAGAACCCGATGGACAAACTGGAAAGGGAGGTATTGGGATATATGGGGTGCGCTGGTACTATCATGTTCTTCAGCTCGGCCCTGACCGTTGTGGGTGTTCAACAGATTCAAGAGCAGTCGCGAATTAGAAACAGTGTTTCTCTCGAGGCGACTTCCTCGCGCATATCTCATCCTTCTTGAGAACCTTCTGCATATCATCCCCAGCTCTCGCCCTTCCTGTGACCGTGTTGTTGCCGCCATACGCGAGGGAAAAGTAATTTCCAATCTCGTTTCTCCACGGCTGTCGCCACAGGTTGTCCGGACGCTGACATTCATTATCCCTTACAGCTCGACCCTCTCACATCCACTCCTCGAAGCCGTAGTTCTACACCTACCCCGCCTTCCTCCCTGGTCCCAGTTATCCACCGCCGCACGTCTCCTCCTCTGCCCTCGTTATCCCCGTTTCCTGATCGATCTGCCCAAACGGCTGTACACGACGATGCCGATGGCAATGCTCGTCTCTCCGAACTCAGTCCCTCTGCTGAGATTGATGACCCGGAATTCACCTTACATCCACCACCAGAAGATATAACAACACCACGGACGTGGGATGACGAGAAGGTTGCGTTGTTGGGCTCCAACGCTTCACACACGTTGGAGGCTGAGGACGTCGGGTGGAAGGGCGCGTTAGTCAATGTGTATAGTGGCGCCACAATCGGTTCCGCTTATCGTTCTGTGGATGCGAGGCGACGCTTGCTGTTCACCAAGACGGTCAAATCGAGTTTGTTAGTTGCCAAGGTACGTGTTTGGATCTTGAATAGCACGCTTGGTCTGCCTGAAGTAGGGCGGTTGACAATGGATTGTCTTATTCTTTCGGAGTAGGTCCTCTCACTCTCATATTTCTGCCCCACTCCGAGGTTTCCCGGCATCAGCAGCGATGCCCTATGGGCCTTATGCTTATTGGTCGGCGTGATTGATACATTGACGGACAGTTGGCTGGTGTCGGCAGTTATGCTTCTTCTGCATGGACTGCTTTTGAGGGCACTGTGTGTTTTGAGCTGAGATGGCTACTGTACTTCTGACGAATTTGCACAGGCTATGATCCGAGGACTGTTTCTGATCCTCCGTCCGTCCCTTCATCATAATGCTTATCTACCACACCCATGGACACATTCACTACTATCTGAACACTCAGTGACGCAATCTATTCATCCTATCATGAGTGTCTCGGTACTCCTTGTCCATCATGAAATACTCTCGAACAATAAAACACGAAATATTGCCGCAGTTACAACACATAACGGAACGCCAGATCCTGTAGATCCGTTCTGTTGTCCTCCTCGCTCGCTGGTCTCGGTAAAGCATCAGGGTGGCCCTCCGCCACCAACCTATCGCGGCGGGCGTTCTCACGTTTGCAGAGGTACCAGTAGGTCAATTGCGCGACAATGTAGATGCTGTGAACGATGACAGAATGAGACGAAACAATTTATTCGTGAGGAAGGGTGGGCTCACCAATAGAGTGCGATGCAGGTGTGCATGGCGGTCGGGTAAAGCGGCTTTTCTGTTGAGAGGAAGAGCTGCGGACCAGCGATGCATCCCGCGGCATCTTCACGTACCGGTTTGCTGCGTCAGTCACAATGTCGAGAACAAGATGAAAGGGGTCAATGCGATGATATACGTACATCCAATGAAGTAAACTGTCGAGACCATTGTCTTCCTCGTGTGGCCCTTGAAGTTACTTGCGATAAGAGACATGTTCATAACGTAGATGCTCGACTCGCATGTCGCTAGCCAGTAACCCTGTATCGCGAATTCAAACGTCGACTTGATCAGCCCGACTCTTCTTGTCTCGTTCCGTCGATGAGAGGAACACAATGTATCTGGCACTTACCCCCGTCAATGCCCACTTGTTGGAATAAGGCAGAGTGGACATCATGATGACGCCAATCAACGGTGGAATGATCAGAAGTGTTTGGATGAAACCACGGCTGTTGGGGAATGCCCAGCTTCCGGCAACACCGGCCCATATGCAGATGAGTTGGAGGCCAGGGCCAGGAAGGCCTATGAGAACCGTCTATGCACAAAGTCAGCATTGTCATGCAAGATGAACATGGAAAAGAGCATGCTTACTCTGAACTCGTCAAACCCTAGACCATTGATGACAATGGAGCCAAACGAGACAACCGAGGTCATGCAGACACATATAGCCCACAAAAAGATGAGGTAGAACTATACACTTGATCAGCACAACGGACAGTCGATGAGAGGTATCAAGAGAGGGAGACGGACCTTGGGGTCCTTCAATGTCTCAATCATCTGGTCATTCCTCCATTCCTTGTGCTGTGCCGACGCGTGCTCTCTCGCTACTCTCTGCACTGCGCATACCCTCTCCTCCGGGGTCAAGAACCAAGCGCTCGCGGGCGCCTTTGGAACGATTATCGTGAGGATGATTCCGAGGATCAGGGTGACACCCCCTGCGATGAGCATTGAAATTCGCCAGCCCGCAATGGTGGCACCTGTGATGGAGCCACATCCGTAAAGAAGGAGTCCTCCAACGATCTGGGCAAATGCGTTCGCGGACACGAAGACGGCTGTACATATAACACAATTTAGCGGGGAGAACAGGAAAGAAATGATGAAGTCTACCTAGCCTATTAGGATGCTCGCTTTTCTTCCACCAGATGGATGTCAATACGACAAAGCCTGGTGACACAGCGCCTTCGGTTACGCCCAGGAAGAACCGAACGAGCATCATGCCGGTGAAGTTGGTGGGCTACGAAGATAATTGTAAGCCTATAGTGTAGCCAACGTTCTTCGATGCTCACCAAGGCTGACATCATCATCACTGCACCCCACGCAATAGCAGTACCTAGGGAAGCCACTCAGTCCTGGCACGGACGGAAAAGCCTCGAGATAGAGACGAACATCCGACGAATATCTTGATCGGGAAGATATGCAAGAAACTCATGATGGGGAACTGTGAAACGAAAAGGGTAAGCTGGATTCTCGTGCGATTTTACCACGGGGAGCGAAACTTACCTCGGAGAGCAGCTGGCCAAAGTAGAATATCGAGGAACACCAGCTTTGATGGCAATTCAATCATCAGTCGATGATCCAAAACGTGAATAAAGAGGATGGAATGGCATGCAGCTTTTGAAGTCAGGTACTAAAATGACTTACGAGTAATCTTGGCCGACGAAGGAAAGATCAATCTCCATCCCAAAAATGGCAGCATAACTGAGATGGTCTTAGACATCTGTAGCAACTATTATGCACCGTAAACAACACACCTGAGGGCTATTTTGTCCAAGTATTCTGTGGACAGCGGGAAAGGGTTAGGCACGATGGAGGCGCTTTGAAGTCCTCCATGAAGAATTACTCACGAAACATGGCGATGAAGAAGAAGACAGTGAGAACGACTCTGTCGATCTTCTTTACCACTCTGGCCTCCAGCTTGGGGTCCACGGCGACATCCTCAGGTTCGACCGAATGCACGCTGGAAGGAGAGCTTGACTTCTCTGGAGCTCCCTTGACCTCCCCAGCACCTTTCTCCATATAAGCCAACGTGCTTGCCATGGCAATGTCGAGTCCGTTCTTTGATAGCCTGAGGAAGGGGTGGAGAACAAGCTTAGAAGACCTCAAGACCTTTGGTTTTGTGCGTTGGAGGAAGGCACATTTGGCAAATTAGCTATCATACTCGTAGTAATGGATATGATAGAGAAACCGCGCTTAGAAGCCATCATATGCAGTTATCACCAGTGAACACTACTATGTATATCACTTGAGCAGAGATAGACACGGGCAAAGAATGTAGCGGAAGGCCAACGGAAGAAGGAACGATGGGTGCGTGACGATAAACATCGGTGTGCGGCAAATGGCGGCGTTTATCCGCGCCATCGCAGCGTGCAAGTCGAGAGTAATTAGGAACGCGACTTGGGTACGAACATTGTCCTCTATCGGTAAGCGGCACGCGTGCCCGTCTCTCCTCCCATTCCTATTCTCATCGTCGCTCTCGTCATGCAGGACACCTCTCTGACCTCTAAGCCCTACAAGTTCCCGAATCCAAGCAAGACTCGACCCGCGATCTTACCACAGCTCGCAATCAAGCCATGGCTACAAGGGCATGCACCCTCACTCGCTCTCAAGAATTGTAAGGTTGTTGATCCGGCCCTGGGAGCTCTGCTTGATGGTCTTCGCACCATCATCATCCAGAAGGGGAGAATCGTTAGCATAGAAAGCGATGATGCGCACAATTTAGAGGATAAACCAGAGGATCTTAGGGAGGTCGATCTCAAGGGAAAGTTTGTCTGTCCAGGTCCGCAATAGTTCTCTACATTGTTGTCCAATCTACTTAGCATTGTCCAGGATTGATCGATTGCCATGTCCATGTTACCGCTGTTCCCGGGGTCAAGGTGCGTGATCGCCGTACCTATGTGACTGTCAGTGATATTGAGAGTAGCACAGAACATGAGCGAGCTCGTCAACATCCCCGATGAATTGACTCACCTGCGTTCAACCTACGTCTTGTCTGGTATGATTCGGAGGGGTTTCACCACCGTTAGAGACACAGGAGGCGCGACCAAGTCGCTCGCAACTGCAATTGACGAGGGTCTCATCGAAGGGCCACGGCTCATTCAGTGTGGCAAGGCGCTCTCTCAAACGGGTGGCCACGGAGATTTCTCACCAGGGGTTTCCGGCGGAAGTGGCGTCGGTTGCTGTGGCGGACATTCTCAGGTATGGTCATTCAGCTTCCGAAGTGGGTTCAAACGGAATCTGAACTGACCATTGATCAGAGTCTTGGACGTGTAGTTGACGGTGTGCCGAACTGTCTCAAAGCTGCCAGAGAGGAGATCAAAGCCGGCGCAGACTTTCTCAAGGTGGGTACTTTCGCTTTCACCGTCAAGACTATCACAAACTCATGGACATTCGTCATAGATCATGGTCGGTGGCGGAGTAGGTGTGTTGCATACCCGCGAAAATAATTGTTCTCATGCTGACGGGCTCAACTTTCAGCGTCAGAAACGGACACGATAGAGAGCTTGCAATATACCGCCGAGGAGATTAAGGCGGTCACTACCACCGCTACGCAAATGGGCAATAAACTGGTATTGTTTCCCTCATTCCACGCACCCGAATGTGCAGCAAAGTTCTAAGCAACCGCGTTAGGTCACGGCTCACGCATATACAACTCAAGCAATCCGACATGCTGTCGACAACGGCTGCCGTGGCATCGAGCATGGTAACCTGATGGACAAAGATTGTGCTATAATGTGAGCATATCCCGACTGTCATTTTTCCTGCTCTACATCACTCACGATACCAATTGCCGCCCATAACAGGATGGCAGCCAAGGGCATCTACCTAACACCAACTCTCTCCTGCTATGGCGCTATGGCGCGTCCTCCTTTCGAAGACTTCCTCTCACCGGACGGCCAGATAAAGAACGAACAAGTGATGGAACACGGCCTCGAGGCGATCAAAATGGCGGAAGAAGCGGGTGTGACGATTTGTTATGGCTCCGACTTGTTGACGTCGCTGCACGCGTTGCAGACGGAAGAGTTTACGGTACGGGCGACCGTACTGGACTCGCCAACTGTCTTGAGACACGCGACCACAAATGGGGGTGAGTGTGGCCTCTTTCTCGGGCTCTTCCATCATTTGTTCTGACCGCCAGAAACGACTTGCGTTACAAAGCCAAGATGCTGGGAAAGTCTGGTCTTTTGGGTACCATCAGCCCAGCCGCCTACGCCGACATACTCATCCTGAACCGAAACCCTTTGGAGGATATCAAGGTGCTTGACCGACCAGAGCTCTACCTGAAGGCGGTCTTGAAGGAGGGCAAAGTGATCTTCAGCTCAGTCGATGGCCTATGACAGTCTACTGCAAGTATAATGCATGGAATTAACACTAGCTGTTGTTTTGAATGAAGATGTTCTTTCAGTGGATATTTTAGTGTGCAAAATAGGATTGGAGGGTGGTATACACAAAACATGTTCACATTAACGACAGTAGGCGACGCATTCGCAAGTACCGATTAAAAGTACAATACTCGTGACACGCCAGACAGGACACTATAAGGAAAAAGAATCTTATGTAGAATTGTAGTCCATCGTGAAAGAGAAAGGCAAGACCGAAAAGAGTTCTTGCGCCCGACGCCAGGCTACTACCCAAGAATATTGCGAGTCCGCGACACTATAACCAGGTTTTTGAAAAAAAAGACCATACATACATTGACTTGTCGTACAAATGAGCACCGCAAGGCACTCGCACCATTATAAAACCATTTAATGAGCGACAACGAAGGCGCCGAAGCTAACGAAGCCCAGGACCCACATAAGGGCAAGCGACGTAAGGCCAGAAGTCATGTCCGCCTTGCGAAGAGCGGCCGAAGTGGAACTGGTCGACGAAGCAACACTGCCTGAGCTGGACTGCGAGCCACTGGACTTGCCGGTGCTGCTACCGGTGGCAGAGGCAGAAGAGCCGGAGGCGGAGCCAGTGGCCCCGAGGAGCTCAGTGTAGATTGCGGAAGAAGTGTAGGACGTGCATTGAGAGGTGGCAGGGATAGTGGGACTATGTACAAGCATTAGATAGAGTGAGGAGTGACTGAGTAGATGAACTTACGTATACGGAATGGAAGTAATCGCTCCGAGAGACTCGGCAGGCTGGAACCAGGTGGTAGTTATACCATCGGAGACGTACTGGCCAGGAGGAGTCATGTCTTCACCAAGGCAGTACTGGAAGGTACCGTTGATCTCAGAGTAGGCAACAGGGTCGTTGTATGTGCAGCCAACACGGTCATAGACATCTGTGGAAGCATCAAGATTATGAGATTATGTCATACAGATAGATGAAAGACTGCGCGGCGTACGGGCGCAAAGCTCGGCAGCACGGGAACCAGCAGGGTCGCAGGCCTTAAAGCAGAAGATGCCATCGCCGACGAAGTAAGACCACTCGATGACCTGGGTGAAGTTGGTCTGGCTGTTGTTGGCGTTGAAGGCAGAGGAATAGAGGAGAGAGCCGAGTGGGTTGCCACGCTCGTCAGCACCATGGGGATCTTCCTCGCCACCCGCGTCATCAGCGGTCAGGTTCAAGGCGGTTTGATCTATGTAGCCAGCGATTTCGACATAATCCGGGGTTTGGACCCTGTACACATACGAGGTGAGCTTTTATGAAAGGGGCTCAAGCTAAGTGTAGACGCACATCTGGATACCCTGGATGGAACCCTCTCTAAGGAGACGAGTACCGTGGACTTTCTTCGTGCAGTAGGCAACCATCTCCTCTTCAACATCCCCGACAGTCTCTGAGGAAACGGGGGAGCCCCAGAGACAGAAGTCGTCGACAGAGTTGATGTAGGCGGTCTGGCACCACGAATCCTGGTTTTGGGTGGTGGCGTTACAGATATTGTATCCTGGAGAGAATATGAACACCGGCGGGTGGGAAAGAAAGAAAGGATGAAAGACAGACCCTGCTGGGTACCACGGGGACCGTCGCCGGAGTCGGCCTGGTACGGCAGGTCCGGCCACTGGAAGTGCTTGGAGGCAAGAGGCACGTCCTCGCCAGTATCCTGAGTAATAGTGTAGACACCGAAGGTATTGGAATACGTCTGGGCGAAGACGGAGGCGGAAGACGCAAGAGCGGCCGCGAGGATGGCGAGGCGGGACATGACAGAGAAATCACAGAAAAATGTAGAATGGATGAGAGGAATTTGAAAGGGGGCACCAGACGAGTCTGGGTGTCGGGGCGGCGAGAGGATGAGGGCGGGAGGGGCGGGAGACGAGGAAGACGAGGAGGAAGAGAAAGAACAAGGTGCGCGCGCCGGTAATATATACCACGCGCCTACCCCGCAGCCGCGCTATTTTAATTCGGGGCTGGACGCGTCCGGCCTCAGGCCTCTACCCCGGTCTCTGTCGGCCACCCTTCCTTGCCTCCTGTCGAACTCGTGAGCGTCTCCTCACTTCTTCCACCCTTCGTGGCTATTTTCCTCCCTGGCCAACGAACCCTCGCCGTGTCTCACCTTCAAGGCGCCGCGAAGTGCCATTAACAGCACGCGAACACTGGTCATTTGACTAGCCTGCCCCGCGCAGCACCAGGGCCTGCGCGTTCACGTCGTTTGCATGTTGCTTCTGCCATTCTCGTAGGTTTCATCGGGTCTGTGCACGGACCGCAGCAGCGGGTCCCGTATGGACTCTCAAACGTGTTGAACACACAAAATTGCAGTGACCAATCGTCCACTTCCTATCGTATTCGTTCCCAGTCTGGTCCCCATCAGTCCTCGCGGAATCACGAACAGGTCCAGTTCCCACACGCAGGGAAGGTCTACGAGGAAACAACGGTCATCCATGCCCGGTTGCAATCCAGCCCCAGTCACAGAGGGAGCGAATGAAAAACGGAAATGACACGCACTTGCGGATATATTGGAAGAATCTCGTTCCAGTATTGGCATACCTTGTCGATCTCAAAGTGGTCTCCTAAGATCGCTCCATCTTCGTCTATACCTAGGATGGCCAGCGTGCTTGAGTTGGAAGGACTATACTTGGGCCAGTTGGGGATACGTGGACCCAGTGTCGGCTCTATTGGGGGGATCAGATCAGGATCAGCGTCAGTGTATGGTGATGCCATCATGCAGAACTCGACCAAACCTTTGATAAAGTTTGTCCAGGCGTCTATCATATAATCCGAGACTCTTTGTTCGAAAGGCGTAACGGGTACGAACGGTGCACTAAGAGCAATGGTTGCAGTTGTCCTGCATACACAGAAACATCAGTCAAGAAATTCATGATCACGGACAATAACTGCATGAACGCACCCCATCACAAATCTGATATCCGAACCTATGTGCCCGTCAAGACAGACAACTATGAAGTCAGGATGATGCAACATACCGTGGAACGTCCCGATACTCGCACCCAGGGAGTTCAGATTTGAGGCTACCAAATCAAACCTGTACCTCCATACATCCAACCCTAACGCTTCGGTCCTCCATTTCCCCAGATTATGAGCGAGACAGAGCATATGTGCGTCTCGCCACATCGCGGAAGTAGCATTGTAAATTGATGGATACAGTGCAGATGGAGATGGGTAGAGCGCGTCGAGGAGGAGCGAAGAGTTGGCGAAAGGAAAGTTGAGGTTATTGCTCTTACTATCAGAAAAATAGGCATCATGTAATGTGAATCACGGCGCGTATACAGTGTAAACGTGGCTTACATGTAGGCTGACTCGTTGGTGAAGGCTGTGGGTTCGCTGTTTACTATTAGGGTACCTTCGTCCTGAAGGACCTTGTCAGCACTAGTTTACTCTAAATCTCAGGGTTGACTACTCACTTTGTTCGTGCCTATAAGGAGAGGTACCTTCGCTGTCCTCCCCTCCTTCGTCTGTTTCACATAATCCTTCCAGATTGTGATATTGTCAATGACAGGTTGGAACTGGTCACCGGTCGCTAACAAGGTATCTTGAAGCGCAAATGCATCTTTCGTACGCAAACAGTCAAGTTGGCCAGGTGAAGATGTCGGGCAAGACTGATTTGCTGCGATGGCGGTGAGCTGGTTGCCCAATTGCCACTGTGGTTGCGACGCTTCATGAAGTAAAAATCAAGATTATCGGTGAGGTCATTGCCACTGTGGTCATTCAAAATAGAGAAAACGGGGAACCTACTATCAGAACTCTGCATCACAGCTCCTCTGATGAGGGGGTCCTCGGGCCAGGCGGATAGGTACATATTGGTCATTTCTGTAGAACACAAAAAAAAACCGAGCGCTGTCGATGCAGTTCACCAAACTTGCAGCGCAAACACCTACCAGCTCCAACGCTCTCCCCTGTTAGTTCCGCATGAGCCGCGCTACATACGAACGGAAGACTACAGCATGATTCTCACCTCCCAATACGATCTTCTCCGGATCACCCCCGAATGCTTTCGCGTTGGCTTTCATCCACTCGACAGCGGCTCTCGTATCCAAAAGACCGAAGTTCTGCGTCTCCCCTGCTTCAGCGATCTCGGCAGCATGCGGCCACGCCCACAAGGACAGTCGATAGTTGTACGATGCAAACACGATGCCCTTCGCGGCCATGAAAGAGCCATCGATCTTGGGGTCTGACGATGCGCCGCTGTCAAATCCACCGCCGCTGAGATAGCGAAAGCGAGAACAACGTGAGCAACAGATGACCAAATCAAAGAATCCGCGTACTGACTATGAGTAGACATAAACGGGTAGATTGTTTGCTCCATCCGGTGATATCACGTTAATCCTTAAGCAGTCCTCACTTTGCACGCTAGTCCCATTTCCACCGTCCGCCCTCCCTTGCATACAGGCCGGACCGAACTGAGTAGCATTGAACACCGTGTCTGGATTCGCTTCCTTGAAGGGTTGAGGTGGCCGCCAGCGATTTTGTCCCGAGGTATCCTGAGCAAACCGGATGCCATACCACTTCTGGAGTGGGGTAGAAGTGGTGCTGTCATCGAGGTAGCCTTGGACTTTTCCGGAGGTGGTGGAGATGGGAGGTAGGAGAGTGCGGTTGGTTGATTCAGCGTGAACTGCGTGGATCAGAGCGAAAGCACCGAGCCTGAGTGCGAGTGTGATGAGCATGTCGAGGCAGAGATAGACGAGAAGAGTTGTACTACACTGCTAACTTACTAATAATGAGCCGTTAGAGGTGTTTTACAATGATGTTCCGGATATGAACCGCTATACAACGCGATACTGTGTGGCAAGAACATATTTGAAGGAAAGAGAAGCACGAGGGTAAATTTCGGAATGACTAGAGGACGTTGGCATATCACAAGACACGTTTCTGGCCAGAGCGCACGGCTTCTCTAAATGTGCATGAGCATCAGTCAGATCATAAAGGACCAGCCAGCTCCCATCCTCCCAGGGCACGCAAAAGAGACCATAAGATATGGGGCTGGACAAAATAATCAGCAGGCCATCCACAGGGCTCGAGTGAAGGAATGCAGGTCCGTTGCTCATAGCAATACCGTCACGTTAGTATAACAGCGCCATTGTACTCCCATAGTGCATCACTGCAACTGGCAGAGATACTTATCCTAGTAGCCTGGTCGATCTTAGTTGCAGAATCAGACTGCAGACGGGGTAGTAAGGAGAAATTAAGCTCCAGATGCCAGCCTGGCGAGAGTCCTCAGAAATATGTGTGGCAGGAAGTTCTACTGTAATAAAAGATGGGGTGAAAGCGGATTGGCTGGGACTTGCTCGAGTGCTCTTCGAGGCCCAGAATCGATGGCAGAAACTCAGAAACAATGAAACAATTTATATAGGAACTCGAACGGTACTGGTAAGTGAGCGTGAACAAAGTATGACGCAAGCCTGCAGCTGCCTGCAGGCATCGCCAGAATGGCGGGCTGACAGTTTCTGCCACCCTCCGCCCGCTTTGGGCTTGCCATTTCCTTCGTTCATGGATGGCCTGGTCGAGACTTGTCACGGGTATTTTTGGGTACTTTTATTGCTAACAAATCAAAATGTCGCTTTCTGCGAAAAGTAAATATTTTTAAATGGCCTGAAGTCGGTCTCGGGGCTGGGGGGTGGAAAAACCACATCATTCATGGCCATGAAGTGACGGTTATAATACATTACGCGAGGAAGACAAACAAGAACTCTTGGCCGAATGGTTATTTGTATGTTTATGACTACTTTGCCGTCAGTGAGGTGGCTGGTTCGAACCCTCATGATGCCGCTCGCGCTTTTTATGTACTTTTGCCCTGAGTTTCTCTACCGAGAGCCTTCTCGTCCTTTGCGACATTGATGTTCGTGAAAGCTTTTTAATATGTATATACGTATTACTCTGTAGTACTACGATTTAAGCTTGAGGCTTGTGTAGAGAACTTAGCTACTCGCGAGTCTTTTTAGATAGCATTGCTGTGCATTATTCCCTTTCTATGAACATCCAGCCGACCGAGGTACTGGGCCACACACCGATCGAGCCGCAAATTCAACGTAAATCAAGCTTCCTCGTGGTTGAACTCACAAAATCTCACGACACATATGCATATATCTAGCAGTATTAATGATTCATTCGTACTTATTGTCCTCACTTTGAGCTTGCGATTTGATAGGCTCTCGCAAACTTGGTTTGACTCTGTGCGCCACTCACGACTTGGCGCAAACTTCGCGTCTCGTCCTGCTGACCGGCTCTGCGGCGCCATCAGCGAAGCCTGTTGCCTTTGCCTCGAGGTCGCCCTTCCTCTGGGCGAATCCCTACGTCACTCTTTGTTCACGCTGCCTAGCCAACGGTACTACACGGGCACTGCCGAATGTTTTTGAATGATGTCATCGTTGAAGCCCCCCTTTTCAGTCGCTCGCTCATGCGTCATCGTCCCCCATCTCACCTTTCATCCCCTTCTCCCTTCGAGCAAGCGCTTTGCAAAAGCCATCTTTTGTTACTTCCCCCTTACCAATATGACAGCGCAGAAGGATTCCGGCAAGAAATATCATTTGCAATGCACTGGAGTAGCTCTCGAGACGGCCAATAAGCATATCGCGGAACAAGACATCACCCTTTTTGGCAGCTGTTTCTGTCCTTTCGTGCAAAGAGTCTGGGTTGCTTTTGAATACCTTGGGATACCCTACAAAGTGCGTACATTGCTTTTTCAGTCTTGTCTCCCGTACTGAGCGCCGTTGTATAAAGTATTGTTGAGTAAAGCCTTTGTCGGCTTGATGCGACGATGCAGCACGTCACATCCTCTGCTTACGCGTGTGGATTGTAGACGAAGTTGATCCATATGCTAAGCCAAAGGAGCTACTGGAAGTCTCACCAAAAGGTCTTGTACCTGGAGTCAAGCTCCATAAGTATGAGCCTCCTCGTGCCCTCAACGAGAGTACGGTCATCATGGAATATGTTGTAAAGTGCGTACCATCGCGTTCAACTTTTTTCACCATTCTAATGCTTCTTGCAGACTTGCACAACACAATAACATATCAACTTCTCTCTTTCCCTCCGATCCTTATGCCAACGCCATTGTCCGCCTTCAAGCCGATCATATCAATCGCACCCTCATCCCGGCATTCTACCGTTACCTCCAAGCACAGGACACCGCAGCTCAAATCGAAGGAGGGAAAGATCTCCTTTCTGCCATCGAACAGCTCGTCTCGCTGTTTGAGCGAGCTGAGAAAGAGTGTGGCGACGCACTCGAAGGTAACCCAGTTGGTTTGTGGCAAGAGACAGGGACACTAAGCTGGAGCGATATTATGGCGGCACCTTGTATGCCTCGTCTCCCACCTATTTATTTATTTTCTTTGGACTCTAGGCGGTGTAAACACTGATTGACAGTTAATCTTTTCTCACAGGGCTATTCCGTGCATCGAACGTCCTCGAACACTACCGCGGCTTTTCCCTTCCCAAGGGCCCGAAGTTCGATGCCTATATAGGACGCCTGTTCGAACACCCAGCTTTCAAGTGCACGTGTAGTACGGAAGAACTTTACCTGGACAGTTACGAACGGTTCGTACCGAGTTGTTCTCATCGCGCTCTATATAATATCGGCGAAACATACTGTCTGCTGATTGGGTTTGGGATGCAGGTACGCTTATAATCGTCCGAACACCAGCCAAGTGGCGAACGCGATAAACTCTGGCCGTGGACTTCCTTGAGACTTCAACTGTACCGAGACGGGGTGACTTGAGGCAGCTTATCCTATATCGATCACTTGAAGGGATGTGTATCTCCATCTGGTACGACTGTACCAAGTTTCTACTCCGTCGTGATATATTTGTATAACTCACATCCATGCTAACGTTCCTGTTCGCTGTCATGAACGTTCTTGAGCAAGGATACTGCCCCTTTGACGCACGGCATTGACATGGTTGAGTAGCTCCTCGGAGGCAAATTGAGCCCAAGACGGAAAGTGGTCATAGGGGTGTTGTATGACGACGTCGATGGTTATAGCTCTAGTAAGGTATAGTTATGTGGTGACGAGACATGACGAAGATATGTTTTGTGGGCGAGAGCGCCTTGCGTTTCCAGCCTGCATGGAAGCCCGCCTCTCATATTCCCGAGCCCACTGATCGGGGGCGCACATTTGTCGTTACTGACCTTAGAGACTTATAACCGTTCAAGCTGCCAGTCTGCTCCTTGTGAGCTTTGATAGTCCTCTTTTCTTGTCTTCGGATCGCTAAAGGTTAGTAAATCAGAGTTCTGTGCCATAAGCGGATTAGGACTAACATGCGTACTTGAGAAGGTTCAAGTGTGACCCACTTCGATGAGATGTCGCAGGATAGCTATTGATAGACGGATCCATGAATGACTTCGACGGTTCTCAGCTGTTATACGTCGAAGCTGGGACCGGCGCGACTCCGAATCTAGGCGCAACCCGATCCTATAGACCGCGGCACAATCGGTGCTACTCATCCAGGGTACGTCGAAAACCTAGCTCACCGGCAGTATCAACTGCCCTAGAGCATCCCTTGTACTGGATATCCCAGAGGTCGGCGGAGTAAGCGACTGACATACGCCGATGGTTGAGGAGAATAATTTCCAAGGAAGAAGCTGGAGTGATTTGGGCCTCTAGATTTCGGTGAGTGATGATCCGTATGCAGAGTCCAGGAATGCGCTCTCCTCGTATGGTATGTATGATATGGAAAAGCTCACTTCATCACACCAAGTAAATGGTTCCTACCTCGAGGGGGTCGCCTGCTATCCAACGTGTTGACCCCAGGCGTCAGAATGTTTCCTTGGTTTGCGCAATAGGGGCTGTATGACCGACAGTGAAAGATGGGGATTCGAGATGATGCATATTGTTCGGAAGTAATCTGAAACAGACTACGATAGATCCATTCCATCTATGCATCGGGCTGCAGTAATTACAGTTTATGCTCCTCTCACGTACTGTACATATCAACCTATTCAACAAACTGGAGAGAAGCAGGCGGGAAAATGCGTGAATGTAAATGCTGCAGACTTAAATGGAAACGGAAAGCGTGCGTAGGTATGAATTGTAATGGATGGCGGCGTGTAAACAAGAATGAACGCGGATCACGAGATACTGTCGGGACGGAGAATGAAGACAAGAACAATATATCAACGGGTGCCGTTACGGCGCATACGCAGAAAACAGGAGATGATGCAGAGCTCTACAACTATTCACATTCATTCATGTCATCACGAGGGTATGAGTGCAGCTACACTAGCCCAAAGTAGAGAGAGAAAGAGAGGAAAAATAAATCACTAGCGTCATCGAGTCCCCAGAGCATGTTTACGCCCATGATCTGGTTCGGCAAACAGTCGTAGGCGACGCTCACAGGCTAATGCTTCTGGCCCCACTGAAAACCAAACAGGAAAAAAAGGTCAGCCTCCATGCTCGTCACATTGTACAGGGCGCAAAACACTCACTGGTCGAATCGTTCCCTGAGGAGAGGCTCAACCGCCGCTGGCCATGGGGAGAGTCATCAGACGCAGAGTTGGCCTCGTGTGGCGCAGTCTGCGCGGAAGACGAGCTACTTGTGTTTGCGCGTGACCGCTGTTTCTCTTTACGAAGTCTCCGAGCGACGGCGAAAAGCTCGACGAGACTAAGGTCGATTTCGCGAGGATAATATGGGACATTTGGGACAGGGTACGAGGCGGCGCTGGAGCAGGTCGAAGGCGTAGACACGACAGAATCGCATTCGCTCGGTGTAGCGAGCCAGTTATAAGCGCTCGAGGTGGACGGGGATGAGTGAGCGGAGGGCTGTCGCTCGGAGAAGTAGTCAACGGGGGACCGTGAGCTGCTCTCTGCCGGCGTGCAGTTCGTCGACGCTGAGAAGCGTGATGTGGAGGGGAGCGGCACAAAGCCACTATATCCATGGGGGAACGGGAGAGTGCTCTTAACGTCGACCGCACCTTGAGCATGGGCATTTCGGAGTCCACGACTGAGCTCTGATTGTCGGTGTGTGGACGAGGAAGCGTATCGAGACGAGGTGAAAACGAATGACTGGGATGCGGTCGAACTCGAAGGAGCGGAAGTCGAGAGAGACAGTTCCGGTGCAGCTTGTGATCCGAGAACGATGTCTTGCGTCTTATCCATGTCATGAACGCTACCGTACCGAGATGGGTGTCAGAGACCAGAGCGCCATGTTGCGCCTTGGGATGGCAGGTCTAGCAGTACGTACCGAGCGCCACTAGGTGAGCTGGAATGCAGGACGAGGGAACGATGCGTCTGCCCGGGCCTGCCTGGAGTACGACGCCCAAGAGGGAGTGAGAGACATAGACAGAGGGCGAGAGTATAAGTACCTTAGACAAGCGCGAAGCACTCGGCACGGTGCCCATGGGAGAAAGTCGCCTCAGGATCTGCCTCGTTGGATCAGGGCAGTCCTTATACGCCGCAACGCACAACTTCTTCACTCAGCCAATCTGTCGGTTTCTTGTCGGTCTTTTCCGTTCCCTCGAGGTAGGCGCAAGACATGGCGTCCATAGCCAATATAGAGGCACCCATCAAGCACCCATTCCCAGTCCCAATCCGGAGCGACTCAGCGATACCCGAAAACCGCCAGCCATCCGTAGCTATCATCTCGGACAACACATTGCTCAACTCCACAAACCATCGATATCGCCTTGAAACCGTTAGCCTTCAACGTTCAACCACTGTACCTTTCATCCGTCTACCTTCCGCATTTCGTCCGTGGTCCACGTTTGCCGGATATCTGTCCCACCTCACCTCCATCCCCGAAATCCATCCTGCCACGATGTTCCGATTCCTTCCGCCCGGTGATTCGGTTTTGTGGCGTCTGTATCGAATGATACTTCTGGTCTCCCGCATGAGCACTCACCAGCTTCGGTTCCTCCAGGCCTACCTTTGATTGCGAACCTGGTCACTTTTGGATTATGACGAGTTCTTGAAAGCCTAGTGATTCTGTGATTCCCGCCAGGCAGTTCTCATGAAAGAGGGGCTTTCGCCATGAGTTGCTGGATCCACTCGTCCCGGGCTAGGAGTCATTGCATTATGTTGGTCAAATGCTTCGACATTACTACCAGAGGAATGCAGATGAGCCACAACAAGTATGTTTGCGTGAACGCTTGCAGCATTGTTCACCTCTCAACGGACTCGGGTACTGCTTGTTAGTTCTTCATTTGAAGACACACTAAATGGAAGGCTCATGCTATCTTTGGCCGGCTATCTTTGCACTGTACGTTCTGGAAGCGGCCTCAAGAGGTGCCATCACAGAACATTGGACGTTTGTTTGCGGCGCTGGGCAAGCACCTATTGTTACAGACCGCCGGTATGGTTGTAGTTGACAGGAAGAGTCTCGACGCGAAGAGCAAGGTGGCTGGTAGGGGGAATCTTAATTATAAATTCACCAAAAAACCTAATCTTCCTCGGTCGAGACTGCAACTACCATGCTCGAGATACGTAAAGACAACCTCATGCCGCGCCACTCGTATGCGCATTAAGCGAGACAAGGACGAGTACGCCCAATTTAGCAACGCAGGTGGCGGAAACAGGAAAAGAATATCAAGGCCGGATCGGGAAGGTGAAGGCCGTGGCGATACTTTTGTGCCACATCCTCATGTCCGTATTCGACAGGTGCTGCAGTTGCTATCACAGCAAAGAAAACACGGACTTATACTCTCGTACGTGCCGCCCTGAATGCTATGAAGAGAAGTGCGAGGATATAATAAGCCAACCAGAAGAACATAAGAAGTCAGCCTGGCAGAAGCTTTGACCAGCGCCACTCGTCCCCGCCAAATATCCATTCGAAGGCAATGACTGATATTGACTGTTCCTGTTCGGCCTCATGTTCAACCCCAAACTCTACCGCATTCTCCTAAACCGGCAGACATGACCTCAAAGAACAAGGTTACATCCTACGGTGACACGTTGATCGTCCAGAACCTCCCTCTCTAAAACTAGAACCACTGCCCGAATCGTGCTGACAATAACACCACAAAGAGTGGAAATCCGGCCGATAAAGAACTAAGGGCGGAGGAAAGCACTTCAGGTTGGAGATTAAAGTGGAGATGAAGAGGCGAAGCACAGAGGGAACTCGAGACAGGATGAAGCGGGAGAAAGATATCAAAGCTGAGAAGGAGACGCAGGAAGAGCACGCGGCGTTCGAGGCGGAGAAGAAGACACGGAATGGTGATCCTGGAAGAGGCGAAGGAGGTTTGACCGCCTTTCGCGACAACTTGACACTGACCGACTCGGAGGACCTTTCCGAACAGGCCGACGAGGCGACATCCGCACTAGGTCCAAAAGCATGAAGTTCCGCCTCACCGTCAATTGCCTACGGCACAGAAACGCCCGCCTCGAAGGGAAACGCAGAGCCTAGCAACAGCATTGAATCTGACAGAGTTATCTGTGCGAAGTTGGGGAGATGAGAGCTGCGGCTGTGGCTCAGAGAGCGAGAACCCATCGGACTGCGAGGACATCCGTGGCAATCTGTCAAGAGTATGATCCTAGGTCTCGCTATGCTGCAGTCCACCGTCTGGATCATTGGCGAAGCACGCACCGAATATGTTCCTCGACGCGAATAACTGAAGGTGTACTGGGGGAAAGTAACGGTGACCCGCGAGAGCAGTCGAGGTTGAGTCGAGGTGTATGAGTGGACTTTGTGATTGGTCATTATAGCGACATTTTATCGGTATTTTCGAGTCTACGTGGTGTATATCATTCTCTGTTTGACGCATGACCTACTTGGAATAATTCTTTCCGTGCAAAGCAGTCTGCGTGAGGTGGAAAGATTCACAGAAACGCGTGCAAAAGGGTGAGCGTTTTCAAACCGGGCTGTAGTCCGGCCTCTCTCGGCCCGGAGTGCTCACCCGGGTGATGATTTGTTCAAACGAGCATCTTGCACAAACACCGTCCTCGTTAGGCCACCCACCATTCACTAAGGTCAGTATCCCGACGTCTTGCGCTCTGGCTCACTCGATGCTCCAGATTGTTGATCACCTCGTATTATGTCTCGCTCAGGCTCCTTCCCCCCCGAGTATACCCCGCTCGTGATTTCGCCCGGTCGCAGGCAAGGACACAGCAATCGACTGCAGTGTCAACCTCTCCAGACTTCTTCGTTTCCCCTTCTCGTTTGTCCTACATAGCGTGCCTGCAAGAGGCCTGATCATTTTATCTTCACGGTTTTTTCACCAGCTATGCCTTCCCCTCCAAAACCATGGGAGCGCAATGGTGCCACACCCGCTACAGCTTTACCAGCATCTGCAACCACGACGTCCTCGTCGACTAGCGCGCCTATGGCATCAGTCACAACTTCAAACAACACGACAGCCAACCCGTCCCTTCCTGCGCGACCCGCAGCCTTGACAAATGTTTCTGCAACTTCGACCCTTGCTGCAAATCCGCTAGGGTCTACTTCTACCTCCGCATACTCTCCTTATAACCGTCTCTCGTCGTACAGCAACTCCATGTACGGCGGCGGTGGAATGGGTGGACTAGGCAGCTATGGCTCGTACGGTGGCATGGGCATGGGATCGTATGGCATGGGAGGGGGATATGGATCATATGGCGGAGGCTATGGCAGTTATGGCGGCATGGGTGGCATGGGTGGCATGGGCTACGGCGGTGTGGGCATGGGCGGCGGCATGTACGGTCAACCCATGAACCCCTTCGATCCCAACAACCCACAGATGAATCCCACTCTCACACAGACCCTCGAATCTACAACCCAGCAGACATTTGCCCTCCTTCACTCCGTCGTACAGACATTCGCTGGCCTAGCACAGATGCTGGAGAGCACTTTCATGGCCACCCACTCTTCTTTCTTTGCTCTTGCAGGCGTGGTCGACCAGTTTGCGATGCTGCGAAACGCGCTCGGGGGCGTCTTAGGTCTGTTTGGGCTCGTGAGGTGGATGAAGGACCTGTTGCTCGGCACGCGAGGGTCGCGCAGTGGAGCAATGCGAGGAGAGTTCAAAGACTTCATCGGTGGTAAGCCAGTCCAAGGACCACACCTGCCTGGGCAACCCCCACAGCCCAGAGCCAGCCGAAAACCGCTCGTTATATTCTTCCTCGCCATCTTCGGCGTGCCATACGCAATGCACCGACTCGTCAAGATCATCACCGAACGGCAGCGCCAACAGCAGCAGCAACAACAGAATCCTCAACTCCTCGCATCGTCATCCAATCAACAACTTGCTGGCGCAGCAGGGTTGCCTCCTCTGGATCCTTCACAACTCACTTTTGCACGAGCGCTCTATCCATTCACAGCGACAACACAGGCGGAACTCAGTCTGAAGAAGGACGAGATCGTAGCGATCATGGGGAAGTTGGATCCGGAACGCGGTGTTGAGGTTGATCCGAGAGTGCAGCTAGAGAGTGGAGAGGGAGAGTGGTGGCGGGGCCGTACGAGGGAAGGACGAGAAGGGTGGTTTCCGAGAGTGTGGGTTGAGGTTTTGGAAAGGAAGGGTGCGAATGCTGGGACAGGTCCAGGTGGCATCGCGGTGGAGGGGAAGAAGGTGGACTGAGACGATTCTCTCGGTGATGTTGTGTGCGCTCTGGTCTGTCCTTGTTTTGCATCTGTATGTTGTCCTCCGTTCTATCTTATTTTTGGATGTTGCTCTGGGTTGGAAAATATCTTCCACCGTTGTCATCTGATTGGGGGTGAAAATAGTCATATAACAAACGTGAGGGCGAATTTTGAACGTTGGCTTCATGCGTTCAATTTACTGTCTTATCTTCAATCTGCCTTACCTAAGTTGTGCTCCAGAGGGAACGTCTGACCGATTGTCTGGGGTCCTTGTCCATAAGATTGAAGGTATTTGTGAGTCGTCGCTCGCCTCCAGTTGGAGACATCTACCCATATATCATGACGGTTAAGAGGACCGTATTGTGTGCTCGTTCACTCATGGTTAGGACAAACATCACTGGACCATCTCGAGTGTACCTTGACGTCGGCATACTTGTAAGGTTTCCGTCTACGGGTGGCCTTGAGAAGTTGCCATTCACTATGGGACAACAATATAGAACTCGCAGGGTGATGCGTCAATCAAGTGACACTGAACGGCCAGATAATACATATCCATTGAGGGCGACTAAGATCGTAAAACAGCGTAATATGTCCATGTAATTAGACAATAATCGTATAGAATCGCATAGTGGGTAGGTAGTGTCGCTCTAGCCTTAGGGCATTGAAGAGCGACCGATCGTGACGAACGAGGTATATTCACATGGCTCCCTCGCTCCTCGAGATGATATACCTATCGCAGTCATTCTTGTCATCCCAAGCACAGGAGACGGAAGGTAAGATAAAACACATACCATGCATGAATGACTCCGGGAATCCAACCGAGAACCCAGAGCAAGATGTTGATCCAGAAGTCTGCGTCAAGGGAGAATCAGAAACCGTCGAGGAGACCGACCCGGGAGAAGAGCTCACCGGCAGTACACCCTCGCTCTATAGTTCATTTCCGCAAAGAATGACGTTTATAAGTTGACTATTTCACGGAGAAGGAAAGGGAGTTCTTACTCATGAATACAGGGACCGGTGGGACGAAGCTATACGATCAGTGACAGATAGATATAAGGACTCGGAGATCCAAGGGGGAGGGTCATAAGAGCACGTACAGAGCCACAAAGTAAAGGAGAACATCGTAGTTAGAGGAAGCTTGAGAAGTCATGGCGTGTGTTCTGGTGTTAGGCGTATAGCACTGGGAAGGCGAGGATGGTGGTTGTGTTGAGCAGTGACTTTGAGGAGCTCTGATTCCTGAAGGCGTGCAAGTTGCATAGCGTATGACGTCACCCTCCGGCGGCTTCAAAGGTCTCCTCATGGTCTCCTCAATGAGGAATTGCCTCCTTTTCTTCTCTTCACTCAACACGCGTCCCAAAGAGCAAACAAGGCTCACACAGTCTGACTTACTATTTTGTGACCAAGCACAAAGCATAAATCATAGTGCCATGAGCGGCGAACAAACTGTATATATACTCCAGACGCAATCAAAATACAGCATACTTCTTCGGCAACCCTTCTTTCAACTTCGACACCCTTGCGCACCAAGCATAGACACACAGCTAAGCTTTGGGCCTAGACGTTTGTCCGACCCTCTCCAAACGTCTACGAGCCAGCAGCTGGTAGTTCTTGTGGCCTAATATGTCCCTATTCCCTTCTTCAAACAACGTCGTAGCACCAGAATTCTTCACTCCAGACGGCCTTCCAATCTCCTCAGCGACGGCTTCGAAGGAGACTTGGCGGTGCGCAGGATATCGACGCGACTGAAGGCCGGAGGACGTGAGTTCAGAATTCTCTGCGGTGGACGGATCATTGTGTCGTGTGCGCATCATGGCAGAACGTCGGAGTCGGGGGCTGTCGTCGTAATGGCGCGAACTCCTCAGCGGGACACGGTCGACATCGAGAACTGTGGCTCTCCATGCATCAATCATCTCGTCCTTGCCGTGCCTATCCAGAGGCTCGTACGGCAGCGATTCCAGTTGATCAACGAACTCCTGGGATGGAAGAGATGGACTCGGCGCAGGGCTCGTGGTGGAACGGTTAGACGAGGCGACATATCTATCGATTCTCGACATCAAGTCCCGGCTGTTCCTCAAGGTGCCACCATCTCGAGCTGGACTCTGTGGGAGATAACTCCTTTCGTTTTTGGTGGGAGTGGGAGGCGGTTGCGATTGCGAATCTCGGGGCACGTAGACGCGTTTGATTGAAGCGAGTCGCTTCCCCTCTGGGATGTAGCGCACTAGCTTTGAGTCCCATTCTCGTTCTCGTCCTGGGGAAGCGGGGGGAGATTCCACAGTCCGTTTGACTAGGAGGAAACATCAGCTCTTAGCGCCTATGCATGACACCCAGAAAAACACTTACCGTGGGACATATTCAAGTGGACACAAAGCCGAGTCTCGTTGGATGGATGTCGCGAGGGTGGGTTGCGCAAGAGTGTATAGTTCGGTGAGGCAGATGAAGTTTAAGAAGGCACGATGGATCGGGAGGTGGATAGCGTGCTCAAGGGCACTAGGCTGGTTATATAGAGGACTCGTCGATCTCTTTGACCCTCGCTTAGCCTACTCTTTGTACTCGGTGCCGCTTATGCGATCGTATCGATCAAAGCGTTGTCTAAATAAGTAAGCATCGGTGTGTTTAGCACCAGGTGGTGTCGTAATGCCTCTGTTTTTGGATAATTGAATACAGACATTTGGAAGCAGTAGCGAATATTTTATCGTCGAGAGGGTGTCGAACAATAAGGTCACGAGACTATGCCTATCGTGGGAAACAGAGGGTGATAGGTTACGGTAGGGTGAGTTCTTGGAAGTGTCCAGTTCGGGGACGATGGCGGCTCTCAGCTGGAGATCGAAACCTGGCCTGCAAGGTCGTGCCAGAACCGAAGTGGACGACCAGGGAATTGTATCGGATATCGGTGGGAGAGGTGAGTGTGAAGTCATGAGCGAGGGCTAGAGTCCGACTTCCTTTGGCGCGTGTACTCACCATGAGGCCGATCATGTCTAGCATACCCAGCAGCCAGCCTTAGCCAGTGCGCAAGCCTTCTCTTCGAGCGTCGATTGACGGGCCTCCCGCTCTCTCTGTCTTATCTCTCTCTGTCCTGTTCTGTCCTGTAGAACAGTCTACTGTTGCCCCGCGGGTTGCCTTGTACAACATCTCCTGTTCGCCGATTGTCTCTTTTGCTCATTATCGCCTCTGACCAACTCGCTATCTTCTGCTCTGGCTACCTCCATTCTCTCCTAATCGCTCGGATGGCCACTACTGCCTCCCCCTCGCGCGATCCCACTTCGGCCCCACGCCAACGACGGGATACTGACGACGGTCCGGACAAACACTGGACCGATGAACAGAGAAAACGAATCGAGGTGACCCTGTTAAAGTCTGTCGACGAAGCCCGTCGGGAACGCGATGATAAGCTGGCGGTGGAGAATAATGCGGCCGAGAGGGCAAGGATCGAAAGCAACTACGAGGCTGAGATGCAGAGTCTTCGTGCCATCGCGGAAGATCAGTTCCAGCAACTATATCGCGAAGAAGTGCTCCGGCGCAAGATGTCTCGTGGAAGAGCTAAGGATGTCCCTATACCCTCAATCGAGCAGCGGCAGAAACAGATACTGGAGGAGATCAAGATGCGGGAAGCTCATCTTCCTACCACTGTCAGTCATTTCCTACTGCTCCTCTTGATCCCATTGACTCAGTTCAGTCAAATCTCGAAAACCGAAGACTCCGAGTGATGTGCAACGAGATCCAGAATCATCGAGTACATCTGGAGATGAGAGTGGTGGCGCGGGTACAGATGAGAACAACGCTGAAGAGGCTGAGGACAGTGAGGAAGAGGACGAATGGGAAGCAGGAGACGGGGAAGACGGAGTGGATGGTCAGGAGAACGGAGCTCGTGAAGAGGATGAGGGAGGAGACGACGAGGACGAGGACGAGGACGGTGGGGATGGGAGTGGGGATCAAGATGACGAGGATGAGGATGAGGAGGACGAGGACGAGGACGAAGCTCTGGCGCCACACTCACATTCTCGCACATCACATCCACCGGTACAGCAAACGTCATCATCTCCTTCACAGACTCGCCAGAACGCGTTTATACGCCGTCCGCCGTCTAGGCCTATGGAACGGGATCATTCAGCAAATACAGACGATTTCGATGAAGACGACAGAGGTTTGCGTGAAGGGTCCCCGTCCCACCAACGTCGCCCAAGTCTCTCTAATATGGGCAGCGGCAGAGGTAGTGGTCGACGCTCGAGTTCCGGTTCATTTTCTCGACCCAGTGGGCCTATGCGTCCTGAATTTTGGCGACCCCCATCCTCCGGTCAAACCGTCGAACCCTCAGGCATATCGCGAACTTTCGCTCACGCTCAAAGCTTTTCGTCACCATCACCCGCACGGCGCGGTAGCGTCAACAGCGTCACTGGTGTCGGCTCCAGCCTTCAGCGTTCTGGGTCGATGAATTCCCCCGCCGGTCCCGCGACGGACATGAACCACATGGACCGTGAGCGTACGCAGACTAAGGCGCGTTCAGGTTCGACCAGCGTGAACGACCGTCCGTTGTCAGGTCCTAGTCCAATTTCTCTGGCGTTGGGCTCCTCCCCGCGCAAGGGCGACTCTTCCCACTCTTATACAGTTACATCTGCTCGCCCTATCCCCGGATCTCGCACCTCATACCAAGCAATGGACGATTCCATCCGTATTCCGTTATCCTCAAGTCCTAGCTCTCGTGTCATCATCGGCCCCCAGCGCTCTCCAGAAGAACCGAAATCTGGTATCGCCATCCCCCGAGGACCGCAAACTCCGGACGATAATCGGGGCTCCTGGATATCGGGTCGAAGTCTACGCTCTCATGGTTCGTTCCAAGAACTTGGCGGTCCTCATCGTCCAGTCGACGTTCCATACGGCATCGTTCGTCCACATTACGCAGAAGACGAGTTCGACCTGGAGTACCCGGATGGTCTCGGGGATCTAGATCGGAGGAGGAGCTTAAGGAGTATGGGTAGCGTGCGCAGCATGAGGAGCTTCGACCTTGAGCAGCAGGCGATAAAGAGAGAACAGGAAGCCAGAAAGAAAGAGGAAGAGGCAATGAGGATGGAGGAGGCTGCACGGTTGAAGGCTGAAGAAGCTAGGAAAATGGAAGAGGAGGCGAAGGCCAGGGCCGAAGAAGCTAGGCTCCTAGCGGAAGAGGCGCAGCGAAAGGAAAAGGAGGCCATTCGGAAGGCTGAAGAGGCGAGGAAGAAGGAGGTAGAGGCGAGGAGGATGGAAGAGGAGATAAAGAAGAGGCACGAGGAAGCCCAGCAGCGGGAAGAGGAAATGAGACTGAAGGAGCGGGAAGCCCAACGGCTTGAGATGGAGATGAAAAGGAAAGAGGAGGAGTTACAGCAGAAAGCGGAAGATGCTAGGCGACGAGAGGAGGAGATGAAACAGAAGGAAATAGAGGCGCGGAGGAAAGAACAAGAGGCAAGGAAGAAGGACGCGGATTTGAAACGGCGGGAGCAAGAGTTGAGGGAGAGAGAGGAAGCGTTGTCCCGCAGGGAGGCAGAGGCAAAGGTGGCGGCACAGCAGAAGCAAGAGAAAGAGAATAAGGCGGCCAAGTCTAAACGGCGGGAGGAAGTACTCGCGCAAAGGCGCAAGGCGGAGGGAGATAAACGGCGAGAGCAGGAGGAAGAGGAAGAGAGGCAGCGGAGAGAAGCAGACATTCAGCGGAGGGAGGAAGAGCTTGAGCGGAGAGAGGCCGATGTGGCGCAGAAGGAAGAGGAGAGGTTAAAGGAAGAGGAGGAGCGGCGCGCTCAGGAGGCGGCTGAGCAAGCGAGCAACTTGTTGCGGATGGAAGAGGCTGATACGCAGCCCAGGGAACCAGAAACGGAGGGGATTGTGCAGGAAGAAGACACAAAGCCACTGGAGGAGGACGTCAAGACACAAACTGAAGAAGAGCGGGAGACGCAGAGGTTGATTGAAGAAGCCGAGAGGCTGGCGGAAGAGGAACGGCGACTGGAACGAGAACGAGAGGAACAACTCCAACGTGCTCTTGAGGAGCGGTTTGAACGGGAGCGGGAGAAGCGTGCTCGACGACAAGAGGAGGAGGACCTAGCGCGTGCGCTTGAAGAGTCACGACGACAAGGTATCTTGGACGAACAGCAACGGGCCCAAGACTCTCAGCGACAAGCAGGCGAAGACCAGCACCATCGCGAAGATGACCGGCGCAGGGAGGATCAACGGGAACGTGAGCGGGTGCAGCGAGAACGAGACGAACAGCGACAACGTGAGTTCCGACGCACACAAGAAGAACTCAATCGACGATCCGAAGATCGCAGGCGGCAGGATAGTCTAGGCAGTAATTCTGGCACACGCTATGTTCCTTCTCCGAGTACCCCCAACACCGGTCCATGGCCCCAGCACGCTGCCAGTAGCTCCCCGAGCGACAGAAACAGTTCCTCTTCGACGTGGAGCACCTCCGCCGGTCCCTCTTGGGGCAGCCGACCGACCTCTGTGAGTAGCGCTGCGACCGCAACTTCTCGCACCACCAATGCCGCACCTTCATCTGGTACAAAGAACGTCGGAGGAGGTGGGAGATCTACCCAGCCTTCGAACCATCCAGGTGCCCCCGGCACTTCCCCTCATCCTTCAATGCTTGACGAAGCCGAATGGACTCGTCGTCAGGAAGAACGTGCCAGGAAACAGCAGGAGCAGTTCTTGAGAGAACAGGAACGACTGGATCGGGAACGGGAGCTCAAGGCCTCGAGGGTCCTTTCAGCCGACGACCTCAAACACCTATATAGCAATCACGAGCAGAAGTGGCAAACGTTGAAGACCGGCGACGGCTTCGGGTGGGACAGCTTTCCTTGGCCTATGTTCAAACGGCCATCAGAGCCAGAAGACATCACCACCACCCAGGTTGGCGCATACGTCTTGTCCCCTCATTCTCCTTCGACAAAGAGTTCGAAAGATCGCATCAAGGATCACATAAAACGTTGGCATCCGGATCGGTTTGAGACAAAGATTTTGCCGAAGGTAGTGGAGGAGGACCGCGAGAAGGTGAAGGCCGGCGCCGGCTGGGTCGCTCGTTCACTGAACGAACTGCTGAGTCGAAAGTATGATGATTGAACACTCGGAGTAAGTCTTCGCATTACCCGGCCTAGTGCGACCTGCCACTACTGATTGTGACAGTATATCTCTTATTAGCAACGCAAACAACCAATTGTACTTTTATACCCACAAACGAATTTGGCTGCATATGTATGAACATCACCTGTACTCTCAATAAAGTTTACCCTCGCCTCGCTTGCAACCTATGATTATGTGGCATTTTCACAGTTTGTCCTTGCTGGTAACGTACGAAGTCCGATGCTAAGCTCACATTGTCCCAAGGTGATTCGAGTCGACGGTGCAGATAAGACAAGACACTCCTACCGGTCACAACGGTGAAGACGGGATAGTTCTGGCAGTAAAGCACTCGTGGTCAACCAAAGTTGAGGTGTAGTGCAATCATCCTATATTGTCGTGGATCAAAGATCGAAAGGGGCAAACGCTTACGCCATCTACACTCTACAGGAGCAAGTGCTCGCGAATGCTGATGATGCCGTTTCTTCATGCGTCTTCCTTGACAGCGCGTCAATATTCGAGGGGAAGAGAAAGGTGCCTCCACCTGCAGTCTATCTGCCGGGAAGTGGTACAGGGTGTCTTCCCTACCGGTTTCGTCACCCACAAGCAAGGCCTCGTTGGGCCGGCCATCGGACGGAGTACTTCAGCGTTCAATAAGCGCTATTTGCGTCCATGGAGTGCCTCGTGTTGTCTCCAGGTGGCCGCTGATTACCGTCCAACAGTAGTACTGACACGCGCCCCGACGATCCACACGTTGTCTTAGTATGTTCATCTTGACAGAACAAACGATGATCCCGAGTCCAAAAGCAGGCAGAACCGTCGGGACGGAGGCAAAATACTATGGAAGTCGTATTATTTTAATATAGAAGGATGGTAGAGCGGAAGTAACTGAGCCATATTTCCGGCTCCGTTCCTTTGGGTCTGATGGCGTTTTGTAGTGTTGGCTCCGAACTGGCGGCAACTCCGCAAGCTGCAAAGCGCCCAGCTTAGATGCAGAATTCGGATCTTAGGTCCAAGAGTTAAATGGTGGAGACCTTCATCGTTGGAGGCGTCAGCCCGTCTGGAATATGGATATTAGAACTCGAGTAAGTAGTTCCTGCCAGGGTTCAAGCGAACAGCGACCTAAAAGGTTACGAATTCCAGGACGGTTCTCTTTGTGGACACTAAGGTTGAGCGCGCAGGTTGCACGGAGAGCGAGGCACCTGACAGGCAGCACGGACCGGTATTGCTGAGGCTTGGCTGAGGCACTTAAATTTCTCCTGGTACCGGAATGTGTTGGAGCGGTTGTATATGTTCTCCTGTCCGGAAACACATTTACGGAGCTTGGTGCTCGTTACTAGTCGTCGCAATCTCATCTGGCAGCCGTCGTTTCAGGCTCCCCGGTAAGACTTACGTGTAGGGCAAAATTTTGTTATCATAAACAATTTCGAGCGACAGCAGAGGTAAGCCGTAAGCGACGTCATTTTCAGGATGCCTCCACAGGCCGGTTGACGCGCTTGTCTCAGACCAATAGGCGGCGCTACATGGAGCAAGATAGACTTTTTAGACTCCAATCCACTTACATCTTCGCCCGATGTAAAACTTCTTTGCATAGCCTTATAACACCATCAAGGAATGTAGAACAGCTGTCTGAATAGCAATGGAAGGTTGAGATCTAGGGCAAGTATAACAATAAGGTACTATTTCGATTTTCTACGATGCATCGGAGGGTTGACATACCGTTATTAGAACAATGGTTTGCAAAACTTGGACACGACGCAGATTCTCCCTCCAGTAGTGTGATAAACAAAAGGAGACAGCCTTCTTCAGAGCAGTGTATACACGCGACGTCCGATGAATCACGGCGGAAAAATAATCTCGGACAGGCTTCCAAAGCCATTGCTGGCCCTCGAAGGTCATACGTCTCTTAATCGGCATAGCTGAATAGACTGATTCTATCAAACCATTGCCTACCCACCTCCGAAGGCTACGGCCCGCGCACCTGCATCATTATCTTTGGGATTGATCGCTTGTAGACCCCGCAAACACTAGGTTTCATTCAAGATAAAACACAACTTCAATACCGCCGAGGGTGCGTCAAGGCGGTGCCTTGTTGAAACTGGGTGTGCGCCGGGCGGTCCTGACCCACGTCGCTCTCCATACTACTATGCCGACTTCTCGATGCGAAATGGCCTGATCTTTCGGTGAGTTGTCGTAGGAATTGCTCGTCCGTAGGATCTCTCCATGTTTTGGAGCAAGCCTCGAGATCTTCAAGTGGAACGAGGATCGGTAGTTGTTCTCTTCGATTTATGGAAACGGAGGAGTGAGGTGGGCTGTGATTAAGATTGTCTGCCGAGCTCGGATGTAGGGTTGCAGGCCTGTTTGGAAGTCGTGGGTATGAAGATGGATGGGTTGACGAACTCTCCGTACTCGTCATGGTTCGTGGCGAACCATAATGTGGATTGTGGTGCAAGGTAGACTGGTTTGTAGATGGCGAGCGGGGCTCCGAGGTGGAGGACGAGCCAAGGTTCGAGGAAGGGAAAATGGTATACAGTGCGCCTGGAGCAGCGGATAATGGCTGAGAGTAATCGGCAACGGGACCGAGAAGCTGTCCGCCTTGGCCACGCCTATGCTCGTCCCGCCGTCCCTTCATAGCCCGAGCACTCCTAAAGTAACCTTCGGGAACTTCGATGCCCCCGACGCCGGGAATGTCGTCAATCACCCCTAAGCTCTCAACGGACCTTTGATCAAAGTAGGCAGCTGAGAAGGAATTGAGTGATAGAATAGTAAAATGACGCTCAATACTCACTTAGATGCCATTTTCGTGTTGCCAATGCATCCTCCGCATGCATCTGATCCTCCGGTAGCGAGACGTAAACGCTGTATGTCTGCTTAACAAGCCGCTCGGATTCGTGTATTTGCCGCGAAAAGCTGCTGCGAACACGGACGAAGCGTCGAGAGAGGAATCTAAGCGAACGAATGACCAAGAATAGACTTACCTAGTACTTGTCGAATGGTGTTGAGGGTGGCTCTCGCGCTGATAGTAAAATAGAAAATCCTGGACTGATACATCAGACAACCTGAACGCCCCGTGGAGGTCTTCAAGTTAATGACTTGCCTCCCTGTTGTGCGGGGTGTCAGCTTACGAGCGTGTAAACAGAGCGAGGAGAAATACCATTACCTAACTCGACTTGGGCCCCAGGCAATACCGTCAGTCCTACGACAGCGGACAAGAAAACGAGCTGCCTTCAGCGTTTGCGATTCGCAGAGGTAAAGGTAGTCATACCACCGTTCCATGCTAAGACCGGCCGTTTCGGATGTAGTAGCGTTGCGATCCTCCCATACATAGCTGGCGTACCGAGTGAGCTCTTGTATCTAGGAGAAAAGCGTAGCACGTACATTTGGCCCGGCCGAATGCTCTTTCGCTCTTCAGAGTCCAGTCTCCTACTCAAGAGTGTGAGGGTATTGCGTGCAACCGCATAAAAAACTTGAAGAGCGTCTTGAGCGGTGCGTATTCGAACATTCTGAAGGGTGGGCTGCTGTCGATAGACTGGGGACATGCCGTTGGGAAGAGGGCCGGCCGAAGGAACGAGTGTCAAATTAAGTGAGAGCTGGCTGAAGGGGAAGACATACGTACCAACAAAGGGCGGATATATAAGTAGTTCTCGGTTCCCCCAAGTATCCGTAATGTATCGGTCAGCCCTGGGGAAGGGCGGACCCGAGGACGCAAAACTCGGGTTTGGGTTTCCGTGTAAATTGCCGGATTCAGGAGGATTTCAAAATCGTGCGAGATTGAAGCTGATACCACAAAGTGTTTCCTCGGAGACTGCCAGGTGCGCATCGGGCTCTCAAGCCGTGCCAGGTATACATGACCAGTTTTCCCAATTGGGTGGCTTTCGCTCTTCCGCCTGGACCTTCAGCAAACGTAATTTGTAACGAACAGAGCTTACTACGCTTATATATAGGCTCCGAGCGGCAAAGCGCCGCTAATAGTATATTTCGTACGGTTGGACCTGTTGAACCAACACACAGTAGCTGCCGCGTCGCCACGGCGAATGAGAGAGATGCAACAGGTCGATGGGCTTTGGATGGGCTATACCGGATGAGAAAACTGCGTGCCACACACTTGGAAGTAAGCACGATGGGGAACGGTCTACCCACGCAAGTGTTGATGAATTGGTACGCATAGCTTTCCAAGCGGTAAAAGCACGAGGTGGATGTCGGAGGTATATCTGCATTTGCTTCCGGCCTAAGATGGGATCGGCCTGAGTAATTGTTCGTTCCGCGGCGCATGATACGCGCGTGCGGCATCTTAACTTACATATAAGGGGTCGATCTGATTCGGAGATTAATGCCGTCCTGAGTCTATTAATTAACCGGGCGCTTGGACCTGAGCAGACGCGTCGCACTGCGTTCATTCCCTGGTGAGTCGTTCTCGACAACACAATTTGCTTGGGTTATGTAAGCACCCGTTACCACAATAGTGGTCCACAGAGTGCGCAGGGATTTACAAATATGACCTTGAAGGCCACTGGCATAAGACAAAAGGAATGAAGTTCAATGGTGAAGCACACGATTAGGCTTCTACCAAATGGCCTTTTGTATTCAGACAATGACAGGGCGTCAGACAAGTGGATAACAATAGACGAATGACTGCGTACCTTCTAGAGGAAGCACAACGGGGACGTAGTCTGGAATCTCCGCATAGTGAGCTCGACCCCGGAAGAGATAACGTACACGAAGAGATTTCACGAAAGAAGGCGCGGGATCGTAAAACCCCTGCAAAGTTGCCTGGAGAATAAAATATACAGTCAGATCTCTTGACGAAGTGGATGATAAACGGCGACAGGATGCACCTTTGTGCGGTGGCCCGGGATATACAATTGGCTCCTGTGTACAAGAGCTTGAACGGGTATCGTCACGTCGACCGATAAGTTTCTTGCTTCCGGATCAGCGTCGAGACGCGGACCATATGTAGCTTCTTGAATTACGAGACCTACGTTGATGGTCAGCGCTATGCGACCACAAGAAGCCCTGAGGCATGGTTAAAAGATGGCAAACCATCTACAGCGGCTTCGGCACTCATGTGCTTGCGTGCCGTATCCTTGAGTAATGATATTGTTTCCGCAAGTTCTCGCATTGAGGACGACTGCTCGTCGGCCAACTCCTTGCGAGCGATACGGAAAATTCTGGTGGAAATAGAGGCGTGTGATCGTCAGGGGCAATTACGGGAAGTAGTAAGGTTCTTACGCTGCACGTTGTTCCCGTCGCCGAGGCTTCAGAATGAATTCGTATGCCACGACAAACGCCGTTGTGGGCAGGAGCGCCGTGTAGAAAGCCAGCGGAGCGTCGAACTCTTCAGACAGTGCGATGGGCACATTGAAATGCTGCCCCACATACGCGAAACTGAACATTAGGTCAGTAAACGAGAGCGACTACAAACGAGGGGACGCACTCTGCCATCAGCAGAACACCATTAGCACCTAAGGCAACAGCCACCGTGACGCCACCCTGGTCATCGCCCCATACGCCCGACAGGACCCATTGCAGCCCGGCCAGGCCAAGCTGCAGGCCGACCTTCGCATGAACGGCCAATTCACCAAAGACGACCCCCCATTCTACCTTTGCACCAGAGGCTAAACCAGCAATAGTGACACCAAAAGACCGCTGATATATGCCCGTCCCGAAGCCTGTGGCGGAGCCTGTTTTGATCGGCTCGAGTTCATGGTCGCGGTTTCCGAACGGTGTGGGAGATGCAATGCTGAGGTTCAAATATGGTTGGGGACCGGTGTACAACTGTATGGTACCTTCGGTCAGAGATCTTCGGAATAGACGTTGGGAATACTGGATTGTGAACGGAGGAAAGCGTTGTCGCAGAAAAGACGAAATGGTTGTTCGAACGAGAAAACCGCTGTGGTTCCCGTTATAAGTTGCCTTCAGACTGATTTGTCGTGCACGGAGTAGAGACACCGTTGCCTAGATAGCTGATAAATCACCTCAAGCATGGGGAATCGGTTGACTAGTACGGACCTCGTATGAAAGCCGAGGGGAATATTGGTGTCGTACTGTACCTAGAAGACTCCCACCTCGAAGTCCTTGGCTTGAACCAGACGCTTCTAGCTTTGGGGCCAGTGTAACTGTAGTTCTCTCATTGAGATTCGTCTGGAACGGGAAGTGAGTGATTCAAGAAGTGTCGTGTATGATACATGTAAGCTACTAGTTACCTGGACTCGATACCGTACAGCGAAAGCAGAGACATTGATGTCGCGAATACGTTTGCCAATATTGTTCGTCCATTTACGCCCACGCCGTGGCAAGGGGTCGCTCTCGAATAAAGAACGTGCATTGATACCGAGCGTCAGAGACCCCCGCGGGCGAATCAGGTCTTCGAGTTCCTTTCTCTGGGCCTCCTCAAAGACACCACGTAACTAAATCTGGTCAGATATGTCCGAGGAGAACAGAGTGAAGAAACAGTACTTCATCAACCGGTTTGGAGCGTAGCTCGGGGGGCCATTGCATGTTCAGACCCTCATACCCTGTGTATAGGGCGTCAGCACCGAACAAGAATCGGATGGTCCAGCGAAGAACATACCGAAGACATCGTAAACACGTCTAAAACCCGGGGATTATTCGACGCTGACTTGTAGTGGAGAAGAGAAGATTACGAACCTTAGAAAAGGGTCCGACAAGACTGGCTACCGGTGAGTACAGAGAAGTTCTCACAGTCATAGAGCAGCACAGCACACCTTCGTAGGCCTTTTGGATCTCCAAGAATCTTTTGTTCGCCGTCTCCCTGGCAGCATCGATGCGCTGTTTATCGGGATGAAAGATGACCGACAAAGCCCGATAGCGCTCTCTTATCTCATTGTCGGAGGCACAGGTGGGAAGGTTGAGGACTGAGCTGCCTGTCCGTCAGCAAACACCGTCAAGGTGGATGAAGAGGCGAATAGCGTACTAGAGGGCGTCCTTCTCGTGTAGGGGATTGAAAGGAGAGCCCGTATCACTGTTTCCTGTCTGCGGCAAGCTCATGCATAGAATGGCGTTGAGGAACGAGGAAGTACACACTGCTCGGGGAGGAAGTGCAAAGGAAACAGGCGCAAAGAGGCGCAAAGTTCAAACTCTCTTTCTTTTCCTGATGCCGCCGACGTGCGTAAGCCAGGTTGCGAGTGAATGACACGTGACCGCGTTCGTTCAATGAAAAAATCTGATTTCTGACGGCGTTCAAACTTCAAATGTTCAACGTTCAATTCTCAAGCCAGACTTTATGGTGTTTGCGGAGTCTAATGTTGCATACAAGATGATATATCTCACCACGACACTTGACAACACGGAGCCACGCAGCGAAGGCCGAGCTGCCCTCTCTCGTGTGTCTTGTCAAAAAGGGCAGTCAAGTTGACATGCAGACTGTTAGGGATTCCTACTACTGCTGCTGCTAATATTCTCACAACAGCACCGAGCCAATTCAACATTATATCACCAAGACTAGGAGCAGAACCTTCAACCTTCAGCCTTCCGCCTGCAGACGTCTGCAGTAGCCTGTCCACAAACTGTCCACGAATGACTTGTCAGTCTAGCGAGAGCCGGAGAAGTTGACCGTCAGCCAGGTACTTCGTACAAAAGAGGAGAAACAGAAGGACAGCTTACATGGATAGTAGTGAGCAGTTCCCTGACGAAGTCATTCCGGCTGATGTTTGGTGAGTATGAAGGTTGAGACCGCCCAGGCAGGGTGGCGAGAATACTTTCGCGTGCCGTCCCCTGATTCAGCGGCCCAACAGGGTCGTGGGTAGCTGGCTTCTTCCCCTTATCCTGCGCCGCCGCCGCTCCATCGACATATTGTCCGCTGACATCGGTTGCTGGAACTGTGGGAGTGCTAACAGCGTTCACAGGCTCTGGCGCGTCCCAGCTCTTCTCGATCTCTGCTCTCTCCTTTTCGTTCTCCCGTTCTCTCTCCTTCCTGCTCTTCTTCTGTGTTTTCTTACTTCCCTTCTTTTCCTTCTCTTGCACTCGCCGATCGAAAGCAGCCATGTCGCTTAGCGCGCTCGTATCTGCGAAATCGAGCTCTACGACGTCCGACTCGTCCCCAGTACCATCGCGGTCGTCCAGCGGAGCGCGAGGGTATGGCCAAAGCGGAGTATCCTGGTGAAAGGGCACGAGCAGCCGACCATTGGACTGGGCGTTGAGAGGCGTGTTCGTTCGGCTGCCCGTTGAACGTGACTGTGAGGTATGAGACAACGCTGGGGAAGCTGCCGAGGTAGTATTCGTCCCCTGAACTGCCCTGGAAGAAGGGCGAGACTGTGTATGGTAGGAGTCGTTTGGTGCATGGGTGACTGTTACGGTGGAGCTTGAACTCGTGGAAGCAAGCAGGGATGGAGCATTCGAGCGAGACGAACCGGCGGGTGGCGAAAACGTGGGATGAGGCGAAAGGGTGTGAGACGGGGGAGTAGCGATTTCGGTAGGTGTGGCGTCGCCCGAGAATCCGCGAAGAGGAGGCCGGGGTGTCACATCCCCGAGCACGTTTGTGGAGGAGAGGGAAGAAGACCCATCGACAGCGCCATTAACGGCAACGTGTCCGCGGTAACTGTCTGTGATGTATGCGCTATCGTTCTCATCACCGCTCTCTACGTCTCCTTCATATCTCAAAGGTTGGGATTGAGAATGCCAAGAACTGCTCGAGGAGGCTCGAGATGATGATTGCGAAGGAATACCGAGTAGAGAGGAGATGACATCTTGTGTGAGTATTTGCGGCAGCGTAGATGATGTTGGCTTCGGAGAGTGGATTTCGTATGCTTGACTATTCTGCTGGCCGTTGTAGCCATCAGAGCCAGTGTTAAGTGTCATCTGAGCGTCGGCGAAGGATAAACGAATGGACGGAGGAGCAGAGGGAGGGGCGGGGAAAGGAGACGCCGACGAGTCATGAGTCGCATAATTGGCGATGGTGTTCGGGATATGAGCAGTAGACGACTTGACGTTCACGTGAGTTGTGTTACTTGATTGTGAAGTGACATTATCAACGGGTGTGGCGGAAGCGAAAATGGAAGACAGTAGAGCCAGACCACTTGTGGACTGAGGAACTGATGATGACGGATGATCCAAGAACGATGAAGGGCGAGAAGGGTCACGGGTGTCGACATTGTCGTGAGAATTGTTAACGTTGGTAGCGGACGGTGTGGGGGGAATGGATGCGGAGGCAAACAAGTCGTTTAGAGTCAATTTCGCAGCACCAGACGGAGCTGGAGTGGTGGAATTCGAAAGCGTAGCGCCACTTGAGGCTCCGGAGGGGGTCAGCTTCGCAAAGAGCTTGTCTATCTCCGACATCCCAGCCGTAACATTGGGGGGTGTTTGTTCTGTTCGTTCATCGGCAATAGGCTTTTGTGCAGGGTGGGAATTTGGTGGCGGTGGAGGACGATCAGGTCCGTAGCGATATTGTTCTGGATAAGGGACCATGTCACGGATATAGGAGCTCAATCTGTGCAATTACAGTGTCAGATCATTAAGCCACAGAGGTAGATTATGAATAGCATCGCACCGAATCATCACGTCCTGCATTGATTCCCGCACATCAGTCACGAACATCCAAAAACCGAAAGTGACCGGCAGGCCTTTCTCTTTACTGTCGGCTAGTAAGAGCTTCCAGTTGGTGACGATGTCGGTCGAGGATGGCTCACGACCACGAGCATCTGCGAAGTCGTTCGGGGCAGTTATGGATTGTTGCTGAGGGGGCAGGATGGGGGTGGCGGTAAAGGATGCGGTAGCGGAGGAACTCGAGGCAGACAAAGTGTGTACCGAATCCGTTTCTTTGCTGGGGAAGGAAGATGTCGGTCGGGCCATGGCAAGGCGCTTGGCGGTGAAGTCGGGATAGCAGCGATACATAAGATACTCTCCGCGTGCTTCGATGTCATCTTCGGGATAGATATAAAGCACATAGTCGTCCATGCCCATGCGATTGAGAATATAAAGGCCATATGGGGGATAAGCATTGCTGAGGAGAAAAAAGTAAACGGAGTGTATTGAGACGAAATGCAAGAGCGCCACAGGAGCGCCTAAGAGACGAACCGTTCAAACAGGAACATGCTACCCTCGTATCCTTTCTTTTCCCATTTAGCCCCGTTGTGATGATACAGACATACATGACTGAACTGGTCGATTATGGACACAATGGATGGATCGTTGCGGCGCAATACTTTTAGATTCTGATTGTATCGGGAGACGGCGGTCATTCCCGAGGAGGGTTGGGGGCTGGGAGCTGAAACAACGGGCGGCTTCTGTAGCACTGAACGGTGATTGCTGGTGGCCGATGAGTGTGTGCGGGCATGAGTGAGATGAGGAGAATTTGAGAGGGAGGAAGGGTCGCGAGCCCGTCGGGACTTTGAGTTGGACATCGCGGTGCGGAACAAGAGGAGGATGTCACAGTGTGACACGCAGAGGCAGGGATATGCGTGACGAGAACACGAAATATATGGGAAAAGAAATCAAAGAGAAATAGGACAGGGATCTACGTGTTATGAAGCTGGTGCCTTTGCCTGTTCCCTCCGACGCTGGGCAAAGAGAGCGTGCTGGTCGTGGACACCGAGCCGAGCCTGTTCCACCTTCTGCATCCAACGTACGTCGCTTGCCACCTTTTTCTCCCGCATCGCCCGCCGACGCTTGTTCAGGTGCTCTATGTTCTCGCCTACGCCCACCTCATGCCCAAATGGCAGCCCCTCCGCCTTCGCCTCCTGCACCTGCACCGGCGCTCGTGGCGCCCACAAGAACGACTCCTTCGTCTTCTGCATCCCACCCCGAAGCGCTGTCGCCCTTTGTGCCTTCGACATCGTCTTCAGACGCTCTTCCGTGTCCTCCTTGCTCATCGTTGTCGTCACGCGCACCTTCTGAACCTCCTTGGACTCGAGCAGGTCCTGGAGCACTATCGTTTTGAGATATCTGCACCCAGTAGTCAATACCCAGCGACTGGACATCATCAGCTGTAAACACACTCACTTCACAGATCGTATCGGATGTTCAGGGTGTGGAGGCTGGGGTACACCGGCACGCGCCATCGCCTCTCTCAGTCTTTGTCTCGTAGGCTCTACCCTGCCTGACTGACCGCTCACGGGCTCCCGAACAGCTAGGCGGAAGACTTCCTTGGTTGAGAGGGGTTTGGCGCTCGTCCGGATGATATTAAGGATATGCTCTCGAGCTGCAGGTGTGATTTCTTGACCCCATGGTCGAAGAGATAGTAGGTGTCTCATGGTGAAGAGTTCGAGGATGCCGTCTAAAGGGCCGTAGCTCAACTTGCGAGCGGACATTCTCCCATGTGGCCGTGGGAACTATAACGTGGGTGGCACGGGAAGTTGGGCGAGAGCGCCACAGTACTATGGATTCGTACATACATGACCAGAGTTGAATCAAGCATGGTCTAAGTAATGTGCAGAAGTCGACTGGAGGTTAAATACTACTCTATACTCCTGAATGAGATATATCGCTCCACATGTTGACACGACAATTGGACGGCCGCTTCTGGTTGCCGAATGCACCCTTATGTAGTTGAACCTACTTGTCCCATCACCCACTTGATGAGCGCTGGGCGATGAAACTACATAACGGTGCGAGTATATTCATGGCAATGCCCCAAAAAGTCCAAGTATAGAACAGATAGTAGATCTATATAATACATTTCGAACAACTATATACTCGTAATCCGCTGAGCACGACTCTCCATGCCACTGCACTCTCTTGAGCATACATTGCACTTACAATTAAGTTCTTCCTCGATTTGCTTGCTCCATCGCTCTATCATAACCCCGCTGTTCCGCCAAAGAGATCTGCTTCGCCATTTCTAGCTCCTTCTGAAATGCATCGTCATCATCGTCTTCGTCCTGTTGTGTCGACTGACGCGAGGAGCTGGTGTCTATCGATGCAGAAAGTTGTTTTGCAAGCTCCATTTCTCTGGTGAACGCTTCCTCCGCGAGGTCATCAGACACATTCGCGTGCACGGTGCTCGGTGTCTCATCCGTCGTCTCTTCCAACGAGACCGGCACATCCCATCGCTCGCTCCCGGTGAGACTGGCCGAGCTCGACGCCAGACTGCCATCCTCGACTTTCCCTGCACCAACATCCACAGGCTCCGTTGCGGCAACGTCATCCTTCATGGCCTCAGCCGCCTGCTCGGCCAATGCCTTCTGCCGTTCCATCATCCTCCCCTTGACACGCGCGGCTTCGAACGCACGTATGATCCCGTCGCGCTTGTTTTGAGAAACAGCTTGGGCAGCCAAGACACCGTCACGTTCGCGGACGGCCCTCTGGTTATGCTCCGTCTTGCGGGTTTGAGCAGACTTCATCCCTCTAAGGGCACCTCGCACAGGGTGTGCCACGACGCCCATGATACCGGCAGCGGGACGCATAGTGACATTGATGACTGCATTCGAAGACATGGTCAAGTTATAACTCAGATGGACGAAGGCGAATTTCTTACAACTTCTGCCTGCACCAGCGACGGCGCCCATGAATCCCTGGAGACGTCATATAGGTCAGTAGAGGAAGTGTTGTGAGATTGGCGAACGTACTCCTTTCTTTGCGCCTTCTAGTGGCTCGCGGACGAGGCCGGTGATGCCATCGTAGTACCCGTAAAACAACCCCTGTGTAGGAGACACGGTGAATTGATTAATATTCAAGTATGCATCACGGGTAATAACATACCTTGCCTGCCTCTTTCACCCCACTGGAGAAGTCGGTGATTTTTCCTGGCTCCCTGACGTTCGAGCCATATAGCTTGGGCACATTAGCGAAGCCTTCCTGAACAGAGGTGACAATGTTCCAGACACCTGGGGGCAGCATCATGTAGGTGTGGTCAGTACATTGATCCATTCGAGCGTGTCAGGATAAAGGACGGACCACGAGGAATGGCTACAGTGGTGTTGATGATCCCCTTCACGGGCGAACTACACAGCAAGCATTTGTTAGCGGCGCAAAACACAGCGACGGACGAAGGTCAGCCCACTAGAAGATCTGCGCTATCGAGGCGTAGTAGTGTGTTATAGTCCAGTAAATGGCGCTAGCACCGCCGGAAACTGGGTCCGAGACCTTCTTCCTTGTGTCATATTCTTTCGAGCCTAGAGCGGGGGTTAGCATAGGGAGAGGAAAACGAGGAGAGTTAAGAAAGACAAACGTACGGTGTAGGTCCAATGAACGAATGTCCAATAGTTTCGCATCACTGAGCACTTGAGCGGATAAACTGCTCATTTTCAGGCACTGACCAACAGAGAAACATATAATCAGAGACGAAGGTAATCAAATCACTCGATAAGCCTCACATATTCAGTAGACCACCAAACAGCAAGCATGCTTGGTTCGAGATCGCAGCGCATATTGAGTAGGGGCAAGTGCCGATAGAAGCTCTCGACACCACGCCGAACACCATTCTGCAAGGCGATGGATCAGCTTCCGCGCTTCAGACCAGATGGCTCAATGCTAGACAGTGTGTATACCTCTTGATGAATCTGCTTTGCCATGTCTGCAGCAGCACTCTTCGCTTCGGGGCTGATTGCGAACTGCAACGCCTTCGTGAGAGCATCAACGTCCTCCGTCATCTCCTTCGGCGTAATCGGTTTGGGACCTGCGCCGGCTTCTTCGACCATTGCACCTGGTGCAGCAAGCGTAGCTGCTCATATCTTTGGACAATGACAGACAAATAGGAATCAGACGCACCCCAGAATCCCTGGTCACCGAAGAAGGGTACTATAACTGTGGGTCTTCCCTTTGCGAGCCCGATGGCAGTCGTCCCAGCGCCGCCATGATGTACGACGGCGCAGACGCGGTCGTTCGCAAAGAGCCAGTCATGAGGAACATTACCGAGAATGAAGATATGTGGTGGAACGTTTACGTCCCCCAGGCCACCCTGTAGGAAAAGTTTCGATTGGTGGTGGGACAAAATGAGATGCGAATGGTAGTGAGCGCACCCAGCCTGCGGATACCAGAGCACGAACACCTGCACGAGAGGTGGCTTCGAAGATGTTCTCTGTTTAAGGAAGGGTTAACACTTCAGGGAAGGGAGGCCGAATGGGTATGGTGATCGCACTGGTCATTTGTACGGGATCATCCACGACCACTGAGCCAAAGCCAATGTACAAAGGTGGTTCTCCGGCAGAGAGGAAGGCGGCAAGGTCGGCCGGAGGTTCGTAATTTGTGGCGAGATCGAGGAAGTAAAATCCAACGATATCTGAAGTGTAAATTCCAAGTCAGCTCCAATCTAGATACAGTACTGTGGTGACGCCAGGTTCGGGGACAAGCTTATTTCAAAAAGGCTAACCAATGTGATTCTTCCAGTCCTTTGGCTTCTTCACAAGAGGACCCATGCAGTACGTCCAAGGAACCTTCATCCTGTCGGCAATGCTAGGCCCCGAACGCAAGTTGAGACTCGAAAGTCCAAGCACTTTCTTCCGGAAATCATTCACAAGGTCACCAATCCTAGTCATCAAGAAGCAAAGTGTGAGCATGAGCCGAATGCACTTTGTGATGCACGGCAAGGAAGATAGGGCAGTCTTACCCTTGCCACGTAAGTATCTCAGCAAGAGCGTACGAAAGATAGTTTGTGAGACCGTTCTCCGCATTCGAACTGGACCTCGATATGTTGACTAGCGGATGAGCGAACGCAGTTGTCGGGCTCCAAGGCATGGCTTAGAGCAAAAAGGGTACGAATGTCACTCAACGACAACGTAAGGCAAAGGTACGGGTGCAACATACTGAAAGTCAGCAGAAGAGGGATACCCAGCTTCTCCGCTATATGAATATGTGCGAACGCAGGGGGGTTTGATATCAGTGCATCAGCTACGAAAGGTTTTCCGGCTGGTGCTTTTCCTAGCTGCGATGGGTGTAGTTGAGATTGAGCTGAGGAGCCGACAGGGGGGCCGGTATCAGGGGCAACGGTAGAGAGATAGCAGCCTAGTATCATCTAAGAAAACGAAGATAAGATGAGACACTGTGGTTTCTAGTCATGAGCCGTGCAGAGTATTGTTTGTGAGGGGAACATGCCTCAGAAAGCATCTTCCGTTTCTTGGAGATATCACCGTTCAGGAGACTATAACGAGTAGGATATGAGCGTGGATGCAACCGAGAAAGAAGATTAGTACTCAAGAAGACATGCCAGGCAATAGACCGGGATCTATGATGCAGTGAACGATGTCAATCAAAATGCGAGACCATCCAACGGTTGAACAGAGCTCGTAGAGGACTAACTTTTGACCATGTATGACATGAGCTCCTTCGGATCTCCTCCAATATTGAAAAACTCAAGGCCATGGGACGTAACAAATTCCCGGAAGGTTTCGTGGGTGGCGATGCGAATGCGGTGGCCATCCCTAGCGAGCGCTTTGCCTAAAGCTACGTACGGCTGGACATCACCTACAATCTCTGTCACCGACAGTTGTGTTTGTGAGTGATAGCAAAGACGCACCTCGGCTGCCGACAATCATGATAACAATACTGAGCTTGGGCACGTCTTTCCAACCCTCTTCCGTTTGGTCGACTGCGAATTCTGCGACGTTTCGAGAGTAATCCCTGGGTAGGTCTGGTAGAGGTCTCTTGAGATCAAGAGTAACTGTGATACGGCCATCTTGTCCGAGAGTAGCATAGGAGGCAAGTCCTGTCCCCGTCGAGGTATAGGTCGTATAATCTGGGTTCGCTCCCGATGGTTTGGAGTACGGTGGAGGCTGGGCAGCCTTTCCAGAGGACTTGTGCAAGCCGATTGAATGTCCTTGTTGGGTAGTGATGTCATTCTTTTGGAAAGAGTTATAGGGAGAAGTATACTGAGTAGAAGAATCAGCGAAGGTCGGTTCTTCTGGTGTCGAGCCCTCGCGTTCCCGCATGTGAAGGGGGGTCATGGACATCGTTGAAGGGCTCAGGCCTACGCTCAGGGAGGAGAAGCGGACCCATGTAGCACGTTATGTATAAGTACTCCGCGAACTGAGGAAGCATCGTCATAACTCCGCGAGACATACAACCATCCGAAACATGGCGCTACTTGGGCTTCTGGTTCGATCGCCACCTCTCCTTCCGACAACACGTTCAGTTCTACGCCAACACCGCACTATCCACAGTACGCACATACCCCATGCTCGGCAACTCCCTTCGGGGACTCTCCCCCAGAAATCGTCGCCGCTTGTACATCGGCTGCGTACGACCCCTCCTCACATACGGTTTCCGTGTTTGGTACAAGCAACCACACTGTCCCAAATACCTTCTCACACCCCTCCGACAAGCCCAGGCGGCAGCGTTACGCTGGGTGCTCGGTGCTTTCCGCACTTCGCCTCACGAATCCCTCGACATTCTCGCCGGAGTCGTTCCCATCCACCTCCACCTCCGAAAACTCTATGAACGTTCACTTCTGCGACTCCCCAAACTCGCATCAACCCACATCCTCATCACATCCATCACCAAACCCTCCCTGCACCCACCCTCGCAACTGTTCACGTACGGCACACCCGTTGTCCACATACCTGTTCCCCATCGTCGCCACACACCCCTTCAACACGCCGCCGCTTCCCTACGGCAGGCGATACAAGACCACCATGACGAATTCGTACCCACACACGAAGAACTCAATCCTGGCACACGCTTGTTAGATACTAATTTCTCTTGTATCCTCTTTCATACCCACGGACATCCTCCCATTAAACATAGAGATTTCCCTGCTTGGCTCGAAACAAAAAAACAATTTATTTCTACGTTACACACAGATAATACTTCCCTTGTTTCTTTCTCCGACGGCTCAGTGCGGCCGGACAGCGACTTCCACTCCACGGCGGCGTACCTTGTTTCGTACATGGGCACCACCCAACACTCCAGATCATTCGCGACCGGGCAGGCCACATCTTTTGACGCAGAACTCGCGGGATTAGCGGCGGCACTCAACGCATCCATCATCGCAGCTCGAGAGCGCGACACCATCACTTCCATCCACCTATTCGCCGACAACTCGTCCGCACTGGAATCACTATTCCGACCCAACTTCCATTCATCACAAATCGTCTCCGTCCTCGCCGCTCGCAAAGCACGAGAATGGCTCACAGAGGACAACACCCGCCACATCCACCTTCACTGGGTACCCGGACACCAAGGCGTCGAACTCAACGAGGTTGTTGATCACATGACCAACGAAGCCTACGACCTACACCCACCCATCCCCCGCATCTCTCACGCGTACGCCCGTGTCCTCATCACCAAACGAGTCATGCAAGACTGGGCCAAGATGCCGAGTCGTGGCACCAAATTCTTCCCCGCTCGCATATGCGACTCCCGCACCTGCGCGAAAGGCGGCCCCATTATATCTGCCGCTGGCGATAGCCCCACCCTCACATCCCGCCTCACCAGAACCATACTCGCGCACGCACCCATTGGCGAATATCGAAGCAAATACCTCCCTGCCGAGCCAAGTGCCTGCCCTCGTTGTGATGTTCTCGAGACGCGCCACCACATCCTGGAGTCCTGTCCGCTGTACAAACGCCCACGCCGAACCGGTTTTTACACTCTTATTGCTTCTTCACGGAACCCTATACGATTACTCAAAGACTTCCTTACGAACAATCCCCTCGCATTCACGTTTGATTCCGCTAACTTACACACACCGAACGTTCCCCGCCCACCGGACTGATTGGGCCACATTTGATCGCACACGTTACCGGCACATCGAATTTATTTGCTTCTTTTCTGCATTTACATTACCCACTCTTCCAGTCGAGTTCCACAGTGTTTACCAACTCTACTTACGTCAAGAGATGATGTTCAGGTCGCAAGCAACGTCGTCAACTGTCAGTTACGGCACGGCCTCGGGTGTGGCGTATTCGTGTGGCGTCTCGCGGAGTTTTTTTTTTTTTTTAAATCAAATGCATTTATATAGCGCCGGTGCAGGCCAGGGGCGCTGTTTTAGAAGTAACTAGTCAACTAACTACGACTATAGCTTTTGTCCAGCGGGCACTCCTTACGCTCGATGGGTCGACTGAACTTCGCGACTGATGAGGCTTCTCTCCTCAAAGCGTACAAACTGTCAACTCTCTCTCCGAGGTATACACCCGTTAACTCGCGTCCTGCAGGGCCTCTGACAAGCTTGTTTGAATCACAGCAAGTGGGAGGAGACTGATCATGAGGACACCGTTGCAGGTCAATTGGCTAGCCCTGGCGTCAACGGACCCAACGAAGGGGAGGGTGACCCACTCGGGCTCGGAGCATATGTCGAGTCTGTCTACTCTCATTTGTATCGGCCTCCTGGCTCTCTCTGATTCCGCAACTTGAACCAGCACCAGCGAGATGGACATGGACACTCGTGCGTTCCTCCTGCAGCCCGCCAAATGTGGGCGTCCTTGTCTGACCGGGCTTGTACATACGCATGTTCAGGCGCAGCCATCTCTATTGCGTCGAAGTCTTTCGATCCCAAAGCTTTTATCTCCGTTGTACACCCCAACGCCACCTACCAGGATCTAGGGGCAGGCATTTCGAGACTTCGCGCGTCCATCGACTCTAGGTCTGAGGCTATCCGTGTTCTCGTGGAGGATAATTTTGACAGATTTGTCGCTGTGAAAGCCTCTACGGATGGTAAGCATCCACACAGACACTTCTTCCAAGTCATTGCGTTGTGGCTTCGCATGTATGATTTCTTTGCTCGCACGACGACTCATTCTGCATACGCCACAGCACTTCACGCCGAAATGCGCGAGGGATTGTTGGCCGAATCGACGGACTACGCCTCCAGGCCATTGCGGGACCAACTCAAGCGTATGTGGCCAGATTCGCCGTTTCTCAAACGCTGCTTATATCTCTGGTCATCCAGAGGCGGCCTCGAAGGCCAATCAGGTCTTTCTCCCGGTTCTCGAAAATGCGAACAAGGCCCAGAAGCTCAGGACTACCCTCGGCGTGTTCGAACGATCCAAATTCTTCTTCAATCTACCGGCTTCGATAGTCGAGTCTATGCAAGTGGTATGTTGAAACCGATCTCAGTGTCTCCCCTCGTTTTACGACGCTCTTGCGTTAAGGGTCGTTACGAAGCTGCAATGCGTGATTACAAGAAGGGCAAGTTTATGCTCGAGTCACGTCCCGGCCAGCTTTTACCCATTGGGTCTCAGAAGGAAGGCGAGGGCGCTGTGCTGGCTGAGAGACAGCAAAAGCGCATACTAGAGAAGGTGTGGAGTACGGTTGAGAAAGCCATGGGTGAAATGAGGGCCTTGCTGTTGTCCCAGCTACAAGATCCCGGCAGGCCTGTGGAGGAGCAGGAGAAAACTATAGAGTGAGTCATTTGATATTCGTAGAGTTCATTCTCTCATCTTGTTTTGCCAGGATCCTCCTCGAACTGGACACATCCGATGATCCTGTTTGGACTTACTTTGACTCGCAACATAAATACATTATGGATTCCATGAAGAGAACATTCCGTGTCACGTCGGATGCCGTACAGGGTGAGCATTCATCGTTGTCATGTCGACACCCTTGTGCTCATCCGTCACGAGCGTTCAGCCAAGAAGCATAGAGTGGATCCACCGATTTCTGGGTCAGAGGCTTCCAACCTCCTTCTAGCGGGACAGCTGCAAAATTGTGTCACTGCTCTGAAATCGAACCAACCTGACCTAGTGATCGGTGAGCACGGTTTCCCTTTTTTTTTTTTCGGAGGACTCGAATTCTAGCAACGGTTTTGGTTTACAGCCCAGTCTGGTGGTCATGAAGTCTGGCAGTCCATCTTAGAGACTGTGAAAGCGGTCTCAGAAGTCATGATCTCTGCATTGCCAAACTTTTGGAGAGTGGGGAGGGCGTTTCTAGACGGGCGTTTCAAGAAGGTGTGCTGCTGTCATAATCTTTGTCCTCATGGCAGTCCCTCATTGAAGAGATCGTGATCGACAGACTACTTCCACGTCTCGACGTAGTCCAAACCAGGTCGGCACGATGGCGTTCGATATCATCAAACTCTACATCTCCATCCTCTCCGAATTCTTCCTTCTATCCGACAAAGCCGTGGCCTCTCCGGCCGCTGGCAGCGCGAAGCCTCCTCCTTTCTTCCCTCTGAACAGTAATGTATTGACGACGGCGCATTACCTCATGAAAGTGCTGGGAGAAATACAAGAGAGTGTCAACGAGATAAATTTGATGGAGATCAACACTGGACGCGGTAACGATGTGAATGCGACCCTGAAGGAACTGATCGAAAGCGTTCGGTGGAAATTTGAGGATGTTCTAATCACCGCATGGCTCAGAGGTGGGTCTACTGTTCGTACATTCTTGGCTCTATCTGACGATAGTGCAGATGCCACTCAGTTCTATCATCTCGAAACCTGGACTGCCTCCATCGCGGAACCCTATACTACGCTCTATCTCTCGGACATCCAACTCTTCGAAAAGCACATCACCACTTGCGCCTTCAAAATTGCAGGAGGTGTCGATCTCTCCGCCTCCGCCTCGTCGTCACGCTTGGTGAAGCAGCATGCTGTCGCCACCGAGTTCAAATCCAAGATCACCAAGGCCTTTGTGGATACCTTGTATGCGTTCCTAGACGGTATGGTGAACTTGGCGAGTGAAGAGAGTCCTATTGGATTACGCGGTGTTGGTCAGGAACAAGGAGGTGCCGTGCATCTTCAGGCGGATGGTGCGGCCAGTTCAAAGCTCGGCAAGATATCGCATTCGAATTCCATCACAGGCCCCAATGCTTTTGACCAATTAGACCTCGCAAGCATAGTATGTTTCCCCAATCATCTGCGTGTGTGGTATACTCATTCTCGTGTGCAAGGATACGAGAACCATCCTAGTTTTGTCCAACCTTGACTATTTGAGACGAAGTTTGATACCTAGTATGGTCAGCCAGCTGGAAATAGCGTTCAACACATCCATCGAGGCAGAGAAGCAGGTACGAGGTTTGCGCCCTATATTCACCCGTACTGAGCTTATTATAATGCCGTCACAGACGTTGATGACCGTGGTGCAAGAGCTCGACAAAACACTATTCGGTGGTTATGTGAAACCTAAAGCTGCCATAGTCACAAGCATAGTGCGGCGCGGTATCCTGGACAGCGACATGGACTGGTACGAAACGCCACAACCTACAGGTCTGTCGTCGTGTTGTTCCAAATGAAGCACTGTACTCACTGCCGGCGCAGAAATTCGCCCTTACATGTACGAAACACTGATGTTCCTTGTCGGTGTTCACGCTCAAGTCAGCAGCGCAGCTGCTCCGCTGCTTGATCGAACGTTGAATGCGCTGGTAGAGGACCTCGCGCAGGAGGCTTTGCGATGCTTCCGACAAGTCAAGCGCTTCGGCATGGGTGGCATGCTCAGAGTACGTATATTTCTGGTGCTCCGCATCAGCGCTGAGCCGAATAACCCATACTTCTCTTGAATTGAACAGGCAACCCTTGAGATTGAATTTATGCACCAAACTCTTTCACGATACGTCACTGCCTCTGCCAATTCGATGCTCTCGGAGCTCTACGAGAAGATATCGAAAGCTTATGCCCGGAGACCTGGTGACGAGAACCTTCAGAGTCTTCTGGACGGCGTCAAGCGGACATTGGCTGAGACACGTCGTGCGACGGGCATCGAGTTTCTATGCTTCAGGATCACAAAGGAGCGCAGCTCTACCAAGGACAGGGATAAAGCACAGGGCGGCAGCGGCAGCCTGAGCAGGATTAAGGATCGAGAGCGGAAGGAGAGCGAGTATAGCACCGGGAGCGGAAGTTCGAGGAAGGACACTGACAAGAATGAGAGGAACAGAAAGGATACTGATAACCAGAGGCCTGAACGAGACCGTGAGAGGGGTAGAAAAGACCCAGAGAGATCAGCTCGAAGAGATTAGAGGGACGGCACCGGCACCGTGAACTAGCATAGTGTCCATGTCTTCTCCTGTATTGTTTATTTTATGTTGCGAAATTGCAGTATAGTAATGTAGAGTCCATGCATTGAAAAGGTCCGAATGATAGGCCCCGGGGTCGTGAAACAGGACAATTATACTACAAGTGCATCTTTCCTTGAAGTCCATAGTGCGACCGGCATGAGTTTTAGCTAAGGTACAGGGCAACACAGTCACCCGAGTTCGGATTCATGCTTCAGGCGAGAAGATCCACTAGAATAGTGATGATACCGAGGACTGTATTTGACGGGACTGCGTTAGCGAACGATGAGGAAATAGCGGGAAGTACCCTACCAATCTCAAGACCGATGAGAACGATCACGATGGTTTCAAGACGTTCAGAGTGTCGGCTCAAGACAGACTCCTTGAGAAGTTGAAGCATGTCCTGCAGCACCTGTGGGAGCCTTGAGTAAAGGTACTAGACACGGGGGAATGGGTCCTCACCTCGACACGGGTATTGAGAAGATTGATTCGTTGAGGTAGCTCCAAGTAGCTACGAGCCGCATCGTACAAAGGCTGGAGATCAGGATACGTCTGTACAGGGGTTCGTGATCAGACGGTCGCTCGATGAAGCAAGCAGTCATTGAACCAACCCAGAAGACTTCAGGAGAGTCAAGAACAGACCCGACGGAGGCGATATTGGAACGCAGTAGGAAAACCTCCCCCATCTTCTTCATGATTTCTGACGGCACGAGGCGACATCTCAGAGTATGAAGGTGATCCAAGAAATAAAATCTTACCTTTGTGCGGCATCCCTATTTTTCCTGTCTCACTAATGATTTCCGGGTATTCCTTGGTCTCTTCGATAGTAGTGGAAATGAGCTCTTCAAACTATATAATCTCGCATCTGACTTCAGTTTCACCCTGCAATAAACCCACAATGAGCGTACCAGAGATATCTTGACGGATTGAGATAGCGCATGGGATAGCGAAAGTTTCGTCCTAACGAATGAGGCGGCATGAGCGATAACGAGAAAGCTAATTTCCGGGTACTGTTGGTTGTAGCGTACATATAACTCGATCCTTTGCGCAGGGTAATCACATCGTTATATATGCTATGAGGGGAATCAATAAGGGTATTTGAGAGAACTGACGAACCAAACATACCGGCTGTAATTGGCATAGTAGAAGTTGAGGTCCTCCATTTCTACTTCATCGGGGCCTGATAGACGGTAAGTAGAGATACAGTCGGTGCCACTATCGTCGTACCAAGTTTTTCGACCTCAAAACGCTTTCTATTGGAATAAAACAAGCTCAATATACGGGGCAGACTGACTGATATGATAAACGTAGACTGACAGGGAGGACAAGAAGCGTTTCTCTTGTACCTCAGTCATGCCCCAAATAACGACCGTCCCATAAGAAAAGAGAAATATTTCCGCCTCGATTGCGCTCGTGTCGAACTTGCTCTTCTTCTTGACTGGAGGTACTTGTGCGTCATTTACTCCGTCAAAATCTGCAGGCGATCGAAGCTCGGGAATGCCGAGTAAATCTCCCGTTACACCATCATCCGAGCCCTGCCACCTTACTTTAGACTGCCTGCTCTCGCTGGCTGGTGTGGTAGGAGGGTCATATACATAGGGTGTGTAGATGACGTCGTCGATGATACGCGCATTCGCGTGGTATGTGTTACGGCGAGCATTGAAGAACTTCATCAGATCCTGAAAGTTATAAGAGCTAGGAGAGATAGGGCACGGGGTGGAAAAAAATGGTGTTACTGAAGGAACGAAGAAAGAGGAAGCCCATATACCTTGCTGTAGCATACGCCGTAACGCGCGGGAGGGATTTCGCCTTTTTTTTTGTGAGACGCTTGGCATCTCGACGTGCAGTGCCAGCGGGAATGCGTGCAATCTGGTTATACACCTATGTATAATTTCGCACGAGTATCAGTTCAGCAATCTCGGTCTTGGTAGCCAGATGCAAGAACGCGGCGCACCTCAACATCGTCAGTCTCGTCCTCATCATCTCCCTCATCCTCGTCACTATCTCCAGTGGCCACAGAGCCTTCAGCGGCATCCGAGGTGGCTTTGGGTGGTTTGAGCAATGTTCTTCGTGGGGCAACGGGCTCCGGTTCAGGTTGCTCAGGCAAGACCTTTAGTTTGCCCGTAACCTTCGTGGACCTATTTGCTCCACGAACCTTCGGCTCGTCGGAATTCGCTCTCGACTGCGACATTGGAAGACTGGAAGACATTGAAATGGATGCGAGAGCACTAGCAATACGAAGTCAAGATGAGGCAGGGCGAGAGGCGTACAGCAGCAGTGAACGCAATTCTCAACTATCACTGCGATAGTTCCTGTTCCGTTAGGACAGGTCTTGAGATGGTGGGGTGGTGAGCTCTCCCAACCAACTGCCTTTTCTGGACACAACCAGAATCGCGGCTCGCGGCTCGCTCCGACGCGCGCCGCACTCTCGTTCAACGCGTCCTCGTCGACTTAGACAAATTCCCTTCGTCGTAGCACGCTGCTCACGTTGTACATACATCTAATTTGACATTCTCAGACACGTTTTGCCGCTATGTGTGACAGCAACAAAGCGTGACAGTAAACCTCCTACGTATACACTTCTCGCATCCCCAAGGGAGCAGCACCCCTCAGACGCGTGACCTGAGGTTGGTTCACACGTTTAAGGCGTCGACCCCTTCCCCCCCTCCCCTCGGGATTATTTTAAATAATTAAAAAAAGAATTCATAAATTCGACGTTGGCCTACGCTACGGCTACGGCTACAGCTTTGGCTCACATTACTCGTATGCAGGACGCCTCCGCTTCGACTTTCCAACGCGGAACCCGGCATTAACCTGACAGTCCGTATCACAGAACCATCCCCCTTGCGGGACTTGCAGGAGGCCGGCACATTTCAGGTGATACTGTACGCACAGCATCAAGAATGTAAGGATGAGTGTCACGATTTTACGACGGGTGATGCAAGACATGAATTTGAACGTACCACGGAAGAGCAAGATGGTCCATCACAGCGAACAACGGGCCCTTCGTTCAAGGATGTTGAGCAATTCGGGTCGTAGCATTCTTTTTCTTCGTCCGACTCGATTCGCAAACGCTTCCGAGCAGACTGACGCACAGGGCGAGAGGAAGCCATCTGAGTTGACGAAGGCTCGCCATGCACAACTTCAGGATCTATTGAAGCCATGGTCTCTGTGGACTGGCCTTCGGGACCTTCGAGTTGACAGTGAGAGTGAGGCGGAGCTGACGGAGATGGGGGACGCTCGGAGGCAAGGGAGGTATCGTCCTGCGATAGGGAATCATGATTGGCAGGATTTCATGAAGCAAGAAGCGAAAGAACGCACCATAATTCTCGCCAATCCATCCTCCAAGTCGTCACTACACTCAACAATTCCCTGATCATCAACGTACGCATCTGTTATCGTAGCCTCGCCAGGATCAGAATCATCGTCAGTGGTCTCATTATCCGACTCGGAGCTAGTACCCTCATGGTCCAACTCTTCGTCGCCACTCTCCTGCCCCTCTGCATCCACAACGTCAACATCCAACTGTGCGTTATGCACAGAATCACGGGCGGTGATGTGAGCGTAAACGTCGTTATCGTTAAGATTGGCGGTCCGTAAGGCATCGCCATCCGCATTCTCCCTACATTGATTTATGTTAGTGTCAAGTAGGGAATGGAGCAAGATATACAGTTGAGGAGAACGTACAAGAGGGCGAGGCGGGTGCTATGAGTGTCCGAAATCTTCATCTGGGGACGCTGGGCGAGTCTCTTCATCTTCGCCGATACCCGGACAGCCTTCCTGTTCAACCAGACCCCTTTCATCAACGTCTCCTCGCTCTCGCTAATCTCATACAGATCACGATAAGTTTCGGCGTTTGCGCCGGGATGGTCGTTCTCGATGTGGAATTTGAGGTTGTATTTCCACACAGCAGGAGAATTTGGCGCAATACAAAGGGGACACTTCAAGGGCACGTTGGAGCACGGCGAGCGTACGGTTGACTTGGCTGCTTTTTTCATGACAATCTTGTAGAGGTTGGGGCAGCGGGACGTCGTCATGTTGACCTGAGAAGTACCTTTCTTCGACTGTCTGAGAAAGATGACACAGGACGAGCCTGTACCGAGACAGAGGCCGCAGACCTGTGAGGATCCCTTGAAGAGAGGGTCGGAGAGGATGTGAGCGCCTTCATGTTCGATTATACGAGGGCCAGACAGTCCAGCTGTATATCTGTTGTCGCAACGGTAACAGACGCCATGGTGTTGGGAGTATCGGTCAACGTCTTCGTCCTCGCAGATGAAACAAGCGGAACCTTGAAAGCAAAATAAAGTCAGGCAGACCAAGTCGGAGGTTGATGATCAGAACATACCATCGGGAAGGCGGTAGGGGAATGTATCAGAGAGCCTAACATTACAGATACGATGGCGGACCTCCTTTGTACGTGAGAACAGAAGCTGACCCATGGCCCGCAGCTCAGACGACTTGAAACTGTAGGTCTCGTTCCCATTGGAGCCAGGATAGACACCGCGCTCGGTGTCTGGGTCGATGAGAAGTAGAAGCGTCCCTTCTAGATCACGCAGATCATTCCCAGACTCGAAGCGACCGTTCCACTGCCAATCCGGATGTGCCGACTGATGAGAGCGGTCGGTGCAGACAAGAGTCATGATTCGAGCACGGACGCGAACATTGGGTTGATTGACGAGTGAAGATGGAAGAAGGGAGACGGTAGTGTGGTTGTGCTGGATTTGAAGAACGCTGACAACCGCGACAAAGAAAAGGTTGTCGCACCGAACCAAGGTAAGCGCTGGATCTTCGACGGCGAGAACCTTGTCTTCTGGTACAGCGAGAGCAGCCCTGACAGCAGGTGAGAGATCGGGCTGATCGAACTGCTGAGAATCGCGGACACGGGTCAGGCGGTCCTTCGAGATAGGCGTGACCAACGGGTTTGAGTAGAGTCGTAAGATGGAAGCTTTATGGAGGCCTTTTGGATTGGAGGGATCGACAACAACGCGAGGCTCATACCGAGGACGCCCAGTATCGGGATGGATAGCAGCATCAGCGTCGGCGAGGTCGTCGAGATCTGGCAATTCTATTCCACCAGCGTTGACTTCGTCGATAGAGACGTCACCAGTTTCCACCTCGCCGTCTGACGGCGGCGCCACAGTCGATCCTTCCTCACCCTCCTCCTCTTCCTGCTGTTCCTCATCCGAGAGCAATCCGTTCTTCAAAACAATCTTCCCACCTCCGAAAGGGCACAGATTGTCATATCCACCAGTCTCCTTCATCCATCCGAAAGGAACTTCCAGCCCAGCCTCTCGCAAGACACCTGCCGCCAATCGCTCTCCTTCCGACCAACATGTAAACAAAACAAGGTCGCGATACGACACATCTCCCTTCCAGCTACGCGGACTAATGTGGTCCAGCGCAGCCGTGATCTCCTCGCCCATCTCCTTCAAACTGGTCAGATTGAGACGCCGGGCCTGCCCACCCCACTCCGGATGAAGTTCGAGGATCTTGACGCACTGAACAGCGCCATCGATACGGTTGGCGAGCTGAAGCATATCTGCATTACAATCGCTCCCGACCATCGTCCGCACCTTCCCAAATACCTGCTCGAGCCCATCTGTACCAAGGAGGATGATAAAGAATTGGCCGTCCGGATTATCGACCTGAGCTTTTGCGACACAAATATAGACTGTTCGAATCATAGACTGGAGGTCGAAATAGAGCTGGACAGGAATGAACCGCCCTTTGTCTTGATTATAGAGAGCGAGGGCGAGATGAGATGCGGCAGAGAGTCGGGTGAGTTGTTCGTCGAGGGAGAGTGTCACATCGAGGTATGACTCGAGAAGGTAGCGGTAGAGTGATCCAAGAAGATTGAGGATGCGGCGAGACGCTTGGGACGGAGGAGAGAGACGATCGTTCGGGGGAGGAAGGTGAGAGACTGAATTAAGGAGCTGGATCATGAGAGTGACGTCCTGGCGATCGTTCGGGGCAAGCAATCGTTGAGCGGCATCAGCGGCCATCCTTTGAGACTCGACGAGATGCGCCTTGATGATATCTGACGAGAGGGAAATGTCGTCGATTGTGATGCCGGATTGGCGCAATAAGGTATTTCGAAGCCGCTTGAACACATGTTTCCAATCTGCGTCGTTGGTGATCTCGTCCTCACCACAGACACGCGAAAAGAGATCGAACAGTTCGAAGGCACGAAAGACTGCTGATTGTAATGGAAACTCCTTGTTCATCGTCTGGTCTATCAGCACTTGTCGACGACGACTGTCACCATCGGTCGAGATCACGTAGATGCGAACATTGCGGGGGATAGGCGAAGTGGGTGCGGCGATTGCTGTAAGAGCAGACTGGACCAGACGGCGGTGTTGCGTTACTGTCTCCCGTTTACAGGTGCCGGAAATCAAGAAAGGACGAGCAACGTAGTCTTGCGGGCGGTTGGTGAGAATGGACAGCGCCATAACCGTTGCCTATGGGGATACATGTATATTCAATATCAACTCAATACCGGTAGGAGATATTGAGGAACAACGTACCTCAGATGCGAAATGAACTCTTTGCGGTACAGCCTTCAATGCCTCCAATACAACATCAGCCTGCCGAAGAGAGCGGAAGTCGAGACAAAGCCCAGAGGAATGCTCGCGGCACAGGCCAAGGATCGTGTTGAGAAAGGCCTCCCAGCGCAGACGCTCTTGTATCTTCAGCTCATCGGACGATACACTTGCACCGTAGACGACGATATGTCCTGGTGGGCCGGTAGCGGCGGTCATCGGAACCCAATCCTCGAATGCGGCACAAAGGTTGGATAGCAGATCCTCCACGCTAGGAAAGCCCGAAGAAGCTCGGATGTGATTGACGGTCATGTTGCGCCGAGTAGAATCAATGGAAGGTGTCCCGAGCGTGCGATGGGCAATATTTGCAGCGGAAACGCCACCGAGCTTCCAGATTAGGTACGAGCGTTGAAAGTCGGCTTCTTGATAACTCTTCGGCTTGTATGCCTGCTTAGCTGCCGCGTCGATAGCTCGTAAGTATCCGAAGACACCTGCACCGTTTCGTTCCTGGACAGCGAGTGCAATACGGATGCGAGGGATCTCGTTATTGATGATGGACATGACGAGACGGCGCCAGCCATCGAGATGACGAACTCGTACGGCGATGAGGCGACCACGATTCAGACCGTCGAGGTGAAGCGCATCAATCTGACTAGTCTTCTGCTTGAGCCAGTCGAACAGCTGAGTAATGGAGAGATAGGCCCACGGCGTGTTCTTGTGAGCGCCATCAAGGTTCCGATGCCGAATACCCATGACGATGGAATGGTTCTCGATCTTGCGGCATGAAGCGCAAGTGGGCCGTGTGGACTGGCCAGCACAATCGACAGAGCGAAGATACATATGAGGCCCGGGGTTGACGATAGCAACGTTCCATGGGAGTGCTCGAATGTCGTGGATTGCGAAGGGATACGAAAGGTATGGAGAGGAACCGTCAGGGAACGTCATGCGATATCCTAAGCAGGTAAATAAGATGGGTGCTGGCGTAACGGGCTTTGAACCCTGTGAGGGAATGGGTTCGAGTGGCGGTGGGATATCGTCGAGGTCCGTAACGTATTCGAGTGGTGGGGGGATATCGTCGAGGTCCATGGGCGCTGCGTATGCTGATGTCGAATGCTTGCGAACGATGGTAATGGGTTCGAGTGGCGGCGGCATATCATCCAGATCGGTCGACTCCTGATGCCCTGCTGGATCAGGATACCGAAGCTCAAGACCGTGCTGCTCTAAGCTGAAGAGACAGGGTAATCATGAGTAAACGTCGTGATCACAAAGGGATGGAGAACGTACACAATCCGAACAGCTGCTAAAAGCTTTTCGACGCGCTCCGTCAACATCCCGACATCAATTCCCGCCCGTCCAATCGCCTCCACCCAATCCCCGAATCCCTCCAAACCAGCCCTTCCCCTTCTTACGAATCTCACCAAATCCGCCACCGAAGAATTGTAACCCAAGACGCGATGAAGACTACGACTCCAATCTTCCTCCCAAGCCTCCTCTACATTTGCTACACCTTCCGTCGGATCACCGGTAATCTCAGCGAATGCGTCCGATAGTAAGCCTAGAGGAACCGCCGGCGGAAGCTGCGTATCCGCGAAACGTATCTTCGTGGCCAAAACAAGCCAAAGTGGTTGATTAGCACCAGCGGGACGGACAGTGTTGTCGAGAACATCGGCGTCAAGGTCGATCGGTCGCAATTCTGTGCCGGCAGAAGGTACGGGCACAAGAGTCTGAGAATGTGGTATTGTGGTCGACTGAGTGTTGGTGCCAGGGCCGAGTGGCTGAACGGTAGAATGGGAAGGCTGATGTACGTCTAAGGAATATGTACGAGTCAGTGATGTCTTTGAACTGAGGGGGAACAATGCAGCATACCTGAAGAGGCATTGTGCGTCTGAGACGCAAGACCTGTCGCCGTAGATGATGAGGATCCAGTAGGCTTGACGGAGGATATCGCTCGAGTGAAAAAATTCTTGATTCCACGAGCAGCTGGGACGGGCGCTTTGGAGCGATGTTTTGCGCTCTTGATGTGTTGCTGCCAATTCGCCTCTCCGCCTAGGCCGATTTGCACGTCGCGCTTGCAGCTCTCGCAGAAGCGAGTGCTGCCGGCGTTGAAGCCATCATCGGGCTCACCCTGATCCTGTTGCATGAAAATTGTCAGTCGAGCGAAAGGAAATGATGTCGGTCACAAGAAGAAAGTACCTTCGGGGCAGGAGCAGAGGTATTCGCCTGCTTCTTCTTCTTCGACTTGTCTACCATACTTGTATCACTGACGAGGGTGAAGAGCGAGGGAGACAGGGCTGGTGGACGTTCAAGCTCAAAAAACTTCCAAGATGAATCGCAGCCAGTCGAACGAGCCTGAAAAGCGTTCGGCCGGTCGAATGCCGCATCGATGAGGTTTGGAGTATCGCACAGCGATCAGTGGTCTGTTTCGTCGGCCATGGCGAGCGGAAGCAAAATGAGAGAGCCCCTCGGGCTTTGTATCACCGAGTCGTGCAGCACTGTGCACATATCCGAGTACCAGCCAGATTTGTGCTGCCTAGAGTAAAATGGACATGTATTACAAGGGACTAGGCTAGACACATAAGGTGTTAACGCGTAGTACGCGTCCTACGCGTCGTAGACGTCGTTCGGTGAGAACGAACAGCGAAGGAGCGCCGGAGACCGCTTTAGGAAGGCCTCCGGTGCTCGCCGGTCAGCTCGCGTTTAAGCCCCGACCGGACCTACCCCATCAGCGAAGCTGACAGCCCCTTGAGCCCCTTGGCGAGCCTTGCAAGCGCTAGCAAGCTCCTCCAAGCTTTGGCTAGCTCTCCAAGAGACCATCAGCTTCGCTGATGCCCCCCTCCCCCCTCCGGTTTATTAATTTATTTGTGCTGCTCCCTTGCGCATCCCAATAACTGCCGCAGCTACACTTGCTATGACTCTAACTGGGAAAAAACAAACCCGTCAGCCACGAAAAGATCCATTCATTACAGTCTCTGCCAGCCAAGCAAACAGGGAGAAGGGCGGTCTTTCCTCTCGCAGTGTTGCGTCACAGCTCTATATCCACGAATTAAAACCCACTCCGCAACAAGAGAAGACAATCTCCACTTTGTATGAGGAAGGCCATGGCTTCGATAACATGTACAGATGCGTGGTTGACGTGGAACAGGTGGAAGCAGCGTCTTTGCTGGCGTCGCTCGGGCTGGACACGGCAAGGACACGGACACTCGTGAATCACTCGCCAACCGCTGGCATGTTAGGTGGACAAATGGGAATCGGAGGGATGATACACATCGTGTACTTTATCAGTGGTGTGCACACATCAATTGGCGTTAGCTAAAAAGCTTACTGACACGGAACTTCCAGCGATTGCGGTTATAATCATACTGCCGCGGGGACGAAGATCCGTCAGAATCCCGTACCGTTCACGGAATGCCCTGCTCATGTAGAACTCACCTATGTCGTCAGCACACAACGTATCCTTAGAATCCGCGGACTCTCCAAGCACAACGCTGCGTGCAAAGCCGCCAAGTATAGCCAGATACCCCGTCGCCCTCTTCATCCGTCCGTCTTCGCTGTGGCCCTCAAACAGCTTGCTGAAGGAGTCAATCTAGACAACATACATGAGAAGAATACTCAGATGTTCAAAGCAGGTCTATATAAAGGACAACCGACGAACATGGACGAGAGCAAGTCAGCATACCGTTGGCTCCTGAAGCGCCATGACACACAGTCACTCTATTGGCAATACAACCGCCTGCACGGTATCAATGTTACTGAAGCCGCCCATGTCAACATCGATGAATGGATGGACAAGACATCGCCTCGATACAATCCCAAGATCGCGGATGCGATCTTCCACTATTCTGCGCGTGCAGAGCGGGGCGATTGATTTGAAGTATGCATTGCAACTGATGAGATGAAGGAGGCGGCGTGGCGTCACGGAGATTGAAGCCAAATTCTCCTGGATGGAACGTTTGGGGTCAGTACGAAGAAGATCCTTCTATTTATCCTGATGGGGCTAGATGAGAAATGTCGCGGCGAACCTCTCGCAATGTTCCTCTTCTCTGCTCCTTCTGGTAATTGCCACACTGCCGCTGGGTACAATACAGAGATCCTGGAGAAGCTTCTGAGAGCTTGGAGGACCTCACTAGGTGAGAGGGATGGACGTACCTTCAATCCCGCCGTAGCGATCACCGATACCGATCTCATGGAACGCAACGCCCTCATGCGAGTGTTCCCCGACATATGGCTCCTGATCTGCAAGTTTCATCTTCGTCAGTCGTGGCGAAATCACCGAAACAAGCTTTTACGAGGGCGCTCACCTGTCCACATGTCTCTCAAAGCTCGAATGGCCCGCCTCGAAACCGAACTCGTCGCCACAACAAATTTTAACGAGGCTCGGGAGATGTTGGCGAAGGAGAAGGCCGTGCTTGAAAGGATGCTGGTGGACTATCCAATGATCACGTCGAACGGCCTGGAGCACCTCCGTTATCTTGGTGACGGGTACTGGATGAAAGACGAGAGCCTGTGGAGAAGCTGGTCAGATTATGGACACCGATATGCCGCTGTACTCCTTCATTGCAACATTGAAGGGGTACTCACCACGACAAATCATCTGGAGTCCTTTAACGGAATCTTGAAGCGTAAATACCTGCGTCGCTGGCAGCGAGGGAACCGATGTCTCCGAGTCGATGTGCTCATCAAGCTACTCGTCACGAAGATTCTTCCGGCGATATTTGAGCAACAAACGCTTGAAGTACAGGAGGAGGATCGTTGGAGGAGGATCTTGTTGACCCTACCAGGAGGCACAGCTCTCGTTGGCGGGCTGTCATCGAACGCCGGCCGTGCCGTTCTACCGCCCATCGCCTACTTTGTTCAAGACACCGCACGCGACCAGGCGGCAGCCGAACTTCTACAAGAGAATCAAATCAGCGTACCTGCTTTCGACTTTCGGACCCAAAGCTTCCTCTTCACATGCTACTCGTCGTACACAACTGTCTACGATCCTCATCCGACCCTGTACAATATCGCGGTTTCGACGGATGGTTCGGCTTGCTGTGACTGCGCCGACTTCACTCAACAAGGAGGAGCATGTAAGCATCTCCGTGCCGCGCTCCTTTGGCTCGACAAGCGCCGCAGTGAAGACCCAAGAATGCCATCAGTCACTTTGCCTTGCTCGGAGGATGAAGCACGGAAACGTACACAGACAGACCTCTTCTCACGGCTTCAAGACACGGGCGCAGTCGCACCATCCCTACCAACTGGTGTTATGCGAGGCATCCCTGCTGCAGTCGTAGATGAGGCCATACGAGAAGCAAACGAGATGTTGTACGAGCATGTGGGCGAGGACGGAGAGGGGAAGGAAGACTCCAGAGAAGACGGGGAGGAAGAGGACGACGACAGCGATCTTGAGAGTGTGGCAACAGACACTGGCGAAGACTGCGAGTTTATATTCACAGCGCTTGATCATACAGGTAGTGCTCGGCGTGCGATCGACGAGCAAACTTTCGCAAGAGTGCTATTCGACCTGGCTTGTGTGGCACCGAAGCTCGGTCAGCTCGGACGCTACCTCAAGGACACTCACAGAACGTTCAGCCCTGCTGATGCAGAGAAGGCCGCTCAAGCAAAGGCAGATATCAATCTGCTTTCCGAGCAGTTAGGGCACCTCCTAGAGATGAAAGGCCCACCCATATCGGAGCCACATCAAACCAGCGCCACACCAGAGCGTCCACAAACCCCGAAACCTACCTTTGCCACATCATTATCTCTCAGCAAGGGGGAGGTCGCCAAAGGTTCACAGAGTGGTGGACAAAGTGAGGTAGAGCGTATGAGGTTGAAGAGAGCATCTCTCTACCCACACTCGCCAGAGAAGGATGCAAAGCAGCATCAATCTTACGGCCACGATTGACTTGTACATTACCTCATGCCGTAGCTCTTGATCTCTTTTCAGACAGTGGTGTTCACACGCGCCTAATTCAGCTCCTTTTCATGCTCAAAGAGCGAACTAACAAGGATATCTAGAATTATGGACTACTTAAAAGCATGCGGGTCTCAAGTGTACTTATATAAATGTGTTGTCCAGCGTGCTACGACGAAGGGTATTTGTACAAGTCGACGAGGACGCGTTGAACGAGAGTGCGGCGCGCGTCAGAGCGAGCCGCGAGCTGTGATTCTGGTTGTGTCCAGAAAAGGCAGTTGGTTGGGAGAGCTCACCACCCGAGATGGTGACGTGCAATTCCCGCAGGCGTGGCATGGTGTTTGTGCATTGTTTGGTCCCTGCCAAAACGCGCTGAACTGGTGGTCCGCAGATAGATTATTTTGTTACACAGCCATCTGCTCTCCAGTGACCGTATAGTTTGCTACAAGGGGTCTCAAGATGTTAATGCGTCTCCGTAAGACTTTTTGAGAGGAACTGAGTAAGTCAACTTCCCTCAGAGTAGAAGACAACTGATGCGCCACCACCGGAAATGGGTGGACCGAGGGCAGAATGGCACACATTGCGAGGCTTCATGTCCCCAGTCGACACGAATTGCATGGCATACACTCGCTTTCACCCAAGACCTTTTCATACAATCGAATTGTATCATGTATTTGGATGTTACCTTGGAACAAATTTCAGAGATAATGCCCTTCTTGTGCCCTTCAAATATTCTGTGGATTTGTTTTTGCCAATTTTACCTGGTTGTATATCATTCCCCCCATAGGATATTCTCACGATAGAATCAGCCGAATCCCTACCAAGCCAACATCCGCATACATACAATCCTTCATTTGTATGCAAACATTTTTCATTATTTCCTCTCTGACTTGCGCAAAAGTTGTCCGACCAGAAGGTGTATTTGAGACCACATCACTCACTGGGTTTGGCGGAAACCAAACAATGCCCAAACACCATGCTGTGCCTGCGGGAATTGCGCGTCACCACTTGAGACGAGCTATCTCCCCACTGTCACAGCATCACATCACGCCTCTGTCAGTGGTGGTGGCGTCTTTTTCTTGGGAGCTACCCCTCGAGCTGTCTGTTATGGTCACTCGTCCTCCATCACTCTCGGTTCCCGGTGTTTCCCAGTCATTCTGTCTCGTTCCGGTGTCTCTGCCTGTGCCGTTCAGTGCTCAAATATGCCTGACAAGTCTAAACAAATAAATGTGGGCCAATTACAGCCTTCATTCTTCCACCTGTGTGAGGAACATAATTATTTGAACACAGGTAAACGTGTTGGGAGCTTCTAACTTTTGTGGCATTTTTGCCACAGCAAGGTCAGCCTGTTTTGTTCCAGAGATGTTTAGACAAGAAAGCTGGTCAAAAGATGTATTATAATCAGTCGGCCAGCACTGTTCGATCTGAAGGAACAGGTCTGGCCTGGAGGGCGTGGAATTAGGGTTATGCTGGGTTATGTAGACCGCGAATGAGCTCAGAGCATGTGATCCGTGACTGTCACTTTGCAGGTCCCTGCATAGGCTCTGATCAACCATTATCACCTGACATGAAGATGATCAAACACTGTTATAACGGCTGTTCCAATTTGGAGGCCTTTTGTGGGCTTGCCCTCGTGCCTGCCTCTTATGGAAATGTTGCCTGCGGGAGAGGACTGTCTAGAACCCTCTCCCCGTGTGCAACATTTCCATATGAGGCAGGCGCAGAGGCGGCCCGCAAAACACCCTGGAATTGGACAAGACCAGTCCCTGCATATAGTTGCAGAAAAAATCTTGTGCCGGTGCCAGCGGAGTGCTAACGACACCGGCACTTGCCATCCAGTCGAGCGTGAGCATGAAAACTTCACTTTTGCTCCTTATTGTCTCTTCTCCTCTTCCGCCTCCTCTTCTGCCTCCTCGCTCTTGGCTCCCGCTCTTTACCCTTCCCAGGGTATTTCTTGCTCAGTTTGGTTCTTTTTGTTTCAATATATCCCTCTACTCCAGATCTTAAGACCTTCTAACGGATCACCTTTCCAGTGCTTCCTTCATTTCACGCCGCCTATCCTGATCTCCCCCTTTACCCTATTTGTTACTCCATTCTCATGGCCAACACCCGCCTACAAAATCATTCCCAGGGGGACACTGCCCCTGCTTCCAGTGCTCACCTTGGCCTCGCACTGCCCACACCTGTGAATTCCCAGGCACAGTCTGGTCCCTCCAATCAAGATGGCCAGCTGCCAGCTCAGCAGCAATCTGCTCCGTCAGCAAATTAGTCGCCGGAATACTTGGCCATCCGACGCCACACATAGTCGATGGCTCGACGCAATCCTCGAGAACCGGACATAACCGCACCTAGAATATCTATGGACAATATATTTGATGCGAGTTGTAACTAGAGTTGTCAAGGTTGTGACGGGCCTCGGAGGTTTGTTCATTCACGACCGTTGAGAACAGTTCCGAGAATTGTGGTGCGTCGTGAACGGTTGCAGAGCACGTGTGGTGCACATTTTATGCTGTACATCGCGTCCCGTGGGTACTCATGCAATCGCTGCGAGCTTATACACTGCATGACATGCTGCTGTTGGCAATACTGTGATTTTCTTTTGCTCTTTGTGGCTTTTTTTTTACTGGTCACTCGTGAAGGAAGGATCAAATAATATTACATTGGCAGCTGGGCTCGTAGATACAGTGGTAAATATATAGAGGACTACAGAAGATAGCCTATCACATAAAACACCCTCAAACCCTTAATATATGCCATGAAGAGAAATTCATCAAGGCTTGAGAATGCCAAAAACATCGTGAAAACATACCATGCACAACAAAATATCAACCAGTAGATGATGATAACACTACAACGAGAGAGGAGCGTGAGTACATAGGTCACTGTGGTACAAATAGCAAGTGATGCACCTGGAGCCGCCACGCAGGCCTGGATGCTCGATGAGGGTATTGTCACGACCACACCAGAACAACCATATCCTACAAAGAGGGGTTGCTGGCAGGCGATCTCTCACTCAGAAACACACACCAAGGGCGAGGAAAAGGTTGTATAGGGGGGAGACTGACGATCTCAAGACTAGAGTACAAAACAGGAAGTAGGTAGGTTTATATACTAGCCAGAACCAAACACAACCAAACCCAGGCCACAGTGGCACAGAAACTCGGAAAAGTGTGGCCCAACTGTGGCACCCACCAGGAAATAATAGAAAAGGCATGGAAATGACAAAAGGTCATGACATTACCCCCCTCTTTAAGGTCATCGTCCTGATGATCAGCGAGAGTGAGACAATGTGCACAACTGAAAGGGGTGAAAGGGAAGAAAGGGGAGAAGAGACAAGGAGGACACAGCAAAAGCTGAGAAATAAAGGGGAGCAAAAGCACTGGAAGGTCATAAAAGGGCGTGAACAGTGTCGTAAGGGGCATGAAGAACATACAGCAAGAATGAAAGAAATCTGTCCATAAATGCTGAAGATATTCATGAAAAGGGGGGAAGAAGGGTGAACGTCGTTGGGGATAGCGCCGAGACATAACCAGACATCGTAGAATAAAAGCGAGGGTAGGGGCGGGTAGGGGATGGATAAGGCTCGTGGGAATCGAAGACCGCGTGGGAAACGAACCGCAAATCACGGAGATAAGGAAGGAAGAAGTTGGGGGAGGGAAGGAGGGGGGAGGAAGAAACAAGGGAGAATATCTCAAGAACGGATGGACGGATCTGGATGCGGTTTGGGGTAGGTGTAGGTGTGTATGGAAGGAGTAGGGAGAAAGAGACCGCATGAGAAACGAACAGGTAGATCCCGAGATATCAGCCCATCTGTCCCAGCCCAGCCCTCTCCAACCCTCTGCACCAAAATCCGAATATCTCCGTCAATTCCCACACAATCTCCACTAACCCGGACCTCTGGGGAATCCTTGGATCGCGCTCTACGCGATGGTTTAATCGGATCGGGTAGATAAGGGATGGATCAAAAATGCGGAGGCGAAACTTGATGAGGGGGAGGAGGAGGTGAAGTGAGGTGAAAGCTGTGGAAATCCAATGTGCTGGCAGATCCAGGAAGCTAGAGTCGAGTGGAGGGTAATGGAAGGTAGTGTGTGTGTCGTCTAACCTATGGCTCCAGGCCAAGATGGCACCAGGGAGGAGGAGATAGCGGCAGCTGCCCAGAGGCAAGAGCTGGGGTGATAGCTGAGGTGTAGGAGTGGAAGGAGGCGAAGTCAAGGCCAGGCAATCGATGGGAGTATCAACTCAAGGCTCAAGACGAGCCAGAGGGTGTTGGAGGTAGTAGGGGTGATGGTGAGATACAACTGTTAACGGACAGAGGAAACCGGCATGAAGATGCGAGGGTGACCGGAATAGAGAAGAAAGGGAAGACTATTAGGGGAGTGAATAGTGCTGGCCAATCCGTATCCCAGGAGCCACTAATGTAGGCCCAAACAGAGTAGAGAGATCGTCCAGGAGCAAGGGGAGTCTTGAGATGATATCACAACCACACCAGAACAACCATATCCTACAAAGAGGGGTTGCTGGCAGGCGATCTCTCACTCAGAAACACACACCAAGGGCGAGGAAAAGGTTGTATAGGGGGGAGACTGACGATCTCAAGACTAGAGTACAAAACAGGAAGTAGGTAGGTTTATATACTAGCCAGAACCAAACACAACCAAACCCAGGTCACAGTGGCACAGAAACTCGGAAAAGTGTGGCCCAACTGTGGCACCCACCAGGAAATAATAGAAAAGGCATGGAAATGACAAAAGGTCATGACAGGTATGAGAAAACTCAAACCATACCTTACACTATAATTCTACAGCTAACTGCACCTGCTGTAACGTCTCTATTATTTTTCTTCTCTTTTCTTGTTACTTTCTTGTCGCGGGCCACACGAAGCGCGAGTCTTACGTTCGTGTGGCACCTTTGGGCCACAACTACAGCCCCAAGCCGCAGTATCGGGTTACCTCATGTTTATAGCTGTACGTTTTAGGTTTGAACTCTATCGACTCATGTATTTAACTTACGAGGTCCTCGAGGAGGACCGTATCGTGAATAACATTCTTCTTACTTTTTTCCTGATTTTTCCCGCTTTATTCGCTTCGTGAGATCGCGCTCGAGATTACTCGCGCGACCTCTCTCGGCAACTCGCTTCAGTGCTTCCGGTCGGGTCGGATATCGAATACATCCGGACCTACAACTTCGCACGTGTTCG